GGGCACTGGCGGGCCCGAGCCGTGTCGCGCCGCCCCCAGCGCGACAGCCTACCCCTCCCGATTGCGTCACACTCAAGGTCCAAAGATGGTGTGCGCACTTGTCTGTGGTCATTTACCATTATAATGAATGGGAGGCACAGTTTCTACCAAAACGCTCGCTGCAGACAAACTCCATGTCCTTTTTGAAAAAAGTCTGGACCATGAGTGAGGGCACAAACACAGCTAGTATATATCCAAATGGCAAGTTGCTCTTCCTTTCGGTTTTGCCGAGAGAGCGATGCGTTTGAGCCATTGAGCGATGGGCAGGAAAAACTTGACTTTTTCTCCTGCCATGGGGGGGCGCTCTTTTGGGGAGTAAAAATTCCTTCACAAATGTGTTGATGGCTGGACATTGCATCATCCTAGAAAACTTGGAGGCCAGTGAGGACAAAAATAAAAAGTTATAAGACTTTTAAGACTGTGGATTTTTGGGTCCTCTTTGGCGCCCCCTAGAACCTAAACCGTGGGGTGCAGCGTCATGATTTGTACAACTTTGAATGGCCATGGGGTGTAGATTGGCCTGAGCAAATTTGGTGTCGGTGGGACGAAAGCTTTAGGAGGAGTTAGCCGCATTCCAATGTGTGCGAATCGGCACAAAATGCAAAATAGCCCTTTAACCGTACATTTTACAGATACGTGCACATTGACTTCTTCGTAGATCTTATTGAGATACACGTGATTGTAAAATTTTGTGTCAATAAGACAAAGCGTACAGGCGTGACACTGAACAATGTGTATTTTCACCTTATGGGACAAGAAAAAATGGATTTTTTTCTCCTGCCATGGGGGGCGCTCTTTTAAGGAGTAAAAATTCCTTCACAAATGTGTTGATGGCTGGACATTGCATCATCCTAGAAAACTTGGAGGCCAGTGAGGACAAAAATAAAAAGTGATGGGGTGTAGATTGGCCTGAGCAAATTTGGTGTTGGTTAAACGAAAGCTCTAGGAGGAGTTAGCCACATTCCAATGTGTGCGAATCGCCAAAAAATGCAAAATAGCCCTTTAACCGTACATTTTACAGATACGTGCCCATTGACTTTTTCGTAGATCTTATTGAGATACACGTGTGTGTCAATTTTTGTGTCAATATGACAAAGCGTAGAGGCGTGAATCTCAACAATGTGTATTTTCACCTTAGGAGACAAGAAAAAAATTGACTTTTTTGTCCTGCCATGGGGGGACGCTCTTTTGGGGAGTAAAAATTCCTTCACAAATGTGTTGATGGCTGGACATTGCATCATCCTAGAAAACTTGGAGGCCAGTGAGGACAAAAATAAAAAGTTTTAAGACTTTTAAAAATGGGGATATTCGGGTCATCTTTGGCGCCCCCTAGAACCTAAACCGTGGGGTGCAGCGTCATGATTTGAATAACTTTGAATGGCCATGGGGTGTAGATTGGCCTGAGCAAATGTGGTGCCGGTGGAACGAAAGCCTTCGGAGGAGTTAGCGAAATTCCAATGTGTGCGGATCGGCAAAAAATGCGAAATAACCCTTTAACCGTACATTTGACAGATACGCCCGCACTGACTTTTTTGTAGATCTTATTGAGATACACGTGATTGTCAAATTTTGTGTCAATATGACAAAGCGTACAGGCGTGACATTCAACAATGTGTATTTTTGCCTTGGGGGACAAGAAAAAATTGACTTTTTTCTCCTGCCATGGGGGGGCGCTCTTTTGGTGAGTAAAAATTCCTTCACAAATGTGTTGATGGCTGGACATTGCATCATCCTAGAGAACTTGGAGGCCAGTGAGGACAAAAATAAAAAGTTATAAGACTTTTAAGACTGTGGATTTTTGGGTTATCTTTGGCGCCCCCTAGAACCTAAACCGTGGGGTGCAGCGTCATGATTTGAATAACTTTTAATGGCCATGGGGTGTAGATTGGCCTGAGCAAATGTGGTGCCGGTGGAACGAAAGCCTTCGGAGGAGTTAGCGAAATTCCAATGTGTGCGGATCGGCAAAAAATGCGGAATAACCCTTTAACCGTACATTTGACAGATACCTGCGCGTGGACTTTTTTGTAGATCTTATTGAGATACATGTGTGTGTCAATTTTTGTGTCATTTTGACAAAGCGTACAGGCGTGACACTCAACAATGTGTATTTTCACCTTAGGGGACAAGAAAAAATGGACTTTTTTCTCCTGCCATGGGGGGGCGCTCTTTTGGGGAGTAAAAATCCCTTCACAAATGTGTTGATGGCTGGACATTGCATCATCCTAGAAAACTTGGAGGCCAGTGAGGACAAAAATAAAAAGTTATAAGACTTTTAAGAATGTGGATTTTAGGGTTATCTTTGGCGCCCCCTAGAACCTAAACCGTGGGGTGCAGCGTCATGATTTGAATAACTTTTAATGGCCATGGGGTGTAGATTGGCCTGAGCAAATGTGGTGCCGGTGGAACGAAAGCCTTTGGAGGAGTTAGCGAAATTCCAATGTGTGCGGATCGGCAAAAAATGCGAAATAACCCTTTAACCGTACATTTGACAGATACGCCCGCACTGACTTTTTTGTAGATCTTATTGAGATACATGTGTGTGTCAATTTTTGTGTCATTTTGACAAAGCGTACAGGCGTGACAGTCAATAGTGTGAATTTTCACCTTAGGGGGCGCTATGGAGCCATTTTGCATTTTCTTGTTTGGGCGACTTCGGAATATCAAATTTTTCACCAGGCCCGGTCGTCCTGCCAAATTTCATGAGTTTTCGCCAGTGGGAAGTGGGCCATTTTCCAGTTCAAAGGGGAGGAAAAAGAAAAAAGAAACAAAGAAAAACCACTTGGGGAATAATAGGGCTCTCGCAGCTGCTTAGCAGCTACGCTCGGGCCCTAACTAGGGCCCCGGTGGGGCACTGTCGGGCCCGAGCCGCGTTGCGCCGCCCCCAGCGCGACCGCCTCCCCCTCCCGATCGCGTCACACTCAAGGTCCAAAGATGGTGTGCGCACTTGTCTGTGGTCATTTCCCATTATAATGAATGGGAGGCGCAGTTTCTACCAAAACACTCGCTGCAGACAAACTACATGTCCTATTTGAAAAAAGTCTGGACCATGAGTGAGGGCACAAACACAGCTAGGATATATCCAAACGGCAAGTTGCTCCTTGTTACGGTGTTGCCGGGAGAGTGATGCGATTGAGCCATTGAGTGATGGGCAGGAAAAACTTGACTGTTTCTCCTGCCATGGGGGTTGGGGGATGGGGGGGGGGGGGATGTGGATTCTTTTAAGAATGTGGATATTTGGGTCATCTTTGGCGCCCCCTAGAACGTAAACCGTGGGGTGCAGCGTCATGATTTTTACAACTTTGAATGACCATGGGGTGTAGATTGGCCTGAGCAAATTTGGTGTCAGTGGGACGAAAGCCTTAGGAGGAGATAGCCACATTCCAATGTGTGCGAATCGGCAAAAAATGCAAAATAGCCCTTTAACCGTACATTTGACAGATACGCGCGCATTGACTTTTTTGTAGATCTTATTGAGATACATGTGATTGTCAAATTTTGTGTCAATATGATAAAGCGTACAGGCGTGACAGTCAATAGTGTGAATTTCCACCTTAGGGGACAAGAAAAAATTGACTTTTTTCTCCTGCCATGGGGGCGCTCTTTTGGGGAGTAAAAATTCCTTCACAAATGTGTTGATGGCTGGACATTGCATCATCCTAGAAAACTTGGAGGCCAGTGAGGACAAAAATAAAAAGTTATAAGACTTTTAAATATGTGGATTTTAGGGTTATCTTTGGCGCCCCCTAGAACCTAAACCGTGGGGTGCAGCGTCATGATTTGAATAACTTTTAATGGCCATGGGGTGTAGATTGGCCTGAGCAAATGTGGTGCCGGTGGAACGAAAGCCTTCGGAGGAGTTAGCGAAATTCCAATGTGTGCGGATCGGCAAAAAATGCGGAATAACCCTTTAACCGTACATTTGACAGATACGCGCGCATTGACTTTTTCGTAGATCTTATTGAGATACATGTGTGTGTCAATTTTTGTGTCATTTTGCCAAAGCGTACAGGTGTTACACTCAACAATGTGTATTTTCACCTTAGGGGACAAGAAAAAATGGACTTTTTTCTCCTGCCATGGGGGGGCGCTCTTTTGGGGAGTAAAAATTCCTTCACAAATGTGTTGATGGCTGGACATTGCATCATCCTAGAAAACTTGGAGGCCAGTGAGGGCAAAAATAAAAAGTTATAAGACTTTTAAATATGTGGATCTTAGGGTTATCTTTGGCGCCCCCTAGAACCTAAACCGTGGGGTGCAGCGTCATGATTTGAATAACTTTTAATGGCCATGGGGTGTAGATTGGCCTGAGCAAATGTGGTGCCGGTGGAACGAAAGCCTTCGGAGGAGTTAGCGAAATTCCAATGTGTGCGGATCGGCAAAAAATGCGAAATAACCCTTTAACCGTACATTTGACAGATACGCCCGCACTGACTTTTTTGTAGATCTTATTGAGATACATGTGTGTGTCAATTTTTGTGTCATTTTGACAAAGCGTACAGGCGTGACAGTCAATAGTGTGAATTTTCACCTTAGGGGGCGCTATGGAGCCATTTTGCATTTTCTTGTTTGGGCGACTTCGGAATATCAAATTTTTCACCAGGCCCGGTCGTCCTGCCAAATTTCATGAGTTTTCGCCAGTGGGAAGTGGGCCATTTTCCAGTTCAAAGGGGAGGAAAAATAATAATAACAAAAGAAGGAAACTACAGGAACAAGAGGGCTCTCGCAGCTGCTTAGCAGCTACGCTCGGGCCCTAATAACAAAAGAAGGAAACATGCAGGAACAAGAGGGCTCTCGCAGCTGCTTAGCAGCTACGCTCGGGCCCTAAGAATCCATCAGGAATAATAGGGCTCTCGCAGCTGCTTAGCAGCTACGCTCGGGCCCTAAAAATATTCCCTATGTGGTGACTGAAATCCGTCAGTGATCCAAGTTTAAGACCTTCTAGCAGCGGCTTTCGGAAAATGCTTCAGAAATGCAATCCTACTACTACTACAACTACTACTACTAACTAGGACCCCGTTGGGGCACTGGCGGGCCCGAGCCGTGTCGTGTCCCCCCCCCCAACGTGCTGCCTCCCCGTCCCATTTGTGTCCTCTGGCCATCGCCCTCTCTGGTAACGCCCATCACTGCAAAGACCCTTTTCCTTCATCGGCGTTTGCTGTTCTTCCTGCCAGTGCGTGTTGCTTTCACTTACACTTGCCACAGCCAGCCTCGTGAGTGCCTAGCCTATTGGATATCACTGTCACCTACACAGGACAGTCATTACCTTTCTATTAATACTTTGTGTTTTAATTTCACATTAATTTCCATATTGTATAAACGACTGGAAAAAACTTGAGCCCCTGCCCCTGTATAATCATGTGCATGTCTCTGTTCTAGCTCCAAGGTGAATCTTCACTGCTCATGTTCTCCTCAGAAGCACTCACCTCACTCCCCTCAGGTTACTGTACACATGCACCAACTGCCTGCTTCAGGTTTGGATGGAGCTTCATGGTTGTCTTTTGGAGAAATGACCAGTCAAGTTGTGTTTGAAATTTGATTTTTTTCAGGGGCAAAAGGAGCCTCTGCATTCTTGTCAAATATGTAAATAGCATATTTGGAGGTGCTAAAAAACAGACTCTGAGTGTGTGTGTGTGTGTGCGTGTGTGTGTGTCTGTGTGTGCGTTCAAGTCACATGACATATTTAACCGGATGTAGCTGCAAGACGGAGCCTCGTTGACTCTCCGTTTCAACTTATCTCAAAAGTGAGGACCTCAACCTATATACCAGTTTTTAAATTGTGTTGATAGGCCAAATAAAACCAGAGTTATGATAAATTATGTCCGCGATACTTTTTTTCTGCTTATTTTGATCACGTTCGGCGCTCGATCGCGCTGTATGAGACAGGAAAACATAGCATGCAGACATTAGCGACAGGTCTTACAGGCGGAAAAGGCTTGCCAAAAGAAAAAAAAAACACACCACAACATCTCTTCTATTGGTGGAAAACTTCACCACAACAACCAATCCAAAATTATATGGTGACTGATTGACAAGGGGCGGGCGCTTACGTTCTTCCTGCAACATGAGAAGGGAGGGAGGGACTCTCAGCAGGGATGCAGTCTGGGACACGTAGTTGCAAACCTAGCGACTTTGTTGTTAGATTCAATGACTTTTCAGACCCCCTAACGACTTTTTTTTAGAAAGAAAGGGACTTTTATCGACTTCTTCTGGAGTTTAGAGACTCTGACATGAAGCAGGCTTTCCTTACTGAGGAGTTAGCAACGCTGCTAAGGGTGCAGAGCCACACATGCGCTCAGAGCTCTGCATGGGAGACTGAAGCTGACAGAGCTGCAGCAGTTAGCAGGTTTCACCCTCAGAGACCACCAGGGGTTCATGTTGATGCATTTTAAATTATTTTTTTTTTTTTGTGCCATAGACACTGTCAGCACAATCTGCAGTTACACTAACAAAAATGCTGCAAAAAACAAAGAATTATGGAAAAATTACACATGGACTGACATAGAGGAGGATCTACACAAGTTTTTTACATCATGTTTTACATCATGCATCATTTACATCATGTTTTTTTGTAGTGGCATAAATAAAAAGTGACATTTGTGAGACTATACAGTGTTTTGTAAATAATTTTACAAAGAACACCTGGGCCATTGCCTGCATTTTGATGTAAATAGAGGTAAATTACTATGTTCTTTGTTAAAAATTTGCATATGTTTTGAAGTTTACAATTTTTATTTGAAGTTTAAGTTTTAAAAACAGTTCATCACACATATTTGTGGTTTTCACAGTAAAAATGTTACTTTTTTCCACTCGGATTTTATGTTTTGTGTGTGAATTTGGGTCCATTGTGTAAATTCAGTATGTCAACATGATAAAATAACTGTAAATTCGCACAGGTGAGGTTGTGCTGAAAAAAAATGATACCAGGCAAGGCACGTGATTGTCAAATTTTGTGTCAATATGACAAAGCGTATAGGCGTGAATCTCAACAATATGTATTTTCACCTTAGGGGACAAGAAAAAATGGACTTTTTTCTCCTGCCATGGGGGGCGCTCTTTTGGGGAGTAAAAATTCCTTCACAAATGTGTTGATGGCTGGACATTGCATCATCCTAGAAAACTTGGAGGCCAGTGAGGACAAAAATAAAAAGTTATAAGACTTTTAAATATGTGGATTTTAGGGTTGTCTTTGGCGCCCCCTAGAACCTAAACCGTGGGGTGCAGCGTCATGATTTGAATAACTTTTAATGGCCATGGGGTGTAGATTGGCCTGAGCAAATGTGGTGCCGGTGGACAGAAAGCCTTCGGAGGAGTTAGCGAAATTCCAATGTGTGCGGATCGGCAAAAAATGCGGAATAACCCTTTAACCGTACATTTGACAGATACGCGCGCGTTGACTTTTTCGTAGATCTTATTGAGTTACATGTGTGTGTCAATTTTTGTGTCATTTTGACAAAGCGTAAAGGCGTGACAGTCAACAATGTGTATTTTCACCTTAGGGGACAAGAAAAAATGGACTTTTTCTCCTGCCATGGGGGGCGCTCTTTTGGGGAGTAAAAATTCCTTCACAAATGTGTTGATGGCTGGACATTGCATCATCCTAGAAAACTTGGAGGCCAGTGAGGACAAAAATAAAAAGTTATAAGACTTTTAAATATGTGGATTTTAGTGTTATCTTTGGCGCCCCCTAGAACCTAAACCTTGGGGTGCAGCGTCATGATTTTGATAACTTTTAATGGCCACGGGGTGTAGATTGGCCTGAGCAAATGTGGTGCCGGTGGAACGAAAGCCTTCGGAGGAGTTAGCGAAATTCCAATGTGTGCGGATCGGAAAAAAATGCAAAATAACCCTTTAACCGTACATTTGACAGATACGGCCGCACTGACTTTTTTGTAGATCTTATTGAGATACATATGTGTGTCAATTTTTGTGTCAATATGACAAAGCGTACAGGCGTGACAGTCAATAGTGTGAATTTCCACCTTAGGGGGCGCTATGGAGCCATTTTGCATTTTATTGTTTGGGCGACTTCAGAATATCGAATTTTTCACCAGGCCCGGTCGTCCTGCCAAATTTCCTGAGTTTTCGCCAGTGGGAAGTGGGCCATTTTCCAGTTCAAAGGGGAGGAAAAAGAAGAAAGAAAGAAAGAACTAGGGCCCCGTTGGGGCACTGGCGGGCCCGAGCCGCGTTGCGCCGCCCCCAGCGTGACCACCTCCCCCTCCCGATCGCGTCACACTCAAGGTCCAAAGATGGTGTGCGCACTTGTCTGTGGTCATTTCCCATTATAATGAATGGGAGGCGCAGTTTCTACCAAAACACTCGCTGCAGACAAACTACATGTCCTATTTGAAAAAAGTCTGGACCATGAGTGAGGGCACAAACACAGCTAGGATATATCCAAACGGCAAGTTGCTCCTCGTTACGGTGTTGCCGGGAGTGCGATGCGATTGAGCCATTGAGTGATGGGCAGGAAAAACTTGACTGTTTCTCCTGCCATGGGGGATGGGGGATGGGGGATGGGGGGGGGGGGGGATGTGGATTCTTTTAAGAATGTGGATATTTGGTCATCTTTGGCGCCCCCTAGAACGTAAACCGTGGGGTGCAGCGTCATGATTTTTAAAATTTGAATGGCCATGGGGTGTAGATTGGCCTGAGCAAATTTGGTGTCAGTGGGACGAAAGCCTTAGGAGGAGTTAGCCACATTCCAATGTGTGCTAATCGGCAAAAAATGCAAAAAAGCCCTTTAACCGTACATTTTACAGATACGCGCGCATTGACTTTTTCGTAGATCTTATTGAGATACATGTGTGTGTCAAATTTTGTGTCAATATGACAAAGCATACAGGTATGACAGTCAACAATGTGTATTTTCACCTTATGGGACAAGAAAAAATGGACTTTTTTCTCCTGCCATGGGGGGGCGCTCTTTTGGGGAGTAAAAATTCCTTCACAAATGTGTTGATGGCTGGACATTGCATCATCCTAGAAAACTTGGAGGCCAGTGAGGACAAAAATAAAAAGTTATAAGACTTTTAAATATGTGGATTTTAGGGTTGTCTTTGGCGCCCCCTAGAACCTAAACCGTGGGGTGCAGCGTCATGATTTGAATAACTTTTAATGGCCATGGGGTGTAGATTGGCCTGAGCAAATGTGGTGCCGGTGGAACGAAAGCCTTCGGAGGAGTTAGCGAAATTCCAATGTGTGCGGATCGGCAAAAAATGCGAAATAACCCTTTAACCGTACATTTGACAGATACGCACGCATTGACTTTTTCGTAGATCTTATTGAGTTACATGTGTGTGTCAATTTTTGTGTCATTTTGACAAAGCGTATAGGCGTGACACTCAACAATGTGTATTTTCACCTTAGGGGACAAGAAAAAATGGACTTTTTTCTCCTGCCATGGGGGGGCGCTCTTTTGGGAAGTAAAAATTCCTTCACAAATGTGTTGATGGCTGGACATTGCATCATCCTAGAAAACTTGGAGGCCAGTGAGGGCAAAAATAAAAAGTTATAAGACTTTTAAATATGTGGATCTTAGGGTTATCTTTGGCGCCCCCTAGAACCTAAACCATGGGGTGCAGCGTCATGATTTGAATAACTTTTAATGGCCATGGGGTGTAGATTGGCCTGAGCAAATGTGGTGCCGGTGGAACGAAAGCCTTCGGAGGAGTTAGCGAAATTCCAATGTGTGCGGATCGGCAAAAAATGCGAAATAACCCTTTAACCGTACATTTGACAGATACGCCCGCACTGACTTTTTTGTAGATCTTATTGAGATACATGTGTGTGTCAATTTTTGTGTCATTTTGACAAAGCGTACCGGCGTGACAGTGAATAGTGTGAATTTTCACCTTAGGGGGCGCTATGGAGCCATTTTGCATTTTCTTGTTTGGGCGACTTCGGAATATCAAATTTTTCACCAGGCCCGGTCGTCCTGCCAAATTTCATGAGTTTTCGCCAGTGGGAAGTGGGCCATTTTCCAGTTCAAAGGGGAGGAAAAATAATAATAACACTAGGACCCCGTTGGGGCACTGGCGGGCCCGAGCTGTGTTGCGTCCCCCCCCCAACGCGCTGCCTCCCCGTCCCATTTGTGTCCTCTGGCCATCGCCCTCTCTGGTAACGCCCATCACTGCAAAGACCCTTTTCCTTCATCGGCGTTTGCTGTTCTTCCTGCCAGTGCGTGTTGCTTTCACTTACACTTGCCACAGCCAGCCTCGTGAGTGCCTAGCCTATTGGATATCACTGTCACCTACACAGGACAGTCATTACCTTTCTATTAATACTTTGTGTTTTAATTTCACATTAATTTCCATATTGTATAAACGACTGGAAAAAACTTGAGCCCCTGCCCCTGTATAATCATGTGCATGTCTCTGTTCTAGCTCCAAGGTGAATCTTCACTGCTCATGTTCTCCTCAGAAGCACTCACCTCACTCCCCTCAGGTTACTGTACACATGCACCAACTGCCTGCTTCAGGTTTGGATGGAGCTTCATGGTTGTCTTTTGGAGAAATGAGCAGTCAAGTTGTGTTTGAAATTTGATTTTTTTCAGGGGCAAAAGGAGCCTCTGCATTCTTGTCAAATATGTAAATAGCATGTTTTTGCAGGTGCTAAAAACCAGACTCTGAGTGTGTGTGTGTGTGTGTGTGTGTGTGTGCGTGTGTGTGTGTCTGTGTGTGCGTTCAAGTCACATGACATATTTAACCGGATGTAGCTGCAAGACGGAGCCTCGTTGACTCTCCGTTTCAACTTATCTCAAAAGTGAGGACCTCAACCTATATACCAGTTTTTAAATTGTGTTGATAGGCCAAATAAAACCAGAGTTATGATAAATTATGTCCGCGATACTTTTTTTCTGCTTATTTTGATCACGTTCGGCGCTCGATCGCGCTGTATGAGACAGGAAAACATAGCATGCAGACATTAGCGACAGGTCTTACAGGCGGAAAAGGCTTGCCAAAAGAAAAAAAAAACACACCACAACATCTCTCCTATTGGTGGAAAACTTCACCACAACAACCAATCCAAAATTATATGGTGACTGATTGACAAGGGGCGGGCGCTTACGTTCTTCCTGCAACATGAGAAGCGAGGGAGGGACTCTCAGCAGGGATGCAGTCTGGGACACGTAGTTGCAAACCTAGCGACTTTGTTGTTAGATTCAATGACTTTTCAGACCCCCTAACGACTTTTTTTAGAAAGAAAGGGACTTTTATCGACTTCTTCTGGAGTTTAGAGACTCTGACATGAAGCAGGCTTTCCTTACTGAGGAGTTAGCAACGCTGCTAAGGGTGCAGAGCCACACATGCGCTCAGAGCTCTGCATGGGAGACTGAAGCTGACAGAGCTGCAGCAGTTAGCAGGTTTCACCCTCAGAGACCACCAGGGGTTCATGTTGAGGCATTTTATTTTTTTTTTTTTTGTGCCATAGACACTGTCAGCACAATCTGCAGTTACACTAACAAAAATGCTGCAAAAAACAAAGAATTATGGAAAAATTACACATGGACTGACATAGAGGAGGATCTACACAAGTTTTTTACATCATGTTTTACATCATGCATCATTTACATCATGTTTTTTTGTAGTGGCATAAATAAAAAGTGACATTTGTGAGACTATACAGTGTTTTGTAAATAATTTTACAAAGAACGCCTGGGCCATTGCCTGCATTTTGATGTAAATAGAGGTAAATCACTATGTTCTTTGTTAAAAATTTGCATATGTTTTGAAGTTTACAATTTTTATTTGAAGTTTAAGTTTTAAAAACAGTTCATCACACATATTTGTGGTTTTCACAGTAAAAATGTTACTTTTTTCCACTCGGATTTTATGTTTTGTGTGTGAATTTGGGTCCATTGTGTAAATTCAGTATGTCAACATGATAAAATAACTGTAAATTCGCACAGGTGAGGTTGTGCTGAAAAAAATGATACCAGGCAAGGCACGTGATTGTCAAATTTTGTGTCAATATGACAAAGCGTATAGGCGTGAATCTCAACAATATGTATTTTCACCTTACGGGACAAGAAAAAATGGACTTTTTTCTCCTGCCATGGGGGGGCGCTCTTTTGGGGAGTAAAATTTCCTTCACAAATGTGTTGATGGCTGGACATTGCATCATCCTAGAAAACTTGGAGGCCAGTGAGGACAAAAATAAAAAGTTATAAGACTTTTAAATATGTGGATTTTAGGGTTATCTTTGGCGCCCCCTAGAACCTAAACCGTGGGGTGCAGCGTCATGATTTGAATAACTTTTAATGGCCATGGGGTGTAGATTGGCCTGAGCAAATGTGGTGCCGGTGGAACGAAAGCCTTAGGAGGAGTTAGCCACATTCCAATGTGTGCGGATCGGCAAAAAATGCGGAATAACCCTTTAACCGTACATTTGACAGATACGCGCGCATTGACTTTTTCGTAGATCTTATTGAGATACATGTGTGTGTCAATTTTTGTGTCATTTTGACAAAGCGTACAGGCGTGACAGTCAATAGTGTGAATTTTCACCTTAGGGGACAAGAAAAAATGGACTTTTTTCTCCTGCCATGGGGGGCGCTCTTTTGGGGAGTAAAAATTCCTTCACAAATGTGTTGATGGCTGGACATTGCATCATCCTAGAAAACTTGGAGGCCAGTGAGGGCAAAAATAAAAAGTTATAAGACTTTTAAATATGTGGATTTTAGGGTTATCTTTGGCGCCCCCTAGAACCTAAACCTTGGGGTGCAGCGTCATGATTTTGATAACTTTTAATGGCCACGGGGTGTAGATTGGCCTGAGCAAATGTGGTGCCGGTGGAACGAAAGCCTTCGGAGGAGTTAGCGAAATTCCAATGTGTGCGGATCGGCAAAAAATGCGAAATAACCCTTTAACCGTAATTTTGACAGATACGGCCGCACCGACTTTTTTGTAGTTCTTATTAAGATACATATGTGTGTCAATTTTTGTGTCAATATGACAAAGCGTACAGGCGTGACAGTCAATAGTGTGAATTTCCACCTTAGGGGGCGCTATGGAGCCATTTTGCATTTTATTGTTTGGGCGACTTCAGAATATCGAATTTTTCACCAGGCCCGGTCGTCCTGCCAAATTTCATGAGTTTTTGCCAGTGGGAAGTGGGCCATTTTCCAGTTCAAAGGGGAGGAAAAAGAAAAAAGAAAGAAAGAAACAAAGAACTAGGGCCCCGTTGGGGCACTGGCGGGCCCGAGCCGTGTCACGCCGCCCCCAGCGCGACCGCCTCCCCCACCCGATCGCGTCACACTCAAGGTCCAAAGATGGTGTGCGCACTTGTTTGTGGTCATTTACCATTATAATGAACGGGAGGCACAGTTTCTACCAAAACGCTCGCTGCAGAAAAACTCCATGTCCTATTTGAAAAAAGTCTGGACCATGAGTGAGGGCACAAACACAGCTAAGATATATCCAAATGGCAAGTTGCTCCTCCTTTCGGTTTTGCCGAGAGAGCAGTGCGTTTGAGCCATTGAATGATGAACAGGAAAAACTTGACTTTATTCTCCTGCCATGGGGGGCGCTCTTTTAAAGAGAAAAAACTCCTTCACAAATGTGTTGATGGCTGGACATTGCATCATCCTAGAAAACATGGAGGCCAGTGAGGACAAAAATAAAAAGTTATAAGACTTTTAAATATGTGGATTTTAGGGTTATATTTGGCGCCCCCTAGAACCTAAACCGTGGGGTGCAGCGTCATGATTTGAATAACTTTTAATGGCCATGGGGTGTAGATTGGCCTGAGCAAATGTGGTGCCGGTGGAACGAAAGCCTTCGGAGGAATAAGCGAAATTCCAATGTGTGCGAATCTGCAAAAAATGCGAAATAACCCTTTAACCGTACATTTTACAGATACGTGGCCATTGACTTTTTCGAAGATCTTATTGAAATACACGTGTATGTAAAATTTTGTGTCAATACGACAAAACATACAGGCGTAGCACTCAACAATGTGTATTTTCACCTTAGTGGACAAGAAAAAATGGACTTTTTTCTCCTGCCATGGGGGGCGCTCTTTTGCCGAGTAAAAATTCCTTCACAAATGTGTTGATGGCTGGACATTGCATCATCCTAGAAAACTTGGAGGCCAGTGGGGACAAAAATAAAAAGTTATAAGACTTTTAAATATGTGGATTTTACGGTTATCTTTGGCTCCCCCTAGAACCTAAACCGTGGGGTGCAGCGTCATGATTTGAATAACTTTTAATGGCCATGGGGTGTAGATTGGCCTGAGCAAATGTGGTGCCGGTGGAACGAAAGCCTTCGGAGGAGTTAGCGAAATTCCAATGTGTGCGGATCGGCAAAAAATGCGGAATAACCCTTTAACCGTACATTTGACAGATACGCACGCATTGACTTTTTCGTAGATCTTATTGAGATACATGTGTGTGTCAATTTTTGTGTCATTTTGCCAAAGCGTACAGGTGTTACACTCAACAATGTGTATTTTCACCTTAGGGGACAAGAAAAAATGGACTTTTTTCTCCTGCCATGGGGGGGCGCTCTTTTGGGGAGTAAAAATTCCTTCACAAATGTGTTGATGGCTGGACATTGCATCATCCTAGAAAACTTGGAGGCCAGTGAGGGCAAAAATAAAAAGTTATAAGACTTTTAAATATGTGGATCTTAGGGTTATCTTTGGCGCCCCCTAGAACTTAAACCGTGGGGTGCAGCGTCATGATTTGAATAACTTTTAATGGCCATGGGGTGTAGATTGGCCTGAGCAAATGTGGTGCCGGTGGAACGAAAGCCTTCGGAGGAGTTAGCGAAATTCCAATGTGTGCGGATCGGCAAAAAATGCGAAATAACCCTTTAACCGTACATTTGACAGATACGCCCGCACTGACTTTTTTGTAGATCTTATTGAGATACATGTGTGTGTCAATTTTTGTGTCATTTTGACAAAGCGTACAGGCGTGACAGTGAATAGTGTGAATTTTCACCTTAGGGGGCGCTATGGAGCCATTTTGCATTTTCTTGTTTGGGCGACTTCGGAATATCAAATTTTTCACCAGGCCTGGTCGTCCTGCCAAATTTCATGAGTTTTCGCCAGTGGGAAGTGGGCCATTTTCCAGTTCAAAGGGGAGGAAAAATAATAATAACTAGGGCCCCGTTGGGGCACTGGCGGGCCCGAGCCGCGTTGCGCCGCCCCCAGTGCGACCGCCTCCCCCTCCCGATCGCGTCACACTCAAGGTCCAAAGATGGTGTGCGCACTTGTCTGTGGTCATTTCCCATTATAATGAATGGGAGGCGCAGTTTCTACCAAAACACTCGCTGCAGACAAACTACATGTCCTATTTGAAAAAAGTCTGGACCATGAGTGAGGGCACAAACACAGCTAGGATATATCCAAACGGCAAGTTGCTCCTCGTTACGGTGTTGCTGGGAGAGCGATGCGATTGAGCCATTGAGTGATGGGCAGGAAAAACTTGACTGTTTCTCCTGCCATGGGGGATGGGGGATGGGAGGGGGGAAAGGGATGTGGATTCTTTTAAGAATGTGGATATTTGGGTCATCTTTGGCGCCCCCTAGAACGTAAACCGTGGGGTGCAGCGTCATGATTTTTAAAACTTTGAATGGCCATGGGGTGTAGATTGGCCTGAGCAAATTTGGTGTCAGTGGGACGAAAGCCTTAGGAGGAGTTAGCCACATTCCAATGTGTGCTAATCAGCAAAAAATGCAAAATAGCCCTTTAACCGTACATTTTACAGATACGGCCGCATTGACTTTTTCGTAGATCTTATTGAGATACATGTGTGTGTCAATTTTTGTGTCAATATGACAAAGCATACAGGTATGACAGTCAACAATGTGTATTTTCACCTTATGGGACAAGAAAAAATGGACTTTTTTCTCCTGCCATGGGGGGGCGCTCTTTTAGGGAGTAAAAATTCCTTCACAAATGTGTTGATGGCTGGACATTGCATCATCCTAGAAAACTTGGAGGCCAGAGAGGACAAAAATAAAAAGTTATAAGACTTTTAAATATGTGGATTTTAGGGTTATCTTTGGCGCCCCCTAGAACCTAAACCGTGGGGTGCAGCGTCATGATTTGAATAACTTTTAATGGCCATGGGGTGTAGATTGGCCTGAGCAAATGTGGTGCCGGTGGAACGAAAGCCTTCGGAGGAGTTAGCGAAATTCCAATGTGTGCGGATCGGCAAAAAATGCGCAATAACCCTTTAACCGTACATTTGACAGATACGCCCGCACTGACTTTTTTGTAGATCTTATTGAGATACATGTGTGTGTCAATTTTTGTGTAATTTTGACAAAGCGTACAGGCGTGACAGTCAATAGTGTGAATTTTCACCTTATGGAACAAGAAAAAATGGACTTTTTTCTCCTGCCATGGGGGGGCGCTCTTTTGGGGAGTAAAAATTCCTTCACAAATGTGTTGATGGCTGGACATTGCATCATCCTAGAAAACTTGGAGGCCAGAGAGGACAAAAATAAAAAGTTATAAGACTTTTAAATATGTGGATTTTAGGGTTATCTTTGGCGCCCCCTAGAACCTAAACCGTGGGGTGCAGCGTCATGATTTGAATAACTTTTAATGGCCATGGGGTGTAGATTGGCCTGAGCAAATTTGGTGCCGGTGGAACGAAAGCCTTCGGAGGAGTTAGCGAAATTCCAATGTGTGCGGATCGGCAAAAAATGCGCAATAACCCTTTAACCGTACATTTGACAGATACGCCCGCACTGACTTTTTTGTAGATCTTATTGAGATACATGTGTGTGTCAATTTTTGTGTCATTTTGACAAAGCGTACAGGCGTCAGGTGAATTTTTCACCTTAGGGGGCGCTATGGAGCCATTTTGCATTGTATTGTTTGGGCGACTTCAGAATATCAAATTTTTCACCAGGCCCGGTCGTCCTGCCAAATTTCATGAGTTTTCGCCAGTGGGAAGTGGGCCATTTTCCAGTTCAAAGGGGAGGAAAAATAATAATAACAAACTAGGGCCCCGGTGGGGCACTGTCGGGCCCGAGCCGCGTCGCGCCGCCCCCAGCGCGACCGCCTCCCCCTCCCGATCGCGTCACACTCAAGGTCCAAAGATGGTGTGCGCACTTGTCTGTGGTCATTTCCCATTATAATGAATGGGAGGCGCAGTTTCTACCAAAACGCTCGCTGCAGACAAACTACATGTCCTATTTGAAAAAAGTCTGGACCATGAGTGAGGGCACAAACACAGCTAGTATATATCCAAATGGCAAGTTGCTCCTCCTTTCGGTTTTGCAGAGAGAGCGATGCGTTTGAGCCATTGAGCGATGGGCAGGAAAAACTTGACTTTTTCTCCTGCCATGGGGGGGGCGCTCTTTTGGGGAGAAAAAATTCCTTCACAAATGTGTTGATGGCTGGACATTGCATCATCCTAGAAAACTTGGAGGCCAGTGAGGACAAAAATAAAAAGTTATAAGACTTTTAAAAATGTGGATATTTGGGTCCTCTTTGGCGCCCCCTAGAACGTAAACTGTGGGGTGCAGCGTCATGATTTGTACAACTTTGAATGGCCATGGGGTGTAGATTGACCTGAGCAAATTTGAAGCCGATGGGACAAAAGATTTAGGAGGAGTTAGCGAAATTCCAATGTGTGCGGATCGGCAAAAAATGCGAAATAACCCTTTAACCGTACATTTGACAGATACGCCCGCACTGACTTTTTTGTAGATCTTATTGAGATACATGTGTGTGTCAAATTTTGTGTCATTTTGACAAAGCGTAAAGGCGTGACAGTCAACAATGTGTATTTTCGCCTTAGGAGACAAGAAAAAATGGACTTTTTTCTCCTGCCATGGGGGGGCGCTCTTTTGGCGAGTAAAAATTCCTTTACAAATGTGTTGATGGCTGGACATTGCATCATCCTAGAGAACTTGGAGGCCAGTGAGGACAAAAATAAAAAGTTATAAGACTTTTAAGAATGTGGATTTTTGGGTTATCTTTGGCGCCCCCTAGAACGTAAACCGTGGGGTGCAGCGTCATGATTTGTACAACTTTTAATGGCCATGGGGTGTAGATTGGCCTCAGCAAATGTGGTGCCTTTGGAACGAAAGCCTTCGGAGGAGTTAGCGAAATTCCAATGTGTGCGGATCGGCAAAAAATGCGAAATAGCCCTTTCACCGTACATTTGACAGATACGCCCGCACTGACTTTTTTGTAGATCTTATTGAGATACATGTGTGTGTCAATTTTTGTGTCAATATGACAAAGCGTAAAGGCGTGACAGTCAATAGTGTGAATTTTCGCCTTAGGAGACAAGAAAAAATGGACTTTTTTCTCCTGCCATGGGGGGGGCGCTCTTTTGGCGAGTAAAAATTCCTTTACAAATGTGTTGATGGCTGGACATTGCATCATCCTAGAGAACTTGGAGGCCAGTGAGGACAAAAATAAAAAGTTATAAGACTTTTAAGAATGTGGATTTTTGGGTTATCTTTGGCGCCCCCTAGAACCTAAACCGTGGGGTGCAGCGTCATGATTTGTACAACTTTTAATGGCCATGGGGTGTAGATTGGCCTGAGCAAATTTGGTGCCGGTGGAACGAAAGCCTTCGGAGGAGTTAGCGAAATTCCAATGTGTGCGGATCCGCAAAAAATGCGAAATAGCCCTTTAACCGTACATTTGACAGATACGCGTTCTTTAACTTTTTCGTAGATCTTATTGAGATACACGTGTGTGTCAAATTTTGTGTCAATATGACAAAGCGTTCAGGCATGACACTCAACAATGTGTATTTTCACCTTAGGGGACAAGAAAAAATTGACTTTTTTCTCCTGCCATGGGGGGCGCTCTTTTGGGGAGTAAAAATTTCTTCACAAATGTGTTGATGGCTGGACATTGCATCATCCTAGAAAACTTGGAGGCCAGTGAGGACAAAAATAAAAAGTTATAAGACTTTTAAGACTGTGGATTTTTGGGTTATCTTTGGCGCCCCCTAGAATGTAAACCGTGGGGTGCAGCGTCATGATTTGTACAACTTTTAATGGCCATGGGGTGTAGATTGTCCTGAGCAAATTTGTTGCCGGTGGAACGAAAGCCTTCGGAGGAGTTAGCGAAATTCCAATGTGTGCGGATCGGCAAAAAATGCGAAATAGCCCTTTAACCGTACATTTGACAGATACGCCCGCACTGACTTTTTTGTAGATCTTATTGAGATACACATGTGTGTCAAATTTTGTGTCATTTTGACAAAGCGTACAGGCGTCAGGTGAGTTTTCACCATAGGGGGCGCTATGGAGCCATTTTTCATTTTTTTGTTTGGGCGACTTCAGAATATCGAATTTTTCACCAGGCCCGGTCGTCCTGCCAAATTTCCTGAGTTTTCGCCAGTGGGAAGTGGGCCATTTTCCAGTTTAAAGCGGAGGAAAAATAACGAAAGAAGAATCCATCAGGAACAAGAGGGCTCTCGCAGCTGCTTAGCAGCTACGCTCGGGCCCTAAAGAAGGAAACATGCAGGAACAAGAGGGCTCTCGCAGCTGCTTAGCAGCTACGCTCGGGCCCTAATAATAATAACAAAAGAAGGAAACTACAGGAACAAGAGGGCTCTCGCAGCTGCTTAGCAGCTACGCTCGGGCCCTAAAAAGAAGGAAACTACAGGAACAAGAGGGCTCTCGCAGCTGCTTAGCAGCTACGCTCGGGCCCTAAAGAAACAAAGAAAAACCCCTTGGGGAATAATAGGGCTCTCGCAGCTGCTTAGCAGCTACGCTCGGGCCCTAATAATAATTAAAATAATAGGGCAGAGTGGGGTAAGTTGAGCCAAAGTATAGGTTGAGCCACCCCTGTTACTTGGAAATGGTAAAAGAAATTGATCATGTGACCAAATATTTAGGAGATGGGCATCAATTCATGGAGTCTGTGAAGGTTAGAAGCACATGGGTGAAGGGGTTAGACATGAATTTAGTCAGACCAAAAAAGATTCATTTTAAATTTGTTTCATACATCAATTGTGGTATCTATGAGCTACAACATGAGGTCAAAAACCTAACATAAAAGTCCACCATTTTAGCCAAGAGGACTAATAAACTCATCATAGTAGTTCTGGGGTATGTTAAGCCAGTTGCTGAACAGAGAAAGTAAAGAAGTCTGATGAGAGGATCAGAGTTTCAGTTCAGATTGTTGAATTGTGTTACTTTTTCTTGTCAAAAATACAGCTGTGAATGTTCTGAATCACTTAAAGACATTCTCATGTTGAAATGGCTTTTAACAAAACAGCTTTTTAGCAGTTATATGCAATAATAATAAAAAAACTATTGTACCAGTTAAATAGTGTATAATAGATAAAAATACACATGAATGTGAAGAAGTGACTGTTATTTAGGGAGAGAGAAGGTGAGGGAGGGCTGTGGTGGAGAGTGGGGGGTAGTAGGGATATGACTCAACTTACTCTGTTGGTTTGTAGCGATGCACAACATCTTGAAATATATGCAGATACACTAGTTAGGGACCAAACTATGATTGACTTGATGTAGTGATCTGAAATATGAAAAATGGCTCATCTTACCCCACTCTCCCCTAATGGTTACAAAGTCACTTTTTGAGAAGGTAGGCTGGCAACAAAAGTGGCCAAGGACTGTCAAAGCCTTTGTTAGTGAAATAGAAGGGAAAAAAATGAATCAATAAGAGCTGAAGAGCAAGAATTTCAGCTAATTTAGGTCAAACGTGCAAAAAAGAGTGGTAGTATTAGAAGAAACAATGAGTGTACTCTTTAACACTGAGTTTATTGTTACAGGGCACTGTGAACAATACGACCTGAAGCTAAAGAAAGCAGGACTGCGTTTTTCTTTATCCAGGGAGCCTCATATCAAACATGAAGGGTAAGTGTTTTGACAATTTGTCCACTTTCCATCAGAGAAGCATCACTCTAATAGGAGCCTTTGTTTTTACAGGACCGATCTTTCTGGTTCTGGTGCTTGCTGCCAAACTTGCTTACTGCTCTTCAGTCACAGCAGGTCAAAGTCTTTTCTTATTTATCCAGCTTTCTGGATTATGGAAAAGTTTATGTGTGATCCTCTGTTTTACTATGTACTTGATGTTTCAGACGGAAATAGCTCCCTGCACCTGTTTTTCTGTGAGCCTAAAGGATGTGCAGCAAATGTAACATCGGTATATTGTGGGAATATAGAGCTCCTGAATGGGACTAACATCCCAGACTGCTCAGGCCATCCACCATTACTAAATACAGTCTGCCAACGTGATGGACGAGCATTTGTTCAAACTGAAGCAGGCATCAAGTGTGACTTTGAGGCAAAGGGACATTTCATTAAGACAGTAAAATGTGAAGGTATTTCATTTTTCTTTTTAATTCATCTCTACTTCCTTTTTATTTCTCATGTTCTTTTGCTCTCTTCTCTATCTTTGACTTCCTAAAGTCTTACATATTTATTTCCTTAATTTAACCTTCTTAAAGAGACATAGCAATAAAAAAGGTATTTTGTATCAGATGTCTAACAACTAATACCATTCGCTTACAAAGCAACAATTTATTGAGCTCTTTAAGACTTTTGAACACCAGGGACCACCACAGAGTGTTGGTTTTAGTTTACATGCTTTTAAATGGTTCCAGCTATTCTTTCTGTGTTTTTAACTATAACCAAGTGTCCATTTAAGATCCAGTGGCTTTTTCATGGTAATATTGCTCCTCTTTTATGATATAACCATCCCCATCTAAATGCAGATGATGAAGTTTTCTATTGTATTGCAGACTCTGATTAAGCTGTTGACAGTGTTCTCTGAATGTTTTACTCTGGATGATTTTAAAATTGGTCTTAAACACTCATAAAAGTAGATTTATGTTGCTTTTTAGAGTAAGGGACATTGGTTTCTAAAACTTTGTATTTCTGCAATGCAAGGAAACATTATTGAGAGACTTAAAGAGTATAGCTATCTTAACATATGGATAGATAAGAAACTCTCATCTAAATATAACATTGACAATTTAACCAACAGGTTAAGTTTTTTTTTTTTTATGTCGATACAAAACCAACTTTCCAATGGCAGGTAAACTGCTAATTTACATCACATCTCTAGTTTGGTTATCTGGACTGTATCTGACACTGTACAATGACTATATTTTACTAAAAGTTTCCTGTGTTTGCACTGAGCTTTGGAGCAGCTTTTAGATTTTGGTTACCATTCATCTGAAATTCTCTGCAAAGCACTTAAAAATGGAGGCTTTAGTACCTCTCTGTGTTTTCAAAATTTTGATCAAAAACAGGCTGGCGCTATTTGTTCTTTTCTCAGCTGTTTTTTCCCTTGATATAGTGTATTTTCTGACCTGTTTTTCATTGCTTTTGTATACTGCCTAACATCATTTTAAATGAGGGTCAGTCTAACAATAACACCTCTTTGATTTTTCTAACCAGATAGCAACACCGCCTGCACATTTGATCCAGGTAAGCTTACCTGTAGATATATGAATTACATCATACTGCTTATTGTTTTGGCTGATCTTTGACTCAAGTGTTTTTTATCTCCGCTGACCCTCACATCATCAGAAGCCACTCTGAAGGAGGAAAAAAAGGAGGAAAAAAAGGAGGAAGAAAAGGAGGAAAAAAGGGAGGAAAAAAAGGAGGAAGAAAAGGAGGGAAAAAAGGAGGAAAATAATGCTGGACATATTGCTGGAATTTGTAGGTTATGAACATCAGAAAGTCTTTTTTTCTTTGTACTTTGCTTGCTTAAGCCTTATATTCTCTGCTTGGGGTCACTTAACAATCAACAGAAGCGGTGGTGAATCTGTCTGTCACGTAATCTGTGTCTGCTGTGATTTCTAATTTGTTAAATGAGATAAACAACTAATTATTTCTAGCTAACTACTAATCTGACTCGCTTTTACTCTCCTGTTTTCTTGCCTTTACTCAAGATTAAAACATCTGTCTCTCAAATGCTGAAAAATCAGGTGAGAACACATTTTATCGATGTGTTACATTTTATTTTGTTTTACATTTCATGTCCATTTCTTGGTTTCACAGGTGCTGGTATACTGATCCTCATAATAGCCATAATAGCCATAATAGCTTTAGTTCGATACCTCGAGTGTGGGAAGAAGACATGCAACCAAGGTAATAAAAACATCTTGTCTTTATTTACTCAGTGATGATCCTTATGTCACTTACCTTCACATCCCACTGTTACTATGAATCTGTTTCAGTGGTTTGACCATACCACTGATAGGATGCAAAACCTGAGACATACACTCAGACATCCTGAATGAAGTGATGGAATCTCTCTTCTCTTCTTCTCAGCTGCCAGCTTATGTCCAATGTCCAGGACAAGGCGATCCAGGAAGCCCCCTCCAACTGCACCCCCCTCTGAGACGCACATCCAACTCTTAGTTATACCAAACTAACTAGGACTCCTGCTCCAAACCAAAGGGACTTTTACTGGGACACATTAACTGTCATGATCAGGTTCTAGTTATCTTTATTTTGTTCCTTTGTATGTCTTATGTGTCCTGTTTGTTTTATTTTGAAGTCGCTGGCCCTGTCTCTGTTTCAGATGTGTTCCTGTCTGCCCTGCCCCTGTCTTGTCACACCTGCCTCCTGATTGTTCCTCCCACCCATTTCCCATCACCCTCATCACCTCCGCCAAGGAGGTTATGTTTTTGGTAGCGTTGGTTTGATTGTTTGTTTGTCTGTCTGTTAGCAACTTTACGGAGAAAGTTACAGATGGATTGACCTGAAATTTTCTTTTGCTGTATCTCACAGTCGCGTTTGAATGATGGTTATCCTTCAAAACTCTACAAATTAACTTAAAAAAACTAAAAACAATTGACAAAGCTGTGGCATGATTAAAAAAAACATGTAACAGGGTAGAAAAGAGGACAACAAGGTGGAAAATACCCCAACAAGGTGAAAACTAACAATAGTTTAAATGAGTGTCACTGTTTCAGTGATTAGTAAGAGAAATTTAATAATATTAAAAAAACATATTTTGCTGTTTTTGAATGTACAGAACATAATGGGAATTCTCTAATAATTGAACAGTTTTATTTTATTTTTAAATTAATTTACTTTGTTCAAATTGCAGAGCTGCCCTTAGGAGTCTGCATTTTCATGTTATGTTATTTTTCATTATGTTTAAATATTTTCAGACAATGAACAGAAACTGTGTTTGGTACATAATTTGACAATAAAAAAACAAGTGTGTGAAACTGCCTGTTGATCGCACATAGATGGATGGAGGCAAAGATAGTTAAAAGCCTTAATATTGAATATATTATTATATATTCAATATAATTATGAAGGTTACCTATTGTACAAATTGGTACCCTTAAAACTCCTGGCAAAAAGTGATGGCACCTCCAGGATGTGGATTTATGGGAAACGTGGAGGTATTATTTACTCCCATCCTGGCCTCCCTCCACTGGTTACCTGTGCATTTTAGAGTTCATTTTAAGATTCTTTTATTTGTTTTTAAATCTTTAAACGGTCTGGCTCCATCTTACCTTTCGGAGCTTCTCCACCCCTACACCTCTGCTCAGTGCCTCAGGTCAGCTGATCAGCTGCTCCTGGAGGTACCGAGGTCCAAACTGAGGCTCAAAGGGGATGGATCTTTTTCTGTTGCGGCCCCAAAATTATGGAACGAGCTACTCCTCCAAATCAGACAAGCCCCCACTCTGTCCATTTTTAAAACTCATCTTAAAACCCATTTTTATTCATTTGCTTTTAACCCTGCATGAGACTCGGCTCCTGTTTTAGTGTTTGATGGTTTGTTTTTAGTTATTTGTTTCTATGTTTTTAAACTAGTTTTGAAAAACTTTGAAACTATATTTTACTTTTTAATATCTGCTTTTATTTTATCCATTGTTTTAATTGTTTTCTATGTCTGCGTTTGTTTATGTACAACACTTTGTTCAGCTGTGGTTGTTTTAAAGTGCTTGACAAATAAAGTTGAGTTGAGTTGAGTTTATTTACAGTCGGTGAAAAATCAAAAACTATAAGGGTGGAACATATCAGGGATGTATGGTTAGTTATGTTTAAAAAAAGATGATTATTTTCATATACTGTATATATTTTTAGTTACAGAAATATTAACTTGATCTGCCCAACGAGAGAGCCATGCATCCAATAATTTCAAATTACATCAGAAATATGTCTTGATTGAAACTGGAAAAATTGCTCTAGGGACACTGTAATAGTACTGTATGCTTCAAAAATAACGTAATAAAAAAAAAAAAACATTTACATGCATCATTTTAAGTAAAATGTTCAAAGACCTCTGTTAGTAATAAAAGCCCTTTATAAAATTTGTTCTGGTAACTTTGCGTAAAATACTAGTTTGTATTGAAAGTTTTTTCATTCAATATAATCCAATTCAACCATATTTCTGCATTTCCTTGGAAAGATACTGTTAGTTTATTCAACATTATGTACCTTTAAATTAAACTAATCTTGTTGCTACACAAACAGAATCTTCAGTTCCCCAGTAAAGCCAGCAGAGGGCGTGGTCCATCAATTTACCATGTCTCGTGTCGCACTGAACGGCCTGGTTGTATGAACAGAGGCTGGGCAGGGACATAAGGAGACACGCAGAGCTCCTTACTGCTCTCAGTGGAGGAGTGTCTCTGCAGTTGTTCACACAGGACACTCTGTGTTGAAGTACACACAGTGCGTATATTTTTCTTCATCGCATTTGTTAATGAGTTGGGAGTCGACCGCTTGAGGACAGGATTTTCAGCGACCACTGCAGCAACCACTCGGAGGAAAATAGTGTTTCTAAACAGCTACCGAGAAGAGGGTGACTGGCTGGTAAGGATACCGTGAGTTTGATGCTGTTAGATTCCTACCACTTAGTGCCTGGTACCTTCGTGTGTCCGCTTTGAATCAAACTTATGTCGTCAGTCTGGCTGCTGCGACAGGTGAAAACTGCAGGTGCGTTACTGAAAGGATTCAAAGCTGTAATGAGATTGTGTTACCTTACCCTACGTTACCATAATGTAAATGACAAACAATTAAAATCATGTGGTTATTGTCCGGTGGGTGGCTTGTTTAATTGCCACCCTCAAAAATTCACAGACTAGTTTTTTTTCATGTCACGTTACAAGTATACCTATCACCTTCTGTAGTTGTCTGACAGTGGTGTGTGCTGTTGTTGGTCTGATGTGTACTTACTGCAGACGTTTCTCAATGAGGAAGTTTGTTGTTTCTGTGTTGCAACTCTATCTTGTACTTTTCCTGAAAGTCTCTGGTTGGAAAACATGATAAAGATTGAAAACTGACCATGCCCTACTGTGTACAATAGATTTCTTCACATGTAGACCTGTTTGCATCTGGCCCAGTTCAACCTTTTGCCAGCCAAGTCATACAAATGCTAAATCCTTTTGGATCAACATGTACCCTGTTGCCAGGTGACAGACTTTATGTTTTCCAAATATATTATCTTTGTACATGATTAGATCCTGTACTTGACCACCCTTTTATTTCACTGGCCTGAGCCTCAGTATTTATCACACTATCACTGCTCATGACACTGAAGTGTTACATTTCCCTGGCTGGTTATTTGCAGGCAGACTCACTGTGAAATAGGCTTGCTAGTAAATGTAAGTAAGTAAATGTAAAATGTGTTGTATAGGGAGAGTATGAGCTGCTCAATATGCAATAGATTCTCAACATTTCCCAGTGAGTGATCTTTACCCATATATATGGCAGAACAACTTGACTGAGATTGTATCACTTAAAATAATCTGAATTTTGACAGAAAAATTATGTCATGTTTACTTTTACTTCTGCTTAACCTAATTGTCCTAGCTTCAAAAATCTGTGCACTGAGTATCCTGGATTTATGTTTAGCATGTGTATGTGCATTACAGAGTCACCATACTTCTTATTTTGACCCCTGACCCTCTGCAAGTTGTTGTCCCGTGTATCTGCATCGTATAGAGGTCAATAGAGTTGCATGTATTAAAACATTCTGTGAGTGTACGGCACACATACTGGATTATCACGGGTTTGGAGTAATGGAACTAGCAATTTTCACTGGCTGGAACTAAGTCAGGCTTTAGGGTTAGGACAGCACTTCATTATAGGGCTGAGGTTTCTTGCAGGAGCTTCCTGTGCCTTCCTCATTTGACTGGGAGGCAGGTAAATCGTCCAGCTTGGTCCAGGTTGGTCAGCTTGCTGCGGAGTATGTTTGAAAGGGAAAACAGCTCATGCAAATCTCCTCCTCTGTCCTTGAAACAAACACCTGAGCTCCTGCACTTTGCTTTCCTCTGCTTGTGCGTTAATAAGTTGTTTGACAGATTAAGTAGTGTCTCCTCATTATGTAATGTTTTCCATCAGAGTGGCAGCAGGAGGAGAGCAAAACCTTATCAGCACAATTCATTTTCATACTTGGCGCCTCTTGGGATTTCACTTTGAAAACCAAGATTCTCTCTTTGCCTATTGATAAAAACCGTGACTCTGAGCGTAACCATACACATTAATCAGTCACTCATTCAAAACAGAGAGCTACCTTTCATATCTTCCTCTTGCTGTGAGAATGTCTCATGAAGAGGTAGCACAGCAAATACCAACTGTAAGGTTTTCAGTGCGGTCTTGTGATTTTGGGTCAAAGAGCACTTTGTGTACTCTGATCATACTGTAGCATAGTATCTCAGCAGTGACAGGACTAAAATGAGAGACATATGAGGCTCATTAAGACAGTTACATAAGTCAGTGGACTGAACAGTAGTTCCCAGCGCTCTATCTCTCTCTCTCTCTCTGAATCCTGATAATGGTCCGACTGCCTAATGTGCAGTGTGGATGGGTGTGGCTCCAGGTTGGGTCTAGTTACACTTGAGATGTTCCGATCAACAAATGCCTCACTGTGTTGTGATAATGAAACCCACCATCTCATCTGGTTTGTGTGCTTTGTGCAACCTTTCTCGCTACTTCACCCAGCCTAATTTTTCCCTCAGAGGATCCTCTCTCACTCCTATCTACAGTGGTGTGTTCTAGGTTGAGAAGGTGCTAATGTGCCGTATCCCAGGTGCATTGAGTGAAAAGCGTGACAGGAGTGTTTTTTTTCTTTCTTCCTAGCTTTCCCCTTCTCAGGTTATCCAGCACCATGCCATCCTTTTCTTGTTTCTTTTCTCAAGCCTGCTACCTTTGATCAGATCACTTAAGTTACAGTCAAGCATAACAGCAAGTCACAGTGTGGGTTTAAGGTTGCTCCAGACAGCTCAAACAAAATGTCCTCAATCGAACTGAAGTTACATATTTTGGTTTACTGTGATCAAACAAGTAGAAGTTGTTTGATGACCTTAAAGGGATATTCTGGCGTAAAATTGATTTAGGGTCAAACACACCGTAACACTAAGTTAGACAACCCCACGAGAGATGAATGTTGCCGACCACTTGCTTCTCTAGTTAAACCAACTTTAGTAATGACCGCAGATAGCAATATACAGTGGTCTGAGGAGTCATACACAAACCTCAACCAAAACGCCACTTTATAGCCACAAATAATGCTCAGAACAGCACCTAACTTTAGGGTCCCAGCCACAGCACTAGTTACCAAACATCTTCTTAACTTTGCCCAATTTTTTTAGCAAAGAGACTAAACACAAGTAACCTACTCTCTTCCAGCAGCCGCTTGTTTGTAGCGAGACCTTGGCCAGTACATTACCGCAACGGGGTGACGCAGCTCAAGGAAGAAAATTTATGATAATTTCTTCATGGAAATGCGATCAAACCAAGACACTAAGGCAGAAGAACTACAGCGTCTGCAGTGCAAAATGATTATTACTTCAAGGAAATGATAAAGTAATGATCATAAATGTTCTTCCTTGAGCTGCGTCCCCCCGCTGCAGTCCGTAATGGACTGGCCTGAGGTCTCGCTACAAACAAGCGGCTGCTGGAAGAGAGTGGGTGAGTTATGTTTAGTCTCTTTGCTAAAGAAATCAGGCAAAGTTAAAAAGATGTTGGGTGGCTAGTGTTGTGGCTGGGACCCTAAAGTTAGGTGCTGTTCTGAGCATTATTTGTGGCTATAGAGTGGCTTTTTGGTTGAGGTTTGTGTATGGCTCCTGGGACCGCTGTGTATTGCTATCGTGCGGTCGTTACTAAAGTTTGTATAACTAGAGAAGCAAGCAGTCGGCAACATTCATCTCTCAAGGGGGTGTCTAACTCAGTATTACTGTGTGTTTGACTCTAAACTAATTTTACGCCGGAATATCCCTTTAAACAAATGTGTGTCTGCAGATTCTCTCAGGTTCATAAGTAGTGTTGCAATGCTGTGCTGCCATTTATCTAGCAAGTCAGGGGGTTATTATTACCACTTAAATTATAATCTAGTATGCTAAATGAATAACAAAAGCTAAAATTATGCCCACTTAATGCCTCCCCCTGAAAAAAAGACCAAAAAAGTACAATTTCCTTTAAACAAATTTAGTTTTTTAATACCGTTTCATAATGTCAATATGTGTTTTTTGTGAGACATGTAAAGGATGTAAAAAGAGCAGTTATGGTTTTCCTGCTCTGTAATGTATTTGAGAAATTTGCAACAGTATAACATCCATGAATATATTTACCACATTTAGAGTAGTTGTTATGATTTTCACACCTCATCCGATTTGTTTGCTAATGGATTAGTAAAAAAGCGGTTTATCGTACAGCACAGTCAGAGTAAACACAACAAAATTAAATCAGATGCATTTTTTTCCTTAGCCAGTATGAATCAGTGCACTCCTGGAGAAGAAGGTGCTTGTACCATGAATCTTGAACCGGGCAGTGAACAGTTAAAACTCAAACAGCCTTTTCATCGATAGTTAAGCCTCCATGTCTCTTCAGTTGTGTCGCACCTCCAGAGCCGCTTTCTGTCTGTTATCTGTTTTATTGTCCTCATTCATCAGCCAGGCTTCACTCATGTCAGCAAATACCACTTACTCCTGATAGTCACCAGGACTTCATTGTCAACTGTCTTTTATCACTGCTGTTTCCATATTGTAACTTCCATAACTAGCCCACAAAACCTCATACATTTAAAGTGTGAGTTTGAGAAGTCTGAAGACTTAATTTGGGAATTTAAATGGATCTGAATGATTAAATTCAACGTTATTTAACAGAATAGTATGAAATTGACTCTCAAGATAATGAGTCTTGAGTCCTGAGAGATTCTTAATATCTTAGCACTAGTTTAATAATTACAAATATAAGATATGTATCAGGATGTAGAATTTCTCAGTACTATGGATGAAGACTCCTCTCCCTTTCCTGGCCTCACAGCGTGCTGGCACCAGCTTTTTAGAGGACATAATAGTCTGCCAAAGGAGGCCTTCAGTAGTAATTGGCTCATAATTGTCCCCCTCTCCTGAACCATTGGTTGGTTGGAGGGTTGCAGGCGTAGTGATAGGTTGGCAGGCCTTCAGGAATCTAGATTATTTGTAGGTTGTGGTGTTTGTTGTTGTTTCTTGTTGTTGTGCTGGCCATGCCGAGCACACCCTTTTTCATCGTCTTCTTCTGCTTTCCTGCCCTGCTGCCGATGACAAGGCTCGCAGAGGCCTATTCAGGAGACCCAAGGGTGCTTGAGTTATAGAGCTGGAAAGAGATATGGCAGGGTGGAAAGACAGAGGAATGGGTGACGGCAAACAAGTGGGAGTTTAAGAATGAGACAATCTGACAGGAAATCTTTCTCTACTTCTTTGTAGTCTGTGATTATTGAACTTGGATTAACACAGACTGTTAAACAAATCCCCCCTGGCTCTGACAGTTGATCACTACAGAGAGCAAAGGAGAGTAATGCAGCACATGTATGGATAATAAATGCATCTGTCAGTGACAGGAAGGACCTTTGGACTCCAGGGAACCTCTGAGTAAAACAACGCTGGGTTGGCTGGTATGGGCACGTCTCTCTTTTCTTCTCTGTATGTCATGTGATCATGTTTACCATAGGCTGTGACGCTGTATGCTAAGGCAGCCTTCGTCTCAGATAGTGCAGCTCTATGGTGTTCATCCCTCCTGCAGAGCAGTTCCCCCCTGCCTCTGTGTCTTTGGAGAACTTCTTCTCTGTTTCCTCTCCATTTAATCATCTGAGTGTCCCCTCCCTAGTACTTCCATTTGGGTCACATGAGTCTGGACGCAAAGGGCGACCTCCTCCTCCTCCTCACTGCTTCTTATGCAGGGCAGAACTGGAGTGAGACGCTCTTTGAATTACAAATAGACAAGCTAAGCCTTCACTGGGGGTTTCTTATTGTTGGTGTCGCCTTAAAAACATAGAGGAAAGCTTTGTAATCTTTCTGTTACTTTTTCTTCATAACAATGCACCTCCCCTTCAAAAGTTCCAGATGAAAAATGGCTTTAAACAAAAGTCCATATGTAGTCTGCTTGAGAAACCAAGACAAGAGTCATCCACTTAATATTCAAAATTTGTCACACCTGTTTTCTTGATCTTTTTTCTGCCATAAACTCGTTCATTACCTCTCTTATCCACTCCCTCCTGTTTCTCAGGTATTTTTCTTTCTGGTCATGTCACATCTCAAAGGTCACAGCTCTCTGTATGTGCCCTCTCTCTGTCCCTCCCATCTATTGGTCCTCTTCTTCTTTGCACTAGTGCCTGAAAGTCAAGTACCATCCATAGTTAATTTGAACATTAAGTTTGTGAGAGTTGTCTGGCCAGTGTTATATCTCACATTTATTCACTGTTTAGCCCTCTAAAATGAAAGTTCAGATTCATCTCATGCTCGCCACATACTTTTTACTCTCTGTGTGCTCAGCCTCTTTTAGCATCATATTGTCAAGACAAAACTTGCTGTATTTTGAGCAGTTCTAGCTTTGTTAGCAGGTTCATCAGTGTGTTTTTACAACATCATGAAATCAATAAGCTACATCAGCATACAGGCCGAGAAACATTAAGTGTACATGCTGTAAACTGTAAATAAGAATACTTTAAGATAAAGCCCTCTGATATAGGCAACACTGAAAAGGCTGGACTTATTACATGACTTGTAGAAATCTTAACAAAGGATGAAACAGCCACATGAACTGCCAGTGAGGCTCCAGACTTTTTGTCTTGTTTAGACGTGCAGCGTTCACACACTCACGTACCTCCTCTTCAGCTCTGCAGCGCTGCATAGAGCCTAGTGAACAGACAGACGCATTTTAAGCTGCTGCACAGAGTGACAAAAAAAATACACAGTGAAATATCACAGAAGCACCAGATTCAGTCTGAGATTTGACCTGTCTGCTGTTTTAAAACTTCATCAGGGGGGAAACCAAAAAGGAAGTCTGCTTATGGTGGATTAATTTGATGCGGTAGCAAGTGTATACTTGTGTGCACATGTTACTGTAAGTGTCATCCTCTGTTTGCTTTGTATGTATCCCTATTTGTGTATAATTAATCTGTTTAAATTGGGTGGAACCAAAACTAAGATCCTTTCATTATTGATTTTTTTTTTCCTTTTGCACTCAATTGAAAGGCTGAAATTTCAGTTTGAACCGTTCCAAACGTCAGTATTTGTCTCTTCTTTAGCCCTTCACTCCATCTGACCCACACAAGACATTTCCAACTTCAGGACAGCATGTCATTTGTTTGTTATTGTCTGTTTTTTAAGGCTGTTAATCATTTCGGTCCCGCTTGTGAAGAAGACCACACTTTGGATGTTTGTTTCAACACTGCGTGATTCATAACAGAACATGACACATTTCACAGAAGCAACTATTTAACACGGATGGGGTAACTCAGCCAATTATGTAATCGCACTCACACACCAACTTTAGAACAAGTGTTTACACGAGGAGTTGCAATGATAACACAGATGCCCAACACTACTTATACATTTAGCCTTATTCAGAACATGACAGTTAGTTTTTTTGTGTTTGGGTAATTAATTTATAGTCTATCTTGAAATGTCGCATCTTGAAATCACGGATTTTTTGAAAATGAAAGAAGGGTTGAGTAACACACTTACTTGATTTTGCCTGGGTGGAGTTTTTTGGGAGTGATTACAAAAGGATGGCAGAAGCTAAGATGCTTAAGCCGATTCCCTGCTGGCTAAACTAAGCTGGCTCCCTATGCATCATCTTTATTGTATGTATCCAACCAAACCCGGAAATCTCTGCTTATCTAACATCTCATATTCAAGGATTGTGAAGGTCATTGAAGCCCAGCCGTCTACTCTTCAGCCACTAGCCTTGTTTGTCTGGTTATTGATTCTCCATCATGTCTCTGATCTGCTGCAGTAATCTAATAGTATCTTGGGACTCAAGCAAAGCAGAGCAAAAAGGAAACTAAATGTAGAAACTGTGTCCTACTGAGGGAGCCTCCCTAAAAACATCCCAGGACGGCTGTGATGGTCATGGTTTTGAAAATTGTAGTTCTACTGTTTGTCTCAAACAAAGAGTTAGCTTCCTGCACTGATAATAACAAATTAATTTCCTAACCAAGCAATTGAGGGACTATTAGCACCACTACTTGACAGGTCAGATGCATTGGATCTGCATTTTTATCGTACCAGACGGCCCATGTTTGCTCTCAGCAACATATTTTCCTTGCCAGAACTGCTTGGCTACGGAGGAGCTATTAGACTTTCCATACGGGCAGGCAGGCATTATTGGCCACAGCCCTGAAACCATGAGAAGATATGGCATGAGAGCCAGTGTTTGATCTGCTCTCAAGTGTGTTTGTTTGAAGGGTGGAAGAGTTTTTTTTCAAGGGTGTAAGAACGAGTGGGGAAATAGTGTTGTTATGGACGGACAGAAGAGCTCTGTAAGGAAAGATTATTTGTACAGAGGACACAAAGTAGGAATGCGATAAAGTGGATGGAAGGTACGCTGACAACCAAGTTAAGGATTTGGCAATGACACGGTCACAGGAAGAAGTGTTGGTGCCTGTGGTAGTTTCATCTTTACATATTAAATTAGCTTTTTCATGCACAGAATAGTTATTGAAGGTGAAGGATACTGATCTCACCCTGCTGATATGGTCTGTGGGCTACATTATTGGAGATGTACCGATCCATTTTTTCTGATCCATTCCGGTACCGATACTTGGGCTGAGCGTATCAGCTGAAATCCAATACCAATCCTATCCTACTGTTGAATCAATGAACTGTATACCTTGCCCTGTGAGTGAAGGCATCAGGCTTGACATTAGCCTTGTTAAAAAAAGATAACAAATTAACACAGATATAACAAATTGCACATTAGCGCACAGCAAAAAGAAGTAGGACTTCCATGTAAACATTTAGTGCAAAAAGATAGACAGACATAGAATATAGAGCAAACAGAGTTGCTGTGTTGCTGTGTATGATACTAATTAAAAGAAAAAAAAGACTGGATCTGTGTCATTCATCAGATATCCGATCCAGTTAATTTGTCAATATCGGTGCTAGTGGAGCAGTCAAATGCGTAATATAGCCTCAATCATTCACTTTGTTATACAAGCATGAAATTTGGTACATATACTCTTCAAAACCCACTCTTTTCAAAAATAACGTTAGCCATGCAAAATTCCAAGATGGCGGCCCCAAAATCCAAGATGTCCGCCCCAAAAATGTGGTTTTTCCTTTATAACTCAAAATGACTTGATTTTAAGCCCCATACATATATATATATACATACATATATGTAAATATATATATATACATCTTGGTTTTCGAATTTAATGTTATAACCCTAATGAAAATAGCAGATAATGGAAATGATATTTTCATATAACCATATGCACATAACAACAATCGGTGATTTCTCACTCTCCCAATTCTGTACAAGTATCTATATGCTGTATCTCAAAAACCGTAATGGATACAGAAATGTACTAGGTACCAAAATGTCTGCAATACCCAACTTTATATTCAACTTCAATATATGTATGGGGCATAAAATCAAGTCATTTTGAGTTATAAAGGAAAAACCACATATTGGGGCGGACATCTAGGATTTTGGGGCCGCCATCTTGGAATTTTGCGTGGCTAACGTTATTTTTGAAAAGAGTGGGGTTTGAAGAGTATATGTACCAAATTTCATGCTTGTATAACAAAGTGAACGATTATTTCCTTATCTGCTCAGCTATGCCGATATCCGATCCAAATATCATAGCGTTGCAGTTTATTTTGACTTATTGGGAGTTGATAATCAGGCTTGGCATTGAGAATCAGACAGACAATACAACCTGACAACACCTGTTTGATTCAGATTTGACTTCAGTTTGTCATTTGTACCGTTTCACGGATATAATCCTCATCCAGAACACAAAACTACCACATGTAACAGTGATCAGGCTGTCTTTCTTTCTTTGCTGTGCTTGTGTACGTCTGCAGCGTTCACATCGAGGTTTATGACAGAGGTAAGACACAGCTGACCAGGAAGATCCAACTATCCATTTTTATGCACATGTCCAACAATCTGTCTGCCTCTCTTTTGTCAAGAGGTGAACAACAGACCTGCTGTTGTTCACTGCAGCTGTGGGCCTCGCATGGATTATTCTGGAAACAGTCGGTTGGAGCACCGGCTGGGTTGTGGGGTCAGGTGAGACACAGTCAGGGAGAGAGAGAGAAAGAGAGGGAGAGAGAGGTCCAAACAATCCCTCTTTGCACCGACACTCAGAGCAGAGAGCCACACAGGCTGACAGGCTCATTAAAATTCCTCAGGTTCAGAGATTATAATAACGTCTGAGGTGAATCAACACCTCATTACTCAAGGCTGAAGGGAAATATTCTGATTCATTTCTAATTACACGGCTAATCATTGATACAAGGATTAAGTCGTGTAAAGACCATTCTTCGTGACTTATGCCTCAGTTTCAGCCCCACAAAGTCATGTGACTGAGATAATCTTGTCATTCCGGATGAGTTGGCAAATTTTTTGAGACTGTACGTGATTGTTTACTTTTTGAGAGAGGAACAGAGAAGAATGAGGATTAATCTTAAAGGTAACAAAGGCAGTATTAACTGGAGCATGGACACATAGCTGTAGTTGGGAGGTGTGCTTTCTGCAAATATGTATCAGTATCAGTGTTGTCTCTTTGTTTATAGCAACAGAAGAGCTGCTTGACTGATAAGAAGCCAGTCTAGAGATAAGAGCCCATTGTCTGCTCGGTTCTTTTAATATCTGGCCAGTGTCCGCGTGGACATGTATTCATCTATGGACTCTCCCCTCCTTCTGAAGACTATTTTAAAATTTGGTTACAACATATCTGTTTTTTTTAAAGTAAATTGCAGCATTTGCACGTTACAGAGTCGCTGCTGTTGCTCTTTCAGGATAAAACACTATCCTCAAGTATCAGGATAATAGATTCAGATTTGGCTGCGATGTGATTGATGGTTACACAGCAGGTGAGTGGAGGACACAGTGCTGCAAGCGCTGATGAAGCAGAAACACATTATGTAATAGTCATGGCTCAGAGGCCTGCAGGTGCATTTATATGCAGGTGAGCTGCCTACTGCAGGCTCGGCGGAGTTTAGCAGACAAAGTCCACATTTTGCAGGGTTTTCTGTTTCGCTACATCTCTCCATTCCTCTCCTAATCCTTTGTTGTCTTACTCTCTCAGGGGACACACACACACACTCAGGCACAGTTATGTCACAGTTAAATTGACTTGTGTGTCACTCTGCCTTATTTTCTCTGGAGAGAGGGAGTGAGCAGTAGAATAGCACTCTGATGTAAGTGTAAGGAGGACAGGCGAGAGGGTGACAGGGAGCGGTGCAGTAAAACCCACGGAGAACAGAAGAGGAAATGAGACAGACTGCTGTTTTTGTGGCTTGGTAAGGACTTGGTTGAGCTATAAATTGAGTAGAGGCCCTGGGACTATACCTCATTCATACAAAGTCTATAACCGCAGCTTTATGAGGTGTTATTTATGCAGCTCACACACACAAACACTTGACATGAGCTATGGAAGAGGTTACAGAAATAAAGACGTCATAAATGAGAAAGAGAAGGTCTTCTTCACATCATCAGTGTGTGAGGACTACCAGGACTGTTTTATACACTAAAACCCAACAAAAAAAGAAGAGTTGGTATGATGTCGTGGTAGACAGGCTGATCAGTTCCTGTGCTCACAATGTGATGAAAATAATAAACAAATGATAATAATAATTTCAACAGATGGCTGGAGAGAAATGCAGAAATCCCTTGTGGCAGTGATTTTACTGAGCCAACACCAGGAAGACCAAAACGTTTGCCTCTCATCCTCTCAGTTCAGAATGTAAAAAACATCAACTATCGTCCATTGTCAGCATGGGATCTTCTGTTGAAATAATGCTAGTGAACTCTGGTAAGATGGTAACACATAATGACATTAAGCAAAGACCACATGCTGTGTCACAGATTAGCAGTGAGAGGTTCAGAATAGACTTATTTTCCTTCTTCTATCGGACAGATCAAAGGGATGATGGCATCAGATTGAAATGAAACTTATTGGAGTTAATAAAAAGACTCTTTGCTGCTGGAAAAACTCCTTCCTCTTTTCATCTTAACTTCAGAGCTGTTTCATATAACAGTGATGCTGTGAGCAGTTTTTTGGCCTGGTTTCCTATTGTGTGATAATAACCCTCTGTGTTTGTATGTTCTCTTGCAGAGAGATTCCAGACAGAGTGACAGCTCCTGATGTTTGCTAAGGCTGACAATCAAGAGATGTCGCCCTAATTTTCAGTTATTGGGCGCAGCTTTCTGTTAAGCAAGGTAACTCCTTGTTTGTGCTTTTTCAATCAACACGGGGATAATGGAGTTATATTACTAAGGTGTGACATAATAACCTGTTGTTTTCATTTTGCGATAGATTCATCTTTGTGTTTTGTGCTTCTTTCAGATGTCCACCACAACAGAAAATGGGCTGGGAGGACCTTGGAACACAAGCAGAGAGAAAACATACAAAAAGGTAAAATATGAGAATAAAAAGTGAGAGTTTATTTACAACAGCCTCACTGGGATGAATATGAACCCGCGAACACAACATTTTTGAGTGTCGCTGTTTAGAGCTGACAAGTCCAAAAGGTCTCTACTTCAAATGTCACATGATTGCTCATAAATGTCCCTCTACAGCACATAATGTCCTGACCCCTGCCAGGGCCTGCTGCCAGAGATCAGTCAAGTGCTGGTCACATTTGTTTTCTTTCCTTTTTCTTACTAAAGACGTCACTGCTTATTTCAGCATTTCGCAAGATGTCACCATTACGAGGTTCACAGAGCTGGGAGTGCTCAGGCTGAGCCTAAGAGCTAATCAGAAATGTATTTTTTTATATATATACAGGATTAAAATCTGTCTGTATTCAATAATTAAGAAGTCCCAGAGTTAACATCTCATGTGAGATAACTTCTTGTATTAAACTAGCATCTTTAAGTAAATGAAAAAATGTTTGTATTCGCTGTAAACTCACTGCTTTAACAGTCTGACTAATGCCGTGGCGTCTCTTCTGTTTTCCCCTCCAGACTACGTCATCAGCCTTGAAGGGTGCCATTCAGCTCGGCATTGGCTATACAGTGGGCAACCTAACCTCCAAGCCTGACAGAGATGTGCTTATGCAAGACTTTTATGTGGTGGAAAGTGTCTTTCTGCCAAGGTTAGTGCCACTCACCCATTCATACTCACACTTCCCATAAACAGCAAGGCATCTTCCATGATGATGTGCAGGATGTATTCACTGACTCTCTAGTTTATTATATGAGTTATTGGAATAGTTACAGTTTGCACATTGTAATCAAATAATAGCCAGACTCTTGCATAAACTCAAGGTTGTTTGTCTACTGGAGTCAGTGAATCAAAGCTTCTTCATAAAAACAGATTATGTGTAGGTGGGAAACAAGCTGGCAGTGACGGTTTCCTGCCTCTGCTGAGTGAGTGAATGAATGGAAAACGACTGAACACAAGGCTTTGCTTGTCTGCGCGCTCGAACATCATAAGTCTGCAAAACATCTGAAACTATTATTAATCATGGAAACTGCAGGTGCTGGACACACAGTCAAGAGACATTATGGGGCTACCGCGAACTGCCACCATCATCATTTGTCAACAAAAGTGAATTTTTGCTGGTCCAAGTCATGATGCAGGGATAAAACTATCCTGGTGTATAATCCGGGCAAAATTGCGAAATCAGCTAACTCTGCGGCTTACTGCTACAGAGCGAAATATATTTCTATGGCAGCTGTCAGCTTAAAAGAATATAAAGAACCATTTTGTGTTAGTCAAAACAGAGCCAGGAGTTCTTCTAAAGTCTGACTCATAAATGTACACACTTGATGCACAGGGACAAACTACTTATTTATCATTTTTAATGAGCGTGATGTGACTTTAACACTTAAAGAAGCAGATTTGGTCTCAGGGGATTGTATTGTTTTGAGCATAATTAACAGATTAATGTTTAATTTAGATTTCAAAAATAAGCCAAAGTGCTGTTTTGTTGACGTGACAGACAAAGATGATGTCTGTCAAAGATGAAATGGGTGAACTAGTTTTTCTCTCAGTGACATTTAATCCATCATTCATTGGAAATTGTCTGTGACTCCAAACCTTGAGGAAAGAACCTCTGTCCTACCAGGAAATGCTTTGTGGTTCACCTACTCAGACCTGCACCAGGATATGCAAACTCACAATGGTCTATGCAAACTTCATCTTGGCACACACATCCACTGTCCTGTTCCTCAGCAACAGTCAAACATAAATCTTGCTCTGGGTGTTGGCCTTGTTTTGAGGAGTGTTTCAAATCCTGCTTCAGCTCCGCTACATCATCCTCAATCCACTCGTGGTGTCGAATCTTTTACATAACGGTGACATACATTTAAAGCTATCTTCAAAAGCAAAGAGCCACTTGAAATTAAAGAAAGATCAAGGCTATGTATGGGGAAAGAAGAAAATTATACAAGACGGAACAGGTAAAACATTTTCTGTGGAGATGGGAAATTGATATCTCAAATCTCTTTTCTGAGATAACTTATCCTCTTTGTTCTCTCCACTTTTTGTAGGTATTTTTTGTCCTGTTCCGTAATTCTGTACCAACCAAAAGCCCTTTTCTTCCTCCACGCTGACAGAGAGAGACTGATCTCAGATGCTTTTATCGCCTCATTCTCTTTTAACGCCGCTCTCCCTCCCTCCCTTCACCCTCATCTTCTTCCTTTTCTCTTGAGGGTTTTCCGCTCTTGTTTGTCCTACCTAGTCTGAAAATGTCACAGATCCCTCTGACACAGTTTTTGTTTGTATCTTGTTGCACGTATATCTGATAACTAGCTTGTCTGCCCTGAGGCCAACAAACAAACAGATTTCTTTTTGATTAGTTTGGAAACATTTTCCAGGTGCTCTTTGTTGCTAAATAGTTTCCACGTGAGGCTCACTGTTGTGGACTGTCACTCACTGATGGTAGATAAATGTTGTTGTCCTCACACCCTAAATAGACCAGTCAGATTTCACTGGACTGTAATCACAGGTGTTGAGTTTCACGTTGTATCTGATTACCGGCAGGGTTAAAAACACATTAGCATCTTTGCTCTGAAAAGTATCCAAGATCTTGAATTTATAACCAGATTAAGAGGCACTTTGGTGAATTCGATGAACCAATTCTTTTAGATTTTGGATCAGATTTTTGGCTTTTTTTAAATAAGAACTGACAATATATGTTGAAAAGTGGAAGACCAATTCATACAACGCTAAGTCGTACTGAACTTGTAGAGGTTTTTACAGAAAAGGGTCTGTTCTGTCAAAATCCAGGCAAACGTCTGGTTAATCAACCAAAACGTGTATGTCATTTGTGTCTGTGTGAGTGTGTGCATGAGGTATTTATTTTCACACTCTGCTCTTCCTCCCCCCTCCTCCATGATGTAGACAAGGATCATGTGTTATGTTGTATTGTTCAAATCTAGTAATCAGAGCCTCCCTCAGTCCCCAGGCCCCAAACTCTATACAGGTCAGTTTGTTACCACAATGCTGGTGAATCTGGGTTCCCATAAATGACTTTGCTAAAGCCTGTTCATTCATGAGTGGCAGAGATTACAAGGGCCTCAGTGATACAGGGACTGGTCGCCATTTGCCTGTCCCGGCACAAAGACTGGGTGTAAGGCTTCAGTTTGCACCACTATCAGAGTCTTGAATGGAATAATCGCCCTTTGTGATAATGACTTTTCCCACTTGTGTGTTTAAGTTTTTGTTAACCATGCTTATTACATTAGAGTTGGAATAATGTATTTGATGTTCCCTGTCTTGTTTTTCAATTGCACCATCCAAGTGAGGGGAGTAACTTGACCCCAGCACATCACTACCCTGACTTCCGCTTCAAGACCTACGCCCCGCTGGCCTTCAGATACTTCAGGGATCTGTTCGGCATCAAACCAGACGACTATCTGGTAAGACCGCAGGCAAACTGGTGTTCATTTTTCTACCACTGTCAGATAGTTATGCATGCATGTCAGCCAAATATCAAATCAAGTCCCTTAGCTTCTTGTGGACTGACTTGCTAAATGTCAGGCAGGTGCTGTAGTATACAGGACGTGATAGGGTTATGATAAAATAAAGAATTAACAATGTGTACCTCAACAAAGACACTGGATGCAATATTCAGATAAAAGTCTAATAAAAACTAAAAATTAAGTGTTAGTTTAACATGTTTGGGAGTCCTTTCTGGCTGCCATCTAATCCCATCTTCAGTTTTTCCTACAACTACACAACATTTGTATCGGTGTTGGTGATATGAGATGTAATGCTCGAGCTAACACAGCATACCTTTATCATAAAATCTTTAACCAGTTCCTAGTGCTGAGTGAAATCAGCTGATGAATGTGTGATATCCCATCGTAATCAAACTACGACAGCTTTAGAAAAAGAGAGAAATACTCTGCAGGATCTGCTCACCATTGCATGTGTCGTCCTGTTTGTGATGCTGTTGATGCCTTTGGTGTGTAACATCATTCAATAACATGTCAAAGCCATTATTTATACACCCTTGGCGCCATACTGTATGATAATTTAATTTACTCTCACCAATACGTGCCTTGTTGCCATATTCGTCCCTACTTTACATGTCCCGCTTGCTTGAGATGATTAAATTTTGTGTAATCTTGTTTGGGCTTTTTTTTTATACTGTGATGTTTTTATTTATTTATTATTATTATTATTATTATTTTTTACAGCCTCTGAGCCTTTTGTAAACCTCTCGGCTGCATTCTTGCTTTTGAAAGCTAAATTGCTTTTTTTTTTTACATAAGGGAAAATTAATAAAACTCTTGGTGCAACACAGATGAAATGTAACTCTGTGGCCGTTAATACAGATTGAAATAAGACACTGTTGCAAAGAGGATGTGCTGCTGATTGATGTCCTTGAGGTGATGATAAATTCATCCAGACAGAAGCCAAACAGCAGTCTAATTAAATCAGAGAAGAACACACACAAACACACACATATACACACACACACATAGAGTATTTTGTATGCAAACGCAATAACAGGTGAATTGTTTGTGCTGGTAACTTCATGTGACTGCAGATGGTCATCACAGTGAAGAGGGACTGTAGATGCTTCAAGAATATCTCCTCCCATTTGAACATGTTGAGCTCATAACACACTGATTACCATCCGACTCTTATCTCGCCTTATCCGCCAGCTGCTTTCACCATCTCTCCCTCATGTTATTACTATGCCGTGAGGACCTCCCTGTGCTTTCTGAGCTGCAGCAAAAACTGTTTTTGCTCCTTATGAACTGAAACTATACATCTCACGTTTCTGTACGGTCTTAGCTCAGTGATGCTTTGGGAGGTTTTTCCACACCCTTATTTTGAGGATAGTTGGAAACCAGGAAGAGACATCAGAGACTGACAAACAGAAGAGGGATAGTGTCCTACTTTGAGGACTTCTGTACATGGGGTACACGGTTTAACCACTGAGCCAAACAGACTGCCCTTCAATGATGCTTTTGTGTCTGTATTTTAGATCTTTATTCTGCAGTTTCTTCACTGAAGCAACATCCAGAGGGACAGTAGGGAATATTTTACCCTTTGAAATCAACTAATGCCAGCGTTTAACCAGCCTAATAAATACAAAGTGACACTTTTCTCACTGTGTCATGGAAGGACTGAAAAACCATGAGCTTTCTGCTGCTATTTGCTCGTGAGAGACTTAATGGTTTGTAGCTGCGGCTAATGAGTCATCAAATATTATTTTTTAAGCATGAAATAAGATCAAAATGACACCAGCTTTTCAATGTTGAATGGGACTCTTTCATTTGCTGTTCAGTCGGATCAATGTCACGTACCCTGAGTTCATACCTGAAGCGCAGAGTATGACGTTATAAAAGCATGAAGCCAGTCCTCACAGTAAAGTGTGTTAAAGGAGAGTAGACACTGTTTTAGTGGCAGAATTATAGTTTGGTGATGAGTTTGCAGGGAAAAGAAAAGTCCAGATGCACAGTTTTGTACATTTGGACCAGATAGTGTTCAAGAGATCTCCAAAACAAAAAGCGGAGTGTTTTTGCAACGTAGGACTTTACTGTCAGTATTCTTTGACCAGGATGTACTGAAAGTTTTCTCTTAGCTACTAAACAGACGACTTCTCTGCTGTTTGTGTTTTTCCCTTCCTCAGTACTCCCTGGTAAATGAGCCTCTCATTGAGCTTACCAACCCGGGGGCCAGTGGATCACTCTTCTACTTAACCAGCGATGACGAGTTCATCATTAAAACCGTCCAGCACAAAGAGGCCAAGTTTCTCCAGAGATTGCTGCCTGGTTACTATATGGTAAGACACTTGAATTTCCCACATGAGGTGAGGTGGAACAGTCTCCTTTTTTAAACTGATCATAAGTGGCATAAACGAGTTACAGAGGGAATTCTTGTTAGCCGTAGCTCTAGGGCACCATCAGGCTAAAGGATGTCACAGCCAGGAGGGTGGAGAGACTTGGGCTGCACACATCCAAGACCACCATTATCATTTATTGATGCAGCGACTCAAAGATTTAAGACTCTCCGCACCCATACTGGCACACAATTACTTTATGATTCTGTAAATCATGAAAGAAAATGAGCCAATAAGTATCAGGAATGAGAGCCTACATGTGGAGTTCAAAGTGTTTCAACAATGAAATGAAAACGAAAAAAGGCATTTATATGGTTTTCTGCGGCAACTTCAATGCCACAAATCCTATTATTACTGATATAACCAAATCAGAGTTTAGGAACCCAACATTCACCTTGTACTCCATTTACAGTTTCCTCATTAGAGAAAAAATAAAGTCCAAGCTACCTCAATCATTTACTACCTTGTTACTTAACTCCTCCTTCAATTCACAGAACCTGAACCAGAATCCACGCACACTGCTGCCCAAATTCTATGGCCTCTACTGCATCCAGTCTGGAGGGATTAACATCCGGCTGGTGGTGATGAACAATGTGCTGCCACGCTCCATCAAAATGCATTACAAATACGACCTTAAAGGTTCCACCTACAAGAGACGAGCATCCAGGAAAGAGAGAGAGAAGGCCTCTCCGACTTACAAAGATCTGGACTTCCAGGACATGCACGAGGAAGGGCTTTACTTTGACCCGGAGACCTACAACAACCTGATGAAGACCCTACAGAGAGACTGTCGGGTAAGTGGAAGACATTCTCCTCACTTTCTTTTCCCTGTGTGTGCATGACTTTGAAGTTCCAAAGTCGCCTCAGAACAAGAGAGTCACTTTAATTCCATAAAAGGACACTGTAGAAGCAAACAAGAAAGACTAGAGTCAGATGATTTACATTAGCAGAATACTTTTGTTCAAATGGCATATTTCTTTGAATTCTCATGTCTCTATTCCTGCACTGAATCATTTTGACCCGGGTGCTGCAAAGCCTCTCTGGGGCCTTATGTCATGTGCCGTATCAAAGCTCGGAGCAGATTTCTTCAAACCTGGGAATCTACCAGAGTCAGGGCACATTAATGTCGAGGAGATGCCAAAGACCTCTCATTCTTGTGACCTGTTATGCAATCTTAAACACATAGTTCGAATAAGTCGGCCACACTGGGTTCTAGATTAAGACAGCGTGTGTGCAACGTTGATGGGAGAAAATATTTTGAGATATCCCGTGTTTGCACAGCGTGTTCAGAGTAAGCTCTCAGTTTGCCCCAGGCCCTCTTTTCCCTGTCTCTATGCTGCTGAGTTTCAATACATGACAGCTCTCCAAACACTGAGCATGATTAAGACATAGCATGAGTGTGATTAGCAAGGGTAGCATGAGAAACTCAGAGTTTAGGATTAGGGTTAGGGTTAGTCCTCCAATCTAAAGACTCACATTCTCCCCCAATTTAAAGGAATATTCCGGCGTAAAATTAATTCAGGGACAAACGCATCGTAACGCCAAGTTAGACACCCCCTGGAGAGATGAATGTTGCCGACCGCTTGCTTCTCTAATTATACCAACTTTAGTAACGACCGAACGATAGCAATACACAGCGGTTTGAGGAGCCTTAACAAACCTCAACCAAAACACCACTCTATGGCCACAAATAATGCTCAGAACAGCACCTAACTTCATCAACAGTACATATAGGGTCCATTACTGACTGCTGCGGGGTGACGCAGCTTAAGGAAGAACATTTATGATAATTTCTTTATCATTTCCTTGAAGTAATAATCATCATATCAATCATTTTCTTCATGGAAATGCAATCAGACTGATGCGCTAAGGCAGAAGAACTACTGCATCAGCAGAGCGAAACGATTAATACGATGATTATTACTTTAAGGAAATGATAAAGTAATGATCATAAATGTTCTTCCTTGAGCTGCGTCACCCCGCTGTAGTGCGTATTGGACTGGGCTGAGGTCTCACTACAAACAAGTGGCTGCTGGAAGAGAGTAGGTGAGTTGTGTTTAGTCTCTTTGCTAAAGAAATTAGGCAAAGTTAAAAAGATGTTTGGTGGCTAGTGCTATTGCTGGGACCCTATATGTACTGTTGATGAAGTTAGGTGCTGTTCTGAGCATTATTTGTGGTTTTAGAGTGGCTTTTTGGTTGAGTTTTGTTTATGGCTCCTCAGACTGCTGTGTATTGCTATTGTGCGGTCGTTACTAAAGTTGGTATAACTAAAGAACCAAGCAGTCAGAAACATTCATCTCTCGAGGGGGTGTCTAACTTGGTGTTACAGTGTGTTTGACCCTAACTTAATTTTATGCCAGAATATCCCTTTAACATGGAGACCAAGAAACTGTCTGAGAGTTCAATAGGTGCTCTGGTCTGTGCTTAATGCATTTCTCAAAGATAGTGGTAGATTTGGAATTTGAACCTTTTTATTTGGCTACATTACATCAGTGTCAGAGGACAGGTCAGTTGTGGAGACTCAAGGACTGAGCAGTGCAGTGAATTTTCGGATTTTGCTGACGCGTTTGCAGACTAGATTTGAAGGAAAGAAACAGACCCTCAGGCTTTGAAAATGCTTTTATTGGTTTGTTCTCTGCCTCTAAAATAACAACAACAGAGAAAACGTGGTTCAAAGACAACAAAGTTGCAGGCTAGAAATGTGAAGTAAAGCCACAGATGAATTGATTAAAGATGAAACGTTGGACTTCAGACAGTACAAGAAGTTTTTTTTTTTTTTTTTTGGAAGTTTCTCAACAAACCAACAACATTTCTGCTCCTGTGACATTCTTGTGCTGTTGTACTTCATTTGGAGGAGGTGGATAGGCTCTTGGAGTAGCTTTATGAGTAACGACAGTGTGGCTTTCAGACACTGATTGAATGTGTTTTAACCACACAGAGGCTGGTTGATAATGGGGTTTAAAGCCTAAAGCCGTCTGTACTGTAATCCCATTTGTTCTGCATGATAAACAGTAATTGCACACTCAGTGACACACACTTTCACCTTACACAGTCCACATTACACACAGCTTTCCCACGGGGTCTGCTCCGATATTGAACCTGGAATCTGACCAGTATGTTACTGTAAGTGGTGGTCGGTGTATCAGAATAGGTCCACAGACCTGGAAGAGAGACTTCCCGTCAGACTTCCTGCAGGGTCCTTCCTGCAACCTGTCCAAACTGGCAACCCTGCATATCACCACATCACTAATGACTTAATGACTTCCATTACAGCAGCTGTAGCGCTCAAATGATGTAATATTTGGTGTGGGAACAAAATAACCTTGATGGCTTTATGGCCAAACGATGAGTGATGATACGTGGAACTGGATTAACAAAAGTGTTGTGAGTACATTTAGTTTGGCCAGTTAAGTAACAGAGCTCTCCCCTCTTCATACTTCTAATCTGCAATGTTATTTTTCACAAAAGGGTTTTATTTTTATTCTAATTCAAGAAGTCAATGTGTTTCAGCGGTCTGGGTTCATCAATGTTGCTGTTGTGTATGTAAAGTATGCCGGACTACACCTCAGTTATGAAGGCTTATCTATGGTGTCTGAGAGTTTTTATTATTTTGTTGATCAAAAATCAATCTTATGATAAAAAATAAGCTGATCATTCAAGAATCAAATGTTAATGTGTTGCTGTATTACTAATAATATAGTAAATAACATTTTAGTTGCAGAGTTCTTAAGATTCAGGATTGATTTAACCAGTTTTCATTTATTTGTATGTAGCCGCATACAAAAAGAGAAATTCTTTTGTCCTACATAAAAGACATATGTGACCCAGCTACTAACTAAAAATACAAACAAACTGACTCAAAATATTGTGACGTTGTTCTCACCAGGAGTCAAATTAACATCAAACTTAACACTTTTATTCACAGTGAAGTCTTACTGTATTTTTTTTCCAGTCAAATGATCTCTTCTTCACTTTGATTGACCTTTCTGTCATTTATTCCTTTCTCACTCACGTCTGTGTCATTTTCCCTCTTCTTGTCCTCTTTACTCTTCTGGTGACTGTTTAGCCACCAATTACCAATGGGAAGTTTTGTGCTCTCTGAATAAATCAAGAGGAGTATTAAAAAGGTCTTCCATGTTTTATACCAATATACTGTTTACAGATGTAGAACCATCAGCCTATACTTCTACTTGATTAGATATTTGCGGTTTGCGTGATCTAGTTGTCCCTGAATCACTTTAGCTGTTTAGAATTGATAACCATTGTCCAGGGGTTTCAACCAATCAGAATCAAGTATTAACACTGCCAGGAACTCAGTAAGACAGCATAGTAATAAGTAAATTATATCCAAGCAACCTTTTCTAAAACCACTAAAAATGACTCTTAACAATGAAAATAAAGAAGTGTTTGAGAAAAGTTACACATGACCAGTTCTCTGAAAGTGTGAAATCTGCACTTCGATCAGGGAAAAGATTCAAAATTTCCTCCGGAGCTGATGAAATGATATCAGTTCTGTTTTGTGAGTTTTCTCCCACATGAGCTTGTGGTTCAGTGTTGCTCTTAAAGGATAGTATTTTTTTTTTAGCACTTGTGGGATAACAGGTGTGAAACACTGTGACTTTCCCACATTTAAGTCAAACCGTGTCTGGATTGCTCACTTTTGAACAACCCCGGGTCTTGTGATGTTTATTCAGATTCTGATCAGAGGAAATTTGAAGGAACATCATGTGTTTTACTGAAGTTACGGTCCCTCTCAACACTATTAAATAATATGCTGACTTTGTCAACATGATCTATGTTTTCTTAAACTGACCGCAGCCAGAAAGACTGCCTCTCTCTTTGCTTTATTGGTTGCGTCTTAACCTTTCAGCACAATCAAGTTTCCAACCTGGGACATGCACTGTCTGCTCGCTATGTGTGCATGTAAGGCCTCTGCGTGCTGCATGTCTACTGTATATGCTGTTGTGCATGTTTTATGTGAATGACAGTATTGACCAGCAGCTGTTAGAGACGCTGTGCTGTACAGTCTGTTATTGTCACGGCTTCCTGCCCTCGCCTCCTGAGCGGGGAGCAAAGTGCCCTCTAAGCAGAATCGCTGTCTATTTCCATGAGTAAGCAGCTAACCTCGTCACCCCAGGAGAGGCTGCAGATCAAAACACAGAGGAGGGTCTGCGAACGCTGAGCAACAGGGGATGAGGGGTGTGGAGGGAACAAGGAAATGAGGAGGATTATTGTCCTATGAAAGTATGCGTGGTGGGGTCTCTGAAAAGTACGGATCTGCCTCTATCCATGTGCTCAGTGATTTTGTTCACAGTTATACAGAGGTTAAAGGGATGTACCGGCGTAAAACTAATTTAGGGTCAAACAAACCGTAACACCGAGTTAGACACCCCCATGAGTGATGTTGCCGACCACTTGCTTCTCCAGTCATACCAACTTTATTAACAACCGCACGACAGCAATAGAAAGCGGTCTGAGGCGCCGTACACAAACCTCAACAAAAAAGCCACTCTATAGCCACAAATGATGCTCAGAACAGCACCTAACTTCATCAACAGTACATATAGGATCCTAGCCATAGCACTAGCCAATAAACATCTTTTTAACTTTGCCTGATTTCTTTAGCAAACAGACTAAACACAACTCACCCACTCTCTTCCAGCAGCCGCTTGTTTGTAGCAAGACCTCGGACTAGTCCATTATTGACTGCAGCGGGGTGACGCAGCTCAAGGAAGAACATTTATGATCATTTCTTCATGGAAATGCAAACAGACCGAGACACTATCATAATGATCATAAATGTTCTTCCTGTAGTCCGTAATGGACTGGCCCGAGGTCTAGCTTCAAACAAGCAGCCGCTGGAAGAGAGTAGGCGAGTTGTCTTTAGTCTCTTTGCTTAATTTTACACCGGAATATCCCTTTTAAGAAGCATAAGAAATGTCTTTTAGAAATGTGGATATTCCTCCTGTTGTTGTGTGGATCACTTCCTCTGAAAACAGGAAGTTTGAGCCGTGCGAGCCTTCACTCTTCATTTCTCTGCAGCTCCCCCTGACACTCCCTCGATGCCAAAACAACACAAGGCATTAAAGATTGATAAGGAACGCCACTGTACAGAGAGTGAGTGTGTATTAATGGTGTGTCTGATTTGGATTAAAGGAGAGCATCATGTCCCTGTTGCACCAGCACAGCTGTGAGGGAGAGGGAAGTGGTGATGATAGGGATATAAAAGGAAGATGTCGAGCTGTCAGGGCGGATTTTTACTCCTGGCACAGAGACACTTGAAACCTTGTCACGTTCAGGACAACCCCAGCCAATCGATGTCGTGTCCTGTACTATCTTGATTCAGTCTGAAGAGCAGGGAAACAGGAGTTCTTGAATTTCATGTACAGATGAGCGCTGAGATAACAAAGTAGGACAACTGTCTGGCGAATCATAAACAACCGTTTACTGTATGTTACCCTCTCCCCGCTACCATGTGATATTGTGACAACAATGGTTTCCCTCACGCTCAACTGCAGAAAAACAGAGGCCCTACCCTGCAGTCAGAAATCAGTGCAGCGACAATAACACCCTGAACTATAGTTGGTACACACGGCTGAAACCGGATAGTCAAACAGGTCAAGGCTTTAACCAGTTGGTACCATTTTATCAACCAATATACTGATTTTCTAAACAAATTAAGTTATCGCTTAGTTTTTAAAATGTCAGCCAGTTGTGAAAAAATAACCTTATAAGTTGTGGCATATATCGGCCTATCATCTGACGATATTAAAGCCTGTGGGAGTGATGCACAGTTTTAAAGGGTATGGTAAGAAGTTAGCAAAAAAAAAGGAGCTTTGGCCAAGACTTTGTTCCTTCGTGAAAATCAAAGAGTAAAAAAAAAGACAAAAGGAAAGTTATGTCCAACAATAGTAGCATTTAGCTGTTGTGCTGCACACAACTGGAAAAAGACCAGCAGAACTGAAATCAGCCCCAACTGTGAGCACTTTTAAATCCAGGTTCAAAACAGTTCTCTTTTCATGTGCTTATGGCTGAGCTCTTTTTAATCATTTTAAACTCTATCTTTTGCTCCTGCTTTTAACTGTTGTTGTTATTATTGTTGTTATTGCTGTTATTTTGTTTGTTTTTATGCTGTTCTTTAAAAAAAAATGTTTTTATGTAAAGCACATTGAGTTGCCTTGGTATGAAATGCGCTATATAAATAAATATGCCTTGCCTTGCCTAGTGAGCGATAGAAAATATGGACTGACACTTGTTTAAAACTGTGCAACAGTTATTGCGAGACTCATGACTGAATCTTCTGAATTACTTTCAACATGACATTACAGGGGAAAAAGTAGATACTTAAACGAAGAAATTTAGTGGAGCAAATCTTCTAAATTTTAGATGCAAAAAGTATTTTTCTGAATTCTGTCATACTTTACATGTCAGAACAAAAGACACAGTAGTTAGAGCTGTCATTGAATACGTTGAACTATGCGTACTAGAAGCAGGTTGTAGTCATGAATTATTGAGGCTTACTAGAGCGGAGTCTTTCCTGTGATTGTAACTGAAGCTGTGAATGTCACAGCTGAGCTGAATACTGCTGTAGAGCAGTTTACAAGTGTCACTGTGGGATGAGCTCTGTAGCATGACTGACATAAAGGTAGACAGGCATGACCTGGTGCTTCAGGTTTGAATACACTGAGAAAAATCACAGATTTATATTCATGCTGTGTTGAAGTAAAAAGAGTTTAGGGATTAGCTTTGATCGAGCGGTGTTTGAAATGAAAGTGGAGGGCATGTTGCTCAGGAGGGAGACCAAAACACTGATGAGCAGAAATATTCTGCTATATTTTTAAAAATCTGTGGAAATTCCTCTGTGAAATGAATGATAGAAAATGCCTCTGTTTCTGTCTGCTGTGAAGGTTTGATTGTTTGCTGGCTAACGCTGGGGCCAGGTCACACAGCAGTGTCCTTCTGTAGGCAGCCTGGTGTTTGTGGCTCTATTCAAAATGGCTGCAGTTTGAATAGGCTGGGGGAGTACGAGTGACATAATGCAAATCATTGATATGGAAAAAGCTCAGCCCAAACAAAGCCCCAGTGTTTGTTTTAGTCTGTCATTACATCTATCATGCCCTTGTGTGTCTGAGTATAGATGTGCGTGCCTTTACGGCAGATGCAAATGATGTTGCAAACCAACACAAATCATGTCTGCTGTAAACATGCATTGGAAATGACTTACTAGGAAAAGATAAGAGGAAGTTGTAGGTCAGCTTCAAAACATAATTTGACACACATTTTCTAGAAAATAGGTCAGTTTTCTTTGGATTCTCAGCCATGGATGTCTGAATGTATTAAGAGAATTTGTATTGTACCTAACCTTCTCTGAAAATTAAAAGATGTTTGCATTTTGCTAAATTCGAGAAACTCAACGGGGAAAAAAATGTTTAGAAAAACATCCAGATCATACTTATCTTTATGTCTCCTCCTAAGAATAAAGTCATGGATCATCATTCCCAGATCAGTTACATCTTTGACATGTTCAGGTCATTAGATAAGCCTGTCCACCAGGCAGTGACCCTGATCCAGTTCCCATATTAGGCTCCTGCCTCTTTATCTCACTGCTTCTTGTCGTGGTAGCTTTGCTCGAGCAGTGCGAGACATAAAGTCGCAGAGTTTCTGGGAAACTGGGCAAGAGGCTCCTCAGACAGGTCAATGTGTAACACTTGGCTCACTGTGGAGAAACACCTTGTTTATTTAGCTCAAACCAGACTTGAGAGTTTTTCTTAAGCGAGCACACGGCCTTCAGCTGTGAAGCACATCGGGTAATATCAGTGTGGGTCATTAAAAGAATTAGCTTTTCTAGAAATTTCATAATGATGCTATATTTACCATCAGGGAGCTGGAAATGAAGCAGTAAGCTCAAAGGAATAATGACCTCAGTGTTCAAATTAGTCATAGGAAATAAGAATTATCACACTATTTACAGCAAACTGGCTCTTGTCAATGAACTCACTGTGCATTTCTTGTTAAAACCGCATTTTGTTACTTCCTACAGGTGCTGGAGAGTTTTAAGATTATGGACTACAGCCTGCTGCTGGGCGTTCATATCCTGGACCAGAGCCAGAGAGAGGGGGGCGAGCCGGGCCAGGCAGGGGGGGACGGGCGGAGACCTGTGGGTCAGAGGGTGCTTTACTCCACCGCCATGGAGTCCATCCAGGGAGACGGCAAGGCAGCTGAAGCCCTCACCACAGATGACACGTGAGTGGGCTCAGCTGGGGGAAAACACACATTATGCACACATATTTGGGCGCACACACTCTCCGCCTGTGAGTGTGTCTCTTGATCTCCACCTTTTCTCCAAAGGTTGAGACACAGTTATACAACCGGGATCATAACATTCACACAGTGTTCACACAGTCCAGCTCTGATATAACTCGAACTACACAAACACAACAGCTGTTGGTGTGTATTCACAGCGATACAAAGAAACATAAACACAAAGCGCCTCTTTTAGAAAACCTTTGAGAAAAGTTTCATACATTGATCACTTCTGCTCGGCTCTAACTCTATTTCAGGATGGGTGGCATCCCTGCCAAAACACACAAAGAAGAAAAGCTGCTCATCTTCCTGGGCATCATCGATATTCTACAATCATATAGGTATAGTTTCTTTTGAAAACGTTTGTGGACTTGATATTGTTACTGTAGTAAATGCGTCTCAAATGGCCAATCGAGAGGTGACTATGAACTGAAAGTGCCCATGAGCATTTAAAGACTGAACGTTTCCTATAACAGCTTTGATTAAGGTTGCTCTTTGACAAGACCTGTAACATTGAATTATCACCCTGCATTAATGGAAGGAGCTACAAGCCAGTTAATCACACTCCAAAAAGGACTTTCTGACCCGTCTACCATTACTTAAATGGACACAGCGGCGGATCAGTCTTCTTTATTTTCACATTGATTTTTCGCTCCTGAGACTTTAAGTGTGGCTTCCAGGCTCATCGACTTTTCCAACTTGTCAGCTTTGTTAGTAGAGGCACCAGAAGTCCTCCTGAGTGGGCGAGGTGACACCAGGTCAGAGAGGGAGGATAAATTGGTCCAATTTGTCCTTTTATTACTTGTAGCATGTGTCTCTCCCGGACAGTGTTACATAACCTGAAACTTTGATGTGTTTTCTACTAAACAGCAGAAAAATGACCTCAGTTTGATAGAGGGAAGCATAAAGGAGAAGCAGATACTTTGTTGTGAACTTTCTCCTTGTTTGTTGCTCCTCAGGTTCATTAAAAAGTTGGAACACTCGTGGAAAGCTCTGGTGTATGACGGCGTAAGTGGATACTCTCCCGCTTTTATCAATGAGCCTTTTCTTTCGCCCACATCCACCGATAACAGCTCAACCTTTCCTCCTTCTTTTCCTCAGGACTCAGTGTCCGTGCACAGGCCCGGGTTTTATGCCAGTCGCTTCCTCAAGTTCATGAGCACACGGGTCTTCAGGAAAAACCAACGTAAGTCTCATGCAAAAAGCCCAGAGAGACACAAGCACTGGGAAGTCCTTGCATGATAATAGGACTCAATATGTAGCCACATTTTATTATCTATCGGATTAGTGTTGATATTCTTGTTACATTAGCTGGAATATTATTTTGTCTTTGCTACAAATAAGACAAGGAAAGCTTCTTGTCTGTTATTCCTTTTTCTCTCAAGAACTGGAGGCGCGTGATCTGTTAAGTCCAGAGTTGATTGAATCAAACACTTTTATCCTACAAATCAAGGGCTTCACGTCGGTTGTGTTTAAATAATCAAGTAGCACGTTGACTTGAAACGGATTAGATTTGGTGTTTTGTAACAATAAAGCACAAAGTCTTGACTCACACAGCCGGACAAAAAGCTTCAGCTAAACTAGTTAAGATTTAGAACTGATGTATGACTAGGGCTGGGCGATAAAACAACGATATATGTCGAAAATTAATTTCCTTCGATATCAATATAAAACATAGTCAATATACTTTTCGCTAGTCGTCATTCTACCATGTTTTGGGCGACTAAACAGAAAGCCAATGAAAAAGGGAGTTTCTGCGGGTTTGCTTCGCATTGAACCAATCATGTGCTGAATTAGAACCAAGAAGCAAACAACTGCGGCAGCTACACGCAACTATAGCACTTTAACAGAGAAAACAGCCGACCATTCAGTCTGCTTTCTCTAGCGCAACACCTTACGACAAAACGTCAAAGAGTCACAAAGACCTCACAGATGCAGTAGCTTATTGTATTGCAAAAGACATGCCACCAATAAGCACTGTTAAATTTCATTTTTTATATCGTGATATAATTGATATGAAAAAAATATACTGTGATAAACTTTTTCCTGTATCGCCCAGCCCTATGTATGACAACATGATTTATCCTCTATGAACGTTTTAACCAGCAGCAGAGTCTGGAAAAGGTTATGAATGTGTCTTCAGTTAAAGCTACCAGAGGTGATCCTGGAACTTTCATGAACAACAAATACAGTGTTGTTGTGTTATGTAACCATATTGGGACAATAAACATGGCTGAGGTGAAGATTTGAGGATTTGGCTGAACTCTTCACCATTGCCAAGTTTTGTAGGAAGGAGATGACAGGAAGGGATTTAATTTCCTGCCCTTCTTGGGGACAGTGAGGGTGACTTTGCGGACACTTGTGTGATTGTTGTTGCGCGTTATTATAGTTACATGACTTTGCTGATAGTTTTGGAGGCAGAGAATTCGAGATTTCCTGTCTCAGGATAATCATCTCTTTCCACTCTGTCAGCCAAATTATCTTCTGCTTTCCTCATTCTTCCTCTACCTCTCTGTTTTTTTTTTTGTTCTCTCACTCTTATGTTCCTTTTTTTTTTTATCACTCTTCAGCACTTCGATTCTCCCCTTCAAAGAGGACTCGCACTTCTATCCCGGCTCTGAAGTCGTCCTCACAGGAGATCCTTTCATTGCAGACGGATGAGAGGAACGAAGAGGACAGGAGGGTCAGGCTGGGAGGAGCCTGCAGTCTGGCAAGTCTGGATGGACAAGGTACAGAAGAAGTTTTATTGGAAAGCCTCGCTCTCATGTCTCTGCGAAGCAAACTCTGTATATGACAGCTTAACTCAAGTATTGCACAGCATTCAGGGATACTTTTAGAGTAACCTGCATTATTAAACAAAAAAATTAACTCTACGATATGATCATGAATGCACCTTTACAGCTTTTCCCCTCTCTCCAGACTGCCCTGTAATTTATCTGCAAAGTAATTGTCTTGCTTTTGTGGCCTAGTAGAGCTTTTAAGCAACACTGAGGCCCATAAACAGCTTCTTGCAACCACCCATAAAAATGCTGTCTTCTCAGCACTGCTCAGGAGCTGTGCTGCTGCTGCCTGATACAGTAATCAGCTGTAATGGAAAGAAAACAGAGAGTTACTTGAAATTAGCATCTATTCAGACACATATTTTACATGTGCATATACATTAAAAAAGCAGAAGCATTTAGTGGACATGATAGTTGAATTCAGGAGTGGACAACACTCTCTCTCTCTCTGTCTGGACACTGACTCCAGCTGTAATATAAAATAATATGAAGCAATTTCAACTGTGAAGCTTATTTACTCTTTTTAACCTGACTAATTCAGTCTCAAAGGGAACAGAGGAAATCAAGTTAAATGGAGAAAATGTTTGTGGAAACATTTAATTTGATAACTTGAATGAAATTCACGTGCCCTTGACATGGAAAATGAGATTACGTAAATGGGTTACTATAAGAACAGCTCTTTTTTGTGAGTGCAGGTGATCCAGTGTGAGCTGTATGTTTTAATCAATACTCCCTCAGTAAGATTTATGATCATATTGATTGACTAATGGAGGATTTGACTGTCAGTGATGGTCAGTGTCTATTTTTTTCAGTGAGAGAGAAACTGACTTTTCAAACAAAGTCCTTTTCTTTCATGGATACTTCTCAGGCTGTCAAAATATATATATCTACCTGGAGGGCCTTTAAACAACTGGATATGGAGTAAAACTGTAACTTGGGCTGTTTTGAAGAGACCATAGGAATCAAAGTTTGTCATCTTTCAGCCATTTAATGTTCATTTTTTTCCCTCAAAGCTGTGTTTGGTTCATACCTGCGTCCTGATCTGGTCCCTGCCAACCCATCCTTCTACGAGGGCTCCTCCATGGGAACCATCTCCACCTCCTCCATCTTTGTCAACGTGGACAACCAAACAGAAGAGAGGTGCGGTGTCTGTCTGTTTGTTTTCCTCCTCACTCTTCCCTGTTCCTCCTTTCCTTCCCTGCTTCTTTTTATATCAGGACACTGTGTTGATTTAGCAGCAGGTCGGGTAGTTTACCTGAGGTTACTGTACGCATTATTGCCATGAGGAGGACGGGAAAGAAAACATGCAGAATGGCCACACCTGACTCACACTCATTCACTCACACTCCTCCTTGTCATTGTCACCTGTGCTCTAACATGACATGGTCTTATTGGTGACGTGCGTCATGGAGCAGGTGACTCAGCTGGCTCAGTAACATGCATCTGATACATGCATTCATGCAACACCTACACAACATATGGGATGAGTAGGTTAGGGAGTTGTGTTGTGTTGTGGTTGTGGTTGTGGGTGCTGTCTTTTATCTGGAGCACATGAAATAATGAAAAGTTCAGTACTATTATATCAATCTTTACTCTAATGAGAGCATTACTAACACTTAAGGCAGGAAAACTCCTCTAGGTTTGACTGTTCTTTAGGGATTCATTCATGATTCCTAAGCTGCAGTTGAACACCGTTGTAGGGTTTATTGGGCGTCATATAAAGTCATCTTTTCCTCTCAATGTTTACTCAACAAAAAAGTCCTTCCTGAGTAAAACTTGCTTTACAAGGAAGTTCTTCTGGCCAAGACAGTAAACCAGATTTATTTCACAAAGTATGAACAAGGAAGAGATTGAATCTAGATCAAGAAAGTGATTTCAATCCAGATCGATGGACCTTACGCATGGGTATCGTTTCTTCTTCGAGGTCTAAATTTTGTGCACATTATTTCGTGTCAAGTCTTTCCTCTGCCTCTCATCTCCCTGCCTCTGTCTGCAGCAGTGTCAGGTTTAGTTCCCTTTCTGCAGCTCTATTGTGTGACTTGCCTGGTCTTGTTCCCTCATCAGTCACCTGCTGCTGCCCTGACATTGTTCTGTCAACTGTCTTCATAAATATTTAAACAGTGACTTTGACACAGCCTTACTTAGTGCTATTATGCTGCAGAAATACAGTGACAAAGGAGGACAAGCAGTGAAGCAGAGACTGTACACAAACCAATAATAATCCCTGTCTGGGAGCCGCTCTGCCTGTGATAATACCAACACTTGATGTTAGGATGCTTCAGGGTGGGATTGTTTGAATCTGTTATTCATATGATTCCCTCTTATTTTTTAACAGTCGCTGTCAAAGAGTGTATATCCTTAATTTTCTTTTTTTCTAGCTTTGATTTTGACTTTGAACGCAAAAGTGGTCAGTCACATGTCATAAGAGGTAAAAACACATTCCTGAATATATTAGGGTGTCACCTGATGTCCATAGAAAAAAAACAGTTCTCATATTACCCCCTGGTGGTCAAACAAGGTTTGATCCAAAGTTAACATGATAGTGTTATTGAGTCACTTTTTTTCTGTCATATTATGCGATCACTGGAATTTTTAATTCTGGACGGTGTACTAACAATATTTTTAATCTAATGTATTTAAATCAGTCTTTTTTTTTTAAATATTGTCTCTAGTTTGGCTTTGACAAACATTTTGCTTTACCAAGCTGAAACCACGATGACAAAAATCTAAAAAGCCACTCTGGAGTATCTCTGTTTTTCTCATTTACCATGCTACAGGTGGGCAGCTGTTATATTACACAATCTCTTAGCAAGGGTCTCCTTTTGTCATGGTCATCGTGGTCAAATATTTCCAGTCTTAAGGAGATATTGTTCATTTCCTGTGAGACATATTTCGACTATGAGCCTCTGAACTGATTCCTCCCTGTGCTGCCTACAGCCCCACGCTCTGGCATCTGCCTCCTAGATGTCAAAATCCCTGCATTAGTGTGTGCTGCGTCCCTGGAGATTATAATCCATCAGTTTTCACACACAGTTTGGACAACTAAATTATACTTAAACTTAAACAAACAGGAGGTTGATAAGGCTTTTTTCTTCTTGTAGAGAGGATGTTGCTTCCAGCTCCACGTTCACTCTGGAGGACAGCGCTATCTGCCTTACTTCAGAGCAGAGCACAATGGATGTGGACATAGACCGTGATGACGGATCTGTTCTGGATGTGTACTTGGTAGGTTTTTATCTTCACCTTATTTTTTGCAGGTCTATAACTGGAAAGTGTCAAAATTTGTAGTCTGATTAAAACTTCTGGGTTTCGTTTATGTTTAAAGTCAATACCAGGCCAGGACTACACATATGGTAACCCTTCTCCTTTTTCTCTCCAACAGTGAAACAGGCATTTTCACAGCCTTCATTTCCGTCTGCCAATCATAAGACAATCCCCTCCTCACTCCATTACACTGACCAGACCGGCCTTTGCCTCCACTTCCAGTGCTGCTAGATCCATGTTGCCACACATGTTGCCAACACATACAAAGACTGAGATTCTCCTCCGGTTGATGGACTAAAAGACCCCACCAGAGTCACAGTGATGATCATCAACAGGAATCATGACATATTATGCAACGTGATGAACGTCAGACTGAAATGAGTGCCGCTTTTAGAGCATGAGTCACGCAGTGCCATTTAGTTTTATATATGTAAACTGTTTTCAATGCCTACTCAGAAACTTAAAGATTTACAATACTGTATATGAGGTGAGGGTAGATACATTTCAGTACGTTTTGTTTCCTCTGACCAGAAATAAATGAAGGACACCTAAAAAAGCTGGCACCTGCATTAGTCGGTGATCACAAGAGTTTACAGCGGATGAATTATCCCCGATGAGCGGGACAGTGACGCTCTCATCGTGTCAACAATCCAGCTCGAAACCACAGCCAACACAGATGAGGAAGGACACATTTGAACAGACTTGATGGATTTTTAACATTTTGAGCCCAAACACAGCCTGAAGTGGTTTAAAGAGTGGCCTCCTTCTCCTCACAGCGCTGTATTTCTTGCTGCCCTGTGGCCTTGACAATGAACTGCTGTAAAGTGATATGAGGAAAAGACAGTTACTGGATCTATAATGAAGTACGCAGAGCAGAGACGCTGCTCTCGCCCCTGATTAAAAAAAAGGCACTTTTGACATTGGTTGTGAAGACTGTAAGATTTATTTTCCTCTGAAGGAGTTGCTTAGGTGGGTGAGCAAACTAGTGTAAGCACAGATTTGAATATGTGAATATGCACTTTTCAGTTTCTCTTTTTCCTCGACTAGTGCACACCTCTGTAAGTCAGTGATCCTACGTGTACAGAGACGGTGAAGGAACATTGGCAGATCATTTTTGATGTGGAGCTTCTAGTTTTGTGAGGTTTGCGTCATGACTGAAATGCTTCTTACTCAGGATATCCTTTGATACTGAACAAGTATGTCCTCTTCAACGAGCGGAGACATACATCCTACACCAAGAAGCTGTCCGATACCTCTTCATCAAAACCATTTCCAACCTTAAATGTTCAATTTCATGATCACATGTTGGTTCCGACCATAATTTATTGTGTCACTCAATACTTTACCATCTGCTGAGAAATACTGTCATTGCTGAATGTAAAGACAATGCATAAATATATATATCTATAAATATATATATATATATAGGAGACTCCTATAAATAAACAGCTTAATTTCAATGTGTCTCGGTATGTAACTGGAAGACTTTTGCACCCTCACTGCCAATGAAACAAAACAAGACCGGTCTCTGTTGTGTAACAATTTTAATTTACAGAACATTGTCAAATTGCATTACATTTAGTGCAAATAATAACACTTCTGATGTACAACTTAGAAATATACAAAGTGTGTAGATTACTGACAAAATATCAAAATTAAAATGCATTCTTTAGCTGACATTGCTCGTAGATTTAATTCTTATAAATCATCGGCAAAAACTGTTTTCCCAGATCCTTCCAAACCTTAAATCCCTAACACCAAATAATCTGATGTTTCATTCAGATGTACTGATCGCAAAACTCCAAACTTCTGATGGCATCAAACAATCTAGAGTAAATTTAAATCTTGAGGTATGATGATATGAAATGCTGACCCTCCCCCCCTGCCCTTCATAAAGTGTTGATAAATGCACATCTGGTGGCTGTACAGTAAAGATAATCAGGATTATTTAGGGTTCATCCTGATGTCTAAGGCATTCTAGGGGTAGTTCATCAGTCAAAGGGCAGGAGGCCACTGCACTGTAGTGTGGCAAGCGAAAAAATGCTGATTTCTTCAATTTAGCGTAGATCTTGGGGTCTAGATTTTATTAAGCATGGTTCTTCTAAGCAGCAGGATATTCGATCCTGACGCTCATTAAAAGAGACATCACTGATGCCTCATCGAGAGCTGATAAAGATGGAAAAACAATGCAGGGTGTACAAAACGTATCCACTCACCTCTCAATGAAAGAGAGGAATCCTCATATCAGACACTAGTGGACCATTTGCAAACACCTGTCAGAAACCGTGTGATACGGCGGTTCAGGACAGATCTTTGTAAAAAAAAGCCAACACATAGTATCGACAAACTACAGTTAACAACTTCACAGATACCCAACCACTGATTATCAGTTCAACCGTGTCCAAAATATCCTCCAACATGAGCTCATTTGACTTAGAAAATGTTCCTTATGTCCCGCTTCAGGTTTCCTTGGCCCGTTATTGTTATCGAATTCAAGCATTTAACAGTCAATTCACATTTCTCAATTTGGTAAACTAACCAAAGACTTACTCTCTTTTTTCTGTACAATACATTGTGTCCACGGTGCTCTCCGTAAGCTACTTCAGAACAATCTAGAAATATAAAGATTTCAAAGCTTTTAGCTCCGCCCCTCCATCAAACCGCAGAGCCAGTCATCACTAGAGGGACAGGAGAAGGCAAGCAAGAGGAGGAACTGTACCACGCCTCGCCAATGCTTTTCCAGCCGTGACCTGCTTCCCTCTCTCTCTCTCTCTCTCTCGTGGTAGTTACTTTAGCAGCAGCAACACAAGTAGCTGTAATACTAGTGATTAAAGCAAACCCACAAAAGTCAAGAAGTATGTAATCATAAGAAATGTACAAAAAAATTTACAAAAAAGCAAATAATTGGAAACAACAATTGAAAAAAACACTTCGGAAACTCTTGAATTTACATACAAATGTACTCATGACCGACTGATGGTTGTTAGGCCATTAAAATGAGGCTGGGATGATAACTACTGATGGATTAAAGCCATAAAACCAGTCCCTCCTACGAACAGGTATCCTGGGGGATGTCCTGAATGATTGGGTGTCCAGCATGTAGGAAGATTGAAAGCACATTCTTATCGACTGGTAAATGGGTCATGTAATCAGTGAGAGGCATAAACAATGCAGTCCCCAAAAAGGCAACCTCGGTCACCCGGAGCCTGAAACAAGAAGAAGAAGAAGAGGTGTAGAAAAATTGATCTCCAAATTTAACCACATCATTCTGGTCTTTTTTTACTGCTGAGACAACACATCCACTAAAGGTTTAACCCAGGGGTTCTCAACCTGCAGTTGAAATGAGATGCTCCTCCTGTCGGCCTCTATCAGGACACCTGAAGCTAAAGCGAGCGCAAACTTTTTTTTCACACAATGCAAATGACCGTGGATGTAAACAGGAATAATATCTGTGGATTATTAAACTGTTGGAGCTGGATGACTGCTCATGCTGACTGTTTGAGACGCCAGAGTGAAGGTAGGAATTTTTCCTGAAGGTTTGATCAGTTTTGTCTCTGCTCAGATGTGTGGTGGACAGATATCAGGTCACGTTTCCTCCTTTATTTAATATCAGATCTCCGTTAAACAGTGGTGTGGTGTGATGAGCTCCTGTGAAAGCTGTAGCTTTGTGAACACAGGTGTGTCTGTTTGTATGAGAGGAGACAGGTGTGTTAATGAAGGAGACTCTGGTGATGAAGTTTATACAGTTAATAGCGATGTTTACTTCAGATCGCTGCTCTATGTGTGTGCGTGCCTGTGCGTAATCTAGTGAAGGTACTTGGTGTGTGAGCCTCTGAGGTAGGCTGTAAATATAGTCTTCTAACTGCTTGGGACTCTGCTACATCTCCTTTGTACTCATAATCCCCCCGCCCTGTGCTCGCGCCACCCCTGGTTGAGAACCCCTGGTTTAATCAAAGGTCACTCAGAAGTTTAAAACTTCTGAATAAGATGTGTGAAGTTTCTTGTTACCTGTTTGTGCTCAGAAGAGGATGGGCTTCCCAGCAGTTTTCTCCTGGACGTAGGAGGTGAAGCGTTTAAGGAACTTGGGATACTCTCTCTTGGCCACGGCTCTGAGGACTGAGGCCGGAGCCCAACCTCCTGGGTTGACTGCAGCCAGACGATAAAATTAAAGAGAAGACTATGAGGAAATGCAAATCTTTGAGGGAAGATAAACCCATAAACCCACAGTGATTTTATTATGAACAGACAGCAGTCAAGGGCGCCCTCTAGTGAGAAGCAAGATGTACTTCTAGTTGTTTGTTGATTTATAAATGGCTCAGATTTCTTTATTTGTGGCTTTATGATAAATTCTTTATGACTGCAAAATTGTGTAACTCAAGGTGACACAAGCAGGGGGTAAAACGAGTTACTCAAAGTGAACCCAGTGAGGTGGAAAAACAACAACAAGAGTACTTATTATTCTTGTTTTGTAAAAAATTGATCCATTAACACCAGATTAACCAAATCCACCCTTTTCATTTGTAGAAAGTAAGCTATATGCCAAAGTTTTCAACCACCTTTTTATGTCTCAGTAAGTCTGTATCCATCAGCTGTTATATGTCACAACTACATTTATTGAGCTTGTATGACAATTTTCTGTCACTTTGACATTTTGAACTTGGATTTGCTTTAACTGTGTGCTGACCAGAAAAGATGCTTTGACCCTGAGAGAATTTGCTCAGTATAACATTTCCTTCTCATTTACTGGTGGTTGAATGTTGATGTAAAAGGTTCACAGGTAGGCAGATTACTGTCATATTGACAATAACAGAGACCTTCTGTCCTGTTGGCAACTAAATCTTACCGTGTATGTACACTGAGATCTTCTAAGCTGAGGAGAAACTTACCGTTGGCAACGTAGGTGATTTTACAAAGTATGTTGTCTCTGCTGATCTCTTTGTCACCCTCTGGTGGACTAACCAGAGTTTGGCAGATCATGGCAACATTGATTTTGGCACGAACACAGCGGTTTGTAGGCTGAAAAAGACACCAAAACATAAATGCAAACTATTTCCAAACTGCTAAAAATACCACTGAAGTCAATAAAAAGTAAGTAAACAAGGTAAAGAGGTCTGAAACTATTCTTTACTTTTACTTATTCTTTGCTGCAATACATTTCTGATTGACTAAGGGTCATTTTTAAGAGAATGAATTAATTATCTGTGATTTCTAATGTGTATAAATATGCACGGCAGCATGTTTATCAAACAGTTTCTGATCCACTAAAAACATCCAAAACTGTCATCTTACAGCGGCATTGTCATGATCCACAGAGAAGTTGCAGACCAGCCATGTGTCAGGGTCATTTTCATTCGTTGCCAAGATCTTCCTGATGGCGGACAGGTAGAGAACGTCTCTCTGCGATGCCGGCCACACTCTCTGCAACACACAACCAGAGGCTTTCAGCGGGACATCAAACAAGCAGCACAGTATCACTGATCTACTGTGCTGCAGCAGCGTCTAACAGCAACTTCAACTCAACTTACCTTGTGTGTCTGATAAACAATGACCGCATTGTCCGAAAGTGTTTCTACGACGTTGAAGTTTTCAATGGTGGCTGCAGGAGATAAAATGAAGAAGGGTCATGACATGAAATCAAAAAAGGTCAAACTCTGAATATTTAAGATGTAGACCTCTGAAGTTGTGAACTCACTTTCCCAGTCCAACCGCACAGCTGTGTCCCAGAAGTAGTGGCAGACCTCATGTCCTGTCACCCCCTTCACTGCATGTGTGGCTTTGAGAGGATCCAGGACGATACCGTTCTCCTCTACTTCTCTCCTGTACACCTGTGACACAGATTAAAACCACAGATCCAGACTGTAAAACATATTATTGTCTGCGCTACATCACAAAGGCTTATGTATCCTCGTGCAGAGTATGGCAGGAGCTGATTTTAGTATAAATAAACTAAAGGAGTACAACTTTCAAAAATTCTGACAAATTTATCTTTTAAAATGGATATTTTGATTCTGCTCTTTCTGCAATTCTTCTACAATAACGGGTCTTTAACAGCGAATAAGAATTATGTATTCACCACCGGAGATCAAGGGAAATTATTCATGAGCTTCTTCGCTCCTCTGAGCTCACCTTCATCTCTCCTTCTTCTATTACCAGCTGCCAGTTGGCATCTCCGCCCACATCCTGAAGAGAGTAAGTCATATGATTCTGCACCATCTCCTCCACCTGAGACACAGACAGACATCGATTCAATTCTCCAGTTGAACATTTTTTTTTAAGTCTCTTTACTTGCCTACACGAGGACCTGAAACAGGAAAGTTCGTTGTATTGGGCTTAATAATTTATAGACTTGAGCAATCGACGGACCTGGCACCTGTGCTCATATTTCATAACAAGTTTTGATAAAGTCATAAAGAAGACAAACAGGTGAAACTAAGGCTCTCGCAAAATCTGAGGAATTCCAGAAGAAAACACAATAGCCCTAAAGCAGTAGCCGTGTCAATATCAAACACTCAACCCTGCTTTGGGGCTTGTTTCCTGACATCCGAAGAATGCTTTCAGGACACATGCAGAGTCGGTCTGGAGTCAAGCTTGCTCATGCTGTGGAGAAGTGATGTGAAGTAACGGAAATGAAGAGGTTACCCTAGATCCAGGACATGCAGTATGGATTTTTTTTTCTAATCAGTGTTTAAGTTTCTTCTCTTATCTTTTTTCTTCAAGCATCAAATGACATAAAAACATAAAACCTACTAGCACATGCTTCTAGACGTACACAAAGTCTTAACAGAATCCTGGAGTGACTGGTTAGGATGGTTCGGTTAGGATGGTTAGGTGAGGACTGGATCATGCTCTCTTTTGCTACACTAGGGGGGCAGAAGGCGTTTGCATAACCCTGCAGAAACAGGTGCTGTCGATCAAATACAGTACCTGTGTGCTGAACCTGTGAATGTCATCCGATGCACTGACTAGCTCAACGGAGGACAGTGAAGAAGAATGGCTATGCGGCTGTACGGCAGGAAGGAAGATTGAAAGAGAAAAGAATAAGGAACAAAACAGAAAGAGTCCACAGGGCACCATAAAGACCTACTGAGGTAGTAGCACTCATAAGGAGATGTTATATAACCTCTTAAATTACAGCAGTAAGCAGCACACACTGATTTCATGATTAAGAATGGACACAATGACCATGTTATTCAAGTATGAGCACACAAGCTGCACCTGCAGAGCTTTACAGACTGACCAGAGTGGTTGAAGACAGGAAGAATGAGACATGACAAACAGCAGCGCTCAATAAGCTTATATTAGAACAAGAGGGGAATGAACCTGAATGTACATTACAGAGGAGGTAAGAAATCTATCGAGCACCTTGGTGGCATATCGGTGTGTACCGATTGTGGAGTAGGCGTCTCCAGGAGGCACTGGAGTCAGTCGAGGTATCCTCACTTTCTCCGACTGGCACTGAGGGACAAAGAGTGGGAGTTTCAGAGAAAGACAACATCTGTGTGAAAAGATGTATCTAAAGTTTAGCCGAGGCGTGGTTTAGATGGAGGATAGGAGCAGTGAAAGGGTGGACAGTGGAGGAATCTTAATGCTCTGTTTAGCATTGATGGATATCTATGATCGTGCACAAAGAGCCCAGCTTTAGATCTACCTGCTCCTCGATCTTGTCTTGTCTATCCAGAGCAGCTTCCACGGCATCGAAGAACTCGTCCTCATTGATCAGACTGTTGGGTCCTTCCTGTGGAAAGCAAATGTTATAATCAATTTAAGCCTCTGGGTGTAACAGCACTGAAGAGGGAGTAGTTTATATAAAAAAGCAAAAACTTAGAGATACTAAAGAAATCATCTTGTGTGTAGGGCTGGGCGACATGGGAAAAAGTTTATCACGATATATAAAAATCACTTGTCAATCTTAAATATACCCTGATTCTCTTAACAGTGCTTATTGGTAGCATGTCTTTTGCAATACAATAAGCTAATGCATCTATGAGGTCTTTGTGTCTCTTCGACATTTTGTCATAAGGCGTTGCGCTAGAAGAAGCGGACTGAATGGTCAGTCCAGCTCGGCGTGGACCTGGAACAACTCCTCTTTTCACTGGCTATTTGTATAGTCTACCAAACATGGCAGAATACTTGCTATCGAAAAGCATATTGACCATACTTCATATCGATATAGAGTGAAATAAATTTTTGATATATCTCATAATCGTTTTAACGCCCAGCCCTAGTTGTGGGTAACAAATTTATGTAACTGTGTCTCATCTTGCCTCATAGTCAGGGCCTCCGTAGTGCGACTTTTTCTTGAGCTCATTCATTGCAGACTTGTAGGCATCTTCTACCCTCCTCCTCTTTTCTAGCTCCTGAACAGAAGGATAGATGTGGTGTGGTTAGTACACGTACATGACACGATTGATAAACAGCATCATTTAAGCGGGAACACCCATTGAAATATCTGTGCTGCTTTCAAGAGAGATCAGCTCCATATTTAGACAGAAACAAAAAAGAGTTCATTGTTAATATTTCAGGAAACCATCATTCCCAGTGACAACATCCTTTCATCAGATCACAGCTCAAAGAGGAGCGAATAAAAGGGAGGAAAATAAAGGTCAAACAATGGGGCCAACCCACCACTTCATTCAGCAGTGAGTGCCTGAGCACTCAAACAGGTTTTACATAATCTGTCATTCCCTGCCAGAGGCAAATACACAACAGACTACTCTTACAGCTCCGATCATCCTCTTTAGAAGAAACACAGGAACTTAAGAGAGCCGGAACTTTGAGTCTGTTTGAAACGGCAAATTAATCAAAAAGGTAATAATGTTATTAGGTACCATGAAACCATTAAACAACAACTCACAAACACCTTCACATTTCAGAGGAAAAACACAAACTAAAACGATACAGATTATGGTTAGAAAAGAACAGAAAATCAACAGTAATACAGGAAAATAAAACAGACAGGGTGAGACTAAGACACTAAAAAATGTCAGGCGTGGACGTGTATCATTGTCAGCTGATCCCTTTGTCGGCTCTGTGTGTGTTCACTTCACCGTCAGACAGAAACCTACTGTGAAGACGGGACTGCAGGTCTGAAGAGGTATCCATTTTTGTGATTTCTGTGTTTGGTGTTTGAGCAGCTCTGTCCCCTTGTGTAGTGAAGGTCTTAGTAAATTGCACCACGACGTCCGAGAAGTCATTTTGTCCAATTCACTATCTGTATAATCCCGGTCTCAGCAGGCGAGTAATTCTCCTTTGAGTGTGTGTTCTGAGGCCGTTCCTGTCTCTTTCCTCCACATCAGCAGCTTAAGTTCACGTACATAAGAAAACTTAGATAAGATTGAGGTAGTATCACTCCAGCACTCCTGCCAACTGAAAACACTTCTCGGCTTTAGTTAGTTTTCCGGGCTGGGCAGCACGCCTTCACACAGGAAAAAAAAAAAAGAAAAACCTGTTTGGCAACATTGACTGATCACCATGAGGAGCTCTGAAGAGCACATTTCAAGAGACACACATTGTTGTTGAAACAAGGCACAATCAGTGGATGACAGAGACGTGAAGGAAACTCTGGCCATTTAAAGAGTCAAAGTCCAGGTCAACAGGTGTGTTTATGCAGGCTGGACTATTATGAAACATTCAAGTTTTATCTGTTGATGCTGATTGACCTCCATATTTACATGAGCCTGCTACAGAACAATCAAAATCACTTCTCCAAGATATTCTTCTTTCTTATTTCACAAAGTTTTCAATTCTGAAAATCACAAACTTGGTTTACACTTGTACCAAATGATTGACTGTCTTTCTAGAAACACCTCTGATGTAGACACCCATACTTTTCTAACGAGACAGACTCCGATTAAGGCGTCTTTAAGCAAAAATGACAAACACGCTGAAACTTAAACATATACCCATGTCATATCTTAAACAACCAAAAGTGAAAACGGAGGAGCGCGGCCTGTTGAACCTGTTCATTCATTGTTTTTTGAACAACTAGTGAGTAATACCTGTAAAAACCACTCTGGTGTCACCCCCGTCGTATAAATATTTGCTGTTTCAAAACTGTTACACCTTTTAATAATAACAATAATTATTATTTGAATTTACATAGCGCTACAACATTTACCACACTCGTACATCAACATGAATACCTTTCTGTTTCAACACACTTTAGTGTTGGTTAAACAATCAGACAGCCCAGTGTTGCAACATCATGATCTGGAGGCAGCAATTAGCTCCAAAGCCTGTGGTGCCTCCGTGCAGTAGCAGCTGATGACACGTCCATCCACATGAATTATTATCATTACTTACATGTCGCTATGGACACAGGAGTGACAGACAGTATAATCACGCAGTTTGAAGAGCAGGGCTGTACCTTGTCGAGTCTCTTTTGCCAGCTGTCTTCTCGTTTGACCATCAGTTCGATGCAGTGAGACAGAGTGGAGAGGATTCCCGCTGTAGTGGCCTTAAAAGTGATCGCCTCACCCTTGAAGTCTATCCCGTTCATGCCTTTGGGACTAGTGGGAGGAAACACTGAAACAGACAAAAACAGAGTGATAATCGAGGTGACGCTATATACATCAGCTGAGCAAAGATCGGGGAGTGATTAAAAACAGACATTCCACCCTATCCTGAAATAAACTGAATCTGATAAAATACCAAGCGATCAAAATGTACTTTTACTCAGATATGTTCAAACACAGCTCTGAATAGTCGCACAGCATCTTCAAGAAAACTCACATTTCTCTTTGCTGCCGTTGTTGTTGTGATTATATTCACTGTCAGGCCTTGTTGTAGTGGAAAAGTCATCTTCATCCTCCTCTTCTTCTGTTGAGGACACAATGACATTGTTCACATTTTTTTGATTTTCTACTCGTGCAGTCAGATAATACGTTATCACGGACACAAGCAGATTCTCAGCAGAACGACTTTAAAAACCTGTTCGACAGGAAAGTCAAGCATCCACATTTCAAGAGTTTCATGAGCCAGTTACTACACTTTCTTCTGGATTATTGTTTACTGTGTATTGCAGCATTTATTCAGTGCTTAATGCATCATTAATGAAGCTACAAGGTTATATAACAGATTTAAGGGATTTAATACAATAAAATGTTCTTGCTCAGATATCCATCGTACTATCAAGTCCCTTCTAGATGAATTTTGATTAATTCTAACCACTCTCCTTCACCCTCACAATAAACCAGGTCAAGTAGCTCTACATTTAACAATATTTTCCCTTTCCAGGAAGTACAAAGACCAATGTCTCATGCCATGGCCACACCACTCCTTTTTTTAGATTGTTTTCTCTATTGTTTAACTAAACCCTGATGTGACACGGGCTTCTTACAGCTGTATTCATGCCGTTAATTACCTCTGTCTCTCTGAAATTCATCCTTGGAGACGGCATCGGCGCAGGAGTCAAAGTATTTCTGCAGGGTGTCCACCTGTCTGCAAAGAATGTCTCGGAAGGTTTCCATTTCTGCTAGCTTCTCACGCAACCTGTGTCCCTTCTGAGCAAAAGGAGAAAGACAATTAAGAAGAAGTCAGGGGAAATACTGATATCATGTTTCTTGTTTCAGTTACAGGAGTCAGGATAAAAAAGTACATCTAACACAAACAGCTGAAATAATTACAACTTAACTGGACTGAAGCTATTCAGTTTTCATTTGTATGTATTGATATTAGGGCCCGATCGATTTATCGGCGAGCTGATTAAATCAGCAAATTTTAGCCCGCTTAAGACTAATTGGTAATCGGTCAAAACTCGCTGATTTTCGCCGATATTTTCAGAAATAAAATGCGGAGATTTGGTTTCACTTCGAAAATGTTCCGCCATTTGAAAAGTTCCCTGACTTATCCTGTAGATGGCGCAGCGACCTCATGACAATCTTCATCCACTAACTACCTCACAGCACAGCAGAGTGACGGATCTGAAGCAGGCAGGGACAGGGACGCACAGAGGAGAGTGGTCCGTCTCAGCGGTAAATAAACTACTTTGTGAAATACACAATAAGTCAACAAGTTTCAGTTCAACCCACTTCATGATGTCCCCCGCTGTGCTGGTCTAGGTCTCGCCGAGTTAACAGTGAAGCACCATGTAATATGCAAGCTAAAGTTAGAGTTAGCCATCTGCTATTAGCCTTGCTACACTGTTAGCCGTGCCAGTAACGGTAGAATAAACAATAGTACACATTATGTGAACGAGCTACTTCTCTTACTGAGGCAGATGCATGTCCCAAGATGAGACCGGACCGGAAATGAGTAACGTGAGTTAAGACGCGGAGGCACCGATCGGTGGGGGGGTGATCACTCGGTCTTCCTGTCGGCGTGAAGAGCAGTAACCTACAATATAGGTACAATATATCTACAGTATATATATATATATATATATATATATATATATATATTTTTTTTTTTTTATAATGTAATAAAAAAATCGGTAATCGGTAATAATCGGTATCGGCATCGGCCCCAAAAAAATCCATATTGGTTGGGCCCTAATAATATACATCAGATATGGCAATAAGGGACAGTTGAACATGATCTGCTGTGGCTCAATATCATCAAACTCTCTGGTGATTGTGATTTTTTACCTTAAACGAGGATGTAGATGTCGCAGACAAGGCACTGGCTGCAGAGGTGAGGGACAACATGGAACCATGACGCCGAAGACTGGTTTCTGAACCGTAGCCAGACTCGGCCTGGGGATCAAAAGAAAGAGAGAGGGTATTATAAAAGGTGATGACAGAGAGGGGAAAATAGCAGTGAGGTGAAGACAAGAGAAGGAAAATGAAGACCAGAGAGTGCACAAAGCTATCCGACAATCTGAGGAATCAAACTTAAAGTCTGCAGCTCATAAAAAACCTGCAGTCTGTAGCACTGAGTAATGCTGAGCTTGACCACAGCAGGCCCTACACCTACATAGACAAACAGTCTTTTGTAAGGGACTAGGGATGACAAACAGAGGCATGCATACAATCTTCCAGCAGACCTGATACTCCTTGGTTGTGTAACAGCTGAAGTGAACAACAGTTGATCCCAGAGTGAACAAAACTAGGCGTGAATAGTTTTCTTGACAAAAATACCACAACTACATGGTGGAAGATAAAATCTACTTGTTTAAAAGGCATTGTATAACAGATCTACTTTACGAGAAGGCATCAGGGTGAGGCTCTGACCACAAATGCTCCAGTAAACGTATGGTTGAGCAAAATCTGGGAGTGCCAACTTCACACAGCAACAGAATTCAATAAAGGATTTGAAGTAAAATTTGCATGCATAAACCAGCGCTGTTGTGTGACAAACAACGTTATCCACTTCATATGAGAGTTACATCAACAGACACTTACACTTATTCATCAGGAGCAGTGATAAGATGGTGAGACAATATGCTAAATTGCTAAAAGTCTTCATTGATTTGTTGTGGTTGAGTAACGGCTTCAGACTGTGGTTGTACTTTTTATATTTTCTCCAAACTAAACTTTTTCAACAGTGTAAAAATGGATTTCCTTAACTCACAAATAGAGGCATTTTTTCCAAGAACAATGGGAAAGTGAAGAGGCAGTCAGGTAAGAAACTCAAGAGAAAGCCCACATAAACCCCAGTGGCTGTTACATCAACTCCAACAGGATGACAGGCGGAGAGAATCGACTGTGACTGCTGGTGAACAGACAGCGGGGCTGATTCATCCTCTGTTCAAGACCAGGAGACAGAGAATTAAGTCTAACTGTTTGCTTTTATAACCCTAAGGTTGCTAAGATTAACGTTAGCGGGGTAAAACAGTTAACTCTCATTTGCACAGACATGTCTACTAGCTGCAGTTTCGGTGGATTTAATGGACTCCTTGCTTTAAAAACTGATATTGGGCAGAGAATTGTGTTGTATTGTGGACAAAGATAAATGCCAATCGAAATTCTGTATTACAAAAACATGATAGCTGTAGCCAGAAAAGTGACCTAACCCAGTCTAAAATAGGTTCACGAGCGTTAGATTAGGGATAAAAAGAATTAAAACAGTTGAAACTAACAGGAAAATGTTTACAAGTTTGGCTAAATGTAGCTTAAATACAGTTAAAATTAATCTAACGGTCAAATTCAAAACATCTTCGTAGCTTGCGTCAGGCTGGGCTGTAGCCGAGTGGTTGCTCTGCTGCACTGCAGTTTCTTTTAAAAATAGAAAACATTTCCCCGTCCCGATCAACAAAGAGGATGTTCGGCATGTAAGGTTTGTTATTTTGAGTTTTACATGAAAGTCAATACTTTTTGAGACTTTGGCTTGAGGTTCACAAAGTGCTTCAGCAGCAGTGTGTCACAGACAATAACTAAACAATTAACATCAATAACTACTTTGAAACTTTACTTGAATAGGACTTTTGTTTTATGCTTCTTTTTAGTCTTTACTGCTTTCTTAGTAACTGCATCTGTCTAATAAAAACCACATCTCTGCTGTAAACATCAACTGGATTTGTAATATTTTTTTGGACACTTAAACACATTAAGTCCTCGAGCAAACACACATGTGTTAATGTTTACTTCAGGTTGAACTTTTGGCATCACCTCCACTCCAAACAGCTGAGCACAACAGTTTTGGCAGATACACAAGTGGATAAACATTCAACAAAAAGCGCTCCTGGCGAAAGGCTATTCTTGTAATGTTACCGCAAAACAATCTAATGTGCTCTCTGCATTGTTTTCACCGAAGAGTTGCAAAACGGTAGAGGTGTTGTATTTTGTTCAAGCAAAGACAAGGAGGCAAAGCAGAGATTGTAATCTGAATGCAACTGGTCAGCTCCAGAGCACAGCCAAGCAAATGTCACACCCTCTCATACTCGGCAAATGGTGTTATATGGAAGAGCTTTGGGATGGCAACTGGATGAGGTTAGGTTTGGTTACTGAACATAGCATATGTGAGTTCTATGCATCCAAACATATTGCTGCTAAAGACAATTCAACGAATTATCCTTTCAATCCAGCAAAAAGCCATGCAGTCCAACTCTTTTCAGTCTGAACTCTGAATTATTCACGTTTCATAATATTTTTATAATTACTAACATGCACTGGAGTTCACTGGAGCCCATCAGTGATGAGATATATTGTATGAAATGCATGCAAACAGAAAATATTAATTTATAAAATCCATAAATAAAAGAAAGTATGGACTCTCTTTTCCATTGGTTGCACCACAATTATTTCATGCCACTTAAGACTTATGTGAAGAAAGCAGACGCAAGCAAGCAGCATGCCAACATGCTATAAGCCCACCATTCGGCCATTCCAACACCCAAGGCAGAGCAGGACACTGCTGCAATCCAGACGATTAGCTGCCCCCAACATGGACCTGACGCTCCCCCAACACTCCCACTGCTCTGACAATTGAGGAGCTTAAATCCAGTACTCCAGTTTCCCCGGACACACCTCACTGAGGAACAAAAGGGAAGAGGAAGAGATGGGGAAGAAAAGCCATACAGGCTCTGCTTAGCACATCAAGTGGAAGACAGCTGCAATGACTGAGCGAAAGGAGGAAGAAGAAAATGTCATTTGCTCTCTAGCAACCAGAGGAGAGGCAGACTCTAAATGTTCCATGAGGCAGACGGAGAAAAAAGGATGAGTCTTGTGCTTCCTCTGCAGAGTGGAGCACGTCTGCTTCCAGTCAATCAGCTCTACCGCAGAAACACACATGGATTTAAGACACACGCGTATGAGTACTACACTCTTACAGACCACACACCCGGATATGTGAAACCTTTTCATCCTGTCCGACTCTATGTCCAGCATCCATCACCGAGCGAGCCACGGTTTGTGTGTGTCTGTAAGTTAGGGCAAGAGAGGTGTAAGAATGGGTGCATGAATGAATGCTTGCATGCATTACAGACCAAGCGTCCCAGGCTGTCTGGAGCTGTTTGTGCGATACAGCATTTAAGTACCAAATATGTGGGCGAGTGAAGCAGCCCACTGTATGTTATGAGAGAGAGAGAAAGAGAGAGAGAGAAAGAGAGAGAGAGAAAGAGAGAGAGAGTGACAGAAAGACAGAGAGTAGGAGGCAGGGAACAACATTTTCCAGGGTCTTCTGTTTCAATTCTGCCTTATTCTCCTACGATCCTTTCTCATATTGATTTGCTAATGCCTGATCCAGATCAACAGAGTTCAGACTGTGTCACCAACAAGCCTGCAGATGTGACAGACTGACTATGACTACAATAAAGAGGGTTTCCTCCTCCTTTCCCCCCCATCACCCCTCTAAATCGAACACAGTGAGACGGCCCTCTCAGTAGGATCCAGAGTTTGATGTGTCCCTCTTGATTTTGTTGCCGTATGAACATGCAACAAAAAACCTGAATTATTCATCAAGAGCACCACTTAACGTCCCCGTGGTTAGCACGACTTTTTCCACCAACACAAACACACCTACACATAAAAACACAAATGGCCCTGAAAAAAAAAAAAAAAAAAAAAAAAAAGCCCTTATTCACCATAGTATAACATATTGATAATATGACTATTTTTCATGGTGGCTGTTAGACTGTGAAAAGGCATCTCAGAGCTGCAACTCAGATTCATTGCACCTTTTGCAAAGCACATTTAGAGGTGGATAATAAAACAACACAATATGTAATCCCACAACAAAGACTTCTGAAAGTGAAATGTTATTTAGTTTGAATGTGAACTACGTCTTTTTCACTCTCTTGTAGAAACCAACATCTACTTGATCCTTTAAAGCACTCATGAGGAGTTTTCAGCAGGTTGTGAGATTAACTGAAATTGATATTGGTGCCTCACAAATGTTACAACCAGCAACAAGACTGAAAAGTTTAATGACATTAGATTAGAAATTAAAATCTGTAATGTTTTTGTTAATATTATTATTGTCAGTTTCTATACTGTCTTTGTAATACTGCTGCAAGGGGGAAGTTACCAGACCAGATGACTGACAGCATGCTCAAGAAATGGCTTCACTTCACACTTTTTAAGACCAAATCACTGAAATGAGTGACACGTTTGACTGTTAAAGAGAGAGCAGGTTTACAACTTTTTTACTTCTGATACAATACAGATATTGCAGCCTTCAGTACCGGCCAATACCGATATTGATCCGATATTAGCACAACCTTGTGAATGACAAGTTTTGCATTCAGCTGCAAAGTCATTTTCAGAATCAGACGAGAAATACTGCCACTCAGCCAACATCCCGACATCACTCCTACTCCTTGTTACTTGGTTAGTACTTTGGTACACACTGTTGTTGTGATTACATGGGCTCTGCATGCTGGATCCGGGCACTGCGAGGTCGAGGACTGTTTGTATTAGTGCTGATATCTGAGATCTTAGGCTACATTCATACTGCAGGTTATGATGCACAATTCGGATTTTTTTGTTAAATCCGATCTTTTTGTGCGGTCGTTCACATGACAACAACGAATGCGGCATCTAATTTGAACGGAATGCGTCCGTGAAGTGACCTGCATGTGCACAAAGCACAAATTGCTTTCCACGCCTGTTTGTGTTGTCGGACAATGGTGACGTTTGTCGCATACTGATGACGTAAAGGTCGGATGAACGCGACCTGAGTGTCCACAATGCAGTCACATCAGATACATATCGGATTTATATCCACATACAAAAGAGGCCTGGGTAGGATTTGAAAAAATTGCACTGTTCACACTTTCATGAAAAAATCAGATATGTGTCACATATGGTTATAAAATCAGAATTGACCTGCAGTGTGAACACAGCCTTAGATGCAGGCCGATATCTGATATTCCATTTTTGCTGATATCAGACTGATATCAATACCAGATCGTGACATCCCTAAATGGGATGATACTTTGTTTTGTCAGAAAATACCATTTCTTGCATGTCTTCAACAAGATCAGCAAAGTCATAACATGCAGTTGGAGGACCACCAAATTCGACACAAACTCAAAGTTTCTCACAGCACCTTTAAGTAGAAGGTTGTAATCCAACAAGTGTTCTGCTTTCATATCTTTGCAGTTATCCAACTCTAATAAATCTGCAGAGTCCGCCCTAATTTTTAAGACAGAACCAAAGACTCAACTCTTTCAGGAACACCAGCACACTTAAGCACAGCTCTTCTCCTTTACAGCCCATATTGGCAGAGAAGGATACAACAACTTTTGATCCACACAGTCTCTTTCTTCTTTAGAGAACAACAACTCTGCACTTGGCAGTTTGGTGCTTGAGATGATGGGACTGTAGATAATGTTGCTTATGATGCTGATAATGATGCAGTTGGGTTTTCATGTTAATAACAATTATTTATTGGCTACTGTTGTGATGGTAACACAATAAAGTAAAACAACAACATACTGTGCATTACCTTTTAGCACTCTCCATGTTGTTTCATTGGGACTAGATCTTTGCTTGTGTTGTACTTACTCTCAAATATACACCACTTTGGAAAATACCATCTGCGAATTGAAATTGTAACTGTAACATTTATTGTGTGCAAAATTTGGTGTGGGTAAATCTCTCAGGATCTTTTTATAAAGCTGACATACATTTCATACAAAACTGGTCTTGTACAAACTAGACTCTCCAGACTTTGTGCCAATAGTTGCTACATCAAGATCAGACAAAATGACACTACGATCAGGCAGTGACAGGCACTCAGAATAACTAAAAGCAAAGGACGATTAAAGAGGCACATTAAGTAATAAATCTTGACTGTTTCATAACCAGTGAAAGAGTCTACACAGCAAGCTACAAGACTGATAACAAATATGGATTAGGGTTATGAAACTTAATGCTTCAAGACAGTTAGCAGGATACAATGACTTTCAGCAGAGGGATCAAATGTTAACTTTCAATATATATATTTTTAGTTTCAGAGCGGTCAGTGTTTGCACTTTGCTGGAAACTGAGACTATCTTACAGTAGGCTTAACTAAATCTTCATCCATACATTAACCCAGACTGCATGATATAGGTCCTTCTCTGACCACTTGGAGGCAGTGCAGACATAGAACTGCTGTACTAAGCTCTCTGAGGTTACTATGGGTCACAATTCAGACATTACCTTGAAAACTCTCATGCTGTTGTTAATGGACTAAAGACCTACAGTCACTCTCACTCAATTAGCATGCCAGCACCCGGTGGCAAGAACAGAACCACCTTTTAGTAGAGAAGCAGGCCTAATGACAACTGACGGTATAGTGATATTTTCGTTCCAGTGACTACAGTGATTTTAGACTTAAAATGCAAATAAGCAAGAAAAACAACATGGGTGGTATTAATAAAATATAGAATTAGATGTCTTGTGTATTTGTAGTGTTTACAATTTTGACTTCCAATCTGACTCTTTACTTTTTTGTTCACTCAGTATAAAGAGATTGTCCTTTTTCATGCATCTCTGTAGACAACATTTGTTCACTGTGTGAGCAAATCAATAAATAGTGAAGTAAACAGTAAAAAGAAACACAGAGTTAAGTACAATCTTGCTTAGGGATTGTCAAATTCAAGCTGAATAATTGCAACTCTACTTTATTTCATACACTTTACATTGACAAAAAGGCATCTTTTACTAGCAGCTGCCTGTTATCTGGTGACAGGGGATACCCCCACATCATCACCTCACTCCTCAGATTCCTCACATTCCCGGGGGGAGGGAGGTATATATGTGTATGCCTTCTGTGTATCTCAACCCCTGAATCTCTGCCACACCCAGCTCCCTGAACTAAACAGACAATTCCCTGTCTGTTCTGCAAAACACGCTGACCCAAAATTGAACCTAACAATCTAAAATATGAGAATAATAACTTTGAGTGACAGACTAAGCAAGCCAAAGAGAAAAAATAAACTAATGCTTTCAATGACCTGAGGATCTCACACAGGACAACATCAGAAAATCTGTTCAGACTCTCGACAAACATCACACAAATCCAAGGAACACAGGCTCATCAGGGACTGGATTCAGGCATACGGAGTACTGTTTTGCTGTTGGAGTACTACAGATGACTTGCTGACACAGAAAAGCAAAATCCCCTTGAATGACTTAACCACAAGACAATCTCTATGACAAACAAACTTAAGTGTGGAAAGATGCAAGCAAGAGAACTGTTTGGGAGAAGAGAGACTCTTTCTACTCACCTTGTGCAGCTCTATTGACTCAATCCACTGGAGTCTGTGCTCAGGATCCTCGGCTCTTAGGTACCAAACGCTGTCATTCACACTGATGTCAAAACGGCACTCGTCAAACTCATGAGGCTGCAGGGAAAGAGGAGAGGGCTCATAAATAGGCGCTGGGCGAGGTGTCTGAGTCATGTGAGGACATACTATAACAAACTTACGAAAAAATCTGTGAAACATTTTCCTCCTCACCGATAAAATCATGGTATAAACATTACGCTGAAGTGTTTCTACTATTGTTTCTCTGTTTATGACATTTGCTGACAAGATATGACAGATTCTGGTCACACATGGGTTTCATCAGTCACAGAGAAGCTTTTGCTGCACACTAAACAGGCATTTTAATTAGAAACTGATGTCTTAGCTCTGCAGGCGCAACCCTAAACGACCACAGCAGACAGAAGTGTACAAAAACACACATTCTTTCGGCATTCCTGTGCCTGAACCTGGGACATCAGAACCTTTCCTTCTGCTTTTGGGCCAAATTGTTACAACTATTTCACTCCCCCGTTCTACAATGCACCCCACCCAACTCCAACTACTGACCGCCTCAAACACCCAGACACGTGCAGCAAAGAATTCCCTCGTTTCCTCTGAGATTGGAATTTGACCACTGTACTCAGCTGAAGAGATCTGCTCTGCAAAAGGTTCCCGATTAAATACAAGGTATAGCTGACTTGAATCCCCTTCTCGTGTTTTTTTTCTCCCCTCAGTGGCACAGTTCCAAGACTGAAGCTCCTCTGTCAGCTGACATAACCTCACGTCGCACAAGCCTAATTACATTTGCTGAACGTTACTCATGTGCTGATTTATTTGCTGCAACAGACAACAGGCCCATGACTTCAGCTCTACATATAAAGCATCAGTCTGCGTAACTTTATGCAATGACGCATTTACACGTTAAAACCCGAATTTGTTTCAAAATTTGCCTATGTGGGATCACACAGAGGTGAATATTGTCTCTTGCTTGTCACAGTTTTCCCTTTAGTTAGCAACACTATAGCCTAAGACAGGTACAAAATCAAAAATACTTCAAACAATCCTGTTGAAAGAGAGCTGTGCAGCAATGCCGACCTCAAGTGCATCCAGGCATGTTGCCGTTTCAGAAATCCAGTTTATCTCACTGTACTGTATCAGACACAACCCATAAACCTCTGCTTTACAATCCAGTTTATAACTCTTTCATTTGGCCTGGAAGAATCTCCTTCCCCTTGCGTAAGCACTACTGAGCATCCATGCTACACTGGCTTTTTCTGTGGCACCTTTACTGTCGGACAGAGAAGGTTATCAAGCACTGACGGTCATCATCGCCAAAAGAGAATTTAATTAGTTCTTATTTCTATGGCGATTTATAGATAGACTAGGCGGTGAAATCTCCTATAGACAGCAGTCTGGTGTTCATATTCAGCCTCACAGTGTGTAACAGATGGATGTTAGGCAAAAAGCAAAGCAGGGGCTTGCTTCTGCATTCCTGAGTCCTCATACCACTGGCTTTAGATATTTTGGAACAGAGGAGCGGCAGCAAGTAGAGACCATACTGCTCATATTATTACAGAACATGTGTATCAAAACTATGTACACAGAGAGTACTCTTGCACAGTTAGAAAAAAAACCCTGGATGTCTTGAAGGATTCCACGCTGGTCAGCACAAACACAGGAACTGGTGTAACACTCGCTCAAATGAACACTCTCACGAGAGGGAACTAACTGTAATCTCTCATGTTGTGGTTTTAATCCTGTTTTGAGTCATATAATCCTATTGCACAAATCGCAGCAAAACCATTTGTTTGGCCTCTGTACTTGGTTAGTGGAATGCTCAAAATGAAGAGTGAATATTTAACCAGGGTACTGGATTTCAATTCCAAGCGTACCAACAAGAGGCCAGGGAGACTGTCTTATAGTTGCCTCATACATCTTAAAATATAGGAAATACATGTTGTTTGAAGTTTGTGCACTTACTGCTATGGATGAAAGGTATAAAATGTTCTCAAATAGTTTCTAGAACAAGAATGCCTTGGTCTGCTCAGGTGCAGGCCGCCCCTTTGATTTTAATAACCTGTTAATGTTTGCCCATCTACTCTTGAGGAATGTGGATTGGACAACTTTAAGTTCAACTCTATGCGTCAGATGGAGAAAAACTTGATCGAATCACACAGACGATTCCTAAAATCCCTGATGCAGAAAACAAGCCCTGTCATGGTCCTCATGTAATGAAACCCTCCTCCCTGGAATATGAAGGTGTGGAGTCTTTTTATTGGTGAGACACACAGTAGCAAAGTGATGTTTGGTCCTAAAACAATGCTGAGTACTTACTGTAATGACAGCCTTGCTAAGGCACAGGGACCCCCTGCAGCCATACTCCCGCTCATCCTCTGACTTGTAGTAGCTCAAAGTATTGTTTTTCAGCACGACCCATCTGTCCTGCCATCCGTGGATGTAATTTGTCCACTGCAAACACACAAGAGGTAGACATTAAAGACTGAACTAACAACTGACATAACCTCGCAAATGGCGTGAATTCAGGAACTCAGCATTTGCAGCTCATTGCTTATATCTAAAAAGGACAAGATGTGCATTTTTAGACACATTCAAATTGGTTCACCTTACATTACCTTGCTTAAAACGCCTCCCAGCTCCACGGGCTGTCCAGATTCGGGATCCACATCTTCATCCGAACCGGACGATGAACTCTTTTCTGACATTTAAATCCAAGCTTTGGTGACACTTTCACGTGATTTTATCGGTTCACGTAAAAGGACTATAACGCTAACTTGCAGTAGGATCCGATGAAACCAAAAGCCTCTGATTTAAACCTGCAGACTGCTTCTTTAACTTAGCCTTAACGTCAGCAAAATGGGGTTAACTAGCCATTTACTGAGTGTATACACGGCGAAGATTAAAACCGTCAGATTGATAGATAAAAGCTCTCTAGGTTATCTTGTAGCAAGGTGTTCTGGTGGTGACAGCTGAGTCTGAACTTCTCGGTTTGCGGGCTTTGTTTTGAAACTGACGTCGAATACCAATGAGACAAGCTAGTTAGCGTTAGCTATCAAACGACGCAACTAGCTAACGTTAAGTTAAGCTAACTGTAAACTTGTGCCTGTTCTTGTAAGCTGTCTCGGCTGCAGTTTCCAAGGTCCCGGTTATCGAGAAGAAAGGCCTCCGTCCTGATGCCGCACCTCAGCTTCGAGCTACAACTGCCGAGTAGCGGACTGTTTCCCACCCGCGGTTCCGCAGCTTAGTTAGCGGTATGGAGGACTGCCTAGCTTGTCTTCATTCAGGTCGGGGGAGGAGCTGCAGCCACGCTTTACTGTGTACCTGAAAGAAAGCTGCGTCAAGTCAAACACTATCAGTACAACTCCGGAAACTGCACACTAAATTAAAAGAGAGTGCAAAAGATTATTTTTAAGTAACTATTTTGGCAATATTTATTTTTCTTTGACCAGCCCCTCCTTTTCATATACATAAGTCTCGTATTGCTTACGAGAATAAAGTAGTACTAAAATCATTACTTATTTACAAGAATAAAGTCTGAATGAAAACATTACTTACAAGAATAAAGTCGAAGTAAAGTAATTACTTACGAGAATACAGTAGTTCTAAATTTATCACTTATTAACGAGAACTAAGTCGCAATAAAGTAATAACTTACGAGAACAAAGTCTAAATAAAGTAATAACTTACGAGAATAAAGTCGTAATGAAGTAATAACTTACGAGAATAAAGTCGTAATAAAGTAATTATAAAGTCGTAATAAAATAATTACTTATTTACGAGAATAAAGTCGTAATAAAATTATTTCTTACGAGAATAAAGTCGTACTAAAATCATTATGATACTTATGATAATGTGGTACTGATGTGCATTAAGATCTCTTTGTTTGAGAAATATTGAAGAACATTTTTACAAAATGCTTCATTGCTCTTATTTCAACTGTCGTCTTAAACAACAGGTTAGAATTACCCTAGTAGGCGATTACTTGACGACGACTTTATTCTCGTAAGTAATGATTTTATTACGACTTTACTCTCGTTATCAATGACTTATTCTCGTAAATAAATAGCTTTAATCTCGAAGTCTTAATTTTTTTTCTCTCTTAATGAGGCCCTGATACTCCGTCGTACATATTTTCTCCCTGTTCTTGGAATTCCAATTAATTAATTAATTCAATTAAAGAGAAAAGTCGAAACCAAAATCAGCCAGTTTCTGTTTTGGAGTTAAAATATTTCTTATAACATGCTACGCAAAGAATCAATAAATTGCTCTAGTTTGATTTTGTACGATTTCGGAGTACACACTAACCGTGTAGTTCCTGTAAAATGTCTCACTTGACAAACTTTAAACTGTGCCAAGGGTCAAATTTTGTGCTTACTTATCCGTTGACCACTTTTATATTACGTGAACTTTACACCTAAGATTGCACCAAAGTTTAAGGTTCATGAGATTTCCTTGTGCAAGAAAAAAAACAACACCTACAACTTGAAGAGTAGTTAAAAATCTGAAAGGAAATTAAGACCACCGAACAAATCAAATTAAAATAAATAGATAACACAATCTTAATCACCTTAAACGACATAAAGTCCGCATATAGACTCATGTGTTTTTTTTTAAACAATAAAACTGAAAAAAAGTATTATATAATAAAATGCTTTCAGCCATTTTACTATGTTGAGCCTTTGTATAATGGCTATCAAGTTTTTGTAACAAACAGATGTCAATAATTCATTAAAACATTGTAGAATTAATAATAATTGCTCAAAGTTTTGCTTTTGGTTGCTTAATGCACAAGTTTGTTTTTTGCAACTGCAAATCCAAAACCGATAATTTACAGCCAGTTTGACGATATAGTTTTTATTTATCTATTTATTTTATTTTTATTTGTTTTTGAAAAAAGAGCTAGGTAAAACGTGTAAAGTAATAATGTGAAACTGTTCTGCTTAAAAATAATTATAATCATTAATATTTTTTAACTTGTAAACAATGCGTGGTACTCGTTTTCCGGTGATGACGTATGAACGCGGAAGTGCCGCCAAAAAAACGCAGTTGTTTCAAAACATGTCCAAACATGAAGGCGAGATCACTGAACAGCTGAGCGATTTTCTCTGTCTGATCATTCCCATTTTCAGGAAAGAGATTAGTCACTGAACCTCTATTGATAATGCCAAGTAGCCGGAGGAGAAGAACATAAACATGGACACTTTTCGGCATCATTGTTAGCCTTTACAACCTTATTGAGGACAGCTGAAGTCTTGTTTGATCGGTCTTTGCCCTGACATGTTACTGCTTCGTCAGTAAAACCCACTCTTCAGGATGGAGAACGGAGTCCCATCCAAAGAGGGTTTCCTCTCCAGGATGGCCCTCAACGACAACAAGGCTGGTATGGAAGGTCTGGACAGAGACAAGATTAACAAGATCATCATGGAGTCATCCAAGGTAGATACTAACTATTAAAAGACTCTTGTTATCATAGTTTGGTATAAAATACAAAGTACCCCTCTAAAAGAAATACTTTTTAGGTCAAAACTCTTCCAAGGCTTACAATATGCGTTCATAATTTTAGCATCACATGCAATATTATCCATTAAATTATCTAAGTCTGCCAGATGCCCATATAGGGGAGACCGGGACTTGTTGTCACATGGATAGTTGTTACATTGTAATTATCTTTGCCACCAGAGGGCGCAACTAAAAAGTGGAATACTAGTTTTCTTCCTTTACGTGGTAAGGGGACGTGTCTCGTCTGAGAAGAGAAGAGCACATTGTGAGCTGAGATAGAATAGAATAGAATAGAATATTCCTTTATTGATCCCCCATGGGGGAAATTTTTTTGTCACAGCAGCATCACAGACAAGACAGAAAGTGCAAAATGCAGTTATAACAATAAGGGTCCTAATATTAAGAACTTAATAAATGTAATAATTAAGAAAAAAAAATTGAAAAGAGAAAAGGGAGAAGAAAAAATAAAGCTTTCTGCAATATACACAATTTAAATGCCATAAAAAAAGTGGTGGTGTAAATCCAGTTTTGTTACTGTTCATTGTAAAGTCTTATTGCAGAGGGGAGGAATGATCTGCGGTAGCGCTCCGTCCTGCAGGGTGGGAGTCTCAGTCTGCTGCTGAAGGAGCTGCCTAAAGCCCCCACAGTCTGGTGCAGTGGGTGAGAGGGATTGTCCATGATGGATATAAGCTTTGTTAACATCCTCCTCTCACCCACCTCCTCCAGGGAGTCCAAAGAGCAGTCCAGGACAGAACCGGCCCTCCTGACCAGTCTATTCAGTCTCTTCCTGTCCCTCTCGGTGCTCCCTGCCCCCCAGCAGACCACTGCATAGAAAAGTGCAGATGCTACCACAGAGTCATAGAAAGTCCTGAGCAGAGTCCTGCACACTCCAAAGGACCTCAGTCTCCTCAGCAGGTGGAGACGACTTTGGCCCTTCTTGTACAGAACGTCTGTGTTTGTTGACCAGTCCAGTTTGTTGTTGAGGTGGACACCCAGGAATCTGTAGGACTCCACCATCTCGATGTCCAGACCCTGTATGTTCACTGGAACTGTTTGAGGTGTCCCCCTCCTGCGGAAATCCACAACCATCTCCTTTGTCTTACTGGCGTTGAGCTGGAGGTGGTTTGTGCCACACCAGTTGACAAAGTCAGTGATGACAGATGAGAGATGAGCGCCAATTAACCATTTTGCACAATCCAACGTTAAAAATTAACTTTATATATTTTAAAATAAGCTATTTCCTGGTGAGCTTTCCAACCAATTACTCGACTCCTGGGCTGAAGCTTGATGATTGTGCTTCATTTGCTCTATTGTGCCATCAAGTGGACAATAAATGTATAACAGGCAGAATGATAAACCAAAGACACCCCGAGGCTTTGGTGCGCGAAGCTTTGAATTGAATGAATGAATGGATGTGATGCCATGTGTTTGTGATACAATACAGAAATGATGAAGTTATTTACATGGTGTCTGTCTTTAAGACACAGCTGCAGTGTCAAAAAGGGGAAGAGGACATAAATTATGGAGAGGGTTGTGATGTGAATGTGTTACTTAGTTTGTTGTTCGTACTTTTGTTACGGGGACAACATATAAAATGTAAACATTTCATTTATTTTTATTTAAAAACAACTTTTCATCAAGTCTCGAGTCTATGGATTGTGAGTGGGGGAGGACTCCATTGCGTTTCACTGCCTGTTAAATCATCCGCCAAACCCGCAAACCGTTTCTTGAATCAGTCACGTGGTACAGCAGGGTAGCGAGGCTTCGGATGTCATAATTTTTGACTCCTCCCCTACATGAAGCAAGCCTCGATACGTGCTGCGGAAATGCCCCCTTCATTACTCGACACACGCTTCGAAGCCTTGGCACTGAAGGACACATCACTACTATTTCCAGATAAAAATCCTAGCAGTGATGCATGTGGACTTGTTAAAGGAGAGTTTAAGGCATCCTTTCATGCCTCAGTCATTGTTCTGTTTTAAGCTAACTTTAAGCAAATTAGTTAATTAGCAAACATAGTATTTTGGGGCAAAATGTCTCAGTCATCATGGTCAGGAATTTTAAAAGAAAAACAGAACATGGCAGTGCAGTGCCTGAAGTGATGCTGGGGGCAGTCAGGCAGGTGACCCGAGCTAATAAGTCAATCTGGAGTACAATAAAGGACTTTAATGTCAGCTACCATACCTTGACTCGGTACTGCAAAACGTTTGTTCAGTGGCTATGTTCAATGACTTTTCCTAGCCCAATGATAAACATTTTCTGCGCCTGACTTTGATGTTCACTTTCATGTAAAAATATGAGAACAACAATAATTTTGTCCTTGTTTTATTAGCTGCAAAATCAACTGTGACATCTTACCCCATATAGTGAGACAACTTACCTGATGGTGGGGCAATATGTCACATGTTCACACTCTATTAGATTGTTTATAACTCTGCACTGACACAAGATATGAAAATGACATGAATACGAAATGATTGGTCTTTTATCGAGCACACATTTTGTTCATATTTGATGTATTGATTTCAACAAATATATAAGAGTGTAAAAAGTGCCCCGGTCTCCCCTACTGTGAGTATATGTAAAGAAAATTTGTTTGTTTGTTTTTTTATTTACTCAACTGTCACATTGTTTCATTGTTTAAGTATGTTTTTTCTTTTTGTCTTTGATTAAGCTATTTCACCATGACTGTCATATTAACAGAACATCTTTATATTGTGACCAGTATGGCTCAAACAATTTCAAAACAGCTTCTCATTCTGGTGGCACTGGTCAATCAAGCTGACACGAAAAGGAGGTTTTGAAATATGAATGATATGTTCTGGGATTCTTACTACATTTGGACCATAGACTGTTTATAGAATATACAGTATATATAGTTTATCCAATCTATGATTTGGACACATACAATAGAGTTCTGTTGTACCATGAAACTGCTGCAACGATTGCACTCCAAGTTTAGAGAATGTTGAGACTGTTTTGAAACATGCGCCAAAATGATTAATGAAAACTGTAACAAAGATAGGTGACGTTATTGGAAAGGACAAGGCTGTACAGTGTGTCGGACAATTAGATTTGTAAGGTTCTCTTTAACTGTGTCCAGCCTTGTGTGAAAGTCCCACACCCTCAGTGTTACAGATCTGAAATAAATGTACTAATGTAGCTTTCTCATTATAGCTATGGTATATGACTCTCCAGTGTCCCTGTCTGTTCTCTGCAGGGTTCTAAGTTTTATGAGAATGAGCTGAAGAGAGAGCAGCAGGTGAATCAGCGCATTGAGAAAATGATGCTCCAAAAGGCACAGATCACGGAACAAGAGTTAAAAAAAGCCAGCGCTCAAGTGAGGCACTTTGATTTGTCTTTATAAATTCTTTGTAGAGGCCACTCATACACATATTTATTAAAGAGGAGTAGCTAAAAACTAATTATGATGCAACCTACATCTTTGTTTATAGGTCGAGAGGATGGCTGCAGAGCTGGAGAGGAGTCGTGATCTGAGTCGTGTGATTGTGCATGTGGACATGGATGCTTTCTATGCTGCTGTGGAAATGAGGGACTGTCCAGAGCTTAAGGACAAGCCAATGGCTGTAGGAGCCATGAGCATGCTGGTGGGTTAAAATATCATGTATAAGGTCATAATAAGGACAGAGTTGTCTCAGATAAATTATTCATGCACCACCTCTGTGTGACAAAGTGCAGGGGTGCCTACAAATGGTTAGGCTAGCATATCATTATACATTTTTTAACATGGTTCTTGTGGTATAATGTAACAATACTACACTGTTTGATACTTTTATTACACTTTATATAAAATATGATAGGGATTTCACCTAGTGCCCATGTAACTCAGAAGTATTTAAATGGATTTTGTTTTGGAACCAATGTAAAATAATTTTATTGAAACACCTCTCTTTGTTTCAGTCCACATCTAACTACCATGCTAGGAAGTACGGTGTCCGAGCTGCCATGCCTGGCTTCATTGCAAAAAAACTCTGCCCAAACTTAGTCATCGTCCCAACCAACTTTGATAAATACAGAGCTGTCAGTAAGGAGGTAAGATTATTGAAAAAAATACACTGACAAGAAATACTTGCTACTCAGTAAAATTATTTATATACAGCCTTTTAGTAACTTCTTGCTAAAAACTAACAGGTGCTCATGAATTTTTATCTCCCTGTTAGATCCGGGAGATTTTTGCAGACTATGATCCTCACTTTCAGCCAGTGAGCCTGGATGAAGCCTATCTGGATTTTACAGAGCACCTGGAACAAAGACAAAGTTGGCCCGAATCCGCAAGAGCACATCGGTACCGGTCAATCTGCACTACTGCAGGTCGGACATAATTATACCAAAATGTATTGTTTATTTTTCTATTTAAGTTGGAACTTTTGCCACATGAGCTGAAGACATGATAACATGGCAGGCAACATTTTTTTCCATCTGATGAATTGATCAGTGCCTTATGCTAGAAATCCATCTCACTGTGGTTTAAATGTTCTTTCTTTTTTAATGTCAAGGTAAAGAGCATGATGAGCTTGCTCAGCAGGAAATGCAGGAGACAAGAGACTTCTCTCCAGTCCTGTTTGAGGACAGCCCTGGCTCCTCAACAGATTCGGATGGTGTCAACACTACCGGTGGTCCATTTGAGGTGTTTGGAAAGTCAGTTGAGGAAGCTGTGAGAGAGATGCGCTTTCGCATTGAGCAGAGGACCACGCTGACAGCCAGTGCAGGTGAGGGAAAAAAAATCTTGTACAATGACAAAAGCGCCATAGTTTCGACTCTTTTCGACTCTTCTTTTAATAACTTCCAACATCTCACTTTTCACTCAAGTTTTATGAATGAATGAACATATCTGGAATAGAATTTTGTGTTTCACTGTCCTGTGCCATAAGCCACGTGTGACACTCCATTCCCCCTTGCCCTCTTGACTATTGTCTTGTTAGATATATTAAAATTGAGAAACATAAAGAAAACAAAAAGCTTCTTGCACATTTTGTTTGGAATGATGAGCAATATTGTTTATGTTTTACCAGCTGCTCAGTTTTAAACAGTTTATTCACTCCTTTAGGAATTGCTCCAAACACAATGCTTGCCAAGGTGTGCAGTGACAAGAACAAGCCCAATGGACAGTACAGACTCCAGCCAACCAGAGAGGCCGTCATGGACTTCACTAAGAATCTACCTGTTCGCAAAGTACCGTCCCCATCGTTCAAACTAAAATATGAACACAGCCTTGTGGTGCAGCTGGTGATGAAGAAGACTGGAAATAGACAGGGTGATGAAGAAATCAAAATGACTATCTAAAGACAGACAAATATGTGTTTTTGTTTGTGTCATTCAAGGTTTCTGGTATAGGGAAGGTGAGTGAGAAGATGCTGAACGCTTTAGGTGTCACAACCTGTTCTGATCTCAGCCAGCAGATGGGGCTGTTGTCACTGTTGTTCTCGGAGACATCCTGGCATCACTTTCTGCAGGTCTCCCTAGGTCTGGGCTCAACATACATACCCAGGTAAGTCATGACCTGCTCAGTAAGATTTAATACAACTGGTTGGAAAAATAAGAATGAGAAAGGAGGTAAGATTTTGTTCTGTATCCCTTCATACAGGCATGAAGAAAGGAAAAGCATGAGCACAGAGAGGTATGACACATATTGACACTGACATGATTGAATTAACTTATTCTGATGTTAATTTCATAACTTTCCCCCATTTCCTGTTTGTTTCCCTCTTTTCTAACATGTTATCTTGACAGGACATTTAAAGAGCTGAGTAAGACAGAAGAGCAGTTGTCTCTATGCAGGGAGCTCTGTGAGGACTTAGCAGCAGACATGAAGAAAGAGGATCTTAAGGTACAAACATCAATGATCTATGTGCATATCTTATAAGCCAATAGGTGACAACCCAATTTTACTACCCATACACAGCACAACAAGAACTAGGGATATTTGGGCCAAAAGAGATAAAAGCACAAAATGTACCAAAAAGGCTTTAACTGGTTAAAAGACATAGAAACAACATCTTTTTCTTGTCTCCCAAGAATCACCCTGACTCAAAACTAAATCTCATACAATTACCCCGAGTGGTTCATTCCGTTTCAAATCGATAGAAAAAGGGCTGGAAGTCTTGGCATGACCATCACCCCCCTGCCTGGGTCCTGATGTGGCCTTGATAGCTGGAGGAAATGGAGGGCCATTAAGGTGACAGCAGGGGCTACTATCAGCCTTGGAAATGTCTCCCTGGGAGATGATCACATTACTATGAAAGCTCTTTGAGGCATGCTTTTCATAAAATGCATTCTGACAAATCAATCAGTGATGTGACAGATAATACAGATTTCCACCTCCTGTCTATTTATGGCTCCTCAATGCAGTTATGGATTATTTTGGTAACTGCAAGATTGCTGGACGAAAGAAAAATCTGTTTTTTTCCCCTTTAATGTTAATTCAACCTCATTTGTCCTTTCCCTTTAGGGTAAAACAGTTACACTGAAGCTTAAAAATGTGAACTTTGAAGTGAAAACCAGGGCAACGACAATGCCATATGCTGTTGCCACAGTGGATGAGATCTTTGCTGTTGCTAAGGACCTTCTGAAAACAGAAATAGACAACGAAAGCCCCCAGCCACTCAGACTGAGGCTCATGGGTAATTAGATATTGCAATATAACTGACATACTTGCTTGAAATAGATCTAAATGATCTGTGACACACTGCATGTGAAAACACGAACATAAAAAAGATATTGTTCATTTAATTTCCCTCTCTTTTCCTTCCTCTCGCTCTTTTTCTCTCTGTGTGTCTCAAAATGTTGCACTTGTAGGTGTGAGGATCTCTGCCTTTGTCAATGCAGATGATAAAAAGCCCCTGCAGAAGAGCATCCTTGGCTTTCTTCAGCCAGGCAAGGTGGACTCCAGCAGCTCCATCCAAGGAATGAGTCAAAAGTTTAAAGAAAAGCATATCTCAGACCACCCCCTCCAAATCCAAACACATGCTTCTCAATCCTTGATGCAGAAGGGCCAAGGACAGCAGGAAGCTCCTGTGTGGAACAAGCAGAGTGTGTCAGGAAGAAGTCAAATCAGCAATGAACCCAAACATTCTTTCTTCCAAAGGGCTCAAGCGAGAAGACTGGAAACTCAGACAGTGAATGCAAACCAACCAAAGGAAGACGATGAGAAAAATGCTCCTGTGCTCACTTCCACAGACACTCCCACTCTTGTGGTTGGAGAGTCATCAACAGCTGCACATGAGAAGATCTCTGCAGCCTCTGATCTCCCAGAATATAGCCACATTTCTCCAATAGAGGCTCATGCATCCACCTCAGGCTATGGTGGCAAAATGTCAGAGAGTCTCACCTGTCCTGTGTGTTTCAAGAAAGTGGAGACAACAGATTTAAGCGTCTTTAACAGACACATAGACCAGTGCCTCCATGATTCCTCTAGTAAACGAAACCAATGTACGGTTTCTGACTCAGACTCAGATCTGGACTTGCAGAGTGACCAAAAAGAAAGTGAAGTTGCGGAAAAATGGAGCAGGGAGTGTGTGACTGAAGATGAAGAAGACAGCAAAATATTGGAGTCGAACAGAGATAAACAAGACAGCATAAAAAAGGATTCTTTTCAGACTGCTTTGTTGATTAATGGCAACATCAAAACTGTGACCTTGCAACAGCCTCAGACATGTAACGATTACAGCAATGCACTCATCTGCCCAGTATGTCAGCTGACCCAAGATAGTGATGATCTCATTATCTTCAACCGCCATGTTGACCTCTGCCTGAACCAGCAGGTTCTGCATGAGCTGAAGGGGCGGACTTCCTCTCCTTTAAATCCACCTTCAGTTACTAACAGCAAGGCTGCAGGTGAGAACATGTTTGATAAAATCAGTCTGGTTAAAACTTCATTATAAAACAGAGCTTAAACGCATATTTTGCCAAAATATAACCATAAATAATTCATTTTTCCAACCACTCAGGCGCAGCAGGAATAAGTTGAGAACACAACATTTAAATGCGCCTTTTATTCATTACTTAGTCCTTGCCTTTTTGGCCGTAGGTACAGTAGGATTATGGATAAAGTGGAGGGGGCGGCAGATTCTGGTGATCAGTTTCTGTAAGTCTGTCATTATAAGAGCCTCTGTCTCTTGTCATTTTGTCTTAAAGTGTCCTCCAATGCTTTTTTGTTATAAATTCATAGATTCACACATCTTCGATTAAGATTAAAATCCACAATTTTGTTCCTCGTGTCTCTCCAAGACAGTAGGATGTCATCATAGACATAAACTCTCTACTGTATATCTGCAGATGACCTATATGTTCCCTTTAGCTACGTCGTGAAGGGTGGTGGTGTAACATCTTTGGAGTTGACAGATGGAATGCCTATTTGGAAGATGTCGTTGACCTCTGACCTTGTTATTCAGTGCCCATGACACTGTGAGAGGAGTTGCTATCGATTCCTACAGAGAAAAGGAATCTCATTTCAGCCCCCGGGGCTTCCTTTGCCCTGGGGTTGGAAATGGCTAAATCACTTTCTCACCTATTCATTTCTTACAATGGACTGCACCCTGGTTTCCTCTTAAACAAGCCTGCCTCAGAAATTGGACTCTTTGTACCCCTTAAGAGGTGCAGCAGTTGTGTGCCTCCTCAGTGGATGTCATCTTTTCTATCAGAAAAGAGGTAACAGTGGAGTTTTTTCCTCTTTGTCATGAGTGTCTGTTTCTGCTCACAGGTAGAGGCCGTCTTCTGCCAACACAGGCAAATAAAGGCAAAACTAAAAGGTAAGATATCTGCATTAGAGAGAGTGGATGCATGTTTTGTGTTCTCCAAGCAGCAATGATTTACAGCCGTGTCAGAAAGTGATGTTTTCATTAATAGATACTGTGTGTGTTGTGATCATGACTTTTAGACGGGATACTCCTTCCTCTCCTCCATCTAAAAAGACTAAAGGCCCAGGTCCTCTCAACACTATTGACAAGTTCTTCAGGTGACGGTCAAACATGCGGTGTGTTTGTCTTTATCTGAAGGAACCTTGAATGCTAAATGAAGATCATTTCTATCTTCCTTTTTTCTTCTGACTGGTTTTTGCCACCCCATGGAGTCTCCTGATAGTCACATAAAAGTGGTCTACATCTTGTCAAATTTGTCAGTTTCATGTCAAGCTAAAAGTGTTTGCACTGATATACCATATTGAATGTTTCATAAGCCATATGACAGACAAAAAACAAAAAAATGACAAAGATAAATCCTGTATTTATTCTGGCAAATTAATTTTATGATCTTTTTATTCTTCTTTCAGGGATTCATTTTCCATTTTTTTCTTGCTACTTTAGGATAGGCCTGATATTTTTAAGATAAAAGTATACTATGACTTACTGAAGGGTACTGTGTTTGTTTTTAAAATGATTGAATTTAAATATTTTCAGTCACTTCTAGTTGTATTTATGACCGTACATTTGCACTATTATGCTGTTTAATAACGAAGATAAGAGAACAATTCTATTATGTACGTCAAATTAAAATAAAAAACTATTTTTCTGCATTTCTACTCTGTGTTATATCTACTTTTTAATGACCAGTCCTCAGATCAGAAAGGTTTAATTTATTTTCAAAAAATTGCATCAATCCTGGTTAGAAGTAGTTGTTAAACTGAAAAGTAGTCCTAGTCCTGGATGAAATAAAAAAAAAAAAAACATGCCCCAGTTTTTACTGCAGTGCTAACAGAATAAACAGACAGCAAAGAGTATATGACAGGTCAAACCTCTGAGCAAAAACAAGTCAAACTACTTTCCAAACCTCATGTTTATCATACGCAAACACTGCACTTTGCTATCAGATATTAAAGTTATAAAAGATTACATACACAACTTAATTTTATTTAATGCATGATATAATATAAGTCATACCTGTCACCTGCTTGTCATGTAATACAGGTCAAGTGTGACCAGATAAATATTCTTTGTCACTACCAGATACCTCTTAAGGGTGTGAGCTTGTAGAGTAAACATGGATCAGCCCTCGAGCAGAAAAATAGGAGCACACTTCCACTCCAAGAATTGCTGTTCATTATTTGGTGACAGGAACTACACGACACAGGGAAAACAGTTAGGGTTTCAGCCTTTGAGTGATCTATTTTCTTAGGGTTTGTTTTGTTGGTGTACTTGGAGTACACGCACTGGACGGCTAATTCAATAACATCAAACCCGTATCGGTTAGGTTGTTGTTAAAGCATCCAAATGGAGAGAAAAACCTCAGCTTTGAGGTCGATGATTCAAAAGCATCGTCTGAAGAAGGAGGATTTGGACCCTCGAAACTGGATGACACAGGACTCTATGAGGGGCTTTACTGATTTCATACTGAACAAGCAATCCGAGAAAGATGCAGACAACAGTTTTGACACCAAAGAGATGTGTAAGTATGTGAAGATGAAAAACAACACGGGGAAAGGTAGAAAATAAACTCAACTTTTAATTGTAAGAAAAATACAGTATTTGGAGCATTTGTTCAGAACAGTATTTGGGGTTGCTCTGTCAAAGCTGGACGTAATCATTACACTTTTCTCTTAGTATACTGAATGGATATTTGTCGTATGAACTACTTTGCAAGAATAAAAAATTGAAACAGGCTGAAACTGTTAGCGTATACTGGGTACATCATGTCCCTCGACACCAATAATTGGTTGTGTGTCTAACCTGAACACACTGATATGTAAAACATTAAACATACAAAACTCTTAAACACTCCTGTCTTTGTCTTTGTGCAGTGCTTGAAGCAGAGAAGCAGTTTATGGACGCAGCGAAGAAAAACGATGTTGAGACCATGAAGACTCTTGGAAAAGGCCTGAATGCCAATGCAAGAAATGTGGTGGGTTCAAATACAAACCCGCTGTTTGCGTTTAAGTACACTGTTTAGCCCAATTTCTCACCAAGAAATAAAAAAGCATGTAGACTAAAAACATTTTAAAACTGAATAACAGAGTGTACTTCCTTCAGCATGACAGGACTGCCCTTCACTATGCAGTGGCAGGCAGAAATAAAGAAGCGGTGCAGTTTCTTCTACAGCGCAGGGTCAAAGTGGACCAAAAGGACAAGGTAGGAGGATGGAGATATTTGCATCTGAACTCTTGGATTACAGAATATTGTGGAATATATCTAATTATTTCTGTTTTGTGTGCTGACAGTATGGCGTGGCACCCATTCATCTGGCCGCCTGGTTCGGCAGTTTAGAGATCTTGAAATTATTAGTGCAGGCTGGAGCCGAGCAGAAGGTTGAGAATGAGGTGAAAAATGACGACCTTGAATTCAGTTCTTTTGCTTCATAATGGTCTAAGAAAACTGGGATTGTTACATTGACTTACAGTGCTCAGGATAAATGAGTACCCCCCTTCAGAGTTGTCAGAAAACCTTTCATTTTCTTTCAAAATCAACATTTTCTATGTCAGACTAAACAAAATATTCCCCTAAATGTAGGCCATTTGATTGCAAACAAGATTTTTTGAGTTGCATACAAAGTATTTTTTCCAATTTAAAATCAGGATGCAAAAATGAGAACACCCCAATCAAAATTCTGGAAGCAAAGCTAAATTTTAGTTACTGTTTCCCCCTTATTTTCATCTTATGGTAAATAAAATGTTAAGTTAAAATCAGCTTTGTCGAAACTTTTGAAATTGTACTTTTGCTCATCTAGGTATTTAGTAATAAATTGCTTGTAGTAGGGGGTGTACTAACTTAAACTGGGCACTGTATGTCCACTTATGACTTGATTAAGCTTCATTGTCCAGGATTGGTCTTTTTTTCTACCTCAGGAAGGTCTGAACATCTTGCACTGTGCTGCCATCAACAACCACACAGATATTGTTGAGTATATCGTCAATGACCTACAGATGAAAGAACTGGACAACAATGACAAGGTACAAACTTTTAACAAGGCAACTGCAAGACTCTGGACATATTTTCTGCCTAAGTTCAGAAGACAAACGTCGTTATTTCTTCCTTAATTTTGTTATTTCAGTCAGGACATCGGGCCTTTTTGTTGGCAGCAAAGCATGGTTGCGTTGAAATGTTGGAGTTGCTATTGGACCCATACAATATGGCCACCATGAAGCCTAATAAGGTGTGTGTAGAGATAATTGGTTTTTTATCTATATGCATCTATCAATATTATGTGGCAGTTTATTCCCACCTGAGCACGCATTTGTGTCACATCTGCAAGAGGCCTCAAAGTCAAACCTTCTTTGATGCGAGTTGTTTCCCTCCCTCCCTGCTGCCAGAGGGGGGACACGCCCCTGCACTTAGCTGCCAGGAACGGTCACTTGGACGCCATCCAACTGCTGCTGCAGAGCTTTGATACACGGGATGAAGTCAACACGGTACACAATCATTGTAAACATCCTTTCTATCACAGTCTGGTTTGTGACAGTGTGTGTTCAGCGGCTAATCCACTGCTGGATGGTGGCTCTAGTTCGGATTGATTAAGATGTATCCAACATGTGCTGGAAACTACAACAGCAAACCTCGCCCCTAACTTCAGCTCCGATAAGTTGATTGTTTTGATAAGATGAGCGTGTTGCTGCTGGTCAGTGATACATCTTTAATCCATTTTAGCTTAGTGATAACTAACATATGAATATGACTACTCTGTTTTAAGGATGTCGAAAGACTTAATCAATCAATATGAAATCAAATGATAAAAATGTAATGTTTGCAGCCATCAGTATATGAATGTGGTGTAAATAAGTGAAAGTGACAAGTAATATATTGAAAGAGAAGAAAGACCTGTCAAATTTATCTTGTTCATCTTGTTAGAGTTTGCTGTAGTTGTTATTCAGCACCACGACTCCCTCTTTTCATTTTAGGATGGCGAGACAGCTCTGTACCAGGCTGCAGACAATGGGCATGAAGGATGTGTCCATGTCCTGCTGGATGCTGGCTGTGATCCCGACATCCTCACAACGGTACACTTAACCTGCCCTGTTATTAATGATGTACTATTACTGGAAGACAGTGTAGGTTAATCCATCATGCAGCAAAGTATTTATGAGGTAAATGATGTTTTTGTATGAAGAGTGAGGCCTACTGTTTTGCAGGCCAATTGCAGTGCTCTTCATCCAGTTGCAGAGAGAGGGGAAACCTCTCTTGTGCAACTTCTGCTGGAGTACAAAGCCAACGCTGACTTCAAGAATCAGGTGAGCAAACACGAGCTAGGTGGCAGTAGTGCACTCTTTCAATAAGCACATTACACATCCTCTCCTAAGCCAACTCAAGATATTTTCACCTTTAGCACCAAGAAGCTCCTCTCCACTTGGCAGTGAAACACAGTCACATCCCCATCATCCATTCTCTGCTGGAGGCAGGCTGTGATATTAATGTCACAGATAAGGTATGACCCTGCAAAAAGGGGGACAAACTATGTTTATATAATTCAAGAAACAAATAGCGTAACTCAATTTTGCATTGTGTTTTCCTCTGCAATGTCACAAACTCTTAGAGATCCCAGACTGTAATGCATATTGCTGCTGAGCTGGCCAGAATAGAGGTGGTGGAAATGCTTCTTAAAGCAGGGCTGGATCTGACACTCAAGGATAAGGTAAGACTTTTTGCAAACTCTACCAGCTAACATAGTGTAGGTACCTTCAAACACTGTACCAAGGAATTCCCTTATGCTTAAATTAATACTCAGATATAACATCATTTTTAAAAGGCAATGCAGCATTAAAACTGTGATGAAAACTAGAGCTTACAGATCTAACTATGCATTTTTTTTTTGTCTGAAATTGTGTGTGTACATGTTGCATTTGGAGCAGCAAGGTAAAACAGCTCTGGGTGTAGCAGTGAGAGCAGACGAGGTGATCATTGTGGACATGATCATTAAAGCAGAAAGATACTATGGCTGGAGGAGGGTAAGTAGGTAAAGTTATATACACAACTCTTCGCTGTCATCGTCTGTGTGATAATCTGTTTTTTAAGAGTGAAAATAAACATTTTTATCCCTTTAATCCCAACACCACAGTCTACACAACTTTAATCCATCACAAAAACATAGACAGTTAAAAATAATTCATCTCTGAGATATTTGATAGCCAATCAACCATCAATTCAATTTCGGTTGCACCTTTTTGATTTTTACAATGTTAACCTTGACTTTCATATTGTTAATCATGCTTGAGTGTCTTTCCAATAATCTCTGCCCATGCCCCTGTGCTCCCTGAGACTTGTGGCCTTTGTCAATCTGCTGACATGATTTAATTGCCCTTTCAGGCCAACCCTGAGATTAATGAGAGTGTACACAGCGAGCATCCGCTATCATTTAAACTCGACCACCGCTCTGAGACCAAGCAGCTCCGTATGATGGCCTGGCGTCTTGCGTACGAGCTCCTGAAACCGGGAGACTGGAAAAAACTTGCAGAACACTGGGGCTTCACCAAAGAACAAGTGTTGGCCATTGAGCAGCAGTGGACAGGTGCCATAACTCACACTGACTGAACAGACACATGACAATGCATTTGACAGCTGATTAAAACTGCTAACTCAGGAACCTGTGGAATAAAATACCCTACCATAAGAAGAAACCTCAAAAAATCTTCAATGACATTTAAATTTTCTTAAATTTCCCATTCCTTCAACAGGTCTTCAGGTTCATTTAATCAAATAATTGTTTTCTTAACTGTACAGCTGTTTGTTTTTCCATAGGCCAGCACAGCTTTAAGGAGCATGGGAACAGGATGCTGCTGATCTGGCTCCACAGGGAGGAGTTGATTCAGAAGAGCCCTAACAAAGAACTCTACCAGAGTCTTATCCTCATAGGGAACAGAAAAGCTGCAAGTAAATTCTCTTCATGTCTATCAAAACGTATCAAAAGAGGATTTTTGTGTGTGCCAAACTGTTATTACAAAGTGTTGATTTGTCTTACAGATAAGATTCGGATGGAGGCAGAGAGTACCAGCAATAAGGGCTGCAGCATTTCGTGAGACAAAACAAAGAAACATAGGAAATGATAAAACATGACAACATATTTATATAACTAAAGTCACTTGTAAAATAATTTATTTGAAAAATAAAAAGTCCATCAGATGATTTACATTTGGCTTTGGCTGGTTAAATAATGCAAATAATCTGTGGTGTTGGACGGTCAGTCAATTAAAATAAAAACATGCATTTAAACATGTCATATTTACACATTTAAGTTCACTCAACAGTTGTGCATAATTTAAAACTATTTAACTGAGATACATTTGTATTCTGCAGCTAATAATCAAAAACATTCAGATATGCAGCTCTACCTGTGTGTAGTGCTTTCCTGAGAAAAATCTTGTTGCTTAAGAAACTGCACAAGGGTGCTGAATGATACCAATGAAACAATTATTTAAAATCTAGAAAATAATGGCAGATTGTTAAAATTCTTTAATATCCAGACAAGAGAAACCTTCCTCAGAGATAAGTGTGTCTGGTCAGTCGACCACTTTGATGGAATGAATATGGCATGTGCTAGTGTGCGTTTTTGAGGAGCTCCTGCCCTTGGTGGAGCTGTGGCCATGTTTGGATGAGCGTGGAAACTTTGCTGCAGTAGCCTGACCGACTGTGAGCTGTAGGAATGATAGAGGAACAGTTATTTCTCAGCTTGGATAACTCTGAGTACATGCATGATAACAATTGGACATACAGTAATACGTCAGAGAGAGAGTGACAGCAGTAATGTACTCTTTTCCATACCTGTGTGACAGGGTGATGGCGTTCAACTATTACTGAGCTCATGGGTGGAGCCACACCCATCACCTGGAGGTTACGGCGTGCTGCCTTAGCAACATCAGCATGTGCAGTGATGCGAGCTGTGACAATCTTGGAGGGTTTTTGTTGACCGGATATAACAACACGACCACTGACCTGAGAGATATGTTGTAAAAAAAGGAGATAATTCAGTGAGGAGTGGCTGATGTATAGTACAGCTTATTTGGTGACTTTATTCGACTCACTGAAACCATTATTTAATGAATTCCATCGTAGTCACATAGAGCTGCTATAGCAACTGTATTATCATTCATCTTCAACCAAAGTCAGTGGATCAATAGGTGCTAACCTGTTTATGGGTAGTTGCAGTGCCACCAAGTGGCAATGAGCTGTGGACAACAGTTGTAGGAGGGAGTACGTCCTCTCTGGACACAGAAGCACCAGAGCCCACCTTGGGAGCAGAGAGTCAGGGGAAACGGGAGCAAGATAGAGGTTGACAGAAGCTTAGTCGTAGTACGGCCAGTCAAAACAGAGAGATTCAAGCTAATACAGAACTGTGTGTGCCTTTGTGGCATCTACATGAGAACAGTATAGTGTTGTTTCAAAATGTAAAAATAGACTCAAACAAAACAACAAAGTTTGAAAGATGAAACAAGACATTCAAAATTCTTTGAGTGATAGATTAGTTAACCCTGCCAGACACCTTCAGAAGTAATTAAACTATGACAATAAAGAACTGCGGTTTATAAATTCATGTTACTCTTTGTCTGAATTTTTAAGTATCTCACCACATCTTCCACTTCACTGTGGGATGGGTCCAAGTGGACGGGGCTGAATTGTGCAGAGGAGGCAGAACGAGGTGGCGGTTGAGCCGGTGATGGAGGTTCATCTCGTGGAACTAGAATGAAAGCAAAAATATGAGAAACAATTCTTAAGACATTCTTGGTAAATATTTATGAACGTGACAAAAATAATGTATTGAATTACTGAACATTGAAGTGGCATCTTGTAAATAAATATCTAACCTATTTGAAATAGTCTTTCTGTGGAATGGTTTAACTTAAAAAAACAAAACAAAAACAATAATAAATTCAAAGAAATCTGGCTCACTTGTTTGAATTACTGATAATGTAAAGAAGGAGATGGATGACCATTATTTCTGGGAAAACACTGAGGTAAACAGGTAATAAACTCAAAAAACTGAAGGATAAGCAGAAAACCACGCTACAAAGCTTTTGTACATGTATAAATTAGTGTCCTACCAGCTTCAGCAGGAACATAAAAGCGTTTCAGCACAGAAGAGCTGTCAGCTTATTTGACAAAGCTGGGCTTTTTGTGTGACATTCTGTTGACAAGGAGTAAATTTTAGTGCGAGCTGCAATGATATCAAAGAATTAAGGTGAATCTGGTGTAAAATGCCCCATATAATACGGAGCTGCTGTCCTGATGCTGCTTCTTAAATTGGCTGCAGTGACTTCACCTGGTCTTCATTGTTGTAAATACTTTTATCTGACTATTCCATATCTACAGCCAGTTAAGGAGTCCACCTCAGTCTGCACATCCAGAATCATCCCCTCATCAGGTGAGCCAGTGAGTGACTTCAAGAAAACAACAAAGTCTCTTTCTACCTCATTGATTCATAAATCTACACAGTTGTCAATGACTCACCGTGGCACTCCATGGAGAAATGGTGTTTCAGTCGTAACGGCTGCTTTAAATCAATGCAGCACAGACACAAGGCTTACAATGCCTTTGTGGTTTGTTTTATAGAGCAGGGGTCTATTTTTGTAGTCAGGGGGACAAGAGGAGCTGGAACCAGCGCAGGGTGTTATGATCTTCTTGATTCAAAATGGTAGTCACTAAAAATAGGGTGATAGTAATTCTGTTACAAACCATGCTGATCGTGAAGTGGGGGCTGCTGTTGTCGTCCTTCTGAAGAGTGGAACATGCCAAGAGCCTCAATGTTGAGAGCGCAGACACCCCTCATGAAGGCTTTTTTCATGGATTCCTCATAGCGCTCCCGCTCAAGTTGGAGCCTCTGAATCTCAGCCTGGGCCTTCTCAATAGCATCACAATGCTGCGGAGACAGTATGAAGAGAATCGGTCTTCTCATCAGTTTACAGCATGCTGACAACGACTCTTATTTATTATCTGTCTGTCTATCTTGGGCCTTTGAGTTACATTATTAATACAAGACAGTTTTCTCTATTTCACTTTATTCCTTGTCACTAAATTTTAAAGTTAATGCATTAGTTCTCTTATTCACCTCTGCCAGCTTTGCCTCGTATTCGGACGACAGGTGGGTGCAGACCTCCTCAGCCCTTGCACGGCAGGCTCGCTCCAGTTTTACCTTCCAGTGTTTTTGGACCAAAGAGTGCCAACCCAACCACACCTTCTTCTTCAGCTGCATATTGTAGTGCTGCCGTGCTGCTTGAGCGGCATGAGCCTGCGAGGAAGCCACAAGAGCATGAAAATCACGAAAAATGATTACACCCATGGCTCTTTCTTGTGGAGGTGATGTGTATTTCCTCTTGTGATAGTCCTTCGTCATTATTTAGACAGAAATGCGTGCCATCTACAAATGTCTCAGTTGTATGAAAATGGCAATAACAGCCTTTTTGTGATTGTGGAGGCCTTCACATAAATTTTTAAGAATACATCAGTATTGCAGTTTTTTTTGGTCTGCAGTACAGCATGAAAATGACCAGATTTCACATGAGACTTTTGTAGGTGGAGATATTTTGTGTTATTATGTGAACATGTGCATGTTCAGTGAGTAGTGACATTCTGACTTATGGTTCAGTGCCTCAAGCAGAGACTGATGATTTGCATAAACCTTTGCACTAGAGTGACAGTAATCTAACATTGTTAACTTCACAGAGAGAAATCACATTTAAAAAGCCTTTCCTTCCCCGTTGACCAAACTTACACAATCTGTGAGAATTATCTTAGTTCAAAAAATTGGACAGAGAGACAAGAGTGTGTTACACAAGATGGTTGAGTTGAAAGCTTTATGTCATAACAGCCTTCCCTCACCCATACAGGAGCCTGTGACACCCTCCCACTCCCTTTGTAAATCCCACAGCAAATAGGTTTTCATGTTGAAACACCACATTATTATCAGTTTACCTCTTCTTTAGCCTCAGCGTGCTGGAGTCTCCAATGAGTGAAAGCCCTCATCTTTTCAAGCCTTTCTTTCTGTCTGTCCAACACCTGGCTCAGGTTTGCAATCACCTAAATGAACATAAATGTAAGAAAGGTACGTGAAGGTACACATATGAGCTTGATGGTTAAAACTTAGATAAAACCCGACTGCAAGTCTTACAATAAATCAATAAAAATCCTTTTCTAAGTCTGGAAACTTTCACATTCTGGAGGAAGGGAATAAAGCCACATGTACTCACCTCATCTTTTCTCTGGTTGGAGGTCTCGTAGGTTTGTAGCAGCCCCTTCAGACTTTCTAGCTCTGACTTTAGGCCAGCTGTCTCGGCTGCATGCCTCTCCTTCTCTTTCCTCATTTCCAGCTTGTGTTGCTCTTTGAATGCCAGCTTCCACTTCCTGAGCTCTGTCAGAACGTTTGTCTAATGAGGAGATAGTGGGTGGGACATTCACAGTGTGATCAGGTTAGGTAAATATGGACAGGTGTATAAACATCTTTAATCACTTCCAAAAATCAGTGAACTACAGGTGTAATCAAGGGTTTCCTTAGTAAAAGGCAAAGTATAGAGACTCAGCAGACACCACTCTAGTTTTCTTTTGTTGTTTTAATCCAACAGTAGCAATTAAAAGTAATGGAATAAACATAACCAGCCATAAACGTGACTGTCTGAATTATTCCTCTGCTACAATATGTAGGACCTCACTGTCTTTTTAAAGATACTCTTTATAAGACACACTATGCAGTTGATTGGTTGCCATCTGCCCTCCATGAGTGAGCAGAGCAACTTAAGAAGAAAAGGGCAGGAAAGACATCCATGTCCAGGCACTCACCCCTCCAGGATCAGACACATGATTAAAAGGTCACTTGTAACCTTGAAGAGTGGAGCTGTCAGCCTATTCAATGGGTCTTTCTTAGACTCATACCTTTTACATCTTCATAATCTGACTTCCTCCTCACCAATACCCATTAACATTATCTGCAGTACTTCTTGTGTTTAATTACTCTCATTTTAAATGCCTCCTTACATTGATTTCTTTCTTAAAAAACAGACTGTGCAGTTGAGTCGCTTGTAACTTTCTGAAAACTGATCTGAAAACAGGCATGCCGCAGACAGCAAAAATGTTGAATTATTACGGTGTTCGACAGTAGACCGTACCACCAATCTGAGCAGTTTAACACACTCTTAGCACTAGATAGCCAATGCAGTTTCTCTATTTCAAGTTTTCAATCAACATTTCTCCCTGTTTGCTGAAAACTACTCAAAACACAAGACATCTTTTTCATAACTGTGAATATTCTTAAGTAAAAAATCAGTTCTCCTTATAGTCACAAGACGGTATCAGTGGTCAGCTCTAAGAAAAGCAATTCTAAGACGTAAAATGAAAAACCAGGAGAGGACAGGATGAGGAAGTAGACTAACTTTCAGGTTCTGGCTCCACATTTCCAGAATGTTCTCCATCTTGCAAATGTTCTCCTCTGAGATAAAAAGCTCTGTCACAGTGGCCTCGAGGGGGGTCTGGGCTGTTTGATCCAGATCAGATGGTGTCTGTAACCTGTCTGAGAGAGTGTTTGAGAGCACTGACGCCCTGCCAGATGATCGACCCTCCGTCTCCTCAGCTGGAGTGAAAAGAATAAAAAATGAAACTATTTAGATAATGAAGCAGTTTTACAAATGAATACAATAATTTAATATAAGCTTTTTAAAGGCCAAACCATTTAGCGTAACTGTATGTTGGATGTAGTTTACCATGAGAGGCTCCTGAGTGTGTGGGGGGCTCAACAATCACAGGGGAGGCAGGTGATGATCTCACACTCCTAACAGAAAGCCTTCCATCCTTAGTTTCAGTGGCAGCATCTTAAGGAGGATAGGACAGACAACAGAGAGGCACAGAGACAATAAAAAGGAAACTAGTGTATTTTGCAGTTTTAAACCACAAGAGTAGAGAAGAATCAAAAGGGTAAGCAGTGAAAGGAAGGCCAAAAACCAAAGACAGTTAAGAAGAGAAAAGGTGATGGGAAGAATGCTGAATAAGAGAAGCACGGCTCCTTGTCCAGGAATGCATTTGTGTCAATATCTTAATTAAATCCTGCAAGGGGGGTGGAGAAAGGCTGCACTCTAAAGAGCAGTATGGGCAGAGAGCCAGGAGATCATTACCAATCGCGTCTGTCTGCTCTCTACATCCCTGTGCACTACTCCATGACAGTTAAAGCACTAAACCTCTGATGAGAGCTGCAGCTGGAGCTGGAGCTGGGGGGGTAGGGGGGCTGATGGACTGTTTAAGATGTGGGTATCACAGTGGAAAGAGATAGGAACAATGATCTGACAGACTGGTATCGTATCCATCATGACTAGACTGGTTTACAAGATGAGAATATGAGGCTGGTAAAAGACTACAATTTTTTCATGTTGTGATGCCAAATCCGTCTTGACAGCTGATCTTTTGACGAGGGCAGTGTCTGTTAGAGCTCAAGATATGTCTCTGTCAGAGAAGCTTAAGGAAATATGTGTGAATGACTGTGTTCTGCACTCATTAGAAAACGGAGATACCTGCTGGGCGCTGGGATTTGGGTTCTTCTTTTCTCTGGGAAGTCCGACCATCTGCAGACAGATGTGAGGTGCTCAGCTGCTGTATGTGAGCAGCTGTAAACGTCTCGAGCTTTGGGGTGACCACAGCATAACGGAGAAGCTCCTCATACTCATCCTGTTGATGAAGAGTTGAAAAGTGTCTTATGATATCAGGGCTGCCAAGTTTCAGAAAATGACAAGAGTGAGACTTTAGCGTTATGATGTATTCATCGAAAAATTTGGCCTTTTTAACGTCGATTTATACATGAAGACTGATGCCCTCACCTCCATGCCAGCTGCTCTCCCTGCACTGTGGCCTCCTAATGCTAGTCTCAATTCACCAGAAATTAGAAATGAAAATTGTAACAAGAATGTTCACAAAATACATTTATTTGTCAGTATTGCATTTCAACCAACTCTCCGTCATTTAGCTGGGGACATGTCTTGTGGAGTTTGTAGCAGATTTTGATGCCTTGATGACAGAAACGCCAAGACCTGCCTTACGTTTCTACTGATTGGTTTATATTGCGTGGTGCCTTCGGTGTTTCACTTCACTTCAACTTTATTATGTCCCAAAATGGGCAAATCGGATTGCAGCAGGCACAGGCATTTAAAACACTGCCATACATCATAACATAAAACAAAATACATTTACTGAAAAAGCAGTTCAGGGGGTAAAAAGCATTAAAGACGATTTAGAAGGGCTGATGGATTGGTCTGGGATTGGTTATCTCTGTCAGTCAATCATGGTTACTCGAACAACGGCAAGCAAAGTTTATTATCATGAAAAAAATAAAACAGAGTATTGAATGGGTGAATATAAGCGTGGGAAATGTCAAGCGTGGTGTGAGAATAGGTCATATTGTGTGACTGTCACACTCAAAGCGTGAAGCTCTATGATATATATTTTGATAGCTCAATGATTTATTAATTTATTTTTTGTCATTTAAAGTTTTATTAAATTGAAAACATATGTATGAATAAGTACAGGTTCAAGACACAGATGTTGTTTTGTTTTTGGTGTGGACATCCTTTGACACGTCATTAAAAAGTCCATAAGCAATCCATAAGAGAAGAAGAAGAAGAAGAAGAAGAAGAAGAAGAAGCTTGGTGAGTTTTCAAGTAAATCCATTACACAGAGCAACAGAAGCAAGTCCATGGATATTGTAACTGTTCAGTGGGCTGTGATTTCTTTTGTTATTGATTTCCAATCAGTAGTTTAGATTATCAACTGAAACTTGGTGTTTGTGAAACTTGTCTGTTGTGTGTTTGCATTTATAGATTTGAGCTAAAGACGTGTCACAAACGTCTCTGTCATTACCTGGAGCTCAGAGGAGACAGAGCTGCCCCGGTCAGAGTCCTTCGGCAGAACAGGGCTGGTTGGCTCCTCTTCATCCGACGACATCTACAGTAACCATGGTAAGAAATGCGTTAGATTAAGCAATGACTGTCTGCAAAATTCTGTATCACCAGTACACAAAGCTAGGCCACGTGTAAACCTGACATAGAAGTCATGTAGGGTGGTTTTAAGTCAATACAGTCAACAACAGCAGTACTACTTTTTGCTCGTCGTCATGTAGCAGCCTATCACCTGTTGCAGCACGTTTTATTTTACATTTAGTTTATGAAATTGACTAACTTCTGTAAAAACTAAACACAAGGGATGTGGCTAGGCGAGCAAAATTGTATTGTCCCTTTTAGTACCAATACAAATTCGTGTCTACTAGCTAAACACACCACACAAGCCTCTAAAAAAGTGTTTGTCTTTTTTGTAGATTTCCCTACAGTAACTGAAGCCTCCGTGATTTGTGTTTGCAGGGATTCACGCTTCCTGTTGTTGTTTTCCATTATCTATACTGTGTTTCGAGCTACGAAATGACATACCTAATTTAAACACAGATAAAAAAAAGTCACATCGAAGTTGCTTTCTTTAGTCTCTACCTTTTTTTAGACAGATAGTTCTTGGTGAGCTTCTGGAGTTATTCCGTCAGTTGGAAAACGCTTGCCCTGCTGTTTCAAACTAGCCCACTCTAAAACAAAACACTCTATGATTGGCTGCTGTTTCCCCAGCGCCGTTCTAAATCGGCCCTGATTGGGTAGAGTGTTTCCGTGGTAACTGTAAACGGAACAACTTGAGGATCATCCATTGACAGCGTAAGCCGAGCCGACCACAGCATGCCTCTCCTCAGCAAAATACATGACAAAGCTCTTGTTGTTGTCTGAGATTCTCACAAGATAGATAGATAGATAGATAGATAGATAGATAGATAGATAGATAGATAGATAGATAGATCAGCAAATAAAATAATTTTTTTAAGAAGACCCTGCTAAAGAGTCTGAACACAACGTAACATTTCACAGAGATATTTTTTCTCTCACATATTTACATTTAAGCTCTGAATTTTTTTTTTTTTAAATAAAAAAAAAAACTACACCCATTCAGAAAGACAGGCGTGTTTCACGAATAGCCTGACATGCTTGAAAAGGATAAGCTGATTAACACTGTTACCAGACACAAACCTTACCTGTCTTCTAAAGAAGGTATAAGTCTTTGGGGAATACCACCATCCTGTGAACCTCCCCGTGGCCATGCCTCTTTTGTTCATAAGGCAAATACACACTTAAGTACAAAAAATACTGAACCCCCTGAAGTCATGCAGTGCTTAACAGTATTAAGTCACATATGTGGGAGAGGCCTAAGGGCTTGGCAGCCCTCAGATGGGACAGACTCTCTAGAGAGGAGACATATGGTCCCTCTCAGTCGTGGCAGAGCTGCAGGCAGTACTGCTGGACTGGAGCCTCCTCACCACCTGGCTAAGTGCTGAGAGTACGTCACTGTCCGAAGGTGTACACTCAGCATTGTTTGAGAAGGACATTGGCCTTGAAATGGGGTTATTCAGGGAAGTGACACTGGTGACAGTATGCTAAGAATAGAATAACAGCAGACGTTTAATACACTAGTCTCAAAGTGTTGATGACTGACATGATATTCAAGAGGTCAAAACATGTATGATAGAGATTTTACATTAAATACATATCTTGAATAAATACTGGTGACTTGTCAGCAAGGACTTGCATTGACACTCTCTACCACACATACACATGCACACACAGATTTCATTATTACATGTCCTGACAGTTGATGTAAGCATGAATCCGTAGCAGAAGCATGAGGCACAGAGGATAATCCTTACTGCTCTGTGGGGAATGGAGGTTTCCTGTTGAATGACAGAAAGTGTAGCTCCCTCAGATTACTTACTCGGTTTCAGAGCAGATGAATCACATGCTTTGGGAGGTTTTGGTGATGTGTTCATCACATTTTTCTCTGTTAGGCTGATTTTTTGTCACCCCAGCTTGTCCTGTCAGTTTCTCTGATTTTTCATCGGACCACTGATGTTAACTGCATCTTAACTTTTATTTAAACCATTTCAGCAAGGGCTGGTTGGACATCTTTCGTCAGATTAAATTTCAGTTTGTATGTTTGTAAAATACTCACTATTTTCCTCACATATGTTATACAGATTATATGCGACACATTTCACCTCAGACCAACATAATGCAACCATAAATAGAGTAATAAACATTAACATAAAAATCGGTTTAAGATGAGGCAACAGATAAAGATAGATGTACTCTGTAAAACGTGTTTTTTTTAAGACTAAAGTAATATATTTTTATAAGCCCCTTTTGTAAATTTCACCTTCCTTACAGCAAAAGAAATGCACCTGTGCTTGTGTGTCAAAATGGGATTCAGCTCACATTCTTCTCTCATAGCTTGTTCAATCTGTTCCAGGACAATAATCACAATCCATTTGACTTTCTACCCTCTGGTATTTTAGCTCAGGTACGTTAGACTATTCAGGACTTTGCAATGGTAGACAGAGCAGAAATTAGGAAATAATGTTTTGTGCTTATACAGGCTGACTTTGTTGAGGAACTTTTTTCTTACAGTAGGTTTTCCGGTCTGTAATGTATTCCTCTTATATTTTCAGGTCCTATGCTCTTGTCTTCCGTATGCGATTTCCATTTCTTGCATTACAATTGTGAAACCAGATTACAAACTCGGCGTAAAATTCTTTCTGCCCCTGATCGATTTTAAGTCAGGCGTATTAACAGACAGCCATAACTCCTGTAGACAACAACTAATGTGCTATCATCAATCGTAATGTTATCAACCCATTTTTCTCTCATACCAGACAATGATGACCTCTCTGTGAATGTAATGTTGCCAGAACTCATCTTCCAGTTATTCGCAGCTGCCTGCTGTTTTCAAATTAGTTTTCATTACATTTTGATGGAGCTGGACTTCCCCCTTGGGACACGCTAATCCATCACATCTCTGTATCTGTGACACCAGCGTCCTTTTGTTTTGCTTTCAGAATGCTGGGGACCAAATGTGCTGGCACTTGTACACACACCATAGCTGCATTGTTTTTAGATATAATATTTACAAAAAGGCACCAGGCAACAATCATCATGTCATGACACATCCTTCTAGAAAGATGTATGCAAAATCTACATACATACATACCAAACAGCGTGGTCGACTATATAAGTGCAGATGAGCATAAGGGCCTGTAAAAGAAGACAGGGACTAAATCAGTTAGCCTGAGCTTCTATATCCTCAAAGCAAAAACAATTACCCTTAGTGTCCACATCCTTTTCTTATAATCTGGATGACGATAAGCAGCAGACAGTTGTTCCAGTCCACCTCCACCTCGCCAGTCATTTCTCAAAGAGGTCTGGCCCAGCATGAGTAACGTCCATTTTCTATCCCAAGTCAGTGGGACAAACTATAGCTATATCAAAGTAATTGTTATCATTTCGTTTTCATTGTAGTTTGTCTTCTGCAATATATTAATAGAAACAAGTGTCGTGCAACATTTGTACTGTATGAATTATTTCAAAATTTGTTAAAAAGAAGAAAATGCATGACATTCATATGTATACATCACTGATACACATTACAAGCTGCACAATTTACAGGGAAAATAAATCGGATAAACAGGGCCATGAATTGCTTTGGCAGCAGGACTGTATGGGATTATAACACTGTCACTTACAACCAATATCAGGCTACATTCACGGAGTGTGACATAGGAATTAATCAATTTGACAGCTACTCTTTACACATGTCAGTGTTGAACCTGTAAGCTCCACAAAATGAGAATACAGTATTAATTGTATTTTCCCTTGGATAAAAAGGCTCTTATTCATGAGCATCTTTTGTGTGTTACCACAGAAAGACTTGTGGAAGAAAGAGAGAGCATTGGTATGCATGCACAGTGGACTGTGTGTGTGTTTGTGTGTGTATAAGGGTCACTCTACTGTCCCGTACATTAAGCTAAGTGCTCCTCGGCTCTCCAGCAGTAGTAAATGGAGTCTTATGGCTTGAGGGGGGTTTGTCTCCTAACTCCAAATCAAAAGCAGAGAGTGTCCCAAGCCTTAGGTCACTGATTCTATGAATCATCAAATTCAGTGACTTGAATAGATGCCTCTCTTTTTTTTGTTTGTGTGTGTGTGCGTGTCCTTGCATGCTTTTGAAATTTCTGTGTATGCTTTTGCATTGTTAACAAACCTTTTCAGTATCCTTTGTAATGAATATGATGCAAAACTAGTGTCAAATTCATTTCTCGGTGTTTAAACTTAGTTAAAGAAATACATCAGAGGGCTACATTATTTGTTATTTGTTGTTCCTGAATGTGAAGTATTTAAACATTGAGCTATTACGAATTAGTTTTTGAAATTTGAGAACAAGGAATCAGATGGATGGTATGTAAAACATCAAAGACCTTGCTGGTAGTCATTTCTGCAGTGGAGCGAGTCTTTCTCATAGAGACGGTACAGTATGCAGGCTTTAATGATGTGAATACTGAAAAGCTGAATGTCCCCATGCTTGCATCAGTCCATCACTGCTTCTTTCCTTCCCTCTTTTTCTCTGGGAACCTCTTGCAGGTTTCAGAGGCGTTTGGATCTGACATAGCAGGCACACAGGCAGTCACTGTCTCACACTTCATCTAAAGGGCCTACTTATCTCTGGGAGCCTGTGTTAGGTTATGCAATTATTGTAACAGTATTGTGTAATCTCTGTGTGGTGCTCGTCAATAGCAAAAACTCTGTGGTCGTTGTTTGTGGGCATCGAAGGAAAGAAAGTGGTTCACCATGCTGAGACTGCAACTAAAATCCAGGGGCTTTACTTACTGTAAGAGCTATGTTATATTGTCATATCAAACTCAGTGGAGCGTACATGAAAAATGAACAACTCAACATGACCACTGAGGGTGCAGTCGAGCATTTATGTCGGTTCTACTGAGTAAAATATGACTAGATTGCATTATAATTGGTACCATAGAATATGACTGAATATCACGTGATACATGATCAAATATTTCACTCTTTGCAGGGCGTCTGTGGCTTGGTGGTGGAATCGCTCTTCTCTCAATCAGAGGGTCGGGGTTCGACCTCAAGTCCTACTGTCCACATGCGGGAGTGTCCCTGGGCGAGACGCTTGACCCCAAAACTCCTCCGCCGGCTGGGCCCAGTGGTGTGTAATTGAGGTTAGTTAGTACTGATGAGTGCTCTGCCATCAATGTATGAATGTGGTGTGAATGGGTGAATGTGATTTGTAATGCGAAAGTGCTCAGAAGACGACAGAGTACATTTACCATACAAAGATACTATATTACAATGTCGAAAGCTGTGATAACGCAAGATACTGTGCAGTACAATATGATACTGTAAGAGATAACAATATGCCGACCAACAAAATGTAGTGTGATTCTATTGAATATGCTGTTTTAGGATAAGGTGCACTGTATATAAAAATTGACACTACACTGTGGAGCTCAGATCACTCCCTACTGACTGGCAACAATATTGGTCATACCCTGCCTCTCTCATGTTAACAAACGGAACATGGTCCAAACGATAAAATTAAAATACATGTCAAATAAATCTGACTCAAACACGATTTCTGTTAGTCAGTTCTTATCAGGCCACTTCATGTCCAAGTGTTAATTTAGTTCAAATCTTTTTTTTTTTTTTATAAAACAGCTACTGATTGACAGCTCGTATTACAAATAGATGCTCTTCCTTACTTACTGGATTGGTAGAGAATAGGAGGATAGGGGGAAAGGTAAAAGAAAATTTTAAAAAACAAAAACACAAAAGATCACAACACAGTCTTTCTGCTTTGGACTGTACCGACTTGTGGGAACTTCAACACTTTATCAATGAGTTCAATGCCTTTTTTAATTAGCGGACAGGGTGTGACATCAGTCCAGCGACTCTACCTGCCATGTCACAATTTTTAAGATACTATACATTACAATACATGATGTAATATATACAGTGTCAACAGTGTGAACCAGTCCAGCGACTCTACCTGCCATGTCACAATTTTTAAGATGCTATACATTACAATACATGATGTAATATATACAGTGTAAACAGTGTGAACCACTTTCAGTGTCCTCTTGGAGAGGCTTTACTGAAAGCAGCCTGGCAGGCAGTTGCTACCACAATTAAACTACTATAGATTTCCTATAATACTCAACTCAACTTTATTTATATAGGCTATATGGCTGAGCAACTGATCCCTTTTTAATTTTAATTATGATTTTGCCTTCACACAGTCATAAAGATATGATCATCAAGACTGAACAATTATTGTGCCCTCTGCTTTGTTGCTCCTGTTGCTTCCATACATTAAATGCATCCTCTCTCTCCTCTTTAAAAGCAGAGCATGGACTCATTAGCTCAATAAGGATCAATGTGAAACAAAGTTTGGAGCACACTGAAGTTGTGGCTCCCACTAAGATTAATGATGGACCATCTTATCTTCACACATTGCAACAGTGGTGCAATCTATCAGGCAGCCACAGGTGGAGAGAGGAGAGCAGGAAGGGGAACAGGAGGAGGCAGGTGTGAGTATCTGTGTGTGCCTGAAAAGCCAAGGGACAGAATGAACACGATGAGAGGGAGGCTGTAGTGATCACAAGGGCTAACCAGCAAATTGCTGCTGTTCTAATAAGTGAAAGGCATCATTCTGAATCATAATAAAATATAAGCTCAATTCTTAACATTATAAAGGACAATATATTAACGCTTGGAAACACTGCAGTAGAAAAGCTCAAAGCCTTCAATTTTATGACACAGGGTAAATACCACAGAGTGTGTATTGAACGGACAGAGTCTGCCTCCTCGCTGGGTGAAGCCAACCCGAGAACAGCACCCTCTGGTGACAGGCTGCAGTATAGGTCATAAATCCCGCCTCTTCTAGGCATCCTTATAGAGCTGTGGACAAACTTTAGAACACAGAATATAAATATTTCTCCCTGCCTGCGATGTAGACATGTAGTTACTGTAAGAATGGTTTGTGCTAAAGTCCTCTTTTTTCTGTACAGCTCTATTTTTAAAAGTTATTAGGGGGTTCATGTTTTCCATGATTGACACTTGATACAGCCTATGGGTGTACAAAGATTGCGTAGCTCACCCGGGGGATACGCTGTTTGAGCCGAGCATCAGCACAGTGACTCTCTGCGACTCTACCGCCAAATGCGTAAAATGCTACTGCGCAATGTTGGTTTCAGGAAGTGGAGAAAAAACGCAGAATTAATGAGAGCTTTTCGGCTTCAAATCCGTGTACTAGCAGAAGGCGGAACCAAGTTGTCCATAGTATATACAGTCTATGGTAAATACCAGTGAAAGCTGCCATTCAGTTTAGTGAGTATCATCACCAAAATTAAACCAAAGCTCTGAAAATGAGGTGAAGAATTGATGCATGGTCCCTTTCAGTAGTGCATATGACTTCAAAATAAATAATTTGGTCACACTTTGGTGGACAAAAGGTAGGTTCAAAAGTTTTTTTTTCCATTTATTGTTTTTCAAAGAATAAAGAGTTTCTAAGTTTTAAAGAGGTTTTAATTCGTGTAAATGCTTGAGCTGAAGATGTCAAATCTTGGGTAGTAAATAATCGTTTTATCAATAGGTTATCAATCATATAATCGTGATTATGGTTTTTGTCAGAATCGAGCAGCCCTAATTGTGTAGATATACGTATGTGTACATTAACACAAATATGCAGCACAAATGATTGAAATAGTATATTTTCATGGAGTGGCTCTATAATTCTGCAGATTTTATATTGATTACCGTCAGTTTATGGTTCAGCATCTTCAATTTTACAACGCTGTGTGTAACACCGGTGTTCCCGTCCTTGAAAGCATCACGAGTCAAAGCTGGCACACTGTCCCGAACTCTCTGACACTCTAAATCTGAGCTCCTCAGACGGACACCAACGTAAAACTGCAATGTGCTGCTTCAGAGTACTCTGCATCGAGAACAGGTGACAGACACCTCAACTTTTCAAGAGCAGTCAGAGAACACGGACCAACCTCGTAACTGACACGTAAAAATGGTCAAACTTTTCCCCTCAGTTCCACTTAAAAACAGGAGCTCAGGTCTATTTTTTAAGCAGTAACCATTCTCCTGCACTTAACTCACTGTTCAGATTCATATGCACTATCATATCCACTGTGGCACGCTTAAATTAGTCCATTCCTTGCCTGGTTGGCATTCGTGCGTTGCGGTGTTCCGCGTCATTCGGTCACCTAACTAGATGGTTCCATCAGACGGAATTACCCGCATCACTCAATGAAGTGCAATTATTGATCACACTGCCCCCTCTCTCTCCCTCTCTCCTTCAACCAGCTCTCTCTCTCTCTTTCGCTCTCTCTCTCCCTCCCTGAAGTGCTGCAGCGAGGGAGGACTGACTGCACCGAAAAAAAGCTCTACTTTCGTGCGCTAGCAATTACCTCTGATCTTATTCAGAAGCAAAAAAGGCTCACCAGATTTTTTCAGCATAAAGTCAAAGCGCTGCTGGATGCAATGGGTAGACTAACCATCAGACTAGTTTTATCTTCTCGCCATAAATGAAGGTAAGTGATGACTACTTTTTCTCTGAAACACGCTGAGTGTGTGATACTTCTTAGTTAGAAAAGAAGACTATATTTCTAGGAAACAGTTTACGCCTGAACTTTAATTAGGATAAGACATCATGGGGTTCATTTGTTTGCCTCTGTAAATCTCAGGTTTAGGCTGCATTTAAGTTTGGTTATGTGATAATGTATTTAGACCAGACTGTCCATGCGGCTCATGCAAAAGTAGAAATTGGCGTCAACATGCAGCAAACATCAAATTTGCATTTGATTTAAGGGATGCACAGTTAAATTTCAATACTTTTTTTATTGTGCAAATTTATTCAAGTAGTATAAAATGGTGACACAAATTCTTTTGTAGGTCTATATATATATATATATAAAATCTCAAATGAAAACTGAAAGAATAAGATATATGGAATTTCTAATATTTATTTCCTGATGATCACTGACTGGAGTCCAGGTTGGGGTAAAGACTGGGGTTGTGGGTTGCGGACTGTGCACTATGTAGTGCAATCCAGCCGCCTGCCCCGGGGCAGTTAAAGCACTCTGCACTTCCGCCAAAAAGAGGAGATGATGCTGGAGCAGGCAACTGACTCATCCGTGAACTGCACCTCGAGAGGCAGTGAGCGATTGACAGGCACACAGCCGGTGAACTGGAAATCTGTGGCAAAGTGCTTTGTTTGCAGTCTGAAGGCTGCTGTAGTGGTGCTGTTTGTGTACACTGAATATTTCCAGCAGTGAAAAAAAAAAGTGTTGGATAAGCTGGAGTGATTGCAGGTATCAGATAACACTCTTTTAGTACACCTGCTATTGATAAAGTTTTTGTTTTCTGACAGGAAAATAGAGTATTATTGTAATGCTGTTGTCCTTTGTTGGTATTCAGATCCATTTTTATCCCAAGCATCCACAAACCTGTAATTTGTTAGTTTTTCTAAATCACACAGACTCTCCTGTGAACCTTTTTCTCTGCGTAAAGGAAAATTGGAGTCTATCTACAAAGTACAAAGAATTCAGAAATGTACAAAGCTGTGTGTCACTTGAATTATTATGGTTTTTGCATCTAATAACATTAAGTGTGAGTGATGGTGTGACAGTTTCGTATTTAGCACTTACCGGATGTGTCAGCGGTGAAATCTTGCAAGGTGGAGAGACCATATGTTTGCTCAGAAGATCAAACAGACATCAGCCTGATGCAAAAAAGGCAAAGATCGACTTTACATACTGTAATCTTGATGGTTGGTCTGAACTTTTTCAGTGTATTACCTGGAAGTAATTATCTTTCTTTCTTGTACAAGTGTAATTCATGTAACTCTCTAATCTTCAATTTATAAACAGTTCTGAACAAACACAATTTGTATGTCAGTGCATATAAATTTGATCATATTTTGCACAATTTTACCAAACACAGGAGATTTTTTTTCCTTTTGTGAGTGATGGGCAAAGCAGATATTTAAGTCAATTCTGATATTAATGGAGAGTAGAAAAAGCGGACATCAAACCTGCTGCAGCTGCTTCATGAATCTGTATGATGTAATTTAAGCGAGGTTTGCAATCAGCAATGCTTTTGAAGTTTTAACTTTGATGACAAGGCTTCAACTGTTAAACGAATATGATAGAGGAGGCCTAGAAGCTCTCAAAGATGTTTCTCCTTTCCTTTTAGTAGAAGCATTGGCGGAAACAACCATTTCTTCCTCTCTCTTGACATTTATTTGTCTCTGTTTATTATTCTGAAATGATACTTCTCATACACCCCTCCCCATCCACCACTCTCTCCCTTGTCTTCTTCCTACTCCTCCACTCAGTCAGTAATGGTATCAGTGTTTGATGAAATCTCCTAACGGAAGACGTCCCGGGCTGCTTTTGCCACAGCCTCTCAGATGAGGTCATGGGTTCTCCGTTTTGATGGGATTACATGCGGCTCTGCCCACTTAGAGATTGGACCTGCTCATTCTGATGCTAATAGAAGAAACCAGCCGTCAAGCCGCCATGCTCGTGCATGTCTTTGAAAGGGCAGGAAACTGGCAAGTCAAATCTGAATGTGATGGAAAGCACTTGTAAGGAACGAGGGCCATAAACTGTAACTAGTTCAATGTGCGGTGTACATGAACACTTAAAAGAAGAAAAAAGGTTAAATTTAAAAACACAACCATGTGTTTCATCAAAAACTCTGGACTACCTGCCTGCACTCAGCTAAAAAACAATCAACTGATTTTGCTCCAAGTCCCCATGGAAAATATAAAATGTATGTCTCCTCCAAACAGCTAGAGATTCTTGGTGCAGAATAGATTTTTCTAAATTCTTATACTAACCTCTTTGCACATACTTATTTGTAAGTCAGGACTTACATGGACACCAGTTATTTTGACCAAGTGCATTGTTTGTGTGAGAAACCCATACAGTGCCCATCATCCTTTTACTAAGTTTAAGTTATGTTTGTAACAGTTCTTGTTTTGACAATGCAATTTATTATTAGTAGGTTTGATACTGAAGCTACTGAAGCAGCTGAAAATGATCTCTTCAAATACACAAAAAAAGACTTTTGTCTTAAATTTCTGCCTCGACTTGGATGTTTTGCTAAAACTTCTTTGTGACTCAAATGTTTTTAACTTCTTGTCCAAATACTAAGGCCAAATTACGTATGACTTTGTGGTATTTCAGTATTCTGGAGAGGTTAAAAGAAAGCAGGCTCACTATCCATCATGCACACAGTGTGTATTTCCAGAGTAAAGTCTATTTGCTGTGTCCTCACATGGTCCAGAGAAATCAGATACCTGCTCTTTTTGGCAGAATTTTAGAGAATAACTTTGTTTAAGATTAGGACATGGGTTCAGGCTTCATATCATTGTATGTTAATATGGACGGTGAGCCTCCATCTCCTCCACTGTAAAAGAGTAAAACCAACATGCTGCCTCAATGAGTGCTGACGTATTGAGCTGGTGATGAGGATATGTCCAGAAATGATCTGGAGGGGCTTCAGCTTTTGAAGGACCCATCTTTTGTAGCCTGCTTCGACAGGTTTGGCCCAATTGAATTGAGATGCTCTAGCTTATGGAGAATTCCCTTTTTATGTCACTAGCTGTCCCTGCTCTTACACAGAGTTTATGCAGTTGCGCCCTTGTTGCCTAGCGATGGGTAGCTTTCTAATTAACTAAATTGCATAACGAGCGTCGTAACTCAGAAAGTGAACAAGAGCAACTGTAGTAGGCTGCGTGCACAGCTGGCGCATGTGCACTTATACTATACACTATGTAATGTAATAATAATGATAATATTAATACTTTATAATGTCCTCTGTTACATCAAGTCTTGGGGTTGTAGTTTATTAGGATTCAGATCAATGTCTCTTACTTTCCAGTCCACATTGTGCCCCTTAGCTTTTCAGATACATATGCACCACACCTGTCTCCTCATACTCCTCTCACTGCTCTCCTCTCTCCACCTGTGGCCATCTTAAAGTTTGCACCCCGTTGCACAACATGTTCAAGATTAATTGCCCAGATCTACTGCAAAGCATGCACCCAATGCATTCCAGGAAAAATAGGACACATGTGTCAGCTGCATTTGGAGGGCAGAACGGGACAGCCATTGGCGTACTGCTGTGACATAACCAGCCTTCAATTGCGTCCATGAAGGCCGCAGCCCCTAATCGGGACAGAACAGTTATTCCTTCTTAGTTCTGTATATCCAGTGAATAATGTTGAAGTTATGTCATCAAACCCCCCTCTTTGGAACATCAAATACCTGCTAAAACTGAATTTCAAAAACCAGTAACAAATCAGCATGATACACACTAACTGCTCAGAAAGAAACAATGTTCAGGTCAAATTCATTTGATGTGGATTTTAATGTTGTAGGTTGACTCTTGTTCTACTTTTTATGTTAGAGGCAGGCTTTAGGACCTTTACTGCAGTGGTGGAACACTACAAGTTTGGCGTCACTTTAGGGGAGGTGACGTGTTGTCAATCTTTTATACTGACATTGTTCAAATACAGTGCATAAATAAGGTAAAGAGGAAACTTAGACTGAGAGAAGCAGAATCTAAAGCTGCTTGAAAATTGAACGAGGTTCGAAACAGCACGAAAGAAAACAAAGATGGCTTTAGGAGTGCTGGTGCTGTGTGATTGTGATTGTGATTGCTCTCGTTGCTTGAGCTGTCTACACTGTCAGGGTCCGATCAGTTGCGGTCAGGTGAGGTGGGTCGTCTGTGTGCTCAGCTGTCCTCTGAGCTTCATCACCGCTGACAGGAGGCCTCACCATACACTCCAATGATTCGCTGACAGACAGGCTCCACCAGGATACACCCCGTCTGGTTGTTTTGAGTAAAAACAATGTGTGGTAGCCAACATGAGCTGGAAAAATGAAAAGTAACAGATCAGTGACACAGCAGTGAGCTCTGACATGTCTCTGGTGGCTGTCAGTCTTTCAAGTCATTCAAATTAATTTTACCGTAGTTTGCAGTAAATTGAAATAAATCCACACATGACAAGAATCCAGGATGTCCAAATACAATTAATTTACAGAAACCCTAGAGCATAAATACAGGATTTGGGATAAAGGTCTTCTACAGTGAGTGCTTTACTAGACAGAGAAATACTAGTTGACGTTTTGCAATGTGCGCTTTGCCAATAAAATGAACAGACAGATAAAAGAATAAAATATTTGATAAAAGAAATAAAAGCCCAAGTATCTGTCTCACAGAACAGTCCCTGAGGCTTCACCAGTGTCAGTGGACCCATTAAAAAATTACAGTTCCATATATAAAGGAGTGTGCTCATGAGCACTGAAGTCATACAATGAGCCAAAAAGGATTAGTAGAGTCACCTTGAATCAGCAGTGTCATTTTGCCCAGTAAAATTGCATTATGGGAGCTGGAGCTGGCCCAGTGATTTGTGTCCTCCTGACAAGGCTTCAGTGTTCATTAGAGGCTGTGGTGAGCAGCTCCTAGACACACAGGAACCACACACACACACTCACAGTGAAAATCTCTGACCGTGTCCAATGTTCTCCTTAATGCTTGAAAATCTGAGCCCTTCAGGATTTCCTCTTTATATCCTCCGACATTTTTAAGTGATCTCAATGATGGCTGTGTCTTTGTGTTTAGTTAAAAATCATTGATTAACTAAGTAAGAATGAGCCTGTGGGGGCTACTGTGATGATGAAGTGTTTGAACACTCCCATGAAATCATGTGACATAACTTGCAGTGGCAGCCTGGGGTCTCCCTTCTATGGTACAATGGGGAAAGGGCTTCCCCATCTGTGCAGTGGGCGTGAACTCCTGTCTGTGCATGACATGTTTTGGAGTGTAAAAAAGTCTTCTGTAAGCGTCTCGCAAACACCAGTGATATATGGAGTGATTAAACGCAGCTAATCACAGAACATCAGGGGCATTTGTTTCCTATTATAGGGCTGTTTTCCAGTTTGCGTTTATCTACACATCTACTCATAACCGTTTCCCCTTTTCTCCTTTCTTTGCACGAATCGAATGTGACAGTGCCGTTCTGGTTGGATCGTCACTCCCGTTGTAATAAATCAGCGCTTATTGGGGGCAAATTGATTTTCGGGCAGGGCTTGTACATTAGCTTCAGTTACCGAGAGAGGATCATGAGTCAGCAGATTTGGCATCTCCACGTAAAATCTCTCAACCTGTGATTAATAAAGAGAGGAAAAAGCTCTCCTGGACAGCTAACATTCATTTACAATAGAAAGAGAGAGCTGTTTTTCAGCCTTTTTTTTCTAACATCACTCCAAATGATTAAAGGCCATTGAGATTAGTGAACAAATGATTGAAGAAGGTGTTTACTCTAAGTTTGGTGTCACTTGTTATTCTGGCATTCAGGCAGTATCTGACAATTATCTCTTTTCTTTTTTCTTCTTCTTCTCTCCGATCCCTACTCTTACCCATCTGTTTTGTACTCTTCCTTTTTTTTTATCCTCCCCTTGCCCCCCATCCCCTCCAGCCTGGCCAATGATTGCCCTCCTGAGTTATCTCCTGTGGTGACTGCGAACTCAAGGGTTTTCTTCCCTGCTGTATCTTGTGGCCTACTGATCTCACCACCTGCATCCCCTCCTCCCAGCTTACACTCACCCCTCCTGCCCTGATTTTCTTTGCCTCTACCTTTAAGTATCCTCTGAGCCCCTGTGAAGACCTTCTGCCGGAGCCAAAATGGAGGACACTTACAATAACAGGACTTCCCTGGCAAAGGGGGCCAAGGACATGGTGAAAGAGGCCAAGCGGCATGCAACAAAGAAAGTTAACAAAGTGGTGGACCGTGCGTCAGATGAGTATTCGTCCCACCATAACTATAGTCGATTCCAGGACGAGGAGGATGAAGATGAGGACTTCTACAGGAACCCGCCAAGGCAGGACGGAGAGCGCTACCATGACAACGAGGAGGGCTCAAGTGATGCCACAGAGGGCCATGATGATGAGGATGAGATCTATGAGGGGGAGTACCAGGGGATTCCATCTGCGGGAGACAGGAAGCATAAGGAGGGCCAGGTAGCGTTGGGGCAACCTGTGTCGGACGCCACAAGGGACCGTAAAGTGTTAGAGGAGGAGAGACAGGCCGACGAGGAGGAGCTGGCCCAACAGTATGAACTGATCATCCAAGAGTGCGGGCATGGCAGGTTCCAGTGGCAGCTCTTCCTGGTGCTGGGGCTGGCCCTCATGTCAGATGGGGTTGAGGTGTTCGTAGTGGGCTTTGTGCTGCCCAGTGCAGAGACGGACATGTGTGTGCCTAACTCCAGCTCAGGGTGGCTAGGTAAGTCTTGCTGTGTGTCTTTTGATGTTGTTGATTGTTCATTTAAATGTATTTGCTAACAGGAAGCAAAATAAGTAGTTATTGGTAATAGCAATACAATGCAACATGGGTAGTTTAAGATTATTTTATACCACCTGACCGTCACACTGATGCCTTCACAGTTGTATTGGGATTAACCTGAAAACATACAAGTCAAACAGAGAACGTTTGCCATAGTTAAGAACAGGGAGTTTGAAGGGAGTGCAGGTTGGTTATATTTAAGGAGATAATCAGTTGGATGTCAAGATGCAAATGTAAAATGAAGCCAAGCCATGTCAGAGCTATTTCAACATTTATAGGTACTTTCTTTTGGTAGTTTTCTTAGTTTTTAACTGCTGGTCGCACTACAGTGGCCTGTTAAACGGGTGTATTGTTGTAACATAAAAAAATGAAGGGCTACAACACTTCTTTTTTTTAAAGTCCCACTCCGATCGTTTTTTTTTACTACTTAAAGTGTTGTCAGTGGTCTTTAAATTGCGATTACGAAGTTTTTATCAAAAATCACGTTACCTGTGTCATTTTCAAGGGCTTTTCTTCTGCAGAGCTCCAGTTAAAAATTAGCAGTTCGTCTCTGGGCAGAGACAGCGCTGCTCTGCACACTCGTCTTTACGTTAGCTTGCAGCCTAACATTGCCGGTGTAGTAGAAGTGGCAGGTAACATAGGAGCTATTTAGCGGGCACTAATGTCTTTAGGGTCGCGATGAAAGCTTATATCATAATTAACTTTCTTACGAGCATTGCAATCCGCTAACGCACACGCTTGTTCCATGATCATCCCCTGTATATCTTCTGGGCTCTGGGGGCGGAGCTTGGATTGGTTACATATGAAATCTCACTGTTCCTGAACCTGTTGTTTGGGTCTGCCAGAGATTCATAGGTGGCTTTAATCTCATTGTACTGCGTATAATGACAATAAAAGGCATTCTGATTCTGATTCTGAGCATCAGAAAAATGTCATATGAACATATAAAAAAAGAGAAAAACATGATTTTCATGGAAGTGGGTCTTTCATCAGTCAACAAAATGCAGTATAAAATCTGTTTGTCTGAAAAAACAAATAAGTTTTGCTTGTCGTTTGCATGCACACATGCTGCACCATATCCTTGTGCAGTTTCATATAGAGGTGTTTTGGTTCACTGGTCTATGTGTCAGGATTAAGAGGGCAGTTTTTACTCCCTGTATGCTCTTTGTGTTGAGAAGGAGTCCCTGCAGTCCCCGTGGCTGCAGGTGTAAAATCCATCACCTCAGAGCTGTGCGCAGGGGCTGACTCACTGTGTCAGTGCCAGAGCGGCGAGGGCATAAATTCTGGCACACAGATTCTAGATACTAACAGCCACAGCGGGACATGACAATGCATTAACTGCACTGGAACTTTTGATACAAAAAGGATACTGTTCAAGAACCTTATGTTGTGTCATAATCACACTGTTTTGATTAAGCATTGTACCTCATTTCAAATAATAATGCTTTAAACCTAAAGCTTTTTACATCTAAGGGATAGTATGCAGATTTTTCAGTGTGGGCTGGTCGATTCTATTCATACTATATTAATCAGGCAAACTTGTAATGAGAAATCATTCTTCAATTATTGTAAGATGTTGTGCACAGAACACCTTCTTTGCTCAGTCTCTCTCCAAGTATCCATGTAAACCCTTTTCTCCCTCTATAGCCAAGCAAAATCCTGCAGGCATTCATGCTCCACGCTCTGCTTCTTCTTGTTCGTGACTTCATCCCTCACCCCCCTGTCCCTCCCTCTCACCCTCCATTCTCTGTGTTCCTCTCTTTTCTTCTTCCATCCTCCCCTTCTCCTCTCCTTTCTCCTGCTGATTGCCCCAAGGCTCCTCCCTGTTGACGGGAACATGATTGGTGCGTGTGTGCGTGTAAATGCGTGTGTGCGTGAGTGTGTGTGTGTGTTTGTGTGTGTGTCTGAGCTTAGCCAACATGATTACTATGACCTTGTTGGTATCCATTTGGAGTTTTCCAGAGTAATTACACTTAATTACAGCAAACAAAATGGAGTGAATGGATGTTTTACAGGTGGCGTGGTAATCCTTTATTCATCTGAAGAGGTAAAAAAAGGCCTGTGAAATCTTTGGATACATTATATTAAGATGGTCTGATATCCCAAGTATTTTATGTAATCTTTATCTAATTGAGCAGAATCATAGTGTTCTTGTAGGGACACAAGACAATATTATATGGGGAGGGCTATGGCGTCGTGGGATCTTTAGATAAAAAGCAGGTTTTTAGAATTTAAATACGTTAAGTGGGTACAATAATTCTATGTATTTAGAATATAAAATACCTTGTTACGATCCAAGCAACACTTTAAGGCCCCGCTCCTTAAAAGCAGCATTTCAGCATTTGCTAACATTTACCTAAGGCGCACAGGACATGACAAAAGTAGCTAACTTCCGGCATTATCTGGCAGTATGTGTTCACAATAGCTGCAACATGAGCATCCTGGTCACTAGCATCAGATTGCCTTGACATCATCCACTTTTTTCTTAGTAATTATTAAAAGTGAAGAACAAACGAATTCCTTCTTCACTGTATTGATTCAGGATGTTTTTTTCTATTCCAAAATAAGTAAAGGAGGGTGGGGACTCACCACTGTGGTTTTGCAGTCTTACAATAGGATGATACCTCTGCAGTGGTTGCAGTTGAGTCACATTTTAGGAAAAAACATAAAGGCAAATGCAAACACAAATATATTTAATAGGAGTGACAAAACAAAAGCTTACTTCATTAGTTCATTGATCAAATGACCAAACTCCAATGCGTCTGGGTTACTCATGCAGACAACAACAGCTAGTAATACCCATAGACTGTATAAACTATGGACAACTTTGTTCCGCCTTCCACCAGCATATGGATTTGAAGCCAAAAAGCTCTCGGTATTTCCGTGATTTTTTTCCGCTTCCTGAAACCACATTGTGCAGTAGCATTGTCCGCATTTGGCGGGAGAGTCGCCGAAAGACGCTATGATGACGCTCGGCACAAATAGTGTATCTCCAGGTGAGCTACGCAATTTTTGTACACCCATAGGCTGTATCAAGTGTCAATCATAGAAAACATGAACCCCCTAATAACTTTTAAAAACGGAGCTGTACAGAAAAAAGAGGACTTGAGCACAAACCAGTCTTAAAATAATTACATGTCAACATCACAAGCAGGGGGGAGAAAAAAAAAAATTTTGAGTAATAAATTTCTAAAGTTTGTCCACAGCTTCATAGGTATTGCTGGAGGAGGCGGGATTTGTGACCTATACTGCAGCCCGTCACCATAGTGTGCGTTTCTCGGGGTGGCTTCATCAAGCGAGGAGGCAGATGCTACCATATGACGAATGATATTTGAGCAAAAAGATGATGTCCAACATGTGAGATCATAAAAAGTTTCTCTAAATTGATAAAACATTGTTCGCCCATCAATTTGTTGCCAAATACCACGACAAGTCGGAAAGTTGGACACCAAATTCTTCCCTGAGTTTCTGAGTTGTTCCAGCTCGAGCAGACATTCAAGTATTTTGAAGACATAAAAAAAAAACAGGAATTCTGTTTTTAGTTGGTTTTATCTAAGCAAGTCCTCCATTATAGCTGTATTGTGCAGAACCAAAACACTGAGTGAGAGGCAAGCTGCACAGACTGAGCTGAGCGTAATGGGATAATGCAGCATGAAAAACATAAAGGCCCGCATAGAAAAGAAGACTGAAATTCTGATTAGATTACAGTGTTCAGTTTGGTCCTACCAGTATATTAGCGATGAATGAAGCGTGGAGAGCCAGGGATGGAGGGCTGAAATACTGTAAATCCTCTAAATAAGAGTGGCCGGTGTGGGAAGACAGAAGTGGTGAAAAACAAACGCTTTGAGATGATAAACAGGGGGACATGAGAGGAGGAGGGAGAGCTTTGAAGTTAGAGAGGAGTAATGGGGAAGGAGGTGTGGGTGGATGGGAGCAGAGAGGAGGCGGATTGGTGGCATTTGGTATAGCAACAATGTGAGGGAGAGGCTTAGCTATCATCTCAGACACAACAGACAATGAGGACGCACCACCCTATCATTACTTATTTGTTGGCTTAGGCTGTGTTTTTCCTCCTGAAATTGCCCTCCCTCTATCGCTTAACTCCTTCTCATGTCCATTAAACATCTACATCAATACTTCTTTCTTCCTTTGATTGTTTTCTCCCTGTTTTATACTTTTACCATCTTAAACCTTTTGCTCTTCTTTTTTGTCCCATCTTCAGTCTTGAAGCTCCATTTCCTCACCACTTCTTCCTTTGTTCTCTCTTTTACTCACTTTCTTTCTATGCCAGCTGGCAGGCTGTGTGGGGCTGTGTGGTCCAGGGGCAGCTGAGCATGGCTAAACTGCAGTAAGATCGCAGCACCACTGCAGAGACTACACTACTTGAGTTGTGCAGCTCCACATTGTGTGGGAGAATGTATATGTGTGTTACAGAGAGAGGATGGGGGAGTGTGTGCGCTTTCTCATATGGACCAAACCAGCTGCCGGCAGCAATATGGGGCACAAGTAAACCATGTCGAACTGCTCTCTCTTATCAGGGGTTCACGGCATCACCGTATTTCACGCGAAAGATCTACAGTCTTTAATGTAATGAAGGATGGATCATTACTGATGCTGAGTGAGCCACTTTAATGCCTGCACTCTAAGCCGTACAATAGGTTAGTTTCATATAGATTGCATTGAAAACCTGCCCCCACTGATATGACTTAAAGATGACAAAAAGCTTCAATCCTTTTTTTTGCGGAGGTGGCAGAAGATGGAGGCACGAATCCGATCAAAATGACATGATGTAGTACAAATGTGATTACACGCTGCTCAGTGTAAAGAAGCTGATGACAGCAGAGCAAAGAGAAAACTAAGGAAAATAAATGAGAGGGGGAAGCACAGAGAGGAGATGAACAGGAGGGAAGAGGGGAGGGGAAAAAAGGAGAGATAGGGAAGGGGAATAAGAAGTGAGCTAAGACATTTCAGAGCTGAAGGAGAAGATAGTAAAAGCTGAAAGAAAGAGGGATGAAGCAAAATTTGAGGGGTGCAAGTGGCAAAGAGATGAAATAGATAGAAACAAAGAGAAGGAGCAGAAAAATATCAAACTGAGTGGGAAACCACAGTAAGTCACTGCACTGTGCACCAGGCACACTCTTGAATGATCGTATCGTCATTATGAATAAAACAGGACGGGTGTTTTGTGCGATGCTGAAACAGTTTGTGCTGTTAAGAGCGAGGAGCATCAAAGCATGAAATCAGAGAAGAGGTCGTGATGCAGCTCAGCGCTCCCACGGCTCTCAGGGGGCTTCCTTTGGATGTGACAGGACAGAAAACACTGAGCCCGGACCTTCCCCTTCCTCCTTTATTCCACGTCTCTCTCTCACCCAACCTGAGAATTACCAACCCCCGCCCCCCACCCATTCATAGCTTTACTCTTTGCCCTTCGCTGGCAGTGCTTTGTCCCATACGTGTTTTAAAATTTCATTTCTTACCTACCTCTCAGATGGCTGGATTAAAAGATTCTCGATGTAAAGGTAGTGTTTTAGTCTGTGCTATTTTAGTACATGTGTATAAAGTTGTTTTACTGCTTATCGACGAGACGCTCACTCTGTGGAATTTGTTCTGGCGCCTGTGATTTGGCTGAATATTTTTTATTCCTGGAGATTTGTTTTGACACTCCAGCAGCATGTCATCTGATATAACCTTTTGTCCTCGCCTGACAAGACACCAGAAACATTGTCACTTTTTGATGACTCTCGAAGCCTTCATGGGTCATCAGGTTGAATCTGTTTTGTTATCTCCTCTTCTGATGTGCATAATTGTTGCTTCAAAAACTTTACATTTCTTTTGTGTGAAGAACCAGGACTAGATGAATCAACCCATGTGTGTTTTGAATCTATATTTTGGTCTTATAAACAGGTTGAACAGGGCTAAGAATTATTGATTGTATCCTTCTTACTAGTTTGTGAGACCAAGGTGTAGGACCTTAATTTACAGCCTCACTAAATCAATGACGGAGCAGCGGTGGGCGAAAGCACTCAGGAAAGAGGCTTCATTAATCAGAATACTCTGGTTGATGCCGCTATGATCCAACCTCTCCAATCAAATGTTAAATATTGACTCCTGACTCGGTCTGATGAAATGCTGGGACATGTTGTGATGATATCAGGTCTACTGCCAGTTGGTTTATGATGGTCTTTTTCTTAAAGGCATGGTTGACGATTTGAGAAGCAGTTGAAAAAAACTGAGCCGTTGAGGCAGATTTGAAAAAAGCGTCCCACCCCTCACACAAACCTCCCCCCTCTGTGCTCCACGATAACTCCCCCCCGAACCTGTGTCCCCCTACCCACAACACGCCCCCTCTGGCAGAGCAAGAAACTGGCCAGCAGATGATCCTATGCTAGCTTCAAATAGGATTCACCATGTCAGATTGCTAGTGACTAGCCGCAGTAAACGCCAGCTCTGCTAGCGAGCACTGTCTGCAGCTGCTGGACAGCTACCGTGTTGACATTGCAGAGAGTTGTTATTGTATTATTGAGTTATTTATGTAACATGTGCCACGATAAAAGGCAAAAATTACCTGTTCAACAAAAACTCTGCTGTCTCTGCATCTGTTTTCAGGCCCAAATCCTGGCGGAGTTTTCTCCACCGCTCCAAGAATTACCTGATGTTTATTCGAGTTAGATTATTCGCTTGGTCACATTTCCTCTTCGACTCTGCTCTTTCTTCTGTCAATTTGCGTTTTCTTAGCACTTTTGGCAGTGGGGCAGGCAGAAGTATTTTTTTTTTTTTTGAGTCCTTCTCCATCACAGCTCCTGTAGCTAAGCTGCTACGCTAATTTAGCCGCTCAGAACTCCGATGAGGGCAGGGAGAGTGGAAGGGGATGGGTCTGAACTAAGGGAGAGTGGTGTGTCGAATACAGCAAGGTGATTGGATGGAGAAGCAGGAGATTGACCAATAGGAGCTGTTCGGGACGGCTGGCTCCCATTGGTCAATGTTTTTGCAGTCCTGCACCTGCTAGGATGATCTGATTTTTTTCCATTCTTTTTTTTTCTTCACTTTGTGGAGATTTTAAAAAAGCCTCAGGTTTCTTACTCTGGTGTATTAAAATACCATTATGTCAGCCTCCGTCTAAAATGAACAGATGCACTAGTAAGGAGTCTATAATGCTGACGCAAGCACTTTGGTGAGTCCTGTGTTTTTTTTGCAAGGTGCCGTTCTGAGCGGTTTACATCTATTTTCTGAAATTATGACAACATACTGTATGTTTACCTTGTGATTTGAAATTTTGCATACATCTACGGACGCCATACAGTGTAACTTTACCATAATAGCATAATACCACCCGTTTGACAAATGAAGCCTGTCCCATGAGACTGGCTGAAGAGCAGCAGATATTTTTGAACTTCTCCAGTGGTTTCATTTCTCCACCCATGGTTGGTTGATCAGAGCTTGAGGATAATCTATTCTTCTATCATGGGTTTCTTCTCACCCATCTCCTCTAAACATTAGAATAACCACAGAAATTTGAATCTAAGGTAGGGATGGGACTTGATTAGATTTTATCAATATCAATGCCATTATCGATTCTGCTTATCGATTCAACTCTTTAACGATTCCGTTATCAATGCCTTTCTTTGATTTAAAAAAAGGTAGACTATAGGTTTTCACTGTTAACTCAAAATTTATTGAGTCTCTGATAACAGAAAAAGATGTATGCTACCTTCAGTGAGAATCTAAAAATGATCGAACAACAAACTATTCGTACAGCATTTATTTTGGTCGGTATTAAGTCAAAACACACAGGACATACACCTTCCATGCCCTGCTGAGATGGAATGGCAGCTGCCTACGACCGGCGGAGAGCATCAAATACATGTGATTCTTTATATTTGATGCTGTGCCCCGTTCACAAATGTTTAAGGATGTTGCTGGTGTTTCTATTTTTGCATGTTATCACTTTCTTGGTAAAATTAAGTCACGCTGTAGATCGTTTCTGCTTACTTTTTGTACTGTCCACCATGTTTTTTTCTCTGTCTCTGTTCTTGTTCTCATAGACTGGCACTTGCGAGACTGTGCAAGGCACCCAGAAGAGAAATCTTTAAGATAAAATGTAAATGATGTTGATGGATTGAACCATTTGGAACCAGTTCTCAAGAAGAACCGGTTCTCGATTCCCATCTCTTATCTAGAGCAAGATACTTGTAGTATCATTTTTTCCTTCGTTGTTCAGGATCTAAAGATTTGGAGACTGAATGTTTACTCTTGCCCTGTCATTGTGTCAGTGACTGCATGTGACTGACCGTTCCTGTGGAGAGCTTTTCAACCTCAGATTTGCTGCAGGGTGGTAACTGCTTGGTTTGAGTCTGAACAGTAAATGGGACCATACCGCTTTGAAATCTCACTGAAAGAATTGTGTGACTTATGAGAAATCGAATAATCTCTAAAAGCACAAAACACAAGATTCAGTCGAAATACGTGCCATAATTTTCTGACATGAGAGGTTAATGCTACATAAATGGTCCGGGGATATTTTTTCTTTATGTAATGAGATAGACCTTGTAATGTTAGGAGATGTCTGTACTTTTATGTTACACTCCTGAATTATATTACACCACAGTGTACTCCTCTCCTCTCTGCGGGCACTGCTGACATCACAGCTCAGAGATACCGTGCAGTGAGTCAGACAGGACATCGATAAATTCATTACGTAATGGACTGTCTTGTGAGAGATGTGCTCATTAGTCAACAGTTTCATTGCTCTTTGTTAAAGGACACTGAAGAAGCAGGAATCTGAGGTTTTGTTTTTGTCTTTTAGCTTAGTCTGTCTTGTGGAAAGTTGAGCACAGAAATTAAATGAAAAAAGCCGCTGGATGTTTGGATGCATGACAATTAAATGGGAGGCCAGTGGGTGTTTGCCTGGGCACCATGTATCTCAGCGTCTCCTTAATGAAGCAAATGTGAACTGTGCATAGACTGAAGACTTCCGCCAAATTTAGAATTGAATTTATGGCACCTTCAGGGCAAGTATCTCGATGGCTGCCAAATGTGACAGATAGCTGGGATTTTGACCCCTGAAGCAAAAGAGTCAAACAGATATCAGCTCGCGGTAGAGGAGAAGAGACCTGACTGCAGACATTACAGGGAGGAAATGCATCTCGCTATTAAGATTATCGTAATGGGATGAACAAAGTTTCCTGAAGGCTGAGTCATACCACTCTGTATATGAGTGTTACTTTAACAGCTCCTTCTTTTTGTGATAATTGCATTCAGACAACTCTAAATTAACTAACATGTTTCTGCATCGACATATAGTATGTACGTCCAGTTATGGATAAGGAACAAAATTGCATCACCTGTCTGTGAACTACTATGTATTCAAGCCTAGATCAGAAACCTCACAAGGTTTTTTGAAATAGAAACTGTCAAACTGGAGTCTTTCTTCAAAGTACATCTGAACTATATTGTGCTGTATAGTTTGCAAGAGCTTTAAACCACACAAAGCCAAATAAAGTATAGACCAAAGCAGCAATAATGGACTCTCCTCTCCAGAGCAGAATCATGATGATCAGAGGGAGAAATCAATGCTGTTTTGTTAGACCATTGATCCCATTTGTGACGAGCAAGATTAAAAGAGAGCAGCGGACCCTTTTGTTAAGTCACCTCACGCTACTGTCCACATTTGTCTCCTTATTGATCCGAGCCTGTTTTCAGTCTATTGCAATCTGTATTTACTGTTCAAACTGAGATTTTCAATAGTATGTCACATTCATAGTCATCCATCAATGCTTCTCCTCTGAGCAGGAATACCTAAACTTTTAAATGGAAATATACTGATAAAAATCTCTGTAGAAAATAAGAATACTGTATGTAGGTCTAAGTTATTGAAGAACATTTGCGCTTGTGTGCAGGTTCAACTTTTTAATAAGAGATATCATCACTAGAATTAATCAGTTGCCTTATTTTTTCGTATTAAACAGCATGGTTATGTTCAAGTTAAATGGTGTTAAGGGGTAGGTGTCAGCCTAGCAGCTGAAGAAACAGCCCTGGAATTAGGGCTGGGCAATAAAATGATATTATATATACATCGAAAATTCATTTTCTTCAATATCAATGTAAAACACGGCCAATATCCTTCCCGATAGTCGGCATTCTGCCATGTTTTGGTAGACTATACGAATAGCCAATAAAAAGGGGAGTTGCCCGCCTCGCGCTGAACCAATCATGTGCTGAATTAGAACCAAGTAGCAAACAACTGCGTAGTAGCAGGCTGCAGCTACACGCAACCATAGCACTTTAACACGTGAAGCCGACAGCACCGTCGGGGAGAAAAAAAGAAAATGAGTGCTACTCCTGGCAGAAATGCAGATGACAGCTCAACAGATGATGACACCGTTGACAACACCGGCACGAAAACGTCAATGGTGTGGAGGAATTTGGGTATTTTGAGGTCGGACATGAAGCAGAGTAGTGTGCACTGCAAATTATGTTGCGTACATGTTCTCGCAAAGTCAGGGAATACTTAAAATGTTTTTCACCACCTGAAGCAGTGCCATGCGGCTGAGCACGCACAATGTAAAAGGTTACCTGAGCAGAACAAGGAGCCCAAAAGCGCGACACAAAGACCTCACAGATGCAGTAGCTCGTTGTAGTCCAAAAGGCATACTACCACTAAGCACTGTTAAATTTCTTTTTTTATATCGTGAGAAAAAAACATTTTCTCTCATCAGACATTCATAAAAAATGCTACATTTGACTGTCAGAAATTGGTAGAATGACTTTTTTGTCAAAAATCACAACTCCATCATTTAGAGGATAAGATAAACAAAGACTGCTTTGTCCACAGGGGGCGCCAAAGTTGACATAAACATAAAGTTCCTCACAGGAGCTTTAATATTTCAGCCCTCATATATACAGAGAAAAAAAATCTAAATCTGTCAGTGTTGTGATCAAGTCACCAAACCTTGAGTCAGCCTTAAGACAGAGCCATCAAAGAAGAAGTCAGGCCCCAATTATCTCCATCTGAGTCAGTGCTGAGCTCAAGTTGAGTCATGAGTCCTGATAATTAGAGCTGGAGTTGGGCTTGAGTCTAAGCCCTGGACTTGAATATTTCAACACTGAAATCTTTCTTTATAATTTGGTTCCTGGGCAAACAAAAACTCTTAAAATTCTTTCAAAAGTTCCCAGGACTATATGTGATATTCACTTTAAACAATTGTAATTAATATTTTTAGATAACAATGGTCGCCCTCAGCCTTAGTAGCTTTATAGCATCTTTAAGTTTTGTTGTTTGTCTTCTTGCAGGTAACTTTATCCCTTAAATAATCCCTCATGGTATCATTATCTACTACACCTATTTGCCAGTTCATATTGCGGCCAAGACTAAAAAGGTGTTACAGATTTTATGCTTCAAATAGTTTGAACAACCATGCTAGGATTTAAAAAGAAGATGTTTGTCTGAAGTCTCTAATGGGCCAGGCTGGCTCACAAAAAGATTTGTTCAAGGCAAACAAAAACCTGACTTCTCTTTCCTCTTATCTTTCCAGGCAGTGTTGTTTACTTGGGGATGATGGTCGGAGCGTTCTTCTGGGGCGGTATGTCTGACAAAGTGGGCCGCAGACAGTGCCTCCTCATTTGCATGTCTACCAATGGCTTCTTCGCCTTTCTGTCATCTTTTGTCCAGGGATACGGCCTTTTCCTTCTCTGCCGCCTCGTTGCGGGTTTTGGGTAAGTCTGATAAAGTGGAGATCACTCTGAGACCGACAAAGCGTGACATGCCATCAGTTTAAATGATTTGTGAAATGTCAGTTCAAATGGTAGAAGACACTATAGCGACTCCAAATCTCCCTCTGTGGTGTAGGATGGCCACATTGTCCGTGAGAATAAGAATTTATCCATGTGAGGTCAAATCTACAAGTCTCTGGAGAGTCATGTATCCTTCTTTTGTGTCATTATTCCATTTGCTGAGTTGATTTCCGGTTATTTACTCTATTGATAACCAAAATCTCATCTTTACACTAGAGTTTATTTTTATTTTACACCATTATTACTGCATGTACAGGATATAATCTCCTTTGACTGCTGCATTGCAGTATTGCAAATGCAATTAACAGTGACGTCCATGTTGTTATTCCAACTACCACTATCACTCTATCTATGAATACAGCTTCAGTATACATTCCTGCAATTGTAGACCTACTGGGAATTCCCAGAGTGTAACAGACATTGTCATCCTCCTACTACAGAGAATCATGCTGTTGCAGTATTTTATTACATCCCCTCCTTTAACGGTGTAACTGTTCCTTTAACAGCTAATTTCAGTAATTGCATCTGCAGCATACACTCCCCAGAGACCTTCAGAGTAATTGAAAAAGGCTATCTAAACTGCCAATGCAACCTGTGCTCCTGAATCATGACAAATTAGGATTTTTTACATTAGAAAAAAAATGCTTAGTTGTGCATAATTTGTGCTTGCTTGGTCTTCTTGTGAATTTAGCAATAAACCTGCAGTTATTTCCTTTTTTTATTGGCAAACAATCCAAAAAATACCCACTCTGTCCAAACAGCTGAGTGATATTGATGTAGTGTAATGAATATGACAATTTGACTGTAAATGCCAGACTATTTCCTCTTAAACTGAGAGATTGAGAAAATAACAGCTGGATTTGACTTGTCTCGCTCACACTAACTTGCCCATTCTCTCTCATTCTTGTAGGATAGGGGGTGCTGTGCCCATCGTTTTCTCCTTCTTCGCTGAGGTGTTGTCCAGGGAGAAAAGAGGAGAGCATCTTAGCTGGTTGTGTATGTTCTGGATGATAGGAGAGATTTATGCATCAGCCATGGCTTGGGCAATCATACCACACTACGGTGAGTTTTTGTAACACCTGTCTGAGCTTGCAAGGTGTCATGAGGGGTGCCACAAGTTTTGGCTTCACAGGCAAAGAAGCTTTTCAATGTGACTTTGTCCAAAAGTACAGGCCACAGGTTAAGGAGCTGTAGGCTTTCCTGCAGCAGTGGTTGAGTTACAAGTCTCTCCTGCAAGGAGAATCAATTACTTAAAAGCTCTGAGCTGCAGGCTGTGAGAGGCAGAGGTTAAGAGATTAACATACGCATGGAGACCATAGAGAAGATGCGTTCTGAAAGGGTGAGGGAGGGCCCATGGGAGAGAGAAAGCTTTGATTTATCACAATACTGCATTAGATATCAGACACAGAAAGAAGGGAAGAGGCTCACTCGCTCTTCTTTCGCTGATCCCATCCTTCTCTTTTAACCTACTGTCCCCTCGTTTTTACTGCCTCCCCTCTGCTCCTGTTTTGCACTCTTCCTGTCTCTGTGTCTAACTCTGTCCTTCCTTTTATTACCTCTCCTCTCTCTCCAGTCTCTGTCTCTGCAGAGTGTTCTTCTTGATCAAGCATAATTAGGTTTTTCTCCTTGCTCTAATAGGACAAAGCTACAGCTAGAGGTGATTTATGGCCAGACCGTGCTTTAGCCTACCTTTGACGTCAGCGAGAGGCAGACAGTGTGTGTGTGTGTGTGAGTGAGAGTGAGTGAGTGTGCATTTACACATCAGTGTGTGTTACTGTAAGTGGTGGGGTGATGTTTTACTGGGCTGCAGCCACATACAGGTCTTCTTCTTCTTCTTCAAGGGAATTGAAGGCAATATCATCTGACATTGTAAGAGGTCATTTGGGTTGGCACATACACACACTCACAGACACACAGGAAGAACGGGGCAGAGCTGATCATTGGAGCCTGCTTATTTTTACTTTTTTATAAATGCGACTCAGTGTGATGTACACACACAGTGCTGGTGATGAGCTCAGAAACAAACTGATGACTCACAAAAGCCTCTAAAAGCAGAGCGAGTCTTCACGAGGAAACTATATCAGATCTACTGATATTGTATTGAAAGGGTCGTGGTGGCCTTACTTTACGATTATTCTTACTGACACGCACTACAACTCTGTGTCTCTTGTTCTGGGAGAATACTACGTGTCTTCCATAAATACTCTGGTGCTCGCCAGTGGTTTTTAATGTTTTCTATAAAATACTGCAGTGTCTGCAACCACCAGGGCAATGACATCAGGACAAAAAAGCCTCTCGCAGTAAAATTTTGAGGCCTCTGAGCGTAGACATGAAGGTATTGGAAGAGGGGAAATGATAAAAGTGCTCCAACACTGTTACTCAATACACCATTAGAGCTCTCATTTGTCTTCTCCACTTGCTGACTCCTAATGTCTCCCGAAAGCCCCCCTGCCAAACTCACAGCTGGGGCGCTGAGGGAGGTCTGTGCAGCGCAGACCCTCATGTTGCTGATGAAGAGTTTGAAGACTGAACTCAGCAAAGCAGGCCCATCAAAAGAGTAGTCTTGAGAGATACTTTAAAGATCTACTGATTAAAGATTTAACAACCCCTGTGAATTCTATATCATAGTCAATTCCTTGTAACTCTTCTGCTTGAGTGTGAAAGGCATTTAGAGATTAAAATGTGTTCTGTAAATGATCAAATGCTGCAGAAAATATGCGTATCATTCAACAGCATTTCATCAATTAACGTTTATGCACATGCTTGAAAAATAAGGTAAAGCTCGGAGTAACGTGATATTTTGTTTTGTTTTCATGGTCCTCTTTTTAAGGGACCATGCAAGTGATGATAAATTCTTGGATAGCATTTTGTAGCAACATTTGGCTTATGCTGCTAAATTACCATTTTATAATGTGGCCGTCTTGTGGAATTAAATTGAACTTTCTCTTGCTTTGACTTGTTTAGCTAACAGCACTAGTTATCTATCTATCTATCTATCTATCTATCTATCTATCTATCTATCTATCTATCTATCTATCTATCTATCTATCTATCTATCTATCTATCTATCTATCTATCTATCTATCTATCTATGTCCGTCTGTCTGTCTGTCCCTCTGACTGTCTATTGTGTCTGGGAAGAGTGTACACCGCTGACTTAGTCATCCATACACTTAGTCAATTATGTACATAATCCCTGTAATGAGATTTCCGATGGCCTGGGTGAAACAGTAACCCCGAGGGGCAGAAAGTAACACTACATTTCAGAAGAAAAGGCAATCTCTGCTGAACAAATCTCTCCTTTTTTCTCTGTCATTCTGTCTGTTTCTCTCTTTCCTCACTCGGAGTCACTTCAGACATACACACACTCGACTCGACTCACACACGATGAAAACAGATAAACGGGAAACACACGAGCAAGAGTAGTGGATAGAAGTCATTACTTTATTACCGCAAGAGAGAACACTTAAAATATGAAATTTCAATCCAGACTTATTTGTTGCAGCTGAATTGAAGTTGGCTAATTCTATACTAATATTTATGTTGCACATTGTGCTGTTTTCTTATTTAGCAAAGCATTTACTGTTCTGTCTTTTTTTTTCTTTTGTACCATTTGCTATTCCTAACCATTATTGCTTTCATTTTGATACAGATTTGTGCTTTGTTGTAACATTTTAATGCCTCTCAGGTCTTTTTAGGTATGCATTTATACCACTCATGACAGACGCCCGCCCCCCTTTTAAAACAGTTGTTTTTAGCAGTTGATATGTGTTGCTTTCAAAGCCGGTTTTTTAATATGCTCTCAGATTAATTCCAAGCAGCATTTTTCTGGCATAACCATTAGCATTAACCCCCTCCCCACCCCCTGACTCCCCTCCTACGCCTGTTGATGGATAATGTTGCTGTTCCCTTTGGAGCAGCATCTCCATGAGGCACGATCTGTTGAGAAACGTGGGAGGTCACGACTGAAACAGAAACCCTTTTCTGTGCTACCACCCAAAAACTCTAAAAAATGAAGTAAATGATAGCATGAATTTAAGTCGACATACACAACCATTTATGCAATGGTCATGGTGTTCTTACTTGTCCCAGCATCTCTGTGTATACACTTCATTTTTTCCTAGCAACAATCATAAGTACTTTTGTTTTTCTAAACACATTGCATAAACTGTTCTCATGAAAAGACCAAGGAATCAAGAACAGCCTTTATTTTAAAAGGAAAATATTCCAGTTTGTAACTCATTGAAACAAATGTGGTTTCATGTTTGGTGCCACTATTTTAGAACATGAATGACAAACCCAGATGTTATTATTAAAGACTATCACCTGAAAGAAACACCTATAATGTTCAATTTTGCGAATATTGTTGTTTATTATTTATTTACATCTGTGTGAGTGGAAGTACAGCATTATGGCATTATATTAGCTTTGACGGTGATATCTGCATATGGTAATTTGCATTATTAATTTCTCTTTGTATTCCCTGCTAATCGTTTTTTTCTTTTTTGCATGAGTGTTTGTGTGCATCTGCGCTTTCACTAGAGTCTTTAAGTCCCTGCATGTGTGTATGTGTATGTGTGTGTGCATGCGTTTTACAATGATTAATGAGTCTGCGAGAGTGCCTGTGGGCTGAGATCAGGTGCAACAAGATTTAACTTAGCAGAAAACACTCAATTCCTTTCCTACACATTCAATTAACCCGTCCCTCTGCACTCCTCTCAGCTCTCTGCAGAGCCATTCATCTTTGAGCATACACATCACACTCCTGGGCAGCAGAGTGCCTTTGTTAAAATGCTGTCCTTCATCTGCAGCCCCTCTCATAGGTGGAGATTTACACATAATATTGCAAGTCAGCCTCTCAGATCAAGTGTTCTAGTCCCTCTTTTGGTGAGGATGTATTGTTGCATTTACACCTGTAATGTAAATTTAGTCATTGCTTCTTCTAAGGGTCGATTTGAGACTAATTACAGTGAGTAATTATTTCTTTTGACTGAGTTTTTGTGAGCTAAATATTGACTAAAAATTCCCCTGCTGGTTTTTCAAGGTGTTCAGTTGATCAGTTTAGCATTGTTTATTACAGTTTAACCAGAGAACAAATGGATAATGGGATAAACTCCACATGATTTGCTTGTAGAAAAGCACTCACAGATTACACAAATGTTGAAATACAGTTTATAAGGTAGCATGCAAAAAAATAGCTTTATAAGCAAAGTAAAGAGAACGCCTGGGCCACATGGAGCACCCCCAAAATAGCATTTAGTCTAGCTTACTACTAAACTAACATAAAGGATGTTTGTCTTAGCCCACTGTTCATCATATGTCCACTAGAAGACTGCTTATCCATTGTAACACCAAGAAGTAACAGGAAATATCACAATATTTGCCACAGGAGTTAATGTTGACTTGTTGAAGCAGCACAAAGAAAAAGGAAAAGAAAATTAACAGAAAAGAGAGACTGTTGCAAGTCTTTACATTTGCTACTGAAGTAGAATGTCATTATGCAATGTAATGTTTATAATTATGATTATAGAAATGATTTATAAACAGGCTGGGAGGGCCTTGGCCCCACAACCCAGAGGTTGTGTAAGCAGGCTGTTTTGTAAGAGCGTACACTTATCTCAGTCCGCCTAAAGAGTTAAGTGTTATTAACGACTGTCAGGAAAAGCTGAAGTTGAATCCAAACAAATGGTGAATTTCAGAACAGTCAGACATGTCCTTAGACAACCTTCTGGAGGATCAGATATCCAACAGGGAAAGGCTCGCACCTGCAATACACATCGAAGAGCCTCATGCATTCACATTAGAGGCACACAACAGTACTACACAATAACACACAATTATGATATTCAGACACACACCCAGTAGCATAAAAGTGAGTGAAAGGAGGAACTCGGGCACCTTTGGTGGTTTTGGTTTTAACATCTGTACTGATTTCTACATCTGTACAATACAAACAGCTCTTCAGATCTCATCCTCTCGCCTGTGTATTAACTGTTTACCATACATGTTTTCCACAACACTATACTTGTTTGAATAGCTGCTAATTAACAGATATTAAACAATGATTATTAGTATTATGTGTAAGTTGTGTCTGCAGTCCCATAAAAGTAAAAATGACACTAACATTGCTTAAGTTATCACATTGTTTTGTCCAGTCTTCATAAATACTGAACTTTGTTTTCTAAAATAAACTTGAGAGCTGAAGGAGTTTAATTGGTTTGGTTTATGCACCTTTGTGGGCATTCATTTCATTTTTGAAAGGTGCACACAGTAAATGTTAAAGAAGATTATTTCATTATCTATTTAATGTACAGTACATGTGTATACTGTGTCAGCCATCTGCAACATAGTTGATTCTTGTGTCGACTGTTCACAGGTTGGAGTTTCAGCATGGGTTCAGCTTACCAGTTTCACAGCTGGAGGGTGTTTGTGGTGGTCTGTGCCCTGCCGTGTGTGTGTGCTGTGGTGGCACTTACCTTCATGCCTGAGAGTCCCAGGTTCTACCTCGAGGTAACAGCTTATTATTATTACAGCCCAAGATATATTCACCCTTAAATGATCTTTGAATCTGAAGAGTCATGCTGCAAAAATAGAATCTCGAAGAATGCCACTTCAAGTTACTGTGTCATTGTCGCTATCTATCAGGGAGTCAATTTGATCAATTGGGCTAATGGAGAGTACTCAAGCCTTTGCCAAAATATCTTTTATCAGACCAAACTGGGTGAGTCATCCAAAAATTGTGGAAAAGCCTTACATTTCTGAGCAGGAGAAACCTGAAGTACCCTGACAGTAGGTGTGCTGGTTCAGGATAATTTCCTTTTTTAAGTAAAATGAGTCACCGCTGTCACGACTCCCATAATATTTGGCTCATCCTAGAGATATATTATGTACAGTATATATTGTTGTGGATGACAGGCTGACGCTGTCTCTGAGTTAGCGACAGCAGTGCTGATCCCATTAATTTTACTTGTCTTGTCTTTTCCTCTCACTTTCCCTCCTGTCAGGTGGGAAAGCATGATGAAGCCTGGATGATCCTCAAACAGATCCATGACACCAACATGAGAGCGCGTGGGCAACCGGAGAAAGTCTTCACTGTGAGTGTTTTTTTCTGCCGAGCATCGTCTTAGCTGGGTTTCCTGATGCTTAAGGAAGCAAAGAAGCTTATGATATGTCACTGCTGAGACAGGTTTTAATGCTTTCAGCAGGCAGGATCATATCTAAATTATGACGCTCCTGAAAGCAGTTTTGTGTCGTTTAGGCTTATTCGCTCAGTGAGCAGCTCTGGGAAGGCTTTTTTGTCAACATGTGTTTCTTCATTGATCATTTACTCATTATATTCAAGTTAAAATTCTGTTTTTATTATTATTGTGTTCTGTCATTTGGTGAAAAACAGAAGGAAAATTTATTGAAATATAAAAAAACATACGGTTAATACCGATGATGTTGTGTCTGAATGATTCAGCGATGCCTGACTGTCCTGTGTTTCATTTTCCAGGTAAACAGAATCAAGATTCCAAAACAGCTGGATGAACTGGTGGAAATGGAGTCCGAGACTGGCAACCCAGTATCAAAGTTTTTCTTTAGGATTAAGGCTGAAGTAAATGGGGTAAATATCTGTTTGTAAATGCAGAAAAAAGATCGTTTTACATTTTGTTGTAACCATGATAAAGCTCGAGTCTGTCCACCTGTCTAACCCTGTCTTTTTACCCTCTTTTTTCAGATCTATCTGAATCTCATGAAGTGCTTCAACTACCCTATGCGAGAAAACATGATGCGGCTTGCCATTGTGTGGTTCACACTTTCTTTTGGGTGAGCTTCTTTTTGATTCCACAGTTAACTTAAAAAAGCATCCATCTGTTTGTCCATTTATTCATCATCCATCCATCCATCCATTGCCCTCCCCTCATCCATAATCAGTACCCAGTGACAGCAGGCTAAGCAAATTTGTCCAGATGTCCCCCTGCCCAGCATTATTTTGCTCTCTTCTACTTTTGGATTCCAAGGTGCCACCAGAGGCAAAGAGGGTTTTAACTCTTCTGACCAGCTCTAGCCTGGGCTTAACAGATATCTGAATCGGATACCAGGGCCCCTCAGTTGGCTGCTTTGTTTGCATCTATTGATTGGCATCTATTATTGTGAAAAAGTAAGGCCTCTACTTTGTGCTCCCTTCAGATGTCTGAGCTCTTTAACTTATCCGACACACCTCAGTTTCCTCAAAAACTTATTGTTGGTCACTTATATTGATCTTATAGTCATGACCACTGGGTTGGAATGTAGGTCAAGTGGTAAATGGAGTCAGCCCCTCTGTTGCCTTCATCACTGCTAGACCAAAATGTCTGTTGTTTTCATGATCCATTTTTTTCCCTCACTTGTTACCAGACCTACAGTACTTAAGTTCCTATCTAAAACTCTTGGGGCTTGGCCCAGAGTACATTGGGGCATGTCTGACTGCTTTTTGCAAGTTAAGCAAGATGCAATTAGGTGAGATGCAGGGTGCATAAAGGTGGATTATGCTTATTCAAAGGTATGAATCAAGCTGATAACCGTGACAGCTCATTTTCCCTTCAACACTGAAGGGATAACAAGATGCATTCAGGTGTGTGAATACTGGCTTTTTATCAGGTTTCTGTTAGATGGCAGCACGGCACATTTGTGCTTGACCACATTTTGAGACCAACACACCTCCGGGTGCCAATTTGGATGCAACTTTACATGCCATCAATATAGAGTTGAAGCTGATTGATAACATGACATGTATGTCAAGAACATAATACAGTTACACTTGCATTACATACCACATTTATTTGGGGCAGTAACTCGTTCCCTTCACCCACAGGGAGCAAACTACCACCAGCATCAATTTGCAGTGAACCATGGCCTCACTTAACTCTCCCACTGTTTCATAATTGACTACATGCAGTCCCAGCTGGCTCTTACATACTGCTATATCAAGGCGGGATACTTATGCCCCTGCTGCCCAATGAAAAACAGTGTTGAAGTTCTGAAGGTTCTGAACAAAACTTTTAGATTCTGCTGAAAAAACACGAATAGAACCAGTGAAAAGTGGTAGCCCTGTAGATGAGGTTTTGATGATAAGCTCAAACCTGTTTTCCACCACCTTGGAGCAATCTTTTTAGGGGAGCTGAGTGGTGTAAAACCAAGGTATCACCGGCAGATTAGCACTTTGATCTGCCAATCCACAGACACTGTCCCAGACCTCCATGCAACAAAACATGTCAGTCAAGAAATTCCAACAATGTCCAAGGCCTTCAGCATCGAAGAGCTAATCCCACTGTACACCCACATTTGCCACTGGAGACCCCAGCAACCTTTGCCTAGGATTAAATCAAGGCTTTCCTTGGATTTTCACACTCTTACTCCACATCAGAAGACATGTTTGTTGGGTTCAGGAATTCCTTAGTGTTCAGTCTTTGTCCAAAGATATTCCAGGAAAGATCTGACTGGTTTAATTCCTCTGGTCACATAATAGCATTGAGCATTCAGGCTTGTGGCCAAATTGCATTTCTGTCGTCTTGATCTTGACGTTGCATGGTCTCAAAATCAATCAGTCTGTAGATCAATATCCATCTACTTATGTCTCCATGGGAGCAGAAATTGGAGTGAGAGCAGCAGAAAAGGAAAAACATCTCTAAAATACTGTTTAAAATCCTCACTAGAACAAAAAAAGAAATCACAGGTTCTTTATGGCCTTATATTGAATCTGATTATACCTTTATGGTGCAACAATCTTAATTTCTAACTCTAGAACATTGTTTGGCTGATTGATTGATTTTTTTATGCATGATTTTCTGTTTGCAGATACTATGGCCTTTCAGTTTGGTTCCCAGATGTCATCAAACACCTCCAGGCAGATGAGTATGCTTCTAAGGTGCAGCTCCACAGCAATGAACGCATAGAAGACTTCACCTTCAACTTCACTTTGGAGAACCAGATTCATAAAAATGGCCTCTTCCTCAATGACCGGTACGACAATTAAACAATTAACTGTCACGCGGATCTTAGATTCAAAGTATTAGGATTCCTGCACATTAACTTTAAACATTCTCTTAACATTGGACAAGTGGAAGATCCAAGACATATGATAACTAGATGTTACCACAATAAGATATTAACAAAAGGATTCAACTCTGCCTCTTTAGGTTCATCAATATGAAGCTTAAGTCGGTCACCTTCATCGACTCTACCTTTCGAAACTGCTACTTCGATGATGTGACATCAGTTGGCTCCTTCTTTCGTAACTGTACTTTCATTGATGCTTTCTTCTTCAACACAGGTGAGATACTGAGATTAAATGTGTGCACATTTTTCCATTGATCTAACAATGCTGCTATTCTCAGATTCATGGGATGTGGTTAAGTTACAGTGGACATTTTCAGCTGTGAGGCGGAACAAAATCCCTCTGTATCTTAAATGGCATTGACCCTGCACTATCATAATTTCCCCTTTTGTGTTCCTTGTGCAGACATCGATGACTCCAAGTTGATAGATGGCACAGAGGTAGTCAACAGCACGTTTACACACAACAAGACAGGATGCCAGATGACCTTTGATGATGACTACAGCGCTTATTGGGTCTACTTCATTAATTTCCTCGGCACCCTCGCTGTTCTGCCTGGGAACATTGTGTCTGCTCTTCTCATGGACAAAATTGGGCGTTTGTCCATGCTGGGTAAGAATGACGGACTAGGGTTTGCATGCTCGTGAGTAATTGGTTTTCCCATTGACTGAAGGTTATGATTCATGACATGGATGTTGCATCTTTCAATTCCTGGTATCAGCGTCCATTTTGATTAAGCTCTATAATTCAATCCGACATTAATCAAATTGATGTATTATGCACTCATTCTTGTCCCACCCTTTTTCCTCTGACTGTGTTTGTGTGTGCTTGTGTTTGTGTGTCTGTCAGGAGGCTCAATGGTCCTTTCAGGCATCAGCTGTTTCTTCTTGTGGTTCGGCACAAGTGAATCCATGATGATTTTCATGCTGTGCCTTTACAATGGCCTGAGCATCTCTGCCTGGAATTCCCTGGATGTGGTGACGACTGAGTCATTCCCCACTGTCAGGAGGTAAGAGGTCAACTGTAGTACATGAGTACATAATGAATCACACAGTTATAATAATCCTGCAGGGATCTACACATGAAGGAAGATATACACAGTTAACTTTAACATCATTCTCTCTTCTCCATATTTTCTGTTTTGCTCTCCAGAGGAACAGGTTTTGGTTTCTGCAATGCTCTGTGTAAACTCGCTGCAGTCTTGGGGAACCTGATCTTCGGTTCTCTCGTTGGAATCACAAAGGCCATCCCAATCCTCATGGCCTCCTCTGTGCTGGTCGGAGGAGGCCTGGTTGGACTTCGATTGCCCGACACCAGGGCAAATGTTCTCATGTAACATGAGCCTCAAGTCCACCAGTTGGAATAATGCTGTGGTGAAACCCGGGTATATCTGAGAGGATGCCCAGGGAGTGTGGAGCAAGGAGTGCAAATGGCTTGGTTCACACATTTTTAAACACTGTTAATTGTATAAGCCCAATACACTGTCACCCACTTAAGATGTTTTTGTTTTAATGACCACCATTAGAATACTTGAGGGGTGACTAACTGAATTAGTTTGAATATCAAAATGTCTCCATGGAGTGTACCAGAACTTTAATTGTTAAAAGTTATAAACCCAGGGTCATTGTTGAAAAAAGTCACAATATGGTTTTGTTTATGCAACCAGGTTCAGTTTGGATGAAGAGTCTATGGTTTCAGTCAGTGAAAGAAGCTAGAAAAGCTGTAAAGCAAAATCATGATATATACACATGACATGCACTTTTTGCTCAAATTTGACTCTTGACCTCGTCTGGGTCTCAAACTCCAGTCCCCTGTGTTAAAATTATGTGTCTGTTGAACCCATTTATCCCGCTCAACCTCCTCCTGGCACAGACTTTGTCGCTCTTTTGTTGTGATGTCTTCCAATGCTTTGCTTCTGTCCTTGAATCAGCTCCCACTATCACTCAGCGCTGACACTGTTAAGTAAATGCAGGTTGTTTAATCCCATCGAAAAATCATGACAGCTGACTTTTACTGACACTGTCACAGGTACTGTAGAGCTCTACTACCTCATACTAAGAACGCAGGACATTGGTAACAGCCATTTAGTATACTCATAGGACCAGATAATTTTGGGGTGATTTTTTCTCTCTTGGATAGAACAGCAGAAGAAAAACAGGAAATTAATGGAGAGGTGAACCCAGGATGACAACAGCAAAAGGTCATTACTGGGAGTCACTAATCTGATTAGGACTATAGCCTCTTTGGGGCACACAATCCACTGTAACCACAAGTCTAAACCTGCACTTTGACTAAACCTGCACCTTGACATAAATCCTGAGTTGTAGTAGCCTCCTTTTCAGAGATACTTTATGCATGTTTTGTTGGGAGACTGTATATGACAGAGTTTGTATGGTTTGGCTGGATTGTGAGACTTTTGTTCAGTGACTGGTTGAACCCTCAAGCTGCAACCATAACCCTGTGTGGAGTCACTGCATGGTGAAAGCCCAAGGTTTTTAATATTGATATGGTTATTAAGACATGGCAGATGGAGAGAAAAGGGAAAAACAAGCTGTAATGAGCATCGTCAACCTGCTGTGTGATAAGGTTGGGAATAGATGATCAGACAGAGTGGTCACACTACACAGCTGTATGACAGCTGGCTGGTTCACAGGACTAGCATACACAGGTTATGTTGGAGTCCATGTGCAGAAAGTCAGCAGACACAAATATATAAAAACTGCGTATTGGTATACAAATACATATTCAGAAACAGGGTGGTAGTTATACATATCTGAGCTTCAACCATTTTTTTTACATTAAATGCCACTTTTTATTTGACTATATCAGCAGTCTTTTAAAAATGATATTGTTCATGTAGTAAACCAAGCCCTCTGCAATTCCTACTCAACCAGGAATCAAAAAGGCCATATAAAAAAACTTATTTTCTTGAACCAATAATTCTACGGTATGTTGTATATATAGCTGCTATTATATTCTCCAGTGTTAAAGTTGCAGTAACAATGATGACATATTCTTTTAATCCAAATGTTGTGCCTCCAGGTCTTCCCTCATGTGTTTTATTGTTGTACAAAAGCTCTCTGGTGAGCTCTCTTTCTGGTTTAGCTTGTGTTGGATCTTGCTTGTGGCAGTGACGTGGGTTATAACATGTCATGCTGCTTCCTTTAAAAAATACTGAATGGCCTTTTAAAATGTGCCTCTCCTTAACTGGAGCAGTCTGCTCAGTGTCATGTGGTGTCTAAGAGTTATAAGGAACAGACAGAAACTAAATTGAAGAAAAATAGATGTGACAATGATGGTTTTGATGTATATTTGTGATTATGTGTGAATATACAGTATTTTTTTTTGAGTGTTTATTCCTTTCACACTGCATATCTTCTGTTCGATATTTCCGTTTTGATAAAACTTTACTTCTGTGGTTTAAGCCTGCTGTCTAAAAAGCCTCTATTGTCACCATGAATCAGAATACTGTCTAAAATTGTAGGTCATCTTGCGTGGCCAGTAATGTAAAAAAACAAAACAAAACAACAACATCCATTTAAGAGAGTTAATTGGGGGCAAACCATGATAAAAGCATCACTTTAAAACACTTTTGGCAGTTTAACCTTGTAACTCAAACTAACAGGCAAAAATTCCAGCAAAGTATATTTGAATATTTGTTATATTTATATATTAAAGAAATAGACAACTTTGTAATAAAATTCAGCTCCATTATTTTATCTTAATTAAGAATTCCCAAAATCTCACATATGAAAATATGACCTGTAGTTATTCAGGATTGATTTGTTTCAATATTGAAACTGCTAAATATGAAAAAGATGATAAATAAGATGAAGACAATAAAGTGAAAACCACAATGCTGTTTAGAAAGTGATGATACCTCCAAGGATCTGAATAAATAATGATATTTTTTCAAATTTGTCCAATAAGCTGCTCCTGGTCTTGTATTTTCAGTGGCTTTGGGCCTGTATCTTCTTGCTTTTCTCTGTATCTGTGAAATCTGTGATTGCAGCATAGAGGTAGTTTGCCCTTGCTCTGCAGTTGGCTCTGTTAAGGCTACTAAATACACACAAAAGCACCTCTGCAGGTTTCTCAAGCTGGCCTGTATATCTACATCCTTTTCCACAGCTTAGTCTCATAAAATATGTCTTACCAGTTGCTTCCTGTGTCTGTGCAGCAGATACTTTTGACTTGCTTTCTTTAGGTTTAAAAAAATAATAAAGTTCACATCCTAGATAAATGTACGAATATAAAGATTAAAGCCCAGGGTCATCTGAGCGCTACTAACTGCAGTCAGTAGAAATAATAACTAAAGAACCATTGTGTTATGTTGGAGAGAAAGTATTTTATCTTTCGAGTTTGAAGTTTGTGGAGTATTCCTAATATTTAATGTATTTAAGTTGTGTGTGTGTATGTGAGAGTGTGTGTGTGTGTGTGAATGTGCGTCTGTGTGTGTAAATAATAATGTACATATCAAAGCCGATACTGATGGCATCTGGGTTTAATGTGTTAAAGCTCCTTGACTGACTCTTGTGTCTCCTGCTATGTCGAAGTGACAAGTTCATCTACTGTCCCTCTGCTGTACATCCCTGTGTGCCCCTATTCACCTCCTAAATTGTGTGTGCGCTTGTGTGTGTGTGTGTATGTGTGTTCACAAGCTTGCATGTATGTAAGAAAAACGTATGTTTTTTGTGCTAATCTTTTTGTTCTTACTGTAAATTGTTCTGGCAGTAAATCATGGCAATATCTTGATTTTCGTTGAGGAAAAATGTGAATGTATCACTCTTGTAAGTTCAGTTCATCCATTTTATGGAGATAATCAAATGTAAGCAGAGAATAAAAAACGTGTATTACTGTGAAGGGCCAGCTATAATAACTGAGTCTTCAGAGGTCCGTAAGTGTGAAAATATGAGGAGAAATATTTGCCAAATGATGCCCTGTGAATAATGCTAAAAACAGGAGAAGCTGAAAGTGCAGATCGTGCTGCTTTTGAACATATATACAATAAAACTTATGTTCTCTTGCAAGATATGTTTTGCTTTTATTTCCCAACTGTTTTCTGAAATTTTGCTCCACTCTATACATCTGCACTCATCAACAGATACTGGCTACTAAATGTCATAATTTAGCATTGTATCCTATTGTACAACACTACAGGAAATTAAGCAAAGAAATCTGCAGTAGTATATAGTATATGTTAAATATAAACAATGCAATATAAAATAGGCCAACTGTTTGTTCTTTCTATAGGAAGGTTATATAGATTTTGTTGATATTACAGAAATGTTTCTGGCCATATAAAAGGGTTCAGTTCAATTGATTCATGCTGAAAGTACTTATTGACATTAAGCTTACTCAGATACAGTTGATTATTTCAGTTAAACAGGTGGTTGAGTGTTTACAGGTACATATACAGTATGAGGCAGTTTTTCCTTTTTAGTTAATGAACAGACTAATACAGTACACTTTAAAACATGCTGCCACCTAGTGGATAAAATCAGGTAGACTATTGGAGTTTTTGACATTCTGAGTTAGTTTGCCACTGCTGCAGGTCCATTGATAAATTCCTGATCTGTCTATCTATCTATCTATCTATCTATCTATCTATCTATCTATCTATCTATCTATCTATCTATCTATCTATCTATCTATCTATCTATCTATCTAATCTACAGTCAGGTCCATAAATAATTCTGCAATTCTACAGCATTGTGCAAAAAATAAAATAAAAATTCACAGTCACTTATTTAGAACGAACATAAGAAATAGCATTTTGGTAGAACTGTACACAAATGTAAACAATATAACAGTACATATTACTGTAAACTGAACATAAATTATTCCTGGACATTCACAGTGGTTCTCCCTACATTTGGTTGCACCCGTCGACCATCCTCAACCATAGTGAGGCCATGATTGACAACATGGTCCACAAGTGTAGCCCTAACTTCATCAGGGATTTACCTATGTACTTCACCTCTTCTTCCTCTGACTCTGTTTTGTCCCCTTGTTTTTGTACCCCTCCTCCATGTACTGACCTTCCATCACAGAATTGTAGAAATGGTACACACTATATCATGCTGGTTTACATATGCTTGCCAAATGAGGGTTCATAGGATTCAGCTCTGAGTGACTGTGGACAAGTGGGTTGTCACTGGTTACAACTAATGCTTCTCACACCTCCTCATGAGTTAAAGCTAAGGTTCACCTGGGAGCATTTATAGGGAAAAAAAACGATAAAGGAATGTATGAAATCAGCTTGACAGATTTTGACAACTAGTTCAACAATTTGTATGTAATGACTTAAGCAAGTTTTATTGGGTATGACTATTCAGCATTTAAAAGTATAGTCCATTTTGACTGAGATGACATAAGCAAATGATGATGTTATAAAACAGCAGAGAATTGTATGAAAGTAACTGATACATGTCCAAGAGCATTTGCAATTTTTTCAGAGGAATGAGAAACTGCTACAATGATGTGCACAAATGACTCAATGTTGTGGAGGTTGAACTACTAGTTATGAGAAGTTTTATTCTGAGAAATGCACCAAAGCAACTGAGAAAAACTGTTAAGTGATGTTTTGGTGTTTTTTCCGGGTAGCCCCAAATGCAGCACGGGAGAACAAGCCACCTTTTGACCAGCAGGTGGTGCAAGTTGCTAATTGTCCATCTTCTCTCCTGTCAATCATTTCACCTCTGAGCGTAGCGGTGCTGACTGAGAGAGAGACACCACCAACACTTTAGAGGAGTCCGGCTGAAGAAGTGCTCACCATGGGGCTTGTCTGGCTTAAGTGACATTATTTTGTGAAACAATTGAAAATTTATGGCTCAATTTCCGATACTTGCCCCCTGAGTTGGCTAGTTCAGTTATTTTATTCTTCGTTATAACCGGAGAGGCGTGGCATATTATTGGCTGGTAGCTGAACGTTAGCTTGTGAACTGAAGTTATTTCCAGTTGTGGCGGGCTCATAAGCGGAGGAAACGACCCAAGATGAATCATGAAGATACAACCTCTTTACAAAAGCCACGATATGGGAGTAAGTAACTCTTTTTCTAACTCTTTTGTGACCTTTCTTTGCTGTCTGTTTTGCTATGAGGGACAGGAGATGAATACAAGCTAATGGAGGGTGCCAGCACGGTGAGGTTTAATGAGCAACAGGTGGTTAAAAAAGCACCTGTGTCCAGTTAATAGGAGGAAAACTAAAATAGGTGTAACAGGCCCTGTCAGTTTGGGGAAAGAAGTAGTTAAATGTGGTCTGAAGAGAATAAGAATAAATAATTTTAATAAATTGTGCATTTTATTGTTCCTTCAATGTCCTCAAACTGTACCACTGTGAATATTATCAAGTTATTCAATAGTGGCAGCCAACATATCAGCCTCTCCACACATAAGGCATTTTCCCATAAGTTAACCATTAACTATGGATTTAGCTGCTGTTGGGAAATATATAACTGAGTACATGAGTGTCTCAAAGTAGTGTGTGAGCTTGCTGATAGAAAACAGCACTAAAAACACCTCACCTAGTTGGAGTTTACTGTATTCTGTCTCTGACCCACATCTGGGGGCAAAGTACAGCTCTGAGAGATAAGACAAATCAATCGTATCATCCCCATCAAAGCTTTTTGTCCCCTGAATTTCATTGACCGAGTTTGTTTTGTTCCACACAGAAATCCCTGACTTGTTTTGGGTTTCACTAATTGGAATTTTTAGGTGTGTCTCTGGAAAAACAGTACCAAATAGGGAGTAGTTTGTCAGAGAGAGAGTGACATGCGGGGGACCAAAAGACTGTCTTTGTTGGCCTTGTTAATGAGTGAAACAGGTCAGGTTTTAGGAGGCAGGGGAGTGACTTTGCCCCTGGATAGGTTCAAACTCACAAGGGCTGTCACGGGACCACATATAAGTAAAAGGCTGAAACCCTATTTTTGTGTGTGAGATGAACCCCTAAAACAAAAACAAATAGCAGTGTTGTGTTGTAGTTCCCCTACAGACCTCCCAAAAGCTGTGGTGGAAACAATCCTGCTGACAAACAAAAAGCCTGAGTTATAATCACAAAGCGTTTAACTCAGCTTCAGCGATCCTGTGACATAAAAAAGCAACAAACCCATCCTGAGGGTTAAAAATACTACGCTTAGTTCTAGTGTGCAGACAGGCTCTTCCAGGAAGTGTGTGAGTCATTAGAAGAGGCAGCGTGTAATGGCTGCATGGAGGCTGATCTGGCCCTAAGATGAGTGTTCATGCACATTTGCATTCATACAGACAGCACAGCTGGGCCGCTGATCTGTAGTTGGGAGGCTTGATACTGTGTGAGCCTTGTGCACTTATCACCCAAGAGAGCGAACAGGATGACCTATTTTGTATGTGTGTGAATATGCTTGTTTGGTTTCTGTCTATTCTCACATGTGGGAATTCTACTGTATGTTAAACCTCTTTTAGAGAGCTGTTGCACAGATGTCTTTGCAGGTGACCAATGAAAAGACAGAATATACCACAAAACTTGAACACAAAAAGCACTCCAAAAGTTATCAAGGTCTGTTTGCTGGTGTTTTTGCATGAGAATGATAAGCAGTTAGTCTATGAATAAATTAGCAGTATTTTTGGCTGATTATCAATCAGGTGGTGAACCAATAGTAACAGCTTTACCACAGACCCTTGACCTGGATTTCTTGAAATATTATAAGTATTTGCTTCATTCAAAAGGATCACTGTAAACCAACCATAGGTGACAACGCTACTGTGTTGTTTACCTTCTTTTAAACAGATTGTTTGAGCCAATCAATCTGCAGGTTTAACCAGTTTAACTGGGCATCATCAGAGGTCGTAATCTTCATGAAACCAGTGGACATACGAAAGTCTGACAGCGTATGTTTGCTTTCACACAAAATGTTTAAACAGTTTGTGTGTTTGACTGACTTCAAGTTCTACGCCCAGTAAAGTGGAGAGTTTGCACAACAACAGTGTTATTGTTGCTAAACTCAAACTGGCGGCATGATCCACGGTCCAAAGGGAGAAACCATCAACTTAAACTTAGCCGTGGGATCTGAGGTAGTACCTTCAGTCAGCCAGAAATAAAGAGCTCTGATTGGATTAGTTGGGGGTAAGAGGCGTTTGAGGGAGGAGATCGCCCTAAGCCGCAGGTGAAGGTTGACTCTCAGTTGAAGTCACTTGACTGTTGAGCCTCCCTGTTAAGTCCACTGTGTCATGGTTGATTCAGCTCCCTGAAATAAGGGATTTATAGGATGTTACAGTACATCATCAGTCACTTTAAAGTCAGTGTAGTTGGAAGAAATCTTTTGACGTACTTCCTGTCCAGTATCATTTGTGAATTTTTGTCGTCATATCTGAAATAACCTGTCATACAAATCCCAGTTAATGCAAATGAATATGGAAGTATTTGATCATAAATGATGAATGCAAATGAAATAGATCTGCAAGATTTAAGTGAATATTTGGCTTCATAGAAAGATTGAAATTAGAAAACATCTCATGCTGTGAACGTGTTTCCATGTAACTTTTACTTCAGAAATAGTTAGTAATATTATGAGTATAATCTCCAATAGTATTGTGATTTATTTCTTTTCCTTCTTCCAGCCATTCAGGATGATGAGCGGCTGTCAGCAGAGGAAATGGATGAGAGGAGACGACAGAATATTGCCTATGAGTACCTGTGTCATCTCGAGGAGGCCAAACAGTAAGAGATTTTGAGGAAGAGTAGACGAATGGTAGCTTGGTGTCAGCTGACCCATTCACCTTGGTATATGGGTCATTTTTCAGGGGCGTCATTAGCAACTGTCGCTTGTCTGGAAACATTTGTACAGACAAACGACCAATTAGATTAATGCATGTGACAGAAATAGCAACAGAAATGATCAAATTTCACTAATCAGAAATCAGTCAATCTCTGCATTTAACTGCAAAGACAACACAGAGGAAGCAGAAGGCCGTCTATAGATAGCGTCTCATAGTGTTAGTTGAATTTCAGCTTTTCGTTAAAGTGGTCTGATCCTCTTCAACTCGTATATGCAAAAGATCTTTTAGTCCAGCAGCCAAGACTTTTAAAAGCAGTTATAAATATACATTGAATATATTGATCAGAAAGTCCTATATCCTGTCAAGTCTGAGGGTACGGGACATTTGTTAGAGTCAAGTATATGAGTCTCTGAGGGTTTGTGGCAATAGTGCAGTTGAGGATGAGTTTCAAAACTCTTCCTGATATTCCCTACAGTACCTGTAAGTTCTCTGTGCTTCACACCAAGAGATTTGAATTGCAATGATGACTTCATCTTCAGAAACGGTGCATGCATCATCAAGCTTGTCACGCTTAAAAAGACAGTATATACTGATCTAGGGGATAATTTTTCTCACCATGAGGTGGATGATGGTATGTGGATGGATGATGAAGTATTAATGTAAGCCCTTAGTTTCAGTCTTTAAGATTTGCTGTTTTTTAAGTTTCTGGGGCTTTCTCTGAGGCAGGATGTGAATGATCAACCCTCTTGCAAAAGCTTTGCAAGTTTCCCACAAAAGTGAGGAGTCTTCTGTTGAAAGGGAATTACCGAACAATAATGCCTGAAGTTCACAAAGATAATAAGATGTACAATGTTATCCTCTTGAATGACAGTGCTGAGTATCCTTTGCAAAGTATAATCAATGAAATCTCACATTTAGACAGAAAAAATAAGCAGCTCTTGTGCAACACCCAGAAAAAAAAAAACTCTGTTGGGTGCAGATTTCCCCTTGCATCATCAAGCCCAAAATCTTTTTTTCATGTAGCATTGGCTTTGATGGAAGGGGCCATAGTAGTTTTTGAAAAATCTATATTTTAGTGGTTTTAATATATTAATAATAAGACATGTATGTTTTTAAGGCAGTGCCATTTAAGGGTCTGAAGATCATCATGGCCGTCCAGCACTGAGTTTTCTCGTCACTTTTGTACATCAGATTTCTCCAGATTCTCTAATTCATCAATTATCATCATGCACTGTCGGTGATGAAGAACCCAAATTTATTATAATTTTACATTGGAGAACAATATTCTGCTCTCAGAGTAGGGAACCCGTATAGCGCCATTTTTATGTTCAGTCATGTGACCAACCTCTTGCAAAATAACCTGTTTTTTTTTGGATTGCTTCATGTTTTGTTGTTCTCATCGGAACTTTATGAAACAAATTGTTGGCATCAAATTTAAAATGGGCATATGTTTATAAAAAATATATATCACACTTTCAGTCTTTGATTTGTTGCCTTTGAATTATCTCCAATGAAGCAATTTTATTGTTTTGCAAACCGTCAAATTATCAGATTGAACATTATATACAGGATCCCAACCTCTCTGGAGCAGGGCTGTGAAAGGATGTGAGGGTTTAGGGCAGAGTCAGCATACACATGAGATGATGATACAGAGTGTGGGGATAAAGTGGCTCACTGACAGGATCAAAAGAAAAACAAAAAACTTGAGTTGATAATTTCCTCAACTGGTTTATTTTAGTGAATAGTTTTGTTTATGTGAGCCTGAAATGATTTTCACTGCAGTAAATCTTTTTGCTGACAGTTCACATTATACCCGAAGACCCACTCTTTTGAAGCGCATGAGCAGAATTAAAACTTAACCACTTCCTGTCTTCCTGTCTTGTGCACATGGGCATTCGTCTGAACAGACATGAACAGGAAGTGGAACCCTGCCTTTTTATCACACAGATTTGGAGGCGGCCCCGCCCTGTCACAGAAAGATTGTTAACCATGATTGTTTGCTGATCCAGTAGCATGCTGTAGTTGTCTGTCGTAGACTGTAAACAAACAAACATGCTCAACACACTCTGTAGATTTTGTGCAGCCTTCTTTACATCCAAATTTCCTCTCAGATTATTGTTTGACAACTGAACTTGCCCTTTGACTCAGTAAAGACTTGTAGAGTCGACATAATCTCCTCATGTCACAGGTTACCAAAGGTCTACAAGGGCAGGTTGGCTGAGCTCAGCACAGATTCAGTTCCTCATGACTGGGCCACACCTGGCAGATAAAACCTTATTTTTTTTCATATAGAGCTCAGAAGAGATAAGAAGAAGGTCGATGGCAGTTTAAGGAACAGGTGCTTTCATAACACTACACAGTCAACCTCAAAATGAGGCTTTTACTGAAGTCTCCCTCACACACCACCTACTGTACTCATACTTTCACTGTCTTACTTCCTGTTATTCCAATTCTGTGCCACTGACTCATCGATAATCCCGCCATTTAGAGAGTGGTGCCACTATTCTGGGAATGTGTCAAATTAGATTAGGATTAGGACACACACCTAATGGAGCTGCCAGCTATAGAGAGCGTGGGATTAGGATCTGCTCTGTCTCTCTGAGGTCAGAAGTCAGCAGTGACTGAAACTGCTCACTGAGTTATGATCCTTAAAAATGCTTAAATACTGAGTCATGTTTTGTTTGTAGAATTTTTACCTACAAGCTAAAAAGATCAGGAGTTTTTAGTGTTGCATTAAAAGGAGAAATCTAACATTGACTTTCTGCAGCACAAGTGAAGTGTTCACATGTATGCTGTTAGTCTAAATATGTCATTTTTAACCTCTTAAAAACTGTCTCCTGTAACCCAGGTTCACTGGACAGTAATGTAACCAGCACTTCCTTAATGACAGCATGTGTCAGTGACATGAGCGCACTGATATTTGATCCTCTGCAGGAAGTGGAAATGGTGCATGAAGAAAAAAATCATTGACTTATTTATTTAATTTCCAGCATGACTTCAGCGGAAAACTTCCCTTCACCTCACTTTGCAAATTACGTATGTGATAAAAACCTTTCTTGTAACTCAAAGTGGATGATCACTCTCTTACAAAACACACACCCCCACCCTCCTGCACAAGTACACATACAAAAAAATACACAGGCAGACAGACAGGATTAAAAGTGGTGGGACTTTGTACTCAGAAGAGAGTAAACAGTTGCTTCATATTGATAGCTTTCTCTGGAGGCCTGTTAGATTTTGATGAACACCTGTGAATATCTGGAGCATATTTTGCACCAAGTTGCACACACACAGGCAACCACAAAAACACAACCGCATGACCAGCTAAACTTAACTACATGATGCAAGTATCAGAGGACACTGTACACAGAAATCTGAAGGGACGTTTACTTAATAATATCAAGCATTGAAGAGAAATAGTTTCAAGTCCCAGGGCTCTTAAAGCTGTGTTTGGTTCATCCTGGTGAGATGCAGACTGGACAATGACAGGAAGGTCTGCGTAGGGGGTTGTAAACAGGAGTGCTAGTCTGTCCGTCTTTAAGAGTCAAATTCCCCAACATTGTTTTAGGTTCAGGAAGGGGAGTTTCACAGGAGAGCCCTGTCACCAGTGCAGGATGTCCCTTTGATGATGTTTTCATCAGAAATCTTTTTTCTCCACGTTAACCTCGACTGTCAGCTGCTTTTCTGTCCCCTCAGTTTGTGTATCACGTCTACATAGAGAAAATTAACCATGTTTTCCATGGTTAAGAAAACTATGCTGTTTGTTTGCCACAATGACTGCAGAATGGACAGTGTGCCTTCACTTTGCTTACTGTAAGCTGTGGTACAAAAGACTGCCTCCATAAGTACTGACATGCTGTGCTGGTGGAGCTGCAGGACTGACGTCACAACTTTTCTGCTGATCAAGCAGCAAAGGATTCACTGGTAAACTTCTGACTGTAACTCTTGGGTTGGTCACATTTTCTTTCATAGTTCCTCCTCTTCTCTGCTCTAACCCTGCAGGAGCCTGCATTTGTCATTTTAGCTGTCAGTCATCTTTGACGAAGAAGAACACTTGGACCAAAACCAGCATCACAAGAATTAACTATAATGATGAAAACAGTGTTTGGAAAAAAGAACATTGTATTTTAATTTCCTTATGTGACCCATGCTCTGTCAGTTTAAATGAAGAAGGCTGGGCCAATCAGTGGGCGGAGCTTTCAAAATGTATTGTTTTCACAGTCAGTGAATACCTACAATGTCAATTTTAATATTCTTTCCATAGTCTGCCATTTATCAACTGAAACAGTGTAAAAAATACTTAAACACACAAAATCAGATCAGACTAAGTTGAATTTCAGGGTTTACTGTTCGTCTCGTTTTTACACCTCTGCTCCAATAGAAGCTGTGACCCTCAGAAATCATGTTTACTCCGTAGAGTATTGAATAATTTTCTTTTTAAACTTCATTGATCATGGGGCTAAATGAGGCTAGAAATCCAAGGACTACTCTTAGGTTTTTGACTTTGCTTGATAGTGGAGGACAAGTCTTTAAATTTGGCTCAAAGACTCAAGAAATGGAAATTTGGCAGAGACCAACTTTAATGTGGTGTCAACCATTCTTTCCTTTTTCAATCTCTCTTTGAGGGAACAATGCAATCCATCCATTCTCTCAGTTTACCCCTATGTACATGGTACATGTTTTTTCTCTGATGTAACAAGAAGGGTGTACTGACAACCACATTAAAGGGGAGAGAGAGACCTTTGGGTGAAGCTGTGAGGTACAGCTCTAATGTGACTACTACAGACTTAGTTATTCCCATGATCTGCTAGTCTGTCCACCACAGGGGGATTGAATGTCTAATTTGCCAAAACTACTAATGTCATGATGATTTCTGACCCTTTACACTTATTACTGACCAGAGCTTGTAAACCAGTGTACCATATTAGGAGCTGTTGCACTTTTAAAGGAGCAGTTCATCAGTGTTTTATTTAACATTTCTGATGGTCAAAGAGAGTAACACAAGCCAAACAAGAACAACACTGACTAGCTTTACATTAGATTTATAAAATCTCAAGCTGGGTAGAACTCTTATTCCAAAAATGTCTGACAGAGTCAGCTTATGTGATTGGTTTCTATGTTGCTGTATTCCTCAAGGTGCCTCACTTGCACACTTCACTGGGCTTGTGTTGACGGTGCATGATGTGTTGTGGTTGTTCTTAATGTGCTGACACGTATTTTGGCAGATGAGATGCTTTGGTCGCCCACACAGGCTTAATTAATCCAAACAAAGTGCCTGTGTGCTTACAGTCAGGAGGCATGGCTTCTATATTTGCAGACTGGAAGTTTGGAGTTTGATCCAGTAATTGAAACTAAAACTTAAAGAAATAAGGTCATTGAGCAGAACTGTACTCCGTCTGTGGAAAATGATAGCATAATAACAAAAAGACATTTCAGATGTGATTAGTTTTGCTAGGATTGTAAACATGGAGTCATTTCCAGGCAGTAGGATAATGTGTAACAGAGTCTCAAACCAGGATAATTTACTGTGTTCACAAATCATTCACCAACTCTTTGGACTGGATTTTTCCAAATATCTCCGAGGAAAAGCCTGGCAGAGATATCCTTGGAACTTCTGTTGAACTTTTTGAAAGGAAAATTACACACACTCGAAGAAGGTCAAAGTGTTTTTACACAAACTTTGTTCCGTCTTTTCAGTTTTAAATTTTTCCTAATTTCAAAGGTCTGTGTGAAAGGGAGAATCTCTGATAAAATTTGGTTAGTTGGTGATTGGTTAGGGCCTGAACTGCTAACCTTTTGCCATCCTTCATAGCAGTAAGCCTAATGGTGACACTCACATGCTCTCTACGGCCCCCTCCCCGAAGCATGCTAGACTTTGTGTGGGTGCATCTGTAACCATGCCCAGATCTCACAGGCCCACAGACTACTTTGTGGCTTCAAATCTGAGTTGATGTAAAATTTCTAAAGGTGGTACATTCAATTACAAGGTATGTATTTATACAGTAGCAGTGAAGACAGATTAAACAGCGTGCCATTGTAGCATTTACAGAGCCTTTTCTAACAAAGAAAGAACAAATTTGCAATAATGATTTAATTCCTATAGGACAAGAAGCAGAAAACAGTCGAGGTGATGGCTTATATGCATCGTCAGAAATATAGATTACACAATAAGATATAAAAACAGAGCACTGCCCAGACTGAACAATAAAAGTACTGTCCTGTCATACTGTAAATGCCATCATTTTCATTTTGCCTGTTCATGGTCTACAGTTTGTATATTCTCTGTTTGGATCAGAAGTGGCATTAAGTGTAAATAGAGGAAAGGGCAATATTTACTTTTCTGCTACAAGCAGGCGTCAGTCACCTAATAAATTGCGCTGCACTCTGTAAATCTCAGGTGGCAGGCTCAGCAGAGTGGGCCAAAGCCTGTGTTGGGTTGAATGTAACCACAGTATGCCATGTTTATGTTTGTTCAGCTAAACTAGTTGAAGTGCGGTTTTAACATGATGTCATCCACTTTAAAACTTAACACCATTAACATGCTTACCTTAAATTTAGTTTGTTTATTTACAGGAATTAGAAATACATTGAAAAACCATTTGAAGCTCCTTTCAAAGCCCGACATTGAAGTGGTTTATTAAAAATATCCCTCCCTCCCTAATTTTGTTCATGTGTGCGTTCCAGGTGGATGGAGGCCTGCCTTGATGAGGATTTACCCCCCACTACAGAGCTGGAGGAGGGGCTGAGGAATGGCGTTTACCTTGGCAAACTTTCCAACTTTTTTGCTCCCAAGATGGTGTCAGAGAAAAGGATCTACGACAGAGACCAGTCACGCTATAAGGTACATCCTTTCTGTTGCACTTAAGCTGTTTTCGTCATCTGTTTGAGCTGTGCCCATAGTTTTACTTTTAGCCTTTTTTCAACAGGAAGGTTGTTTCCAGATCCGTCAGGCACTTCCTGACTGTTGAAAGTTCACACAGGAAAGGAAGAAACATAGCAAGCGAGTGTGAGGGCTAATGTAACATGCAGCTGTTAGACTGCGTGTTAGAATGACTCAGAGCTCATCTTAGTAGAAATCATGGTATCAAATGCCATAATTTGGTTGAATTTCCACAGGCTCTCAGTCCTATTTGTTGTGGCAGTTGAGTGTTTGATCATTTCTCTCAGGCATGATCAAGTGATATTATTTCTCTGCTTGTGTCTGTTGTTTCATCTTCAGAGCAGAGGGCTGCACTTCAGACACACAGACAACACAGTGCAGTGGCTCAGAGCCATGGAGTCTGTGGGTCTCCCCAAGGTAAGGGGCCCTCTTCTTACTCAGCTAGGAGGACACATGCTCCTCATTTCACAAACTTGTATACAGATACACACTGCATTTAGACCCGTTTCTGTACCTCGATTGTTACTATACATCTTGAGAATGAGTTGTGAAGAGTCTTTGCTCAGTCAAAAATATCATTGAAAATATCACTTATCACCCTTAAGAGACCCCATATAGGAAACGTAGTGCGACAAAGGTGGAATTAAAGAGAGAAGACAATGCCATTGTTCCAATTAATGTCAGTGTCCTCATTGACTAAATATTTGATATCAGCAAACCTAACATCTGTATGCATGTTTCCGCCCAAGGATTTTCCCCTCAAGCTTCCTAGAAACATTTTGTTCCTTGTGGGAGTTATAAGACGTTGTGCACTTTTTTTGAAAGTGTTGTTTGACTGTGAAAACACCAGGTCAGCTCATCCAGGCAGAAAACATGCGAGTGCAAAATAATACTGGGAACATCTTGTTCAAGTTTGCAAAACTACTGGACACTTGGGAGGCCTTTACTCTCCCATGTGTTGAGTGGCTGTTCTTGCGTGATTACAAACTTGGACTCCAAAAAGTCGTGCAAAAAAATCCTCAAATTGGACTGAAAAAATGTAAATAGTTTTTCAAACTCTTAGTAGCTCTTGACCACACACATTTGATCACACGTTTGATGCTTTTGTAAGAACTGGAAGCTGAAGTTGTAACACGGGTGTGGTAGTTCGTAGAGAAAAGCATCAACCTCCTTACATATTTTATAAGATGACACAAAACAGTTCACTGATGTGCATCCTGAAAATGAAGACACTGAAATCTGAAACCACCATTTCAGTACCACCTGTACCAAGTTGCACAAGTTTGCATAGGCAGCTTGTAGAAATAAGCTTTTTTTTATCCTTTTTTTATCATTTAAGCTTAGTCTTTGATTTTTTTCTGAGAGCTGCGTTATTTCATGTTTCTGGACATCATTGAAATCTGAGATGATTTAACATGCTGTACATCTAAGACTCAGCTTGGTCTTTTTGAAACCAATCTCTTTGAAATCAGTGTGTGCAAGATGTTGCGTAAAACACAACACTTAAGCTTTTCCATGGTTTGTATCCCTCTGAGATGACTGTTCATAAAAACAGAGAGAAATTGTTTCTACCTCAGGGTACCTCTGATGCCTGGTGTAAAATTATGTACTTTAAAAGGTGGTATTTAGTGTTTAGCAGTTACCTCAGAGGTCATCGTATTTTACAAGTCTCCTTTCTTATTATGACCACTGCTTTAACTTCTCATGCAGCTTCAGTTTAAAAGCAGAAGAAACATTTTACAGATATTGTACTGATGTTGAGTGTCTTACACAGATTGTTAATCAACACTAACTTAATGATTTGGTGTGTACTTCCAGATTTTTTACCCTGAAACAACAGATGTGTACGACCGTAAAAACATGCCCAAAGTGGTGTACTGCATACACGCACTGAGGTAAGAACAGGAGTACAAGAAGCAGTTGCGTATCTTCACTTCTATCAAAGCTTTATTTATCAGGAACAGAAACCGTTCTTTGTAAAGGATATGACTGGAAAATACTGTTTCTTCTTATGGAAGATCCTCTTTTTAAACACAGGTCAAAGTTCAATTATCCATCACAATACTTTTAACTGTAGGCAGCAATATGGCAGGTTTATTATATATTCAAGTAGTTAATGAACTAGCTTAGCTGAGTTGTTTTAAAACTGTGACTAAAACTGCTTTAATGGCTGGTAACTGGTTAGTCAAATATGTGATGACACTCTAATAGGAAGGTTTGTGTCTGTGAAGTGGGTGGGTCCTTGGTTTTTGCAGCTGAGATTATTCTGAATTAACTGAGGGGCCAATTTTATCTGTCTGACCTGTCCAGTCAGCCAAACACAGATTTAGGGAGTGGTTGTGAGAGCTGCCGGGATTGTTTTCTCTGTTGTGGAGATTTGGTCAGGTCCTGAGAGATTTGGTTTCCTTCCCTGCTTGTGCACACACGTGCTCTTCCTTCCTGCTAGTCCAGCTCAAGTCCCACATGAACCCAGAAAATGGTCTGCCTCCCTGGGCACAGACACATCGAGGCGCAGCGGCAGCCGATGATCCTGCACATTCAGTGTGGTGTAAAATTGAAAGCAAAGACGGTGTGATGGTGAAGGAACACAGCACATGAGTAAATCTTAATACTGCTCGAGACAAAGAGGTAAAAAAGCAAAGCTCATTGTGTCTTGAAGGAAGTGGGAAGCATGGGTATAAACAAGGGGGGCTCCGTCCTCAGTCTGAAAAGCACTAGTTGCTCTTCCATGCTAGGCAGCTAATCCGCCACCCCTGAGACCTCTAACAGACCACCTGTATCATCGTCAGTGTGCTGCTCATTTGTTTGTGTCTCAACTAAATCTGCTTCTTGCATGTCACAGCATTTGTTTAGTTTATCTGTCCATAGCCCCCCTGCTCCAAAGACAGTGAATGTCATACTCACACACACTGGATAAGAAAAACCAGCAACTGCTGCTGCTTTATTCAGAGCTGTGTTCATGCCAGACAAGCCTTAAGCATATATAATTCATCACCACTTATCGAGTACCTGGGGAAGATGAAAGTTTTATGAAGTTTCCAACCACCTGCTTGTTGAATAGCAGGCGCTAGTAGGTGGACTGAGTCAGATGTTTGAGTTTCTCTTGTTTTAGTGTGAGCCAACACTCCCCCCCTGTGGCGCAAGTGCGGCACAGGTGACACTTACCTTACATCTGGAGCATTAATGAAGAAAACCATGTATCATTACAGAATAGTCCCATAACTTAAGTTCCACTTCTGTGGTACTTCAAATATCAGAATGTTGTGAGGTTCTTGGTTTGACTCTTTTTTGTCTATATCTTTTACCTGTTTTAATTCATTTCAGCTTGTACTTGTACAAACTGGGCATCGCACCTCAGATCCAGGATCTGCTGGGAAAAGTGGCCTTTACAGGTAACGGCAATAAAAATCTGCATATTCTGAAAAAGTTATCGAATACATTGAGTACATGCACCTTTTCAAACTAATGAAAAACACTGACAGTCTTATTAATTGCTTTTCTGGATGAAGGATGAATGCTTCAGGGCATTTTGAAGCACTGATTGTTACACAGCTCATTGTGCATGTAATATTTCATAGGGTTTTTTTTTACTGTACTGCTGTTCTTGATTTTTTTCAATTGCAAATTAGAGAATACCATGTCCTTTCAAGTATGTCAGTTTTATTAGGAGTTATTCAAACATCTTTAATTGAGATGTTTTTATTGTACCTGTTTGTTAATGGGACTTTACCCTGAAGCAGTTTGAATAATACTGAATAGGAAAGTCAAACTTCACAGCTTTTGACATTGGATTGCTCTGAGTAAGCCTCAGGGCCAACTCACTTGTGATACTTTTGAATAGTTTTACTCTCCTAAATTTGATCAAATGTCAATTGAACTTCAGTCTATCCTCAGTATGTTGTTTGTTGCAGTTTTTTTCTTAAAACTTACAAAATTCACTGTGTGGTCTTAGATGTTCAGTAGCAATGTAAAAGAGGTTTTCTGAGCCCTCTTAAACCCTAATCTGAAATCTGGTATTAGCAGATTTTTTAACTCCACCAGGTTACAGAAGTTATGGAAATGGCGGCTGGCACAGTGCAGCTTTGGATTATGGGAAGCCGTTTTACTCAAATATTTGTATTCTGAAAGAATGAAACTTTTTACTACCACAGCTTTCACCATAATTTCTATGTATCTGTGTCCCAGAGGAAGAGATCAGTAACATGAGGAGTGAGCTGGAGAAGTATGGCATTCAAATGCCAGCTTTTAGCAAGATTGGAGGAATCCTGGCCAATGAGCTGTCGGTGGATGAAGCTGCCTGTAAGTCCTCTGACCTTGAAGACGTTGTGTTAATCCTATAGAGCACAGAATGTCTGATATCGTTGTTCATCTTTGTATTATTTCATAGTGTCTCTTGGGCAACGCTCAAATGCTGACAGTGGTACTAATTCTAATGTCTTTCAGTGCACGCTGCTGTGATTGCCATTAATGAGGCGGTGGACAGAGGTCAGGCGTCTGTGACGATGGGAGCCCTCAATAATCCCAATGCAATGCTGAGGAACACACAGGAAGCTTTAGCCCAAGACTACCAGGACACACTGAGCCGGGCCAAGGATCACAAACAGAACCAGTCATCAGGCAGGGTGAGGAGCTTGACACACACTGAACATGCTGTTTGATGCCCGTCTCATTACTGCACAGAATTATTGATCAGAGTCAGTGTAAAGACGTTTGATTTCTCTCCCTGCTCATAAATCTCCATCACTCTCTATGTCAGCCACTTTTTTTTTATCAATCAGACATTCAGTTTCTGACTACAGTGACTAATACTGACAGTAATAGTTACTGCAGAGATATTATCACTAAGGTTGACAAAGGGGTGATCTGCACAGTCTCACTTCAGTGCAGCCAGCACATTCCAGTGGCTGCAGTGTCAGCTTTAACAAACAAAACGCCTCCACACCCCCTGCTCTTTACAAATACTGGATATTCATGGATCATTGGTTTCTACTTAAATTCAGAAATGTGATTGTTTAAATATGCATCTTCCTCCGTATGGATTGGACAGTAATTAATTCAACAGGGTTCAAAACTAATATTCTAAAGAAAATGAATCTCAAGTGTGTGTGTTGTATTTATTCAGCTTTCTCTCCCCAATTTAGCGCTCCTCTGTTGCTACTGAAGAAAGAGATGTTTATGAGGAGCTGCTGACTCAGCAAGAAATCCAGAGCTGCATTGACTCTGTAAACAGTAAGGACTTTCCCTCACTCATAAGCTCTAGCATACTTCTTTTTCTTTTTAATGATATATTTGAAGTGTCAACCACCCTGATATCCAGGAGCTATAAATATATAGAAGAAGCTACAAGGGCAGTTAAATAAAAGTAGACGTGCAGATTGGTTATTCAAAATACTAAACTGAAACTCTTTTTTGTTTCTTATTTGTCTCCAGTCCAGGCAGCTGTTAGGCAGGTGAATGAAGCAGTGTCGTCCCAGGATGAGGTCGCTCTGTTGGCTGCTCTTCGACTTGAAGCTCTGGCTCTGCTGGGTGTTCAAGAGTCAAACAGTCATTGGTACCTCGAACATTTCACCACCTACTGTCAACATAAATCCAAGGTATGCAAGACTCCGAATGCTATCACCCTGAGTAATTCAGGTGTTCTTTCACGTTCAGGTTGTCACTGATTTCATAAAGTTCTTGACTGCGCACAATCAACAAGATTGTACTGGATAACTAAGATTTAAAAAAAATACTCCTTTTGTAAGGGACATGGTTGAACACAAGCTCCAGGACACAGTACACCTTCATACTGTAGGTATTTAATGAAGAGTGTAATATTGAAGCAGAGTAGGTCTTTTTGAGGGGGAATAATTAGCAGTAATATCTTTGACCCCCTTACATCCCATCGAACAGATCCACTTCCATTTTTAAGAGAAGCTATGAGAACAAATGAATTCACCTTAGCACAGAGGGAGTGCAGACACTGAAGGAGGACTGTAGATCTAGAGCTTTTGTGCTGCTTCTACTACTCAAGCAGTGGAAACAGTGTCAATTGAACTGAATGGATGAAATGTTAGATAACCCTGAGGTCTGCTCATATTTCAGTGCTTTCCTGTGATATTTTGCAGGATGGAGGGAGGGCCATGATGGTGGACAAAGAGGAGATTCAAAGAGTGGTCAGCTCATGTAACGACTTTGCTGAGGCAGAGAAACGAAGTAAGCACCTTTTTTCATACCATGGATTTTATAATCACATTTGTTCCAGTAGCGTACAACACAGTTTATAATGTGTTTGACCGACTTCCAGCCAGAAATAAAGTTTCTGTGATCATCTCCTTTTCCAGAACTTGATGCAGTTGCAGCGATCAATACAGCCATCCGTCTTGGAAATGCTGCCGAGACAGTTGAAGAGCTGATGAACCCAGAGGCACAACTGCCAATAGTCTATCAGACTGCTGCCAACCTCTATCAGGCTGAGCTCTTCAGTTTGCAGCTGCAAGGGGGGCGGGTAAGACATGATGTCCGAGAATTTGTCTGTTAGTTAGTTAAGCACTTTACTGTCAGAATCTGTTGGGAAAATTGTCTTACATCCACGACGCCTGTTCCTTAACCAAAAAGAAAACATTATAACATATAGCAAAAAATAACACCAAACAAACATCAGAGTGTGTCCCATCAAACAAAAGCAAAAACATTAGAAAAATATAACATGAGACAAACATAAGACATGTATAAATACGTAGCATCAAGGAGCTGCAGTACCTCCAAGTCCTGACTCTATTAGCTATTCAGCGCCCTGATGAAACCAACTCATTTCGTCATGTTGACCCACGCATATTCTTATGGATATCTAGTCCACCTTTGCTGGCTTTATTCTGTGGTTGAATATCACTTCATGTATGCGATGTATTCAGACTTTTATGTTTATGTTTATGTTTAGTCTGGCTTGAGCCACGAGGAGCTGAGTGTAGCTGTGGAGATGCTGTCAGCTGTGGCAGTGCTGAATGAGGTGCTGGACACCAAAGACCCTCAGGCTGTGATTGAACAGCTAACAGACTCTCCTCTGGGCTTTACCAACATGGACCAAGATAACCTCAACAGGTAAGATCGCTGCAGCCACGGGTAGCAGTGGTCTGGTGAGGAGTAAGAGGTTGTACAGGCAAGTTAAATGTGTGTAATTCTAATCCTGAAGCAACATTAAGACATGGGGCTTGGTAAGAGCAGATACAGTGTTTTCTTTTGGCTAAAGAAATTTGTGCTGCTCCAGTTTTATGTTGCTCTTTAAAGACAATGGACTCCCCTCTGTTGTGGTAACCCTAGAGTTAACCACAGTCTTTTGATTGTCAGGCTGTTGTTTCAGTAATGAATCTTTCTTCTTTAAAAGGACTTCTTGTCAAAATACACAAATGAATGAATAAATGATTTTATAAAATAAGGACTGATTTGTGTTTTAATGTTGAAAGTCAAAGTTGCATGACACTGTGCTTCTTTGCAGGTCTGTCTCCACAGACATTTTATAGTAACTAGGGTTAGCTGATGACTGGTGGTTTATGACGTTTCATGACACTGGGTTGAACTTCTTCAGTGTCTCTCTGCCTCAGGTATGCTGACACTCTTGTCAAAGAGCGAGAGGAGGCTCTCGCCAAGGGCCAAGAGTTTCTCACCTGGAATGATGTTCAGAAATGCATCGATACGGTCAACGTCCAGGTTCACGAGGAGCATGAACGTAAGACAGATTTGAATATTTTTGTTTTATGGAATTTAATTTTTGGACAGTTGAGGACTTGAAGAACCTTGAAACAAGAACTCAAATGATATCAAATGATTTTTCCAGGAATCATAGCTATAGCTGAGATCAATGAAGCATTGACCTCTGGTGATCATCAGCAGACCCTTGCAGCACTGCTCCTTCCTACAGCCAAGTTAACAGGAGTGAACCCAGCCACAGCCAAGCACTACCATGATGTCTTACTATTTACCAAGCAACTCCTCTGCCAGGTATTGTGACTCTCCCTTGAGTTGATCTTTATAGTTTGTAGTAGGGATGACAAAAGTTAATTGAGTACAAGTTATTTGATTCATAAGAATGAACTCAAACATAACATCTTTGGATACAAAGCTGACCAACTGGTGAAAAGTTAATATACAGAGATATGCCAGACTGGCAAAGCTGGCACGTACCTGCATACTGGCAACATCAGTGTGTCCTCAGTGGGTGTTATCTGCTGTTGGGCTAATTATGATCCCACTTAGCTTCCTGCTGGTTCCCAACCATCAGGACAGAAAACTGAACTCTGAGACTGAACTATTTTTCTGTCCAGTCTCTCTTATTGCTGTATTTCACATTTAGTCCTTTGAGCCGTTCCCTGTATGACTCAATGTCAGCAGATATCAGCTTCATGAGTACGCCCTGCATGTTGATATTAAGTGTGATGAGGGATTTTTAAGCCTCTATATGTTCTGTAGCTTTGCAGTACTGTTGGTCATACACAGTATGTTGCACTTGGAAATATATAATTTAGGGACAAAATTCATTTGCTATTGTTTTTTTTTTTTTTGGTCATAGGATCTTTTTTTTATTTTTTAAATGATCCCTCACATCCCAAAGATCAGTCAATAAGAATACTGAAAAGTATTCCTAACCCTAGCTGGTTTTTATATGACTTCCTTTAATTGGAATAATCTTCATGTAATAATAAACCAGCAATGAAATCACAAGTTACAGCTCACTAAATGTTATCTCAATTTGACCTGAACAGCGGGATTATGTACCTGAAATGGCTCTGTTACGGCCTTATGAAAATCTGATATTTTAATGTAGAGGTTCAACCTTTTAAATGCAATTATTAGACGTGTACCTTAAAAACACCAATGACAAACATATACAGAAATAAAATTTTATTGCATTCAGTCTGTTTTGATAAACAAGTCTGAGATTTTGCTTAGTTGACTAGAAAGTCCTGCAGAAGTTTTACATTTTAAATGTCCCTTTCTTGGTCCTGAGGTTAAAATTGGCTCACATAGCTTGTTTTTGATATTGCAGTATTGTCCACATGAATTCACAGTGTTGAGCTCCACCTCTCTTTGTTTGGAGCGTGTGCTTCCCTTCTGGTTCCTAAAATTAGTCCTGCAATGAGGAACTCAATTGTGCACACGCAACTTATCTCACATCCTAATGGCTGGCCCCCGAGGTGTCCCGTGGAGTGATATGAATTGTAGATCAGAGGCTGCCGTCTTGGAAACGAGCATGCACAGGAAAGGGTCCAGACAGCTGTGAAGGCAGCAGAGACACACTGCTACTCTGTAATATCCGTACAGTTTGTCATCCCCATTCAACAACAAGCAGATGTAGTGGGCGAAATGCAGGATGGCGCTTGGCAAGAAACACACCAAAAAGATGATGAAGACCAGAGTGCTCACCCTGATCAAAGGTTTCCAGTCGCAACGAGATTGTCCTAGATGGTATACCACCGCCGCATGAGCAAATATACAAATCAGGAAAGGCACGACAAAGCCTGTAAAAACCAGCATCAGTCTGTATGGCACCAATGGGGAGTGGGATTTTTCTTGTAGGGGGAGTACATCGTGGCAAGTGGTGATTCCCAGCTGGGTAATGTGATAGCTCTGTCTGACCACGAGCTCAGGCACAATAGCTGCAACAAACAGGAACCATACAACAAAGCATGCCCATCGCGCCAGAGTAGTCTTAGCCAGCCGTCTGTACAGAAACGGTTTGACCACAGCCAGGTAGCGCCTCAGACTGATGCATGCTATACTTTGAGCAGAACAGTAAACATTACCGTAAAACAAGGCTGTGATAAGCCGGCAAGAGATTTCCCCAAATATCCAGTTATTTCCGCTGAAGTGGTAGTGAACCCGCAGTGCCAAGGAGAGCAGGAGCAGCAGGTCAGATAAGGCCAGGTTCAGGTACAGAACGACTGTAGAGAAGGACTTTGCTCTGAGTCTGAGGAAGGCCAGAATATATGCGTTGGAAGGGATACCCACTAGCATGGCCAGGATGTAAGAGAGCGGAATGACCCAGGTGCTGAAGACACTTTTGGTAAAAGCTGCCACTGGGTCCTCCAGGCTCACATCCAGCTCAGGCTCTGTGCTGGGATACGGCAGCTGGTTTGTGTGGTTAATTTCTCCTGTGCTCCCCTGAAAGCTCTTTGGTCTGGCTCCGTTTTCTGTAAAGAGGAAGAAAAACAATAGGATTTTGAAGCACCTTGAGTTTGTTTTGAACTCTGAATGAACAAGCGTTAAACAGTGTAGCTACATTGGTGTTTGATGTTTTTAAGGGTATTTTAGCATTTTAGAGTTTGTAGTTGTCTCTTGTTTTCAATAAACAGCCAGAAGCCAGAAGATAGTAATGAAATTATGTATGATTGAATATCTTATTTCTGGTGTGTTACAGCTTTATGCAACATAGTTGTGACTTTGTTGTTATGCAACCCTTCCTCCGGGAATAACCACTCCCAAAATATGTGAACTAACAGCTTGAAATAAGTTAATTTAACCTTCAGCTCTTAACTCTTTTGGTAATACACTTACCATCAAGCTGGAGGGCCTGCACTGCCACCAGACAAAGGAGTAGTCCTGCTACACGGTTGACCATATCCCCCATGTGTCTGTATCCTTGGCTTTGTGAAGTTTTCTTGTCCTCAACTCTCTCTGCGTTGCCTCCCCTCAGTAAATGTCGGCATCTTCCATCTGTCAAATTTGCTGTTTTGCATCTTAGCAGAACAACAGTGGATAACTGATAGCGATGTGAACTTGAGCTCAGCTTCCCTCTTCTGTACGTGGGACACTTGTGTGTTTTCATGGAGCAGTGAGAACATTTCCTGTCCGGGGTTTAGAGCTGAATTCCCCTCCGTCTGCGTCAGTTACTTCCTACTGACTCACCGGGGAGGGAGGATACTGCTTGATAGTTCAACAACAGCAGAAAATGATAAGAAATTAAATTAATTCTAACATTGCACGTCTCATATATTTGTATTTATGTGAAGGTGGAAGTATCATTTTAATATATGCTTGATAATGTTGTAAACTTCCTAATCTGTATCAAAATGTGTCCTCTTATTTCAACAAGGTTACATCTTAAAGTGGTTAGATCATTAGTATGCACTTGATAATGTGGTCATAATAACTCTGCGTTTTCCAATGAAATATCTTTTTTCTTTATATCATTTTTTCTCAGAGTAGAGAGGCTCAAGTGCTTTTCTTTCCAGCAGTTGTTCTAAACTACTTAAACACCTACATATTTAGATAATAAACACACATAATAACTAATCATAACTAATTATTTTACAGCTGTACTGTGTCTGTCAGCAAGACCGACCTGTGACTCCTCACATACAGAGGGTTTGCTGGAAAATCTAGTCAGTAGCACAAATAAATAAAGAGGCTACTTTTAGTCCAGAGAGTGTGTTTTAATGGCAGCATCCTTCCTGTTGGCTTTGTGGTCAGGAATACATCTGAATCCCCGCCAGAGTTCTCTAAAATTAGCCTGAGAAGAAATACAGAACTCCGCCTGAATAAACACTCTCAGTGTTTACCATGGCGCCTTCTTGTCTTTTGTAAGAGGTTGATTGAGTGAGGGTGAGGATGAGGCACAGTCTATCTCATACTATTTCTTTGGCATTTTTTGCTTTTCTTCAGATCGTACCCCTAGACACAGGAAAATGGTACTGTCTATTATTGCTGTTGCTTTAATTGCACCAGTTAATTAGTGTTGATGATCAATGTTTCAACAGAGTTGAGCCACAGTTACATACCGCATACTGAGTACTCCATATTCATAACATCTCTATAGTTCTAACTTGATGAATAATATGCCACAACTACAAGAGTCTGCCATAATGATGTGTCCTTGTGCATTGGGCTAGAATTGTGGCCGATGTTGTGCAGCTGAGGTGTGAATTGGTTTCAGAGCTGAAAAAGAAAAGTGAACTTGTGCTTCGATCTGATTGTAGAATTCTGGAGATGAGTCTGCTGTACTGTGGCTGGATCAAATCCAAGAGGCCATCCATACAGCCAACCAGGATGAAGAGGAGGCTCTCACAAGTATGTAGCTGACCTTCACATTTATTTGGTAATATCACACCGACAGCAGCTTAAACTAACCTTTATTGCAATTATTTAAAGCGTACCTTGTCCGAAAGTACAACCACACTTGCATTTGACCATATGTCGCCCTCTTAAGGTGAGCCAGTATAGCCATAAATCCAGACGGGCTTTATTTTACATTATTGATACTATGGTAACAGTATAAGGTTGTTTTTTCTGATGAAGATATAATCCATGTCTTTACTTGACAGGCTCAGAATGGACTCTTTTAGGTCCAGCACATGAATACTAAGGGTACAACAGATAATAGTTGGTCAGTGATCTATACAGACTACCCTGACTGCATATGATCTGCAGATCCATGTAAAAATTATCATCAGCATGTACAATAACAAGTTTTGAGTGGCTCGCACTGTCTCATAGAGCTGGTTAAAAAAGATTAGATTTTGGTTTAAAAAATGAAATGCATTTCAGATTTCAAAGATGCACCTTTCCCTTTCTTTTCTGGTGCTGTCAATTTGTGGTAATGATACTGTTTTCAGGTTTAACTCAGCAGCTGTTTTCCTTTTGTAATCTCATTCACTTTGCTAGTGGCTGGAGCAGTAGCTGAAATTAACAGGACAGTGGCAGAGGGGGATCCTCAGAGTACACTGCAGGCTCTGCAAGTTCCCAGTGCCGGACTGAAGGCAGTTCTCTCTGAATGTGCTGATACGTACCAGGCTGAACTGGCACAGAGACAAACAACCAGCACCAGTGAAGGTGACTTGAATATAACGCCTAAAATAAAACCTACATCACAAAAAGAGGCAGACTTTTGAAAGTTTTATTCTTTCTAACGCTCAGTGTGTCTAAAAAGGCCTTTTCTGCTTACTTTTAGACAACACTGACAGTGTGTGGGTCAAACATAGTATCAAGGACAGATATGACTACTACTTTAACCTGGAGACTGGACAGGGCACTTGGGAGGAGCCTGAAGGATTTGAACACAACGGCCGTCATCTCAGTAAAGAAGATATTCAGGTACACTTTTCTGCTCTGCAGGATTTCACTGTTCACCGTTTCATGTGCTGTTGTGGTCGTATATCTACACAAAACATTCACACTATATGGTGCAGAAAAATGTACTTCTCTATTTCTCTTTCTCTCCTAGAGTGTTGTCAGCTGTGTGACTGCCGAGTATAACAGGGAGCAGTTATGGTTGGCCAACGAATCCATGGTGACCCTCCTGCAGGCAAGGATCAGAGGTTACCTGGTCAGGAAAAAACATCGTGAGAGGATGGAGTACTTACATCAACAAGAACCACATGTTATCAAATTACAGGTAGTCTATTTCTCATCTTTGAACTGTAAGTAGTGATGCTGTCAACACTCAGATAAACACCTGTGATTTCTCGAGTACCTTTCAAAGGTAAACTAAACATTAAAGCTCTGACAACACCTTAGCTGGGAGACTGTTAAACAATCCCTTTGTGTTACTAATATCAAACACAGCACAGTGTTTCTTTCGGTTGTTTGATGTTTTCCCTTTTTTGCAGGCTTGCTGGAAAGGTCACAAACAGAGAAAAATGTACAAAGACCGGATGAATTTGCTTCAGAACAACGTTGGTTCTATTGTTAAGGTACTAAACTGGTTTCCTTCTGTTGAATCAAAAGAAGTTACATTCATAGCCCGACTCTAGAAATCTTAACAAACCAAAACAACCCGCATAATGTTGGTTTTAGAAATGTGTATAAATTATAAAACTTTACTCAACACTGAAAGCGTAGTTACCATGTCAAAGATCTAAAATTCAACATTTTTGTCTCAGATCCAGTCTTGGGTGAAAATGTGGAAAGCCAAACGGAATTACAACCAGAGGTTAAACTATTTTAAAGATCATGTAAGTAGCTCTTAAGTCAGTCAAAGTCAGTCGGCTGCTTGATTTGTGTTTCGGTTGCTTCCTCAATGTTGTGTTAGACTCACCTCTGTCTGTGTTTAGGAAAAAGACATTGTGAAAATCCAGGCTTTTCTGAAGGCCAACAAAGCCAGAGATGACTACCGAACACTGAGTAAGTCAAACATCAGTTTCTCAATGTCAACTGGATTTCTTGTGGTCGCATAACATTGTTGGTTAGATTTTAGTTTACTAGCGTTATAACTGAACCATCATTGGGGTTTTTGTGAAGGTGAAGTATTTAATAAACAGAGGAGTGAGAAGGTGAATGTCTTATCTTTTTCCAGATTTTCCTCAGACACGACAGCATTGATTGATTGATTGATGATTTCGAGACTGTTGTTCTAAAGATGTAAAGTCAATCATCTATATCACAGGTACTTATTGTGACTGTCTTATGTGTTTAAGCCGGAGCCAAGGACCCTCCCCTGTCCGTGGTGCGCAAGTTTGTCCACTTATTGGAGCAGAGCCCCCTGGACCTTCAGGAGGAACAGGAAGTGACGCGGCTAAGAGAAGAAGTGGTCACCAATATCCGCTCCAATCAGCAGATGGAGAAAGACTTGAACCTGATGGACATCAAGATTGGACTGTTGGTGAAGAACAGGATCACTCTGCAGGTTTGTCTGCAGCACTTTGTTTTTATGTCAACAAGGGAAGGAAAAGCAACATGTGTGATGTCATGAAGGTTAAAATGATTCATAGTTTGGTCAAGGCACAGGGTTCAGTCCAAGGTTGCTAACAACTGTGATTACATTCATGTGATTATATATATTGTCTGGTCAACGTAATCAATGTGGTGTTTGCTTCTTTGACTAGGACGTAGTGTCCCACAATAAGAAAATGAAGACCATGAAAAAAGCAAGTAAAGATGACTTGACTGCAGGAGACCGAGTGGGTATAAAGGGCCTGAATAAAGGGAAAAGAAGGAAACTTGAGGCCTACCAGCACTTATTTTACCTGCTGCAGGTAATTTAAAAACTCCTCCCCAACTTAAACAGCAACTTTAATCAATTTCAAGAAACTCAACTCAGCCACCCCTTGTTTTTCCCCTATCTAGACCAATCCACCCTACCTGGCCAAGCTGATTTTCCAGATGCCCCAGAACAAGTCCACTAAGTTTATGGACACTGTGATCTTCACCCTGTACAACTATGCCTCCAACCAGAGAGAGGAATACCTGCTGCTCAAACTCTTCAAGACAGCCTTGGAAGAGGAAATCAAGTGAGATCTGCAGACTTCTTTAGGATGTTATCAAAGACTTTGAGTGGTTTTGAATCACCAAAGCACACAAAGTTTGTTTGGTGAGCTGTTTTGTGGACAGCACTGATCAATGCTGTCTGATGTTTCACAGCTCTAAGGTGGACCAGATCCAGGACATAGTGACAGGGAACCCAACTGTCATTAAGATGGTGGTGAGTTTCAACAGAGGCGCCCGAGGTCACAACACACTCAGGCAGCTGCTGGCTCCGGTGGTCAAAGACATCATTGAGGACAAGAGTCTCGGCATCAACACTAACCCAGTGGATGTGTACAAAGCCTGGGTAAACCAGCTAGAGACTGCGACAGGAGAGGCCAGGTACAGGTCCAAAATAATTCAGAAAGTTGTGATTAATTTGTACGAATCACTTCAGAGGGTTATCAGACGTGTGTGACATAAAGAGTGGTCACGTGGTGAATTTTGTTAAGTCATGGTAAGGTTTTGTTTTTTACAGAAATGGTTTTCTGTTGCAAGCCAGTGGGAAGCTTTGTTTACACTATTATCACGAAAAGCTAGGGTTAGAAAAGGTGGAAATATCTGATGTCTGATGTTTAATGAAATCAGTAACCTAATGCTCAATAATCTTTCTCACTTTTACCCTTGTGGTTCCACAGTAAGCTGCCTTATGAAGTGACTCCTGAGCAGGCCATGTCACATGAGGAAGTGCGCAACAGGCTGGAGGCATCCAGTCAGCTGCTGCGGGCCGCGACAGATAAGGTCCTGAACTCCATTGTGTCCTCGCTGGATAATATACCGTAAGTTTCAAGAACTGCTGAGTGTCAATGTTCACTTTCTTTTATCCCCTCAGTGACAGTTTGATTGTTGGGAACATGAAGGTCAGCTTTTCAAAATCAGACGACTTTAGGAGAAGAGTTTAACAAAAGATAATGTTGCATCAGAAACTGTCCCTGTTGTTTTGTTCAGTCCCCTGCACGCTGTTGTTGCACCGTGTCTGTAAAGGTTCATTTACTCATGATGCTTTAAAAGTGTTGTGGGCTTGTGACTCAAACTAATCCCAGTTTTTGTGATGAAAAAACAAGAATGGTTTAACATTATTTATGTATATGCGTTTTTATAAGTATATTCATTTAATTTCAATCCTTTTTGAGCACCAAATTCCTTTTTTAAATCATTCTTGAGAGTTTAACAATCACGCTATGATTATTGATTATGATGTCCTAAAACGGGGCATGACATACTTTGGCATGTCAGCAGCCTCTCTGGTTGTTAAGGTTTTAGCTGCATGTTGGTGCCTGGTCATTACTTATTTAATCATTGTTTGAAACACTCACCTGCTTATCTGCTCGAACAGAAAGCTGCTTTGTGTTTACTCGGCCACACAGTGATGATCACCCTGTTCTGTGATTGAGACCAAAAATCTCAGTCTTTGGCTTTCTTCTTTCATTTGAAATATCCCCCCAAAACAAAAGTCACTACAGTTTCAAAAATGACCAAGTACTGTGTACACCACTGGATGGTGCTCATGTTTTATTTTAGTCTTTGCAAAAAAAGAGAAACTACACAACACTCTCCCAAGGTACTGAGGTTGCCATTTCATTTGTCATGTTTAGTGTGAATGGATATTGCTTTGTGTTTGATGTCCCTTCAATGTTTTCTGTTCTGCATGTAGTTATGGCATGAGATACATAGCAAAAGTTCTGAAGAACACTCTCCATGAAAAGTTTCCAGATGCATCTGAGGATGAGCTATTGAAGGTAGATGCCCTCACATGTGAAACTTTGTTTATGTTCTACTCATTCACAAGACTGCAGCCATACAGACCTCTCCTCTTTTACTTTGAGTGAACTAAGAGTCTGACAATGTTTTAAATTGATGCTTTCTTATTTTCTTCTTACAGATTGTGGGGAACCTTCTGTATTACCGCTACATGAACCCAGCCATCGTGGCCCCTGATGGCTTCGATATCATCGACATGTCAGCTGGAGGGCAGCTGCACTTAGACCAGCGCCGTAACCTAGGATCTGTGGCAAAGATGCTGCAGCATGCTGCTGCTAATAAGCTGTTTGAGGGCGAGAATGCACATATGACACCAATGAACACCTACATATCTCAGACCTACGAGAAGTTCAGGTAATCAAGTGAAAATAGATATTGAAAAACCCAGTTTTCTAACAGAAAATCTTTTGTCTGTGTTTTTTTGTATCTCAGGTTAGTGTTAGGTTAGTTTCTACATTGTATCATGATTACATCAAGTGTTTTTGTTTTAAACAACATGATAAAGGGGAGAGCACACGAGAGACAGATGTTGCTTTTAACTGTTGAATCACAAAGGTCAGGAACAGGTTTAGTTGACGTAGCAGAAGGCAATGCAGAAAAAGCAAAGAGCTCTTTGTTCCCGTAAAGCAGAACTCATGAAGGACCTGTAAACACTTGCAAATCAGAAAGGCTGAGTCTGTGAGTGCAGCAGTCAGTCCCACTTCGCCTCATTGTTTGACACATTGTTTCTGAAAACCCAAACCTTAGACTGTTTTCTGGAACAGGTCTGTCTGATTAATATACTTTGAAATTTGTTAGACAATTCATGCACGCATTTGTCTATTTTTAACTTTTTTTTTTTCTAATGCTGACTTTTATCTCAGACTGAACTTGGCCTCAAAGACCAAGAACCCTAACCTTTTATGTTTTCCGTCTTGTAGGACATTTTTCCAGGCAGCATGTGATGTTCCTGAACCGGAGGAGAAGTTTAATATCGATGAATACTCAGACATGGTGACTCTAAGCAAGCCTATCATCTACATCTCCATAGAGGAAATCATCAATACTCACTCGGTAAAACAGAGAAAAATGACTCATACCTTCTCCAGAGCATAGTTAAACTCATCTTTTGGAGTGAATGAATGATAAACTCAGTAACATATTCATCTGTCACTCTTTGGCAAAACAGTTACTTTGCAGAATCATTTAGTAAATGGTGAAACAGCCCTTCTGTGTATCTCTACAACTAGTTTAAGTTGTCTTCAACTTCTAATGTGGCAGATTGTCAATTGCTGGAGGTCCAGGCTTTAATCAATCAATCAAGCTTTATTTCAATGCAACTCAAAGTGATTGAAAACAAAACAATTAAGAGTAAGAATACAAGATAAATGACAAAAATTGACAAATTAAATGGAAAAAAGAAAAATAGGATAGATAGAGACCAATGCACACCAAAAGCAGTAAAATATGTTTAATTTAAAAAATGAGAGATAAAAATAAGTTAAAACATAAAAGAAAAACATAAAATTTAAAATAATAGGAATGTTGTTAAATATTAAATATATGGATTAAAAATGCCAAGCCAGCAATAAAAATAGTATTTAAATGATCAAATTGCGATCAGTTAAGAATAAACCAACAAAATAAAATTAAAATCCATATCAAACAGCAAATTACCAAACTAATAAAATCTTAACATAAAAGTCCGACTGAACAGATAGGTCTTAAGTTTATGCCTAAAAGTCTCAATATTTGCTCTCCTCTTAGATCCTCTAGCTGTGCGATAACAATAATGAAATAAACAAGACTTCAGGTTTATGAGTAAAGGTGATGATGTTTTTTATACTAACAGATGAGGGACAGTGGGTTTAACTTGAAAGAGTAACTTTAGCAGCTGTGGTTTTTGAATCTGCTTTGTTTTTCTGGTGAAGATTTTTACTGAGTTTGTTTACTTATAGTTTTTTTTTTCTCTGACAAGTTATACAGTGAATATTTTAGATTTTTGTGTATTAAAAGCCACATCTGTATTTGTTCAGCTGCTCCTGGAGCATTTGGAGGCCATCTCTCCAGACCACAATGACTTACTACATGAGCTGCTGCAGGACCTGGGAGATGTCCCTGATGTAGAGGCACTGCTTGGTATTTTCACACCCTTTTATATCCGAGTTTATCACAAGGAAACCAAAGCTTGACTGTGAGCATTAATCAGTCACAATCGGTCTTCTTTGTTTCAGGTGAAGGGGCAGTAGACCCGAATGACCCGAATAGAGAGAGCGCTCTGAGCCAGCTGGCCAAGACAGAGATCTCCCTCACCCTGACCAGCAAGTTTGAGCTGCTGGAAGGAGATGACAAGGACTTGAAGACTCTCATGACAAAGTAAGTTTAGAGCTGGAGGATTCAGAGTAACTTAATCAATGTAAAGCCTGTAGTGAGGGTTAACAATGCTGCTATTTGAACAACATGTGATCTTTGCTTGACTCTGTGCGACACTGTGTGTTTCTTTGTGTCTGTCACTCAGTAATGTGTCTTTGTTCCCTTTCCTGCTCTTTATCGTTTCCTGTCCAAAGAGGAAGGGGGTTGTTGTTCAGGACTATCTCGCTGAAAAACATGCATCCGCCTGAATTGTTTTTTCGAACAGGAGACTGGTGCTGATCTCTTCCTTATTTTTTGGCAAACTTGGTTTTATTGCGTGTAGAACTAAAAGTGAAAGCCGGATTTCTCTTGAACTGATAAGACCATACTTTTTCTAAATGTGATTGTGTGATGTGTTTGATACTTGTGTGTAAGACTTGGTGTGCAGACACGAGTACATAGCGTGGTTAATTAAAAAAAACAACTTATTTTTCCAGGATATTTTAACAAAATAAAAAGCTAACACATTCGTGTGGAGCCAAATATCTGTACTTTAATATGGTGGCACTTTAAGATTTAATCTAGCAGCAAACAAGAATCAGATGTTCTTTTAATAAACAAAAGCCTCTGGGGATAGGACTTGGAAACCAGTAATAGCTTTAATCTCTACATGAAAAACATCAGGTACTACAGCTTGTTTGTAATATGTGGAAATTGTACTGTGTAATTTGCATTGTCCCTGTTCAATTTAACTGTCTGAATGGAAATAAATGAAGACATTTTTGCCAGATGCAAATGTAAACCATGAAGTAGCTATGGGGAAATTAGATACACGATAGAATAGTGGTAACAGGCATGTTCCTCCCCTCATTTTAGCAAGATCGCACCATTGGAGGTTTCTTTTGTTTTCTTAAAGCAAATTAATGCAAAGCAAATCTTTTTCTTCCTTCAAAACAAAACAAATTGAGAGGTCATGATTTTTCCTGTGTGTTCTCAGGACAAAAAAGCTCGTAGTGGATGTGATTCGAATTCAATCCGGAGAGTCCTTACCTGAAATTCTGGAGACCCCAGCTACTGCCCCACAGGTGATTATGTCTTCCATTAAACTTTTCCCCACCCAAGAATATGAACACCATTTTAATCAAAGAAATTTTTGCTCAGACTTTGACGTTTTTGTTGAGAATTACAACTGCTGCTTCTGCTCATGACTTTTCATCTGAAGGAGTCAGAACATACAAAGGTTGTGGAGCGCCGGGCAGTCCAGGATGCTCAGACACCTGAAGGTCTGAAGAGTAGCCCCGCAGTGCTGGAGGACAGCCAGCTTCCCGTTGAACAGAAGAAGAGGAAGATCCAGAGAAACCTCCGTAACCTGGAGCAGGCTGGCCTTCTCACTGCCAGTAACAAATACCAGGACCTCATCAACGACATATCAAAGGTTCACAACCAGCCCCTCATTCACCTAGAAAGATGTTAACAATGCCATCGCAATCTTGACTTATTTGTGTGTTGTAAAGTCCTTCAGCTGTTGAATTGAGAGGTAAACCTGCTTTTTAACAGGACATTCGCTACCAAAGACGTTACAGGCAGAGGAGGAAGGCTGAGCTGGTGAAGCTGCGACAGACACTGACGGCCCTTAACTCAAAAACAGCCTTCTTCCAGGACCAGATGACCTACTATGACACCTACATCAAGACATGCCTGGATAACCTCAACCGGAAGTGAGTTGTATTTTCATTTCTCTTTTCTAATCTGGATGGAGAGTTTTTTAAAGTGCCTCTTTTCCCACTATGTGTAAAAACCACTTTTGCTTCCCTTTTATTGTGTTGTTTAGATGGTTTTGATACTAGTGAGGCAGGATGATTTAAAAAAGCATTATTGCGTTTTGTGTTCTCAGAAATTCACGCAGATCTATAAAACTGGACAGCAAAGGGGACAGTAAAGGCAGTAAAAAGTTGAAGCTCCAGTCTCTGAAGTACACAGCAGCAAGGCTGCATGAGAAAGGAGTCATCCTTGAGATCGAAGGACTTCAGACAAACCAGTAAGTTGAGCTATCTAGGTCTAGATATCAAAATAACAACCTTCTGATGCGTCTGGATTATCAGTGTCCTCCTCTCAATCAGAAGGTTTTGGTTTCAACTCCAGGTCCCACTGTCCACATGACAGTGTCCTTGTGCAAGACAACCCAACCCCAACCTGCCCCGGCTGGTTGTGTCATCAGCACTGATGGGTGCTTAACATGGCAGCCTCTACCACCAGTGTGTGAATGAGTGGATGTGATTTATAATGTAAAAGAAAGAGTGGTCAGAAGAAAGCACCATCTAAAGACAGTCCATTCACCATTTAGTGCAGCCTGTATAACAGGATTATATGATCAGTATAACTTGATCAATGATTCATTCCAACTATAATCATTCATTTCCATCAGTTTAGTCTCATCCTACACCTTCTTGGAAATAGTAAAGCAGTATCTTTGAGTATCTTTAATAGTCAGAAGAGTAGTCAGCTTTCTGGTGATAGAAAGGAGAACATTACCATCCTCTTCATTGTGTCTGGGTTGAAAGTGAAGTGCTAAGCTGATTTAAGTTGTTCTGTGAACTGTGAAATGCTGAGTTCCTGGAAAAACAGATAGGTCCATGTTGGATGATAACTGTGTAACTCCCCCTGCTGTGTTGACACTTTTTTATGTCATTAAACTCATGCTGTTGTCCCTCTCTTTTTAAGGTTCAAGAATGTCATGTTTGACATTTCACCCACTGAGGAAGTTGGAGATTTTGAGGTGAAAGCCAAGTTTATGGGAGTGGAAATGGAAAAGGTTCAGCTGCATTTCCAGGTAAACTTTTCCAATGTGTGTCAGACCTAAAGGATAAAAGCAGCTTCTCGTTAACACTAAATGAGGATAGTATATGGTTTAATATTTTGTTCCTTTTACCATGGTTGCAAAAAGCCACTGTCATTTTTACTGCACCTTTTTGACATTACAAAACAACGATTAATACAATAGAAACAAAACTGTCTTTCTGTTGTTGGGACACTTTAAAATGAGTATTGAATTTCTCTAAAAATATATGTTGATCAGCGTTTTGTGTGTGTGTGTGTTCTTGACTATACTGTTCTCTGTGTTTTGCCCAGGACCTCCTACAGTTGCAGTATGAAGGCGTTGCCGTCATGAAGATGTTTGATAAAGCCAAAGTCAACGTCAATTTGCTCATCTTCCTCTTAAACAAAAAGTTCTATGGAAAATGAGAAAGCACATGAGGGTTGCAGCAAGAGGGGAGAGGAAACAGACTTTATCTTCTGACAGTACTGAGTTTGTTGAAGCGAGTTAATTTAGAGAGAAAACCTGCAGTGGTGAGGGACAGTGTTTTGTCTCATTGAGCTTAATTTGATGGATGACACCGAAAGGAAATGTGTTTATCTAATTTAAAGCGTCTTTTCTGTATTTTTCAATGTGGCGATTGTAAATGTCGTGTATTTTAAGAATTTAATTGTAATGGTTTTCATGTTTTGTAAATTAATGATGCAAGGAAACTCACTGTTATTGTTCCCTTTGAGATGAAGCTACCTTAAGGGTTTTTGAAAGACATAACAGACAAAACAGTACTGTCTAAGTTCAGAAATGTTCCCACCTCCCAACACGAGCAGTGCCTTTTTATTCAAATGTTTTAAATAATAAAACATTAAGAAAATAAAAGCTATAACTGATGTATTTTTAATATGCATTATCAGTGCTTTCTAATGTTTGGACAATGTTCATAATAAATTACACTTCTATAATTATTTTCCTCATCTGTCATCTGTATTGCTCAGATGTTCCACTGTTTTCCCAGCCATAACATGACATATGACAACGTTGGAGCTCTAAGAGGAAACATAATTAGGTCTGAAGATCACGGTCATAACGGGGAGGAGATGTAGAGGCGGAGCATTCACCCTGCGATGTAAAAACATGTTTCATTCCAACAGACTAACACTTTAGTCACTTCCCAGACAAACCTCTCAGATAACTTCTGCACACGCAGATGTTAAATCATTTCGAGGACAAACGGTAACGCCATGTTTCGCCTGTTAGTGGGGTTGTTGGCTCTGTTTTCCTTCCACAGTGAAGCGTTGAGTCTAAATGGTAAGTTACTTAAGATATCTCAGATCGCACAGACTGGATGATTAGAAAATGTTTTTTTTCTGCTACTTGTATCTGGTGTTTGTCAATTACCCATAGACTGTATATACTATATACAGTATATACACTATTCTATATACAGTCTATGGGATTACCACATAAAATCCCGTATGTCCGCTTTTTCCATGTACAGCAGTTTAATGTGGGTGCAGGTTCAAGTCTGCTATTTTTTAACAGTTTAAAAAAAAGAAGTTAAAAAACTTCAAGAATTTCTCAATCAAGACAAGAAGATTTAAGAACAGTAACTGTACTATAATCAATGTTTAATACCACTAGATGCAGGTTTTCTAACTTAGCTATAATAATTTCATCATTTGCTTTCAAAATTTCCTATTCAAATATTTGCTGAGGATACTTTTCGATTACATTTTGAGGGCATCCCTCAAAATGTAATTTAATTGTACCTCAATTACAATATCTAAATAATTTTGATACAAAAGAAGGTATCTGTCCTAACTCAAGTATTGCTAAAATAAAATACCTTTAGTTTCTGTTTTGTTTTGTTTTGTCATTTTCTTTTAGTTAAAGGATTCAGGCTTCAGTTATCCAAATGACAAAACACACAAAACTGTTCGTTTTAACTTGAATGAATGAGGAATAAAGGGAATGACAGATATTAGAAATGGTTCAGAGAAAAAAAAAAAAAAAGTACTGGCTTAAGAGGTATTACGGTAAAAAACTAACAAACAAAAAAAAAACACTTGTGTAATTCTGTTTCCCTGTGTCTTGCTTAAGGCTCAGGACTCCACCCCCGGACTTTTGCTGGTCACTATGTCATGTCCACTGATGACTCCGTGGACTATCTTGATCTGTCTGTGTTAGGAGGGGAATACAAGGAGTCAGGCTCAGGGATGGACCAGGTTCCAGTGAAAAAACACAACGTTAATAGTCCACACCCCCATCACCAGAAGACTTATCACATCTCAAAAGAAGCTAAACATTTCCTCAAGGGTAGCCTGGCAACGAGCTTTGTCCCCACAATTTACACTTTAGTCTTTATCATCAGTGTGCCTCTGAACCTTGTTGCCATGGTGATGTTTGTGCGCCACATCCGTCCGAGAAAACCAGCCACCATCTACATGCTGAACCTGGCCTGTGCTGACCTAGTCTTCGGCCTTCTGCTCCCCTTCAAGATCTCCTACCACTACCACGGCAACAACTGGGTCTACGGTTCTGTCATGTGCAGGGTGGTCACAGCAGCTTTCTACTGTAACATGTACTGCTCCGTGCTGCTCATGACCTGTATCAGTGTGGACCGTTTCCTGGCTGTGGTTTACCCCATGAACTCGCTGACGTGGCGCAGCCCTCAGACTGCCACAGGTGTGTGTGTTGCCATGTGGATTTTGGCTCTTGGAGGAGTTTCCCCCCTCTTGATCTCTGACCAAACCATGCATATATCAGACCCAGACATTGTCACCTGCCATGATGTGCAGGATGTGAAACAACTACAAGCGTATTATCTCTACTTCTTTCCCATCTACTCCTCTGTCTTCTTCTTTATCCCTCTTGTCTTCACTGTCGTCTGCTATGCTAGAATCGTTCGGGCCCTGTTAGCAGCCAATGTGGAGAACCGCTCCAAAAAGACCCGCGCCGTGGTGATGGCTGTGGTCGTGCTGGTGGTGTTTGTGGTCTGCTTCACCCCCACCAACGTCATCCTCATGGTCCACTATGTCCAGCTGTCCCACAAGTCCAGTGACAGCTCCTATAAGGCTTACCTTCTCTCTCTGTGTTTGGGGAGTCTCAGCTGTTGTCTGGATCCTGTCCTCTATTACTTTGGCTCTTCTCAGTGTCAGAAGCAGGTGTTGAAGCTGCTCAGGTGTAAGCAGCTGGCAGCAGCAGAGAGCAGCTCAGCGACGCAGAGTATGAGGAGCAGTGGGTGGACAGACAGCACCAGGTCATGTAAGATGGAGAGCCTTCCAAAAGACTTGGGGAGCCAGTACAGCAGGCTGGTGGCATGAAGGACCCTTCGACCATCCATGTCAGACACTTAACAAACCTTCATACACACCCACAGTGTGACACACCAGAGTGAATATGCAGTGAAATTCTCTCCAGGGGGATGCTTGTTCTGGATCTGAAAACCATCGCAAATTAATCTACTCTTAAATGAATCATTGTTTACATCAAATTAATTCTTTTTCCATTCAGTTGTCATTAAACTGATGTTACAGTATGTGATAGTCTAAGTTTATTGCGCAACAGGAGTGTGTCCAGATTTTTTGACTGGGGTGGCCGATGACAGAGGTAGGAGTGACCAGTTTATTCCTGCAAATATAAAGTAATAACATTTAACCTTACTTTATTCACAGTCCACTCTAAAATATTAAAGTATTGTACAGCTGTTATTTATATTCAGAGGCTGATGCTGCTACGAGATAGCAGGCTGACCAAAAGCTGATATATAAAATGTGGATATCTCAAAAAAAAAAAAAAAAGGTTTTGTTGGTTTTAATTTTTTTAAAATTTTTTGTAAAGAAAAAGTGTGGAGCATGACTGATTATTTAAATAAATTAACCAGATGAAAAAAGTGAAATATTGCCATTAATATCCATTAACATGTTGCAGGTTCATTTTCAATGAATTGGTTATAATGCTGCTTTCAAGTAACCTCGGAAGTCAGAAGTCCAAGCTGGGAATGACATCACACCCAAGTTACCAGCGTTTCAGTTACCAAGTTGGAAGAAAGCAAAATCTGAGGCAAAAACAAGATGGCTACATCTACGAAAGCAAGGACAAGGCAAGTGCTAAAATAACTTTCGTAGATGTAGCCATCTTGTTTGTGCCTCAGATTTGGCTTTCTTCCGACGCCGGTAACTCGGCGTCATTCCCAGCTCAGATATCTGACTTCCGAGGTAACTCGAGCGCAGCATTAACACTGATACATTCGGTCATGCTGTAGGTTCCAAAGCATGGCTGGTATTTCTGACAGAAGCAGCACTACACTGTACTTTTCCATACTCATAACAGAATTCACACAAAACTCTAACCTCTGTTTTCAATTTAATTTTTTGTCTTTGGGGATAAGAAAAATTTGTTTCTAAAGTCTTTGTGATATTTTAGGGCTGATGCTGATATGATGCCAACGATGTCAAATGTCAATAAATCTGCCCTAATCTATGAATAGGCTGACTGATTAATCAATCTATTGCTAGTCATGTTTTTTTTTCTTATTTCAAAGAGTGGCAACACTTCTTCCAGAATTAAATGCACAAACAAATAAAATATGCAACATTTAAAAGTAAAGACAGCTCCTGCAGACCTGTTAACATTTACCAAACAGTTGATTTTTAATAAATACCCCCTCTAACAAGACAACAGCCAATCATAACTTTGTATTTTTGGGTGGCCAGTCATATTATCAGGATCAGAAGGGCAGGGCCACCATTCTGGACACACCCCTGTTTCACCGACAGTCCAACAGAACAACTTTTATTTCAATCAAACAAATGAAACAGCTGAGTGTATAATAATACAGTTTATTTAGACAAAGAGTACACATTTGGTCATTGCACTAATTTCAAGCAAAACTGTAATGAGTCACTTGCATACCATTATGTGTTTAAGGTTTTTAAGAAAAGTGCATGTTTAAAGATGTTTATAAGAGTAAAAAGGAATGTTTGGCTAATAGTTCAATTAGAAATTAAACTTCTACATTGCATAAATCCATATTTAATTGTTATGTTGCTGTATCACTTCGTCTGTTATTTATTGCTGGTCACTTTCTTTGTCATCTGGGCACAGCTCTGAAACACATAAAAAAAAGGAAATAAAAAAGAAGGAGAAGAACAGAAATAATCATGGTACCAATCCTTCAATAATGTCAATAGTACTTCATGCATAAAACCCAAGTCTACATTAAAAGCTGTAATTTCAAAAACAACATCTCCACCTTGTGGCAGCTTTTGAAAGTTGAACCTTCAATGGCGTCCACTTTACTGTCCAGATAAGGACTGACTGACCTGTTTTACCGTCAAAGCTGTGGAAGTTCTCTGGAAAGTTCAGACACCCGAGTTGTTTCTTGAAGATTTCCACATCTTTGGGATCTATTTTTCCTGTCCTGGCTAAAAGAAAAAAGGTGATCATTAAAAAGCAGTTTGCACACTTCAAAACTCTGAACTGGCTGTTTTCAAACTGAGAAGAACTAAACTTACTGAACTGCAGGATGTATCTGCCAGTGACATCCTTGTTACGAAAGGTGTCAGTCCACAGAAGACAGTTGGGGCAAGTCTGCAGAATATGACCTTTGTGGTCTGACAGATTCTCTTTAAAGAGGATAGAGTGGCTCATCATTGTTAGGTATTAATCATACAGATATGTGTGTATAGTCTATGGTCTTATCCCTATTATCTTTAACATATAAACTGCTTCATTTCAAATAATGTCTGGTATTCACTTACTTCTAAATGTGGTGGCAAGTCCTGACACTGTTGCATTAACCTCCCCGAGGATACACCGATTACTAAGAAAGGTTAAAAAAATCACAATTCTGTTTTCTCAAGCTTGAAATTCAACATTTTTTCCCCAATTCAACAAACTTCTTTTAAGGAGAGTTACCCCTACACTTACAAGCAATGATCCCCCCAGCGTAGTAACAAATTGTTATTCTGAGAAGTGGGCGACAGCTCAATCCAAGAGCTTTTCAGAGACTCCAGTGCCTTGTGGTACGGCTTGGGATCGCCAGCTCCCATCACATACACCCATTTACCAAAAACCTTCACACAGACAGTGGAGGTTACTTCAAAAATAAGAGAAAATATCTGACTGTCCATACTCATGATTGACAGTATGTCTGGGAAAGGATCATAAGCGAAACTCACCAGTTTGGGGTCCTCTGGCATATAAGGTTGGATCATGTCCTTACAGTCAGGTGCAGTCGCTGCACAGAGGGAAACAAGAGCCAACAGAAATACAGCAGCAGACAGAGGCATGGTCGGGTGGAGGATGAGGCAGCAGCAGTGTGGAGGATGTATCTGCTGCAACAGAAAACCTCTACCTCTTTCCCATTTTCACTCTGGAAAAAAACGGGTTGTGCAAGCATCAGTGTGGGGGGAGCAAGGGGGTCCTGCATGCTCAAATGCACCAGTGAAGGTTTTTAATGACCATGCTGAGCTGTTTTACTCTGCAATGAATGGCCAGTTTAAACTCACTCTGTTGACAATACCGCTGCCCCCAAATGAACTCGAGCAAGGTACCACGGCTTGCCATGCACCGCCGAGATCTTTTAAAAGGAGTTAAAGCAGCTTTTGTTTAGTGTAATGTTGTATCTCATCCATCTGTGATGTGTAGATGCAGAAAGAGACTTTGTATAGAAACTTATTAGGACATCAGTATCAAATCAGCACTGCAGATGCTGCGAGATGACTGGTCTGTGGACACATTTTGATCAAGTTACTGGGAACAGCTACTGTTTCTTTTTTTAATCGGAAGAAATGTAATAAAAAAAAATGAAGAAAACAAAAGAGCTGAAAACAATTCAGAGAGGGAAAAGAAGACGCTTTTATTTAGATCACACATTCAGTTAAATCAGTCTATTATGTACACATTGTTTAAGAGGTTACACTACATGTTTCAGTCGTTACCGTACCAAAATATACCTCAAATTTCTCAGCTTTCACATTTCCTAAACCAGCCATGAAAGTTCAACCAGACAGAAATGTACAACACAATGTCTTCTGCTCATGACAGACTTCATTCCATAACATGACTTGACACCATCAGGCTTCAACCTCGTCTCTCCTGCTGAAACCAACCTGACAAATAAAAGGTTTTTCTAGTGCACAATGTTAAATCACTAATTCACAGTATATCACAGTTTAATGCGGGTTTAGATGACTGTAAATGGACTATTCATGGAGCTAAGACACTCCTCGGCTTTAGTTTTCAGGAGGCTCGACTTCAGCTTCTGTGTTCTCTGCAGCAGCTGTCCTGAGATCAGGACAAAGATCTGAAATAAAAGCAACGACTGAACAGTGAGGAGAGATGCACAAAATGAATACCAGGAAGATACAGAGCTGAAGCTATAGCTGATCACTGACCTGTGCCTCCAAAGTAGTACCACTGTGGGAAATTAAGACACTCCGCCTGCTTCTTGAAGGTCTCCAGCTCAGATGGCTCTAGGTTCCCAGTTTTTGCTTTAAAAAAAAGGACATGATTAAAATCCACTTGACTGTCAATGACTGTAAATATGTGATAGAGAGGGAAAAACCTTACTGAAGAGGAAAAGGTAGCGTCCTTTTGATTTGCCGTCAGGGAGGAGGGTAGTGTCTTCAGACAGGAGGCAGTCGGAGCAGGTCTCGTAGTACTTACCCTCATGATAAGATGTGTGACCGTTGATATTAACTGTGGAACATCAGGAGAGGATTTTATTCTTTTACAAACAGACACTTGTCAAATCATCTTGAACAGAAAATACTTTGGAGATACGAACATGTAGTGTGACTTGTCATTCCTGAGACTGTGGCGTTGGTTGATCCTTGGAGACATTTTTCTCGTCTTTGATGAAAAAGCAGGAAAAAAAAACGTACAAAAAGCATCAGTCAGCCTTTTAATACACACATGAAGTTCCTGTGAGGAAGTTACTCTAAGAGTTGGTTTTAGTGCCTCCTGTTGTTAAAATAGTGCCTCTCTTTTCTTTGCTAACATTGTGCTTTACTTGTTTGTAAAATTTTCCTGTAAAAAGGCAAAGCCTGCTATCTGTACCAATCAAATAACTCATTCTGAATATTTTCTTTGCTAACACTTTACAATAACCATCATTTATAAATGATAAAATGACCATTTATAAACAGTAAGCAGATAGTTTAATAATGTTTAATCATCATTTATGAATAGTAAGCAGATAGTTTATTAATGTTTAATCATCATTTATAAATAGCATATAGATCATTAATAAGTTGTAAATATAAAAAAATTAAAAAACTAACCCTAACTTTACAATAAACAGCTAAGTAATGTTTATAGGTGGTTTATAAACCACTTATTAATCATTTACAAAGTATTCGAACATCAGTTGCAACTTTACAATAACTATCTAAGTAATGTTTATAGATGGTTTAAAAACCAAATATTAACCATTTACAAAGTGCTACTGACACACATTTTAATCTAGATGTTTTACAATCAATATTTACACCCTGTATAAACCTTTAATAAATAGTCCATCAATAAAAAACGAACGTTATTAATCATAATTTCATTGCTTGTTAATGGTAAAGTAACAATAACTTACATTAATAAACTATCTATTTGCCATTTATAATTGGTCTATATGCTGTTTTTAAATGATGATTAAACATTAATAAACTATCTATTTACTATTTATAAATTATGGTTATTGTAAAGTGTTACCTTTTCTTTTGAAAATGTTGGGACACCTTTCCCCTCACAACAGTCACAGGCAGTAATACTTACAAATCAAAACTGTAAACTTTGTCTTGTAAAAATAGTCTTGTTTGCTTTTGTGCGTCATAACAAAAGATATTACTGTTCATTTCAGCCTCATGGGGGCTTTAAAGTGCACACTGTGACAAATCTTATTAGAATATTAGAGACAATCGAAAGAAACATAACAGCCATGACAGAGCCAGTGACGGATCTTTTACAGTCGTGTTGTCCTTACAGGCGATCGGCCCAGTAGAGGGAGATGAATGCGCTGTCTGATGAAGCTGACAGTTCCACCCATGAGCTGTTCACTGCGATCAGGTCATCCTTTAGACCGGGCTCATCCCAGGATGCCACATGGAGCACCCATTTCCCATAGATCTGACACAAACACAATCGCTTATATAAATATTTATCTCGACAAAGAGGGCTTCATATTGATGAGATTAACACTTGAGGCAGAAACAAAGGAATCAACAAATTGACAAATAAAATTCATAATGGTTTAAATAGATTTCCTGATATAGAAATAGGAAAATAAGCGTGCGTTGACGTAGCTAAACAAACCTTAATAGTCAGCCAATTCAAAGAGTGATTGCTTTATCGACCATTGAACTTACAACACTCATAATTAGAAAGTTAATGACAATAAATGACGCTGCCCTAACTCTTAAAGAAGTAAACACAAATAAAAAGTCAACTTTTCCATATATATCAAAGCACTACAGCAGATCACCACCTGCTGGAAATGAAGGACTGATACTCACAGGGCTGTGGTTGTCCAGTACCAAAGGCTTCACCAGCTCTTTACAGTTGGGTTCAGGTGCAGCAGCGCAAAGGGAGGTGAGCGCCAGCAGAGCTACAACCAGCTGTGCAGCCATGACTCCAGACAGCATGCAGTCACAGAGCAACTCTACAGTCAGTATCCTGCCAGATAGAAACTTCTCAGAGGATCCTGGGGAGGTGTTGTGTAAGAGTGGGCTGGGCCACCCACTCACACACACACAATCACGGATGAATACACACACACATATGCACAGAAACACTGCTTTTCTCCTGGAGGGAAGGAACTTGCTGTATTTCTCACATCCACTCCATCAGGGTTGTGTCCTATTTATCTTGTTACATAACAGCCAGCTGGCAGAGACTGAATACAAGACCCCCACTTCTTTCAGTATGTGAACAACCACACACACACACACACACACACACACACACACACACACACACACACACACACACACACACACACACACACACACACACACACACACAAATGAAAGGAGAGATGGACACACTGACAAAAAACCTTGAACAAATCTCCTCAGATGCCTTCATTATTCATTTACAAATATCACTGCTATGTTTTATTACCCCACAGATTCAATGCACATAATCCAAACTGGTTGCACCTCATTTATCGTCATTATTTTCTTGTCAGTTTGGGGTGGTTCCAAACTTATGTAACATGTTCTGCGCCCCTTTTTTTCTGGGAACATTTTATCCTAGTGAGGGACGAACCTCCAACAACAAAAGAAAAAAAAAGAAAAAGAAAAAAGGGGTATTTGACACATGCCGAAATTTTGTTTTTCTAAAATAAGGCCAATGGAAAATAACAGTGGATCTACACACCTTCAGATTTAGAGAGGATTCACCAAATCGGCTCTGTCTCAAAAATATCTATATCTTAGATCTGCACACCAGGAGCTTTGGAGGACACTTAATAATCAATATAATTGATGGGTGCAGGGTGATCTGAATGGCTTGTTCAGAAAGTCAAAAGAGAATTCAGAGAAATCAATATGAGATTTGCTCAAATCTTGACATCACCAGACAGTGAAATTCCTTTAAAAGAGTAAATGAAAAGAAACACAAATTTGTTACATGGCAACAGCGAAGGAGGCATCCAGAATGCAGGGGTGCTGGAATGCTGGGGGTCCTTAAAGGCACAGTGGCTTAAATGAAGCCCCTCAGAAAGAGGCTGAAATCAGGTTTTCAAAGACAGCAGCCTGGAAGATGTTCAGAGTTTATTGAACTGTGGATCCTGTGAAGCTGCTAAGAAGTTATCAAGGGGAAAATATAAAGGCCTCCTAAACTATGTTGCGAAGATAAAGGTGATCAAAATGGATGAGATAGAGTTGGACTTTATACACTAACAAAGAGACAATGGTGTGACCCTATCTCTCCTTTGGTAGAGCAACAGGAGCCTGTTGTTACAGCTTTGTGTAAAATGTGTCTTAAGTTACAGTGTAAAGTACACACTTTATTGAATTTTCCCTCTGGGATAAATACAGTTCTTTCGTTTTCTTGCTTGCTTTCTTTTGTTTTCTTTCTTTCTCTGTTTTCTTTTTTCTTTCTTTCTTCCTTTCTTTTTTTCTTTCTTTCTTTAGCTTCTTTAATTTCTGTTGCACTTTTGTTTGATTGCACCATGAAGACGTGTAGTTCATCTTAACCAGTAATGTCCATATTTACCAATATATCATCACAGATTTGGCTGCTACCAAGATTGAGGTTGTAATTTATTGCTGACGTTGAATTTATCTCAGCTGGTGAAACCCAAAAACTTTAGTAGCATGCAAACTCCATCCTAAATTTAAAAAAAAATGTTTAAATTAGTCTGAGTTTGAACTTTCACACAGCTGGCACACAGGACAACTTTTGTTAGGAAGGCATTCCAGTCGAAGTTTCTCACTGCCATGTTTCTGTGCACCCCTGAAGGGACCCCAAAGGCAAGTAAACAACATGAAAAGACTAGTGTTGAGGTCATAAAACTGCGTGCTGGGATGCCAGTCTTCAGTTCTGGTTTGAAACACGCAGATTTTACAGTTGCTCACTGTCCCTCTAATGCCTTTATAAAAATCCTCCATTGATACACGCACTCATCCTTTGTTTACATGTTATGGTGAACACAGAGAGAGACATCTTTGTGTTCACCACATCTTTGTGTGTGTCACCTTTGGCATTTCCGCTGATATATTGAGACATGTGGCTTGCATCCTGAAAACTTCTAGATTAGTTTAATCCAGTTTCCCAGTCTTTGTTGCCGGGTAGAAGGAAGTGAAGTGTTATCTAGATAAGATTTAAAAATAAAAATGACAAAAATGACCTTTAAACTGTATGAGTTTTGGGGGTTTTACGCTCTGGTGTAGAGAAATCTGAGTACTCACCAAAGAGGAGTTTGGTTATTCCTTCCGTTACCCCATCTGTGCTCCATTTCACTGAGCTGTTTTCAAACAGGATGCAGTCTGGACAGGTCAGCTTGAGGTGGATTCTGGTTTACTGCTCTGTGCTGTGAGACCAGATAAAAGCTGGAAACAACCACATTTCTATTCTTTTATCCTTTCCTTTTTTACTGATGGCCCTTTTTTTGACACTTAAAAAAAATCAGGTGTTTTTATTTGTTAATAAACTTTATTTCTACCTTTTATCTATTTACATTTCTGCTGAGGGTTTCTCATTTAGTACTGAACACTGTCATCACTCTGCCTCATGTATCTTGTCTTGTTTATTGTTTGTGTAAATGGAGGCCAGTTCATTCACTGTATATCAGATCTTCCTATGTGTGCAAACAGTGGGACCTAACATGGTTATATGAGCCTAATCATTAGCACAGTAATGCAGTGTTATTTTATTTCACTGTGTGAATCCACATGTACAAGGTTATGCAGGCTACGCTCAAAAATATGACTACAATTTTAGAATTACTTATAATTAACATGACATATTCATTTATGTTTTTTTTTTTAACTGTAGAATTGATATCATTTCAAAAACAACACTGTATTTTTCATTGCTTCCACATTTTTTAGTTTTCTTTCCTCTGCAACTTCCTCTTTCCATTACCAAAGTTAGCTCCTAGAGTATTAATGTGATGTCAAAGCAGTTTTTGCTTTCAAGCATGTAAAACAAATCAAATCTTTGTTCTTCTCTTTCCTAAATATTGATGCTGAGCTGAAACGTACCTGACTTTGATCCTGCAGAGGTTTAGACAGCTCACCACAGTCCTGATCGTGTGCAGCCGCAGTCAGAGGGCCAGCAAAGATAAACACAACTGCACAGACACATTTAGAAGTCAAACAAAATGAGACAACTTTTGTTCTTCATGAAGGCTGATGTGAAGTCTTGCAGAGGGGAGTTCCACGGATATTTTAAAGAAGAATGGAAGATAGACTGGGATTGTGTAATAAAATGGTAAAATTTATCGGATTCTTGTGTGCAGAAGACTTTTGACCCCCCTGAGACACAACATATCGAAGATAGAAATGGGTGTCAGATAATAGACCTTTTTCAAAGTACGCGGAAGTGAGCAGGTGTTAGCGTATGGGGTGCCGTTTGTAAAGCAGCCCATTATAAAAACAACAGCAAGATTTGGTCACATTTAGCAAAACAACAGCAAGATTTAGTCACATTTAGCTTCAAACAGCATTTAAAAAAGTGATGTGAATTTTCGGCAGTCATTTTTTTGCGCATTTACAACAACATTTAAATACTAAAACTAAATGTTAAATGTTAAATCTAAATGTTAAATCTAAATGTTAAATCTAAATGTGTTGGGCGAAACTAAATATTTAGCTAATATGCAAATTCACGGTCGGAAACCGGAAGTGCCAAAATAAAAGCTCCAGAAGGTCATATTGATGATTCTTGTGTCGAAGAAAACGAATTAAAACCAATTTAAGGGGGGGACAAATACTAGGGGTGACGTTTCGTGTTAATAACTACCTACAATAGCGACAGCAACAACAAAAACTTTATTAGAAAGACTCGAGTTTTCAGTGTCGCTTCTCCGTATGGCGCGGACACTGTACGAACACAGCGTCCGTCACAGCCACCGATGAAGCTGCAGAGGGAGGAAGAGTTCTGATGGCTGCTAATACAGCTCTCCCGATGTTCTCCGCGAGCGCAGAATCCCCGGACATTTTTTGTTCAATTCAGGCTTGAAGAAGCTTGACCTTACAGCGCGGGCCGGTTTCGGGGTGGTGGTGGTGGGGGAAGGGGGGCGCGCGCAAAGGATGGGCGGGTTGTTGGTCGAAGTGGAAAATCCGCCCAAAAAAAAAAAAAAAACACACGAGATTTGCTGACAACCTGCGCCAGACTCTTCTAAATGGCAGTGAATGAATTAAATTAAGCTAATAAATAAATAAATAAATGAATAAATGACCCAAAAGACAAAGTGGAAGACAAAAGACAGAGTTTCGAACCACGGATTCCTGCGTCCCAGTCGTCCGCGTTACCCGTATGGCCAATGAATCGGTGAGGTGCCGTAGAGCAATATGGTGTGTGCGCCTGCATGTGTGTGTGCGTGTGTTCGTACAGTGTCCGCGCCATACGGAGAAGCGACACTGAAAACTCGAGCCTTTCTAATAAAGTTTTTGTTGTTGCTGTCGCTATTGTAGGTAGTTATTAACACGAAACGTCACCCCAAGTATTTGTCCCCCCCTTAAATTGGTTTAAATTCGTTTTCTTCGACACAAGAATCATCAATATGACCTTCTGGAGCTTTTATTTTGGCACTTCCGGTTTCCGACCGTGAATTTGCATATTAGCTAAATATTTAGTTTCGCCCAACACATTTAGATTTAACATTTAGATTTAGATTTAACATTTAGATTTAGATTCAACATTTAGATTTATATTTAACATTTAACATTTAGTTTTAGTATTTAAATGTTGTTGTAAATGCGCAAAAAAATGACTGCCGAAAATTCACATCACTTTTTTAAATGCTGTTTGGAGCTAAATGTGACTAAATCTTGCTGTTGTTTTGCTAAATGTGACCAAATCTTGCTGTTGTTTTTATAATGGGCTGCTTTACAAACGGCACCCCATATTAGCGTGTGGCCCATTGACGGCCATTCATTTTTCAAGATATTAACAAGCTCGCGACTCGTTTTTTTGAAAGCTAAAGTAAAATCTTATGCTTTGTGCTGTTTCACTAACTCCTGTTCTTCATAATACTGCCCGGACTTTGTTCTTTACTTTTCGGGAATTATGTTTAATAGGTCTGGAAATTTTCTGATGATGGCAACCATTGCTCTTCAGTAATGACCTATTAAACATAAATCCAAAAAAGTAAATTACAAAATCCGAAAAGTATTATGAAGAACAGGAGTCGGTAAAACAGCACAAAGAACAAAATTTTACTTTACCTCTCAAAAAACGATTCGCGAGCTTGTTAATATCGTGAAAAATGAATGGCCGTCTATGGGCGATGCTAAGTGGCTCCACCACACGCTAACACCGGAAGTGAACAGAATGCTAACTTCCGCGTACCGTGAAAGGGGTCTATTTTGTGGATTCTTTTATAATCAGTCAGTCAAAAGTTCTCTTGCAACATTTCCCACTTTGCAGGAGGATAACTAAAACTTGTATAACTCGTTCTTTGTTTGCATTGTGAGTTTGAGAACTAAAGATCCAGACTATCTTAATATCCTGAGTAAGGCGATACACTGATGCTCTCTGCAGAGATTACATGATCTACGTATGTAAAATAATCTACAACCACTGAACATAAATGGAACTTCACAGCTGTGAACTCACAAGTCAACAGAAACTGCAGTTCTGACTATGATCCGTTTTTAGTGTTCTGATGCTGGAAAGAGAAAGTCAAATTGGTCTCATGTAAAGAAGATGCTTTGCTGGAATATGCAGAAGACAGTTCATGCCTGAATGCCTCACTACAATGGAGGGATCTGATAGCTCAGACTGAACATAAATATCAAAGAATACTTTAAAGGAGTAGTTCCCGAATTTCTTCTGCCATTTCTGTATCCCCCACCCAACAATATGATGACGCAAGGGGCTTCACTTCTTCACATAAAAAATAAAAATGGACAATTATTTCCCCTCTCTTCCAGTAATTTTCGGATAAAAATTAAAAACCCTGTCTAATTTCATCTATAAGACCCTTTTGGGAACTTTATGTCGATATTACTGTATAACTTAACACTGTGTGCTTATTTTGAAAACTAAAATTCACTCGCTTCATGTGTCAGCTCTTCAGTGAACAACTCTGTGTGCCACACACTTTGGAAACTGCCGCTTTAGGGTTTGTGTGTCCTGCTGTTTTCAGTTCTTGTAAACAAGCTTTTTCTTAATCTACATTGACTTTGCAGATTAGTTTTACAGAGACACCCTGTCACTGATCAGTCCACTCTTAGAAGCAGCCTCTGTAAATAAAGACTGCTGGGGAACAAAAGGCTGGAGAGGACTTCATTTGGATGGTGCAGACAGAGGGACAAGAGAAACCTCAATAGGTCAATTTTGTGTTTTCTAGACACTAACATCTCGCAGACTTCAGGGAAATCTGAATTACTGTTCTGTCACAAAGTGGTATCAGCCCTGACGAACTAGGAAAGTTAGAATGACAAAACTTTGTCCTCAAATACAAATACAAAATAATAAACTAACAAAAAGGACAAAAACATTTTGAATAGAGGAAGAGAAGCTTTATACTAGCATATTCAAAACCCATGAAATACTTCTCTGTGTATTTACAAAAACATAATACAAGAATAAAAAAGAGAAAATGAACACATCACAAATGGAGTCCAGTATACTGCCACAAAACAGAAAACATGATCCAATTTACAAATGTGTCTTCTTGTACTCCCACTTATGGCTTCAATCTAACACAAAAATAAAAAGAACATATCTCGGTAAGTTTGGAGGATGCATCATCAGTCCATCCCTCCCTTTTGCAATAATTCTTTGCAGGTTTTTATTTAAATAATAATATTATCAAATACACATACAAGACAGAGGCGCTACATTTGTGAGCTGTACACTTTGCAGTAAGAGAAGGGGGAGGAGGATGTTCACAGGATTATCAACCTTTTGTACATGATGATAAGACATCTCGGGCAGTGAAAAAAGTCGAAAACATTGATTGAAAACAAGCTTATTTTAGCTTTCTGTACCCATGGTCATACAACATCACTCTGAGATCACAGTTTATCCGGATGACAACAAAGAATAAGTGATCAAAGTGACTTCAGAAGTTGTGTCTTGACGGTTTACCCTCCATAACAAACTGACACATCATTCGGATTAGGCTGAGAACAGGGTCTCAGGCAGCGAACAAAACCCACTGAACATACAAAAGTTCGGAGTCACAAAATGTAAGAAAACAGAAAAAAGCTTTTGTCCACCTCAGCTCTGAGTTTTACACGTGCTTGTGCCCCCAGGAGAGTGTAAAATCCTCCAAGGGTGCAGTCTGGATTGCTGCACAGGTTTATCCTAAAATGGTGTCCTTACTGCTCTCCATTCAAATTTCAGTGAGCACAGAGACTCATCTGTTTCAAACATGTCTACGTTACTCTGAAAGAATTAAACCACACTTCTTCTTCTAATCATAAAAGTTAAAATTAGAAGCATTACACTCACCGCTGTTAGATTTGATACACATAGGGGCCTTACTTTAGCAGCCATGCTCGGTCTGGCATCACCAGTATCTTTTGACTGCTTAATGTGAGCAAATGTTAGAAACTTTAGTTGGATTGCTCTAATAGAGCCATGAATTACTCTTATCTGCTCTTTCAGTTTAATAAATCACTTCAAATTATTCTGCTAACGTGACTTCCAGCAAGTTTGCATAGTCTTTCTTATCTATTCAATTTAAAATACAGACAAATATTCCAAACCTTTCTGCAAATCATAATTAAAATCTGAACAGAGAGACGATTTTGATCTGCCCTTCATTCACCTCGTCAAAATCATGTGCCAGAGGTAAAGGAAATAAAAATTCTCTGTTTAAACAAACACATTAGCTGAAAAAGGCTTCAAAAAGCACAATAACAAATATCTGCAGAAGCCTTAGATGACATGATTGTGACTCCGCCCTGAACCTTCTGGTTGTGGTCAAAGTTTTTGGTCAGCAATGAAAAAAAAAAAAAATTCACATGACATCCAGTTTGCTGAAATTATTCATGATCACAAAAGTATCAATATCTCTTTAGTCCTTGGGAATTTTTATCTTCAGGATCAATAGGGTACTGGCTTTTTGATTTGGGCATGAACTCTGTGACATGATGCAAAAGGCAGAGACATCAGTCTGTGACTGGAGTCTGTGTCTCATGTGTCTGACTATATGGAAATATACAAAGAGTTCTCCTCTGGGTTGTCTCGGTTTGGTTCCTTTGTACAGTCATATAGTTGCAGAGGAAGAACTGATGAATGTAGCAGAGTCACCACGCAGAAAGGGAGAAAAACAGGAAAGAAGAGACGCAGACAGAAACAACAGAGGGGTCGGTCGGTCGGTTGGGGGGATCATAGAAGATCAGGACCCAGGGTAAAACTGTCCTAGCTTCATAGGCGGTGGCGGACAAAGAGTCACTGGTGTTGATGACATCACTCCAGTCTCTCTGCTTGTGTGACGAGTCCACACCATCTTTCTGAGCAGCTGACCGAGTCCACTTCGCAAGCTTCACACGCTCATCGTCATGTTCGGAGAATACTGCAGAGATGAGATGTCAGAAAGTCATGTGTGTGATCAGCCGTTATAAGCGAATGAGCTGCAGTTTTCTATGAGACAACAGTGACTCATACTTAAAATTTCAATCCTTTTTTTATGAATGTGAGCACAGTTTAAGACACGTTTTTTTATGTCTGACCACTGCCAAAAACAAAGACTGGTACCACTCATTTATTTGTGAGGTAATTCAAGTGTAATGTAGACTGAATCATTTTAAAAACTTATTCATGCCCACCTCCATTAGGTTTTTAAACAATGTTTCCTAAATGTAAATGTATCATTTTCTTGTTTGCCTTGTCTCACCTTGCTGTGTCTTGTTTCTTGTTGTCTATTGTCGGTGTGTTTCTTTTGACCATTTCTGTGGGATTCTTGTGCAATGTGTGTATGTGCAATGTGCGTGGGTTGTGTGACTGTGTCTTTGTTAGGTCTAGTGCTTTGTTTCATCAGTTGGCAGCTTTATCAGTGCAACTCTTGAAATCCAAATTTCAAATTTCCCTAGGGGGACAATAAAGTGTATCGTATCGTATCGTATCGTAAGTAGTATTTAATCCCAAGGCTGATACACACTTGGAAAAGAGATTTTAGATCTCAAAGTGGTGTTCTCCTGGTTTAATGAAGGTTCAAAAAAATAATAGTAATTGCATCTTTTGTGCCAAAGGTCACACTGCTCCCTAAAAAGTGTTAAAGAATGATCTATAATTTCTATTAGAAACCAATAAACTTTACAGTGAAATGCCAAACAATTCTGGTAGTAGAGGCTGATTTGCTCACACTTTCATTCTGAAAAGGGTTCAGGAAGTTTCCTCCCATCTCTCCATCCTCTCTGGGGGTCCCGGGCTGGTTACTCATACTGAGATTACCAGGTGAGGTCTGTTAAGAAAGCATATTACTTGTAATTGTATCCTGCAAAGCTGCAAAAATCCCCTAAAATGAGTTTCAGATGAGATAAATATCTTTCCTCACCTTGGGCAGACTGTCCATATCACCTGACCCTGAGCGAGGGGACACAAGAACAAAAAACAAACAAACAGATCAATATCATCAAAGTCTCACTTTGTACAAGATATTTGAGTAAAGGCACACTAAAATCTTTGTGTCATTCAGCGAGACTGTTCAAGTTTCATGTTCTTGTACCTAATGAACCATTCATGTGATGAGGCTCCATCCCGGCCATTCCACTTAATGGACCATCGCCACCTGCACCCATTGGGAACTGAGGAGGACACACAGAGCAGACAATAACCAACCTGTGAGGACATCTATCAGTAATGAAATCATTAGCTGCTGGCATCAAAAAGCAGTTTAAACTATAGAAGAGCTCGATCAAATCTTCAGTGCAGTACACTCAGTAATGATAATATCCAAAGAGAAAAGAGGTCTCACATTCGGTCGGCTTCCAGTTGGAGGAACTGTGTTAATCATTGTGTACATGTTGTCACCAGAATTGGTCGAATCTAGCAAAAACAGAGAGAATAAGAAGAGGATGAGGGAAAAGACCCTGAAAATATGGATACACACTCTGACAGAACATAAAAGCACACTCTGAGCTTACCTGCTGGACTTGGCATTATTGGAGTTCCTGGTGGCCCCCCTCCTCCTGGAGGTCCCTAAAATCATAGTTTTGGTTGTCATGTGACCTCATAATGAACAAATGGATGCACGTGTGTACGTCTGGGTAACAATCTTCACAGCATAACCCTTTAAAATTCAACATACATACCACGTAACTTCCTGGAGATGCAGAGGAGTAAGGTGTCTACAAAAAAGAAGTAAATGATTAAAGAAAAATCAATATCTTAAACTTTCTTTTGAGTGTTTTTCATTGGGGCACTTACTGAATTGGAATTTGGGGGATTTGGCCAAGGTCTACCCCCACCGGGTCCCCTGTAACACACATAAACACACACTTCAGTTCCCTGTTTTAGCAAGCTTCTTTTTTTCCAGCTCACTTGGACAGAGTTGGCAACAACAAGCTTTTCTGTTGCCCCGAGAGAGGTGATGGGAACATCAAGTAGAAAAAAAAGAGGCTGAATGAAAGAGAGTTGGCTTCCTGCTTCACATGCAGGCTCTAGGAGCCAAGAGCAACAGTAAAGATGTAGTTAAAACTTACAGACAAAGGGCCTTTGGTATTTACCGTAGTCAGTGATCAGTGAGAGAGAAATTAAGAGAAATCTGAAACATCTACAGGATTCACTTTGAGTCTTAATACACGTAAAGACACTCACATGTTCATGCCAGGCATCCCAGGTCCGACTAATGCATTCAGAGGTGGTCTCATCCCTCCTCCGTAGCTCTGGATTGAAGACATAAAAAAAGTAACAATCACAAAAAAGTAACAACCAATAGCATGTTGATAAATATCCTCACAGGTCAGCTTGTCCCATACCTGAGGGCCAAGTGGTACCATGCCTCTGGGTGGAGTCATCCGCTGCATCGGTCCTCCCATATTTGGATGTCCTACAATGCAAAAGAACAATTAAATCTCAGCATTTCTCTGACAGGTGTACGGTAAAAACTTTTCTCTGCTGTGAAAAATCAGCTTGTTGACATTATGGCTGTGAGTATCCGAGCACACAGACACTAGCATTTAGGTAACAGCCCCGCTGTACCCTGACCAACGTGGTCTTGATACTAATTTATTGTCAGGTGCAAATATGACTTGACCCTAAAAACACTCTAACAAAAGGTTTCTCAGCTACAGTATTAGGTGTCCTTAAAAAATACTAAAAGTTTGCCGAAGTTTGACCGCTAGAAAGGAGCCATTTTCAAGATGGCGTCTATGATGGGTTGGAAGCCCGGGGAGACACCCCAGGTGAATTGAGTAAAATTTTTAACTAACAGATATCACCATGAAACTTCCCAAGTTTATAACTCACATTAAGACAAATATTTTTTGTATAACAAGTTTTGTCCAATGCTATGTTTGAATATGTAAATGAGATAATATCTTATTAAATATGTACTAATTTGCATACATTTCCAGAACTGAAACCTGAACAATAGATAAAGTCCCTTTCAAAATTCTTGTTTTATTTTGTTGACATACTAGAGTCAACAAAAGAGGGGAGGGGGGACTTTGGATTTCTCTTTTTATCACTATGTAAATGAGAAAATACTGTCACCACCCCTATAAATTCAAATATCGCCATGTGTTTTTTTTCCCCAGGTCCTTAAAATGATCATTACTCCTTTGTATTCCTTCTGGACCAGGAATTCTGGTGCCTGATACATGTTTTGACCATGTAATATTCTAATTAGCATATTTGTATGATAGATAAGTGATTACAAGTACAACTAGTGTCCCACGGGCAGTGTTGCATGGTGACATTTGAATTTTTAGGAGTGGTGACAGTATTTTCTCATTTACAGAGTGATAAAGAGAGATATCCAAAGTCCCCTCCTTCCCCCTTCTGACTTTAGTATGTCAACAAAATAAAACAAGAATTTTGAAAGGGGCTTGATCCATTGTTCAGGTTTCGGTTCTGGAAATGTATGCAAATTAGTGCATATTTAATTAGATATTACCTCATTTACATATTCATACATAACATTTGACAAAACTTGTAATACAAAAAATATTTGTCTTAATGTAAGTTATAAACTTGGGAAGTTTCATGGTGATATCTGTTTGTTAAAAATTTTACCCTATTTACTTGGGGTGTCTCCCCGGGCTTCCTACCTGTCATGGACACCATCTTGAAATGCCTGTATTGGTTCATGGTTGAATGAATATTAGCTCTGTGTCTGTGTGTACCTTGCTGTCTTGTGGGGTCCATTCCACTTGGTAACATAGGCTGGCTACCTGGGACTCCTCCAAGTCCCTGTACAGCATATAAGATCCATCATCACTTTTACACGATGGTAATCACAGTTCTGGGTGCTGCCTGCAGGTGTCAGTGTAGTTCTTACCTGATTGGGTAATCTGAGTGGGGGTCTGGGTCCTCCTGGGTACCGAGGTGACATAAATGGCTAAAAAAAAGAAGGATGAATCACGCTGAGCAGAGAGGACCTTTGAAATGCATGAAAACTACTCATTTGGCTGAGAGACCATGTTAAGACTTTGATTCAAACAAAAAACACATCAGACAGGAGGGTTAGGGGAAAACAGTGTTCAAATAGACATCATATAAAGTGAGATAAATAAAAATCATGACATCAAACCAATATGCAGAATATGCTGCTATTGTTTCCCATACTGGGTAACAGACAAACCCCTCTTTAGTGTCACCCTCCACAGAAATTGTCCTGTAACAACCAGAGTATATAGAGCTCTGTGGTTTGTTTTTCACACTTTCCAAAGCAGGAAACCAAACAGAACAACTATTTTGTGTTAAGTTTCCTTTATTCCAGCGAAGTCAGGAAGCAGACCACGTTTTTATTGCAGAGGAGTGATAGAAAAACAATGAAGAGAAGAAGAAATGAGCTCTGTCAATGATGATGTCAGCGTACGTGTTAACTGGGTGAAGTTTGGCACTGTGTGTGTGAGAAGCTCTTTTGCAGCTGTGAGTGGGCTTTCACTTGTCCTCACCACAGACGGTAGCAGTGCTGCCGCTGCTGCTGAACTGACGCCACTGTGGTCAGGGGGGAAAAAACAATCCGCAGCTTTTAAGAAGCAGCACAATAAGTCACCACTAGGGAGCAATGGTATGCTTGTTTTGATCAGGGACTTTTCTTTAATTACTCCTCCTCTTTTCTCTCAGCTGCTTGAAGATCCATCAAAGGAAAACATCTGCAGTACTTAAAATCTATTCAAGTACTATAATGATTCAAAGCATTGTTCTCATTCATGCATGAACAGAAAAGGGTGCAAACAATTTAACACAGCGCGTTCCTTAAAGAATAGATTGAAAGCATGAATGAATTCCTTGTTTTCAAAGCTCGAAGTGGATCTTGTTTTTATATATCACATCATGTGCATTCTGTTTCATTCTCCGATCGAGTGAGTGTGCATGTCAATTTGTTGAACCTGAATGAAGACAGTGCATCTGGTAGTTGTTAGATTTCTTTAGCAGATAAGCCTCGACAAGAACGTCAAGGAACAAATTATCTTCAGAAGGAGATAGAAAAGCCCGTCCAGACGAGGAGTTTTTTGAAAGCAGAGCTGAGAAATGTCTATGAAAGCTATTGATCTGTGTGTCAGATGCAGGCATCAGAGTTTGACTGATAATGACGGGTAATCGATAAACAACCGGCAGGGTCCTTCTGATGGAGAACAGGGATGATCTGGGGGAGAGGTGCGTGTGTGGCTTTCTAACATTCAGCATAAGATGATGAAACAAATAAGAGCTACTGTAGAGTTAGCCAATGGTTAGGTGAGATGAATCCTTTAAAGCAGTGGTTCTCAAGTCCAGTCCTCGAGGCCCACTGTCCTGTATGTTCTGGATGTTTCCCTGCTCCAACACACCTGATTCAAATGATCAGCTCGTTATTACAGCGCTTGATAACGAGCTGATCATTTGAATCAGGTGTGTTGGAGCAGGGAAACAGGACTGGACTTGAGAACCACTGCTCTATAGAATCTAAAAACCCACTTTTATTCCTTGGCTTCTGACCCAGCATGAGATCTGTTTTATTGTTCTTTTATTGCTTTTTATTATATTTTAAAACAACTATTATTGTTGTTTTATGTTTTATGTTATTATGTACAGTACTTTGTATCAGCTTTGGTTGTATTTAAAGTGCTCTATAAATAAAGTTGAGTTGAGGAAAGCTAACTGCCTGGTTACTGACCTGCTATACAAACAAGATGACACTGAGAATGATTTAAATTTGATGTTTTAAACAATGTCCCTCAGTTTCAGCAACAGTATTCTTGTCAGCTAACTTATTAGTTGAGTTAACACCAAAAGTATCAGTTTGTAGAGTCAAAAAATGATCAAGTTTTACTGTTCAAATGCGCCTGATCAGGTTGCCTCTAGCCTCCTCTTTGCTATTCATAATTAAAAACCATCTGTGAGGTTTTGACCAATCAGAATCAAGTATTCAACACAGCTGGGTAATAACCACTAGCACTACTTCATTAATTACGCCTTATTTTGAGTCTCTGTGCGTAAGTGGCCCTTAAAACTCAAAGAAATAATCTCTCTATCCTTGCTCACACTGTGTGTGTTTGTGTGTGTGCGCTCATGTTTGTGTGTGTGTACCTGAAAGAATCCTGGAGGAACTGGTCCCACTGGCATGCCCTCTCCTGGGGGAAGGTTCCCAAGGACAGGACTGGGGGCTGCTGCAGCACTCTAATGGATGTAAACACACATACACACATGCATGTAGTACAGTGTAATGAGAGGTGTAGGTCAAAATCACGACACAGAGCAGCTCTCTGGTTCTTGTCTAACGCAATAGCGGCAGAATCGAACCAGAGGAAGTATAGTCAAATACTGCACAGAGGTAACATTGTGTTTTTTTCCCCCATTTTAAACAGTTTTTATTATTTATTTATTGTTCTATCTTTTGAGACCGGAGGGGGTAAAATCTACTTAACAGCTTAGTAAGTTGAAATATTAACTTTTGCAACGTATTCTGCTATTTTTATCAAAAGTGCTAGTCAACATTTTTGCTTCAGCACCTCTTCTCATATCATATAAACAAAGACAAAAATTAGCAGCAGCAGTATCTTCCCTCATTTCTCACTTGCTGTCTATCTCCCTACGTGGTATTTCCTGTTCCTGCAGATGCCCTGCCATGCTGGCCCTGGTTTATTTTTATACCTTGTGTTTTTGTTGTGCTTTCCCCAGACAGGCGGAGCTGGCACATTTCAGCACAGCCTTTGTCTGCTTCCTGTGGCATTGTACTACTAACTAACCCGAGGCTACCACCCAGCCCCGGCCTCTTCCTCATCCTCATTAGAGCAGACAACTGGCAGTGTGGGAGAGTGTACATCCATATATATGATAATCTGTGAGCATATAAAGCCAGCACGCCTCTGTCTGTGGATTGTTTTTTTTTTCAGCTTCTGCCCACTCTGTTCTATTTCTCTGATCTCCCCTCTTGCTCTCCCTCTCCCTCTCTGAAGGCATTGGCTGGGCGTAAAGAGCTCCAGTGAAATTCACCCACAGTCTCTGAAGTTTCCGCCAGCTGACTTTTTAGGTCAGACAGGAACAAGGTTTAATCAGAGCTGAGATAAAAGCAGGCTGACGACACTTCTGCATCCTCCTCTTCTCCACCAGCTATTCCCTCAGCCTTCCCTGCTCTCCTTCATGTCTCCAAACTGTTCATGTTCTGCTGCTGCTGCTGGGAACAGGACGCTCTGCAGCTTTTTAAATCCATATTCTGCTGCAAACAGAGCCTGTTTCTGTCTCTGCAGACAAATGTACAGATGGACACAGATGGATATTGTATCTCCCTGGTTCAGTGGCGAGAGACTGGATTTTCTTTGTTTGTTTGTGTGAGTTTGTTTCAGTGTACAACATCATGCACAGCATCAAGTGTGTGTTGTAGTTTTGCACGTTTGTTTTTCTTTTCTTTTCCTCTGCCGTCTCGCACCCTGGATTACCCAAAATGCCTTCACTCTCTGGCAGCCTGGAGGTCTGCTGAGTTTGCCTTCACGCTCCGAGAACGAGTGGGGGAGAGGGAAAGTGGGGAAAAGAGGACAAAGCAGAGATTATGAGTGTGCACATGAGAATGTGTGCGTGCGTGTGTGTGTGTGCACTTTTTATTTGTTTGAGAAGGAAAAGTAGAACTGGGGGAGGAACTAAAGTCTACCTGACCTGCTGACAAAGCAGCGTTCTCCAAACACAGAGCAAAACAAAGCAACCTGAAAAACCTGCAGCCCCACCGCTCATCTATGGAGAACAACAACATTCAATTCTCTGGTCTTTAATTTTTACAATTCAGAGTTAATCACACTGAGAAGGATTCACAAACCCTCCTGAGACGAGGACCTGTAAAACTTTTGTCCCAGTCTGTTTGAAATTCCTGCTGCAGGAGATCAAATCTATCACCTGAAGTTCTTGAGAGCAACTACTGGCCCCATCAGGTTAACAAAAATCTGCCCTGGGATATTCAATCAAAAAAAAAAATATATATATATATCAGAATATTTTGGTAAGATGTCACACTACTGTTTGAGATTTTTTTTTTAGCTTATTCCTTGTGACTCATAATTTGCTGACAGACAATATGCATCATTATTTGTGAACATTTTATGTGAATACTGGCGTTTCTTTAGCTGCCTGTCTGACACCGACCCTCTCGCACTATAATCATTGTTCCCCATCTGTGGAACAGCCTCCCTGCAGACCCGAGAGCGACACCTACTGTTCATATTTCTAAAAGTAAACTAAAGACCTACCTTTTTAGTCTGGCTTTTAGTTGAATTTTGTTTAAACCTTTTAATCTGCATTACGTGATTTTACCCTATCTTAGTCCTAGGATAACTATTTTGTGTTTCATCACCTCTCTTTTAATTAACTTTCTTTTATTGATTTTAAGTCTTGAATTTAAGACTGTTTTATTGAATTAACTTTAAACGTTTTATCACCTTTATTACATTTTATCATGGTTTTATTGTTTTAGTCCTAGATCCAGTGTTTCCTTATCATTTTTAACTCATAGTAGTGTTTCCTCAGTCAGCAAGTTCAAGACGCCTCACATTGTCTTCTGAGTGTGCATCTGTGTGTGTGAGCATGTGAGTGCTGTATGTGTTGAATGGGGTGGGCAGGGTGGGTGGGGTTTGGTATTTGTATTTTATTTATTTTACTTCATTGTTTTTTAATATCTTTGTGCTTTTGTGCACTTTGTGCTACATTCCATGTATGAAAAGTGCTTTAAAAACAAAGTTTGATTGATTGATAAAAATTATTGAAAATTGTGGATTTGAAAACTGATGGCCGAAGCTGCTTTTACACACTACAAAAAAAGGGAACCAATATGAACTCCAGTGTATTTTATTAACATAATAACTCTTTAAAGTAGCTTTAATGTAAAATGAAACAATTATATGTTTTTTAACACCTGTGTTACAGTATTGGTAGCGTTCCTAAAAAGCAAAGTATCTGTGGAGAAATACTTAAACCCTCCTGTGGTGGATTAAACTCTTTAGATAAAAACCTGTTTTTTAAAGCCCCTGTGAGTAACTTTTGATCTCTGTTTGCTGATCTTCATGGTTTACATTTAACATGTGCCAATTTCAGTGAATATTTAAGGTTGAAAGTGTAAGAAAAGGTCAAACCATATCAGGAGCGCTGATTTGACACCTCCCCCCAGGCAGTGGTTAAAAAGCATTAAAATGACTTATTAGAAACGATCAGTCTCTTCCCTGATGGTCTTGTTTGATATTGCTGGTCATAAAGAGAAATAAGCGTTATTTCAGCCTCTCTCATAACCATCTTCAAACTCCACAGAGCGGCATTAACTGTATTAAAATAATGAGCAAAGAATCAATTAATTCAGTTCAATTAGATTGATTACTTTGATAACAAGATGAGCGCTCATAGCTGGCTACCAGTCGATAAAACACATGGCTTCCTTTTTACTTAAAAGGGGCTGGTATCTGAATTATGCAAAGTTATAGATAATTATTGAGCACCCATTTGAAATTACTCTATTAAATGCTGACAAAGTTTAAATGAAACATACTGGTGTGTGAAGACCTTCAATGCACTAATCCAATCAAACTGTACGCAGTCCCTCATGGCGTGTTGATAACTGTAATGACAGTGAGATTGCACAGCTTCACCTCTCCTAATGTGAGCACATCAACACAAAGCAATTAGCTCAACAGCGTAGTGACCAACAGATTAGCGTTTGTCCCTCTTACACTTGTGTAAATGACTCTGAATTAGACTCTGTGATTCACTGCCAAGCTCGACATATTCCAGCACTTAACCTTTGTGGACATCAAATAAACAACAGTTGTTACACACTGTTAATGAGGCCATCATTTACACACATCACACATCGGTGTTTACACTTTTCTGACTAGGCCCAGTGAGAGGAACAATGAGACACTGAGACACTGTATGCCCTGCTGTGTGCATCTGTCAACAGTGCCTATTCATTTATTTGTTATAAACCTTTGAACACTTTCAAGTGACATTTGACTCATTGTCACAGGATTCATGTGAAAACATATCAGGCTGTTTCCTTCATGAGAGCCTGACTTGTCTGTTTTTAAGTTTTGCTCTGTTACTCTTCATCATCTATCTTCTCTCTATCTCTTCTATCTGTGAGGAGCGGAAAGACTTGATTACCTTTGATTTCATGGGTCATCACATGTTAGCACTCTCTATGTTTCTGTGTGCATAACAAGCAGAACATTTTCAAAGACTGTGGAGCTGTAACCAGAAAGTGTTTGTGATGAAACCCGAGGCTGAGGAACGGCCCCCTCATGTCCTCAGATGAACACCTACGTCTCCTGGCCCACTCATTTGTTGCATAAATTATTCAAACCTACAGCCTCCAGCAGGGTGGTACAGTACACCAGACATACACAGTATGTCAGGTAATACAGCGCACAACAACACCAACGAAGTGTTTGATGTCCAGATAACCAAGTGTAGAGTGTGGATTCAAACCATTCAAAGCGATGCATGTGTAGTGATTTGAATTTGTGGTAACACTTTACTTGACACATATCTCTATAATGCATTATAAATATATGTAAAACGCGTTATAATAACATTAAAGCACTGTATAACTATAGTTATAAACACTCATAAATGATCATAACGCTTTATGGCAATAATCATAACACATTATAAAGCATTTTATCACGACTTACAAGGTCAGGTATTATAATGTACCTCTTTGTCGTCTTCTACTCTTCTCATTTTTTCCGCCCTGTCTCTTAGTTGTCTAGTTCTATGTCACATCTTAGAACTAGACAACTAAGAGATTAATTGTGCGTGCCAGTTACCTCAGAAGTCAGATGTTGGGGCTGTGAATGATGTTGACGGTGTTCCAGTGAACAAGTTGAAAAACCAAGATGGATGCCTACTGTTAGCTGTTGTTTACAATTGTCAGCTGTTGTTAGCCATTGTCAGTTGTTGTTAGTGGTTGTTAGTTAGCTATACCAGTTGTAAACAAAGCATAACACAGTATTTTTTACTCTTACAAACACCATAGACCTGTTAATTCTTTACTGTTGATGCACTGCGCTGCCATCCAGGATTATGATGTTGTCGTCAAATCGGGGTTGATGAGGATTGTCTGACTTTCCCAGTCAGAAATCTGACTTCTGACATTCCAGCTGAATTTTCAACTCTGAGCTTGGAAATTCCGACTTCCGAATACAAATGGAATGTAGCATTAGTTGTCAGTGTGAAATCTTGGCTTATGGACCATGTAGAAAAACAGGACACGTCTCATTTCATGATAAGACAGATTAGTCCATTGTCGAATGCATCAGATGTCATTAACAGATGTATTTGTATTCTTTCACCAAAAGAATAGAGTTTTTATCAGTACGTGGTTGAGCAGGGTTTTATGACAGAGGTCTGGAGGTCAGCGTCCTGCTCCTCAGACCTTTCATTGGGCTCTCTGTGTTCACACTCTTAATACAGTAAATCTCAAATGGGAGACCTGGGTTGAGACTGGAATGATTGTTTAGATGGTCACTGATGGAGTCATTTCTAAAGGTAATAAACCCTGCCTTTGTTCTTCAAATTGACCAACTGAGAAGAGACAAAGGTTTCAGTGGCTCTCTGGTTGGGTCAGTTGTGTAACCTGAAAGTCCAAACAAGTCCGGAAAGATTTATATGATCTTGTGTCCTGGGACCAGATAAGGAACTTTTCCAGCGAGGAGGACTGTGTGAGTTTTACACACAGGGTTACAGGATTGTCTTGATACTACACAAGTTACTCACATTTGAGCGTGCTGTTATCAGATTTTTAGCTGCTCTTTTTTGAACCATCCTGGACAAAACTAAAAGACAGCACAGAAAGCAGATTCCAAACATTTCAAGTAAAGTGATCCAAACATCTTGTTTTTCTTGTAGACAAGGACAAGAAACACTGAGCTGTTTCAATTACGCCACATTTTTTTTCTACTTTATGACCTAATCAGACTCTCTCCTTACTACATTCACAGTACACTAATCCCATCAGACTAAAAGGCTTAATGAGATAACTTTCAAACTCTTTCATCCCTACATGTTTACCCATTGTGTTCCTCATTAATAAGTGTGCTTAATGCATGCATGCGTTGTGTGTGTGTTTGTGAAGGTGGGGAGAGTCATTTTCATTCAATACTTCAGAGACTGAGAGACACTCAGAGATTCGTGAGTGGAATCTCAAAAGGCTGTCCGTCTGTCTCTCCCTCTGTCTCGCTGTACCTGCATCTCTGTCTGCTTCCTCCACCTCTCTGTCTCTCACAGACACACTCTGCTTTTCACACGGATCGGCTCATTTTGGGGGGAACTGATATACCAGCTGGTAGCGACATATATGATTCAAGCACACATTAGGAAGCAGACTGAAAAGCCAGGTCTGCTGATGGTTGTTATTTTTGTAGATTTTACCAAAGTACTTTAAGTACTGGATACTTAATTTAGGAGTCGATGAGTTCTGCATAAATAAGCACAAACAAACTCCTTGTGATACTGGTTACTAGGCATTTGTGAGCTAGCACCTAAAACCAAGAAATAATGTGCTGTTTTAGTGGGGCTCATGAGAATTCAAACACACTGCTGTTAAAAGAAATAACTTAGCCTTTATTACCCGTTGAAAAAAAGGGTAACACTTTATTTGACGCCTATCTGTATAACCCATTATAAATATATGTATAATGCATTATAATCATGTAATAGCGCTGTATAACTATAGTTATAAACACTCATAAATGATCATAATGCTTTATAGCAATAATCATAACACATTATAAAGCATTTTATCATGACTCACAAGGTCAGGTATTATAATGTGTTATGCTTATTGTTATAAAGCCTTATGATAATTAATGAGTGTTTATAATGATAGTTATACAAGTTTATGAGCAAATTATAACACATCATAAATATCTGTATAATGCATTATCTATGTGGGCATTGTCAGTGAGTTGTTAACAGTTATAACACATTATAATACCTGAACTTGTAAGTCATGATAAAATGCTTTATAATGTGTTATGATTATTGCTATAAAGCATTATGATCCTTTATGAGTGTTTATAACTATAGTTATACAGTGCTATAACGTGATTATAATGCATTTTACTTATATTTATAATGCGTTATACAGATAGGTGTCAAATTAAGTGTTACCAAAAAAACAAATGTAAACAATCTTTAGGGAATTGAATGGAGAAAGGCTAAGAGTTCACTTTAGATTGGTGACCACACATATAATAGCATGAGCTTTAACTATAGGGAGACTTGATGAGTTACAGTTTTGACTGTACCTTTGTTTATGATTATAAAAGAGCTGCAGCCTCAGGTGCATTTAGAGGCTGTAACTTGAGGTTGAAGGCTAAAGTCAGGTTAGGCAAAAGGACAAGAGGGCTTTTTGTTGTGGTTTCAAGAGACAGTTGATTTTTTAAAGAAGCAAATCAGCTAAGACAAAAAAAATTTGACCGAGAAAACTGATTTCAAGTCTCATGTTAAGTCAAAAGTAATACAATAATTACTCTTTTCAACTTTTTTTTTGCTTTGCTTTGATAAATGCACCAAATTCTGGAAATAGTTTGACTAACTGAGACAACAAAGACTTAATTCTCTATTACAATGTCACATTATCATTTAGCAGATGCTCTTGTCCAGAGGGATGTAAATCTGAGAGTAAGTACAGCACAAGCAAAGATCTAGACAGGAAGGAAACAACACGTGTAAGCAACGCTAACTGCTTCCAATCACACACAGGTGCTGCCAAACTAGCAGAGGAATAACACAGAGTATATAAGACAGTATTCTTCAATTAAACTTTGAATAATCATTTACATTATCATCCCCACAGCAACAAAATAATCATTCACAATCGTCACACTTCACCTCTGCCATCAAATTCCTTTCTTTTGGTTGGGGGGGCAGCGGTGGGGTGTGTGTGTGTTACCACTGAGTCTCAAGGCCACACGCTATAAAGCAGGATCTACAAAATGACAAACCACACAGGAAGGAACTCTGTCCCTCCTCCTCTTTCCCGCTCCATCCATCCTCTCACATGCTATTAGTCCACTTCCTGAACAAGGGAGGGAGAAAATGGAAACAAAAGATGCTACCAAATGCAAACACACACATACACACACACACACACATAAAGAGTCACAGACTCTTTCACAAACACTGAGAGTGGAATAAATGAAACACAATATTAAGATTGATTTCTGCAAAGGTAGGTGCAAACACAAAAACTAACTTTGAAGCCTGTTAGTCACCATTCCAAGTGTAATATCTATCTTATTTGTTTTCATAGAAAACACGACCAGAAAATGTTGGAGTGAAAAAGACAGGGATGGAGAGAGAAGAGGAAGAAGTGTGTTTAGCAGCGCAGAAACAAGAATGGGCGTCCTCTGCTTTTTAGCCATATATTATTCACAGTCTCCTGTGGCGACCAGAGACAGATCAACACGCTCCACTGTCCAATACAGAGCCAAACTCGCTTTTCATTTGAAAGTAGATAGGATTAAAAACCTCCTCTGGCAGTCAAAACTGCTTTTTTAAACCAGTAGACACCGTATATATCACACCGATACAACACAGCAGCAAGTGTGAAAAAGTTCTCTTTGTGCACGTCATCCTACATCTCCTCTGGTAACTGGATAACCCTCCTGTTTAAGTCATGAGTTTACACATGTATCAGTCTGTCAGCAGCATGAAAACATCATACAGGCTAAAATCTCTTTCGTTGAAAATTCTATCCAAATCTGTCTTTTTCTACAGCCCTCAATTGATTTTAGGTGATTTTTAGAGTGTATCCACTAAAGATATTTGACCTGTTTCCATCAAATGTCATTAAAAAAGTCAAGTTTAAAAGAGCCTATGATCTGTTATAAATATAAAGTGTTTTCATTACCTTCATGTTTAGAGCAACATTACAGGTGATAACCAGATGAAGTGGCAGCACTATGCCGATCCCCTTGGTCTCACCGGTGATTACAGGTCAAGTGATATCGGCTGCACTGGAGCTGACAGTGAGGGGGCATGTTTCCTTTATCAGTGCTGTCATTATCGACCCCTGTAAACATCTCAGAGGCAGCACAGAGCTGCTGTATAAGATGTGAGGTGGAGCAGCGGGTTGATCCACTGTCAGATACACATATACAGCTGAAAATGATAGTCACTTTGGTGCTGGAGACAGACATTCTTCCAACACTATCTCAACGCGTTTAACGACACAGAGAGTGATAAGAAAGACGGACTGAACTTCGAGGAGAGGAAACAACAGTTAGACACAGACAAAGTTTTGAAAGTAGCAGCCGGACATGAAGAATTGAGTACATTTCAGTCAGTGTTTATGACCCCCTTTGATGAAAAGGCTTAAAAACTTTAGATTGTTGGTTAATAACTGACCAGCAAAACAGCAGCTAAGAAAGAAGACAAGGAAAGGAGATATCAGGGCCCTTAAACTAGCAAGGGATGATAAAAAGCAGAAGGAGCTGAGTGAAAAAGACTGACCACACTGAAGAAAGCAGACATGAAGTCATGAAAACTGAAACACAGTATGGGTTTCAGCAATGTGACAGGACGGGATAATGAGATAAAAATACCAACAGAAGCTTAAAGTGTTTTTATTTTTACAGTGCAGGAGGCAAATGTTAAGACTGAGACATGAATGGACATGTCCATTTTTTTAATGAATTTACAGACATGTGTTGATTATTTAGACTACATGTAAATAGTGTTTGACTAATCAGGCTGACTCATTCTGCTAATGACAACATTTCAGTCGTTTGTATGTGGAGCAGGTGGATGGAAAAGTTGACTAGAATCACTAAAGTGGCACATTTTTTTTTTTTTTTTGTTATATAGACTCCTCACTGAAAACCCCAGACGGACTAAGAGGTCACTCATCCTGGACTGCTAATGCTAAAAAGCAACAGTGAAAAAACCACAGGGGGGTTAGTTTGGGTCATGAGATAACATACCGGTCTTATCCTGCTGTCAGCATTCTTGTTTTGCCCTACTGGTCTGCTTCTGTAGTCCTGCGTCTGCTTAATCTCTGGATCATTCCCCATAATCCCTTTCATATATACAGCTTGTGAGGTTGCTGTTGTGTGTACACTTCGAAGTAATCTAATATGCCAACCTACGTCTCTTGTGAGTAACTGTTTTAAAAAATACAAACTGGATCTGGTGTTAAACAAAGTGAAGTATTACTGAAGTTTGCTGGATGACAGGTCTGAAAGAGTGTAACTTTAGTCAAACTAAAAACAACTCTTCATTCTCTTTTCTTTTGCTCTCTATTGCTCTCATTGTCCTCCTCTGCCCTCTGTTAACTCCTTTTTCCTCCACTACAAGCTCCCCTTTCCTCGCTACATATGTCAGCATCACATTAACGATCCATGTCCACATGTCCAAACAAGCATGTGACATGACTCAGCGTAACACGCCGGTGGAAAAACATACTCCTCAGAGAGCAGAGGTCTGCATGCAACAGGCAAGCCAAGTAGGAAGGAAGATAAGAGACAAAGAGGAAGGAAGATAGGGAACAGCGGCAGAGAAAGGGGGGATGAAAAAGAGTGCATAATGCTGATGTGAAAGACAGATGTTGAAGAGGTGTGAGGAGTGAGAGAGGCAGGCAGGAGAGGAAAAATGAGAGGAACAGTTGGTGGTTCTTGCGCTCCCTTGAAAAAATGTTCAACATTGCTGCAGATCGTGACAACTATCTCTGCTCAACCTTTGGAAATTCCCGTTCTTTTTCTCCCTCCACACTCCGCTCGTTCTTCATTGCCATGGCAATGATGTTACAGTGAGTCACCTCCACATCGCCCTCCTCCTCAACACCACCAGGAAAGAACACAGGAGTGTTTGAGAGAAAGAGAAAGTCGGACAAACATGTATAGATAGATAAACAGATAAATAGATAGAGTGAGAGAGAAAGGATGAGACAAAATAGACTGAGAGAAAGAGAGAGGGAGAGAGAGAGAGAGAGAGAGAGAGTGAGAGAGGGAGGAGGGAATGAGAGCAAGAAGGAGAGAGGAGAGAGAGAGAGAAACAGACAGACAGAGAGCAGAGAAAGGGCTCTGTTTCCCTGGAAACAGATGGGGGTCTCCCCAGCCCCCATTGGTTCTCAACTGAATGAGTTTGTTACCCATAATGCTTAGAGCCATCTGAGTCTGTTTCTAGGTTGACTCTGTCCTCTGTTTTCCCCTGTCTCTTCATATGCAGGCGCACAAACACACTCACAACAACAAACACATTCATACTTGGTATTTTATGTAAATACCAAGTATGAATCATCAGTCAAAAACACGGCCTTACCTTGTTTAGGATTTCTCTTCTGACTGACTGAATTAGCAGCTGCTTCTCTAAGCAGTTGTCTGTTAAATCACAGTAATGTTGAGGAAGAAAGCCCGCAAAGATAAGGGGAGAAAACAGGCTTGAAAACACAGCCAGTTCATAAGTACTTCCAGGAGGTGAATTATCATAAAGAGGTGGACTACAGCTGGGGGTAATTGCAACAACATGCTGTGAAACATGGGAGATTGTTTTAACCCAGACTAAAGTTGAGAAAGTTTCAAATCTGAAGTGATGGAAAAAATAAGAGAGTCCCACGGTAAATAACACAGCATCAGGATGGCTGAATTATTGATATTGAGTAATATTGATTTTATTTGGTCTGGACTGAAAAAACATACAACGGAATATTAGAGCCACAATAAGAAAAGGAAAAAGAAGACTTCGAGATTAAAGTTGTTAATTTACGAGAAAAACGTCGTAATAAAGTAATTACTTTCGAAAATACAGTCATAATAAAATCATTATGATACTTATGATAATGTGGTGCTGATGTGCCAAATCTGCTTGTTTTAGAAACCTATAATGAAGTATATTTTCATGAAATGCTCAATGGCTCTTATTTCAACAACTGTCATCTAAAACAACAAGTTAGAATATAAGGACTTTATTCTGACTTTAACCTTGATAGTGATTATTTTACTACGACTTTATTCTCGTAACTAATGATTTTATTGCAACTTTATTCTCTTAACTTTTTACGTTATTACGACTTCATTCTTGTAACTAATGACTTTATTATGACTTTATTCTCGTAACTAATGATTTTATTACGACTTTATTCTCGTAACTAATTACTTTATTATGACTTTATCCTTGTAAGTAATAATTTTATTACAACTTTATTTTCGTAACTGATGATTTTATTACAACTTTATTCTCGCTAGTAAATGACTTAAATCTTTAAGTCTTAAATTTGTCTTTTCTCAATGTGGCCCTAATACTCCGTCGTAAAAAAGTGATTCAAAGCAGTGATTTGTTGTTTGTGTGACTGATTCAAATTAAACCTCAATGGTTATAATTTTCAAAGTGACATTTTCTATTGCAAGTTTCACAAAGTTCCGATTTTTTTTGTGGCATTTGAAATTTAAAAAACAAATAAAGAGTGGAGACTGTTTTTTTCACGAGTCGCTTTTGCAAAGGAGACAGTATAAACCGGTAAATATGTTCATGGCTGAGTGTGTTAGTGTCCTTCTGCCTGGTGTGACAACAAACATTTATACTGTACAAAACATGTTTCTTCTTGCAGACAGAAGCTATTTACAGTGAAACCCGAGGGCATCTTCCCATCCCTCACAGAGAGCGCAGCACAGTACGTGCACACTTGTCTTTTTCAAGGATCAGATCCAGACTGTGCTTTTATTGGCAGTATTACAGTATATACACATTAAAGTCATTTTACAGTTATTTTCATAGCCTTTAATGCTCTGACAGAGAAGTAGAAATGACAGCCAAGACCAAGTGCTACATTAAAACACTGAGAGTGCTTCAGGATGTAAATGAATAAAGCAGCCCTGTGTGTCATTACGTATTTACAAATATGTGTATCCTTTAGCCGTACAATTGAGACAGAATGTGTGCGCTGGCTGTTAAATTGAGCGGTGTGAATTCATTTCCATGCATGAGTGAGGGAGGTTGAATGTAAGATCTAGCAGCTTGAGACGGAGGGTTTTTATCTAAGAGGGTTGCTCTTGGCTCTGCCTCTTGATCTCTGTTTCCCCTCTAACTGCTGTGAGCTTGCTATCTCCCACAGTGATGCCACACAATGATACCAGGCCGGCCTCGCTTAAAAGACTTGCCTCTGACACTTCTTTCTATCTGTCTCTCTATCTGTCGCACATTGTGCCTACTGCTCACTGTCGACTTCATCCATCTGTTATTCAGCCTTGCACAGGCCGCCACAGGGGGTGTAATGACACATGTTTTTAGGGTAATTTGACCAATTAACAAATTTTGACTTATTTGTAAAACCTTGCAGAAATTCACACCTCCTGAGGTTTTCCTGGTCATTAGAGCATTAAGGGATTCAAACAGGAAAGTAAACAGCTTTTAACACAACTACTCAACTTTGTAGCATTTGCTCCTCTATGCCAAAAAAGAAAAACATGTCAGCTTGTACCTCTTATCTCTTTATTTGCTCTTACTCATGCATGAGTAATGTTTCATGACAAAAATCTTATTGTGCTCTTATAACAGTCAGACATATCACCCGTTTGAATACGCAACAATAGCTCAGTGTTTGCAGTATATATTGATAGTATTTTGCTTCTTCAGTCGCTACTTTTAAGTCAATTTTAAAAACTCACTTTTACAGATTTGCTTTTATGTAACGCTCTTTTTTCTTTTATCTCTAGCTTATTTCGGATTTACTGTCTTTTTAGTTTTTGTTACACTTGTAATCTTTTCTTAAATAACCTTTTAGGCTTTTTTTATTGCTTTATCTATTGCTCATTTCTGATTTTCTATTATATCATTACTATTATTATCATCATTACTTTATTATCATTATTTATATCTTCTTTTTGTTTTTGCTATCCTGTTTTCTGCTTTCAACCCCCTTTTATATTGTACTTTCTTTTTCCTACTAATTTTATGATCTTAGCTTTTATTTTGGTCCTCATGATCTCAATTTATGTAGTTGGTTCTTGGTTCTTGTATTGTCTGGTTTCCCTATGACATATGAAAATGGCCTTCAATTCTGAGACCTTGATTTGAACTGGGATTTTTGTTTTTAAGTCCTTGTGCTAAAGCTCTTTTGTCAAAGCACTTTGTAAACCTCTGTTTTTAAAAGTGCTACATAAATGAAATTATCATAATTATTATTATGACAACTGACGCCTACTCTGCAGCAATGTTTACAGGCATTAGTAATAACTATTAAACAATAATCAAAGTTTATGCTGATGGTCTGCTTTACTTTTGTAGTTCATAAAACAGCACCAGTGTTAATTTCAGCATCTTTCATCACCAATTAAAAACTCTTTACAAAAACTGAGGTTATTTGTTCATTAAATTTGGTCTTAAACTGTATGTTGGAGTCCTGGTTTCAGGGAAACTCTGTGTCCACTTGAGGAGTCATCATCCATTCACATTAGGAACCTTTTCCTTAGATTTCACAGATTTCAGGCACCTAGTTAAGAGGGGTACCAAGGAAGACTCTTGGTTTCACAGAGAGCTACAAAATTTCTGTTTGAACAAAGTATTTATTGGACTTAATAAATTCCAATTTTCTCTTTTTTTTTCTAGAAAAAGGATCAGGACTAAAAAATGAAGAGAAAAGGTTAGTCTAACTGGGTTTTGATTCTTCCATTTTCTTTTATTTTTCCATTTTCTGATCTTGATATGTTCTTTTGGGCTTTCCTTTATTGAAATTATTCCAAAATCCACAAAAATAAAGAGCTGAAAGCAAATAGTGTGATCCTACATGATCAGCTAAAGTTAAAAAATTACAGGAGTCTAAGCTAATAGCATATTCTCACTCAGTGAAACACTTCACAGAGATCATTCATGGTTCATTGAGAGGAACCAGTTTTTTTAACCACTCACTGGCTTCAGTTAAAAAGCATATTCTTATCCTGAAGCTGCAAAAACAACCAGTAAGGCTGCTGGTCACTGATAATCTCATGAAATCAGGAGTGAGATATTGTTCACTTCATGTTTTTTTTTCCATTAGTTCTTCAGAAGTTCACCTCTTTTCTAAGTTGCCAGCCGTTTCAGTGCGAGTCAACATCTTTACCCTCTACACTGCTTCTCCTAGAGTCTCTAAAAACTGTGCATAGGTCATTTATAATTACTCTGTGAATGGCAAAGGTGACTGTGTTTTAATTAAATGAACCATTCCTCAGAGCAGCAAACATTTAAATGATCTAAATGCCATAATGTTGCAAATGAAATGCAGCATTTAAGCTCAGTATGTTTTCATCAGGTCTTACAAGCAATTTCATGCTGCTGCGATTCTTTCTTGTGTTCTCTATTAATTTGCTCCTATTTTGTGAAATATCACAGAAATTTGAGGGTTTTCTCTCCTTATACAACGCTTTAGTGCCATCTAATGTTTCTGGATGACGTGCTTCAAAACATAAAATTACTATCAATTCCTGCTCTGTCTCTATTTTTATGAAACAATGCAATTTAGCTGTGTTACTGTTTGTTTAGGATAATTTATGTGCTGTACTGAGATAGTAAAGTTATGTTACAGTTCTCAGCTTTTAAACCCACAACTCTACCAGGTAAAACAAAGACTGTATACAGAATGGACATCGTCTGCCTCCTCACTGGGTGAAGCCACTCCGAGAACAGCGCCCTCTGGTGACAGGCTGCAGTATAGGTTATAAATCCCGCCTCCGCTAGCCATCCTCATGGGGACAAACTTAGGAAATTTGTTCCACAGAATATAAATTTTTCTCCTCCCTGGTTGCGATGTTGACATGTAGTTACAGTAAGACTGGTTTGTGCTCAAGTCCTCTTTTTTCTGTACAGCTCCATTTTTAAAAGTTATTAGGGGGTTCATGTTTTCTATGATTGACACTTGATACAGCCTATGGGTGTACGAAGATTGCGTAGCTCACCCGGGGGATACGCTGTTTGAGCCGAGCGTCATCACAGCGACTCTTGGCCACTCTCCCACTGAATAACTACAATATTATTGCGCAATGTTGGTTTCAGGAAATGGAGAAAAATGCGAAATTACCAAGAGCTTTTCAGCTTCAAATCCGTAAACTGGCGGGAGGCGGAACCAAGTTGTCCATAGGATATACAGTCTACGCGTAAAACCAACAATAACCCATGTGGACTGGAATTTTGTTCCCTGTAGGAGGAAAAGCATCATCCAGTGACTTGAATCTCCGATAAAGCTGTTTCCTCGCCCAGTGTACGAACTCAAAAATAACTTGTTTTTATGACTTTATGGTCCCTCACAAATGGAAACCACTAATTTAGAGCAGAAAATACAATTTACAAAGCACTTAACAGAACTGTAAATGGCCTTTCTGGTGCATGAAAAATCTTGTCTGAGGATGGAAATCAATAGCATTACATCTCTTTTCTATTTGTTTGCCAGTCGTCTTTCTTACCACTTTACCATTAGAGTACTGACATAATGTCCTGGAAGGCACGTTCATATGAACAACTCCACACGTGAAAACAGACCATGCGAAGACACTGTTCCTTTAAATCAGTTTAACTCAAAGACAACTGTATCTACGGTAAGGGGGCTCTAACTGGGATAATAGCATAAATCAAGTCAAAAGCCTTGTCACAATCCTCACAATTATCAAAGGAAAAAGGGCCCAAAGACGATGTGAATGTGCCCCTACATCTCCCTGGCATTAATTAGGACTTAGCTCGGTAATTAGCTATCTGAAAATAATTACCATCGAAATGTCTGATTAAAATCTCCATCAATCTCAAAGTCAGGAGACTGAAAGGGAGACGCCGTTGTCAAATTAAGACGTGCTACGTTTTCCAAAGACAGCCTCTGCAGTCGTCTCTCCGTTTTTGTTTTAATTGAGCGGCAGATATGTAGGTAGTACCTCTGATTGGATCTGAGGAGCGACGCAGCATAGGAGCAGTTGATTGAAAGTGACCTTGGTCTAATTACAATTGGTCTAATTATAACTCTCTGATTACCACCCTGCAGGAAATGTTGGAATAAGTTGCTGGTGGTCCCTGCTATTGATGTTAAGATACATGCATGATCGGGTATGAAAAATAACGAGATACTGATGATGCATCGTTTTCACGGTTAGATGTGCATCAATTTTAAAGGGTCTGAAATTAATAAATCAATCAGAGGCAGAAATTTGAGTCTTTTCGATTGTTGACCAATTTTCTCTGTCCATCTATTTCATCCACACTCAGATGTCTGTTTTCCTCCTCCCCCTCTACTGTCCCCCCCTAGGCTGAGGTCGTGCTGCCCTCCAGCTCCCTTACTTGGAGCCAGGATGACATCATCACACAGCCGCCTCGTCCTTGGGAGCGCCTATTCATCACCCTGATCATCATCGCCAGCATCAGCAGCATCACCTGCGTATGCGCACACATTTACGCAAGCACATACACCCGTAGTGCGAGGAGATAAAAGAGGAGAGAGTCGCCACCGGTTCTGCAGGGTTGCAGGCCTGAAGGAAATGAGGGAGAACCACGAAGATAGAGAAAGTAAAAGAGAATGAGAAAGAGAGAGAAAGAGTGTCGGGGGGTGGTGGGGCAAACTTGCTGGGGTAGGCAGAAACCCCTGACCTGTGCTTCTCCGACAATACATCTCAATAAACCACAGAACAGACAAATCTGATGAGTCAGACTTGGGCTTCAGTGGAAAAACAACAACATAAAGAGGAGAGAAAAACCCATCCCTCCTCCTCCTCCTCTTCCTCCAACTCACAAGTTCCCATGAGGAGGGCTGTACCTCTTCTCTCTTAGTCACCACCTAATCCAAAACTTCTCTCTGGCACAGCTCACTGTATTCCTGTTACTGGATGGTGCATGACTGGATCAACCCGTGCCTCTGTGTGCGGGAATTACAGCGGTGAAGTGGAGCCACACTGAGAAAACACAGCAATAAACAATGTTTGCAGCACACGGGCTGCTGTCTGCCTGCCCAGTCTGCTCATCAGCATAATGTGCTCACAGTGCTTTATGAGAATATGTGTGTGTGTGTGTGTGTGTGTGTGTGTGTGTGTGTGTGTGTGTGTGTGTGTGTGTGTGTGTGTGTGTGTGTGTGTGTGTGCAGCATTTCGGAGCTGCAGGTTGAGCTCAAGTAGCAGGTAGTACAAACACTCCTCTGTTTGTGTTTTATATTTCTTGTTTGCAGACTCATCATCATCACTGCAAACATCAATTAGACACCATTTTAAATCAAGGTCTGTTTTTTTTTTTTTACAAGATCATTCCACTTTCAATTTAGAGTTGTTTCGCAGCAATAAAACCAAACAGGGTTCAGGTAAATGCTCTGAAAACTGTTTTAGAGTTCAAGTCCAGGACTCACACTTGAGTCTCAGGCTTGAGCTATAGGACACGGGCCTTTCTGAGTCAGAAGATGAAGGATGGATTGTTGTCAGTTTTGAGCAAGAGCTGGCACGTGTCCTCACCTGCATGTGCGATCATGTACTTTCATGTTGGCGCCAAGATTTGTGATTGTGGCTTTCAAAGACTTCACAGCGAATGCAAACGAAAGTGCAACATGTCTGGTCAATCTGTGAAAGAAGCATTAAAAGGACAAGCCCGAACTCTGACGTCTACCTGTCCATGTTGAACCCAGAAAAACAAGTGAGATGCTGAAGTGACTCGGGCCACTGGTAACGTGACTGTTTGCCTGTAAATGTTAGGCTTTTAAAGTGAGTCAAACACTGGATCCCAGGTGTCTGCTTTGTTAAATCTGATACTTTTTTGGTTTGTTTGACACCTGCAGAGATCCTCCTGCAGCAGAAATGATGAGAGTGGGTGTCTGTAAGGAGTGGTATGTGGCACATAAACACACTGCACTGTTGTTTTGTTGCTCATTTAAATCTCCAGTCTTACTGTAATGATAGTAAATGAAACATATTTTCTTCACACCATGAGGTCAGTTGAGACTCATCAAGTAAAGAGTTTGAATTGATAGACTGTTTATTCACATAATTCCCATAGACTGTATAAACTATGGACAACCTGGTTCCGCCTTCAACTGTAACACTGGTTCAGATAAAGGTTCAGATATTAACTTTAATATCAAATGTACTGTAATTGAGAAATAATACACATGCTCTTCTGTTAAACTACCAAGCATACCTATCAAATCTTTGAGGATGGAGCTACACATAGCTACATCAAACTGTAGATTAAGAGAGACAAGGGGGAGGGGAGATTGTACTGGATTATATTTCCTCTAACCTGATGTTATCTGATCAGCTTAATTATGTACCTTCATGTTTTGTGGTCCCATTTAATGTATGTTTTTTATTCATATCATGAGATGCTCTTGGGTGTGATACAGGTGTCAGGGGTTGGTCTTATCAGGAAATGATCCATTATCAGGCTAACAGTTTCTTTCCCGTTACTAGACTGAACTCTCATGTGCAATAATCCTCATGCCAGACACACCACCTCACCCAATGTGCAATACTGCAAACATGTATATTTATGCAATCCTCGTGCAAAAGCCTCATTGCATAAATTCTGTGAATTTGTTCCCTGTAATATTTCATGGCATTGTATCGCTGATTTGTCGGCTTTGAACTTGTTCGTTGTTTTTAAGATTGTTTGCCAGACAAACATATTTTTATCTATCTTGTAACACACCTGCAGAGACGCTTCTCCAATTTGGATGTGTATAAATCCTGCATAATGACAAATAAAGGCTATTCTATTCTACCTATTCTATTCTGTCCTATTCAAAATGGTTGTTTCACAGACAGACGCCAGCGACAGGGGCATGGAGATGGATGCACAAAGAGAGGAAGACTGCAAAACTTTTCCTGTAACCTGATGTTTTTTTAGTAACACAACTGCTACCTGCAGCTTTGTGATTAATGACAACCTTTTTTTCCATCAAAAATTCATTATAGACCAAACTTACTGCTTTTACCACATCACCAAATCACTATAAAAACAAGGGGAGTGTCTCCAATGACAGAACAGATGAAGCGTTTGTCAGTCAGACAGCTTATGTAACTGTCTGTCATCTCATTCAGACCAAAGAAACTGACAAACTTTTTTTTGTTTACTTAAAAATGAGGGTGTCTCGATCTCTCCCAGCTCAGAACCTGTGATAATCAGAGCGTGCCATGAGACCAGCATGGGAGCGGGGGCCACGTTACATCAGACTTACATAGTCATGGAAGGCCTTTGCTTCACTGGAGTGTTCGCATGTGTCTCTTCTCTCTGGAGCTGCACAGTACAGGTCCCAGAAAACACTACAAGACACAGAAAAAACAGTCAGTGAAAAGAATGGGAGCCTAACATATAAATCATAATAATCCATTGTGGATAAAGGCGATAAGTAAGATTTCATTATCTTGATCTGAATGAAAAACTCTTAAGTGACAGCAGTATAATTTGCAAACAGGAACCTTAAGAAGGCAATTAATTAACATGAGAGTACATTTTAAAAAATCAGGAGGGGGTGAAAATAGTGAGGTTAGCTTCATAGTCATAAGGCACGGAAACACTCACCACCACCATGAGTGAAGGAACCCCGGAGGTTCTCCTAACGTGATGTTTTTCTCCCATCGGATCTGCACACAGACAGACGAGAGATGATGCTTGAGAAACATGTTCAGTATTTAATATGTCTGACATCTGAATTACAGGCTTTACAAGGTTTAAGAAGATGCAAGGGAATTCTTATAGCACATGCCGTCATGTAATTACATATCAGTTCTCATGCTATAGATTCTTAAGTGGATAAGTGAACGTATGTGTGCCTGAAAGCTTGTCGTTTCACTGGTAAGTGAGAGAGTGTGCCTGGAAATGCCTCAGTCGGTCTGTCTATGTCTGTGTTCATTGTGTTAGGGGATGTCTGAGGTCCAAGACATGTACAGACCTGTGGAGCCAAATCAATCCTTTGTACAGCCCACACACCCCTGACTCTGATACTCTGTCATCTGTTCTGCTGCTTCTTTTGCTTAATTCACTCTTTGATCATTCATTCTTTCCTCATAATTTCATCTCCAATCCTGCATAGTTTTATCTTAGTTTTACTTCCTTTGTTTCTTTATCTACCCCCACTGCTTTCACCTCTTCTCTCTTTTCTCTCTCACCCAACAGACCAAGGAAGACATGAGAGTTCTTAACATGGACTAGTCCGTACAGCCCACTGAGTTCACAGTGGTTAGGCTCGTCCTCAGCCTAAAGCCAGGATTGATGAATATTATTATTAAGGAATCATGACTAATCATGACAAGGCATCTACATAGCCAGTCCTTCAAGGTCTTCACAGTGTTGCATTTGCTTTTGTTTCAATAACTAATGACTGAACTCATTGTGTGGAGGACAAAACTGAGAACTAAAGAGTTCTCAGAGGTGTACCTGAGACTTTTTCAAGGGAAACCATTATTTTGTGGGTTTACCCAGAAACAAAACTTCTATCTGGTTTAACTAGTCTTCAAATTGAAAGTTTCTTCACTGTTTAAAGGGATGCAAAGGCAACTAAAGGAAGTTTGACATATAATAGCTGACATATTGAAGAACCTGGACAATAGCTCACTTTAAGAACAAACTGTGACTTTTGTTGGATTAGGTTATATCAAGATGACAAATCCATATAAAGTATTATGTTTGACCTATAAGTTACATAAAAATACTAAATTCACTAAGAGGTCCAAGAATAATTTGGGCTTGCAAATTTCAGGCTATTTTTTCTCTTTTTTCACTAATTTATCCAAAACAAAAAACCAAAAGACTTGAAATACGTTGAGGAGAAATTCAAAAAGGTCAACGGACTGGACTGCAGGGCTTTTTAACCTCTTAACCTCACTGTGTCAGATTTAAAAAACGGACTCTTTAAAAAACTGAGCGTACATTTTGATAAACAGTCTGTGTAAAAAGAGGACAATTTGCAGATGTAGCAACACAGAAATGGGGGCAGAGGTTCAGTGAAAGGTCAAGTGATGCTACGAGAACAGAATTTCAGATATTAACTGAAAACACTGAGACCTGGTAGATGGTGATTCACCTTATAGCTAATATCAGTCAAAATACAGGTGGTTTATGTTTGCACGAACTTAACAGATGTGCAGAAAAACGCTGGCAGACACACACAGAACACACTTCCAACAGTCAGGCCTTTTCTATCAGACTATGACATCATTGTTTAGTCTGCCTCCCTTTTCTGTGAACAGACATCTCACTGTCTGACTATTTCAAATAACCTCATGTTCATCTTTTTTTTACATACATTACAGTCATAGTTTTTAAGGGTTAAATATGTTGACTTCTGTAGCCCCTGCAATACAATAATAGTGAACAAGCTCTGCAACAACTCTATCAGTGTTCTTTCAGAGCATCCTGACCTCAGCTGCAGATCAGACACACTGACTTTTAGAAAGAATGCCTTTCTTTGAAGTTTTTCAGGGGGTCAGGAACAGCCTTTCTTTGTATATCCCACATGCTTTCAGTCTTAGTTAGCTCTTAGAGTGAAGACATCAGCTTACTTGAACATTATAGACAGCCCATATACACCATGACAAAGAAGGATTTTCTCCCTCATAACCGAGCACATGGTACAAAAGAAGCAGAATAGGCTCGACATCCCTCATTTCTCACATCTAATTGGCTGCAGCTCAGTCCAAACATGATTGCATGCAGTTCAGGTCAGGACACTTTTTATCCTTCCTTCATCTGGAAAGCGTAGAAGAAAATAGCATTGGCTGTGCCCGCATATCCTGTCTTCTTGTGGTCTGCATTCCCCGGAGGTTCATTCATTTACCTTCAGCATGCTACAGTCAGATCTCATGATTACTGGCAGATGGAGGCAGCATGTTGCAGGAGTAAACTAAACGCTGAGATTTAAAAAGTTAAAAAGTCTACGGAAAGGAGGGGGCTTTAAATAGTAAAATGCATGAGTTATATCAAAGTTGAGAGTGTTGTTAATAAATTGGCACATTAATTGAGGTGGGAAAAACCACAACCTTTTACAAACAGCTTATCTATCTGTTAAGATAATTTCTGAGGAGGTGTGGTCAGTTGTAATCAGGTGACACCTGCCTGTCTCTGCACACAATGGCTGTGTCCGAAATGGATCCTTAACCCCTATGTAGGCGACTATATGGGGGTTAGCGCCATTTTGAGGGGTGTCTGAAACCTGAGTGATCAATTCCAGTGCCCCATACAGGCGACTCAAAATTTCCCATAGAGCATTGCAAAATGTAGTGTTCTGAGGTCACTCACCGGTGGTGGGCATCCCGTCATCCATTGCGTTATGCCATGTAGTGTCCGAAACCTCCGGTGATTGAGTTTAGGGCTGCAGCTATCGATTATTTTAGTAATCGAGTACTCTATCGATTAATCTGTCGATTAATCGAGTAATCGGATAAGAAATGTTTTGCGCTCACTGTAATACTTTGCATTGAATCACGTTTGCCTCATTAAAAACCATCAGTAACACACAAAACTGAAATAGGCCAGGTCTTTCAAATGAATATTTTTACTGCATAAATCAGGAACCAAAAGTTTTACATTTTACCATGTAGTTCACATGAAACTACTGAAGGAGGTGGAGCTTGAGCTGCATGGCAACCAGCTTCATCTACATACGAGTGAAGACAGCAGTGCCTCCGGCCATGCCTGAATTATAGCCTTGGTATAATCAAATCACATGGGTTGAGGAAAAGTTTGCCCCATGTAACACATCCATGACTCAAGAAAAGACCACAGAATTAATTTAACCAAGGTGTGAACATGTTTAATTCTGCTTTTAAAATGTTCATTTTAATATGAGCTCTGATGGTGTTACCTTTTGGAGACAGCCTCGAGTGGACTCTCAACATGGAAGGTTGCTGCTTGAATACAGCACTTCACTGAAAGTTAAGTCAATATTGGAGGAGGAAGCAAGAGCTGTGCCATCTGAAGGCACTTGTGTTAATCAGTCACTGAATGCTTCGGTCTCCGAAATGCTTGAATATACACATGCAACACCTGAGATGGCCCAGTTATCACTGTAGAACTGCATTCTTAGTGGAGGGTTATGTGGCTTTATATAAATTATAACAAAGCTACAATTTGCTGCTTGAACTCTTAAACCGGAGCACATTCCCCGGCACTCAAACAGCTGTGGCCATCATGTATGAACCTCTGGACAAAGCCAGTACTGAGAGTAAATCAGTTCTTTGAGCTGTCATGTGACTCAATCCAATGATTAGTGCCTTGCAGTATGCTTTTGTGTAAAAGATACTCAGCAGTCACTTTAATATTCTTTCACAAACCAAATACCAGGAAAAGTGTTTCCCACACATAGATGATACCTAAGCAAGTCAACCAAGTATACTTTTGGACACACAATGTAACAGAGACCATTTTCACGTTGTTTTTTTCCACTGTCTGTATGAGATCGCATCCACAATCACTGAGTTCACTACATAGTCAACTTTATAGTGAAATCTCATATGGGGGTTAGGGATTTGGGATTGAGTGATTCATTTCGGACACAGACAATATTGACAGGATGCAAACATGGGTGGGACCTCAGTGACCCCCCTTAAAAGGGATATTCCGTCGTAAAATCAATTTTAGTTAGACACCCCCTCAAGAGATGAATGTTGCCAACCGCTTGCTTCTCTAGTTAGACCAACTTTAGTAACGACCGCACGATAGCAATACACAGCGGAAAATGGAAATGCAATCAGATCAAGACACAAAGGCAAAAGAACTACGGCGTTTGCAGTGCAAAATGATTAATATGGTGATCATTACCTCAAGGAAATGATAAAGAAATGATCATAAATGTTTTTCCTTGAGCTGGAAGAGAGTAGGTGAGTTGTGTTTGGTCTCTTTGCTGAAGAAATTAGGCAAAGTTGAAAATACGTTTGGTGGCTAGTGCTGTGGCTAGGACCCTATATGTACTGTTGATGAAGGTAGGTGCTGTTCTGAACATTATTTGTGGCTATAGAGTGGTGTTTTGGTTGAGGTTTAAGCGTGGAGACGTAGACCACTGTGTATTGCTATCCTGTGGTCGTTACTAAAGTTGGTAAAACTAGAGAAGCAAGCGGTCAGCAACATTCATCTCTCTCAGGGGTGTCTAACTCAGTGTTACAGTGTGTTTGACCCTAAATTAATTTTTACGGCAGAATATCCCTTTAAAGGTTTTTGAAGAGGTGCAATGAAGCCCAAACGATGGTGGTAACCAGAGCACTCAGAGATGGTGGCTTTTGACTAATTAAGAAACCTTCAAGGAGGTGGAGCTTGATCTGCATGGCAACCGGCTTCATCTACATACGAGTGAAGACAGCAGTGCCTCCGGCTATGCCTGAATTATAGCCTTGGTATAATTAAAATCACATGGGTTGAGGAAAAGTTTGCCCGCTGTAACACATCCATGACTCAAGAAAAGACCACAGAATTAATTTAACCAGGGTGCGAACATGTTTAATTCTGCTTTTAAGATGTTCATTTTAATATGAGCTCTGATGGTGTTACCTTTTGGAGACAGCCTCGAGTGGACTCTCAACATGGAAGGTTGCTGCTTGAATACAGCACTTCACTGAAAGTTAAGTCAATATTGGAGGAGGAAGCAAGAGCTCTGCCATCTGAAGGCACTTGTGTTAATCAGTCACTGAATGCATCGAAATGCTTGAATATACACATGCAACACCTGAGATGGCCCAGTTATCACTCAGAACTGCATTCTTAGTGGAGGGTTATGTGGCTTGGTGATAAATTATAACAAAGCTACAATTTGCTGCTTAACTCTTACACTGGAGCACATTCCCCACACTCAAACAGCTGTGGCCATCAAAACTGAACCTCTGGACAAAGCCAGTACTGAGAGTAAATAGTTCCTTTGCTGCCATGTGACTCAATCCTATGATTAGTGCCTTGCATACTTTTGTGTAAAAGATACTCAGCAGTCACTTTAATATTCTTTCACAAACCAAATACCAGGAAAAGTGTTTCCCACACATAGATGATACCTAAGCAAGCCAACCAAGTATACTTTTGGACACACAGTGTAACAGAGACCATTTTCAGGTTTTTCTTTTTCACTGTCTGTATGAGATAGCATCCGCAATCAGTGATGACGACAATCCCTTGTTTCTCCCTCCCCTCTTGCATCTAATTACTTGCAGTTTCTGGCACATGCTTTGCAGGTGAACAGAGAGAGAAAGAGGTTCTGTAGTTAGGGATGCCCCCATCCGATATTGATATTAGATATCGGTCCGATAGCAACAACGACAAAAAAACAAAAAAACAAAAAAACAAAAACAAAAAAAAACAGAAAAACGCTAAAACTTTACAAGAACCATAACTTATAAATGGTAAATAGACCATTTCTAAATGGTATGCAGATAGTTTAGTGATGTTTAATCATCATTTATAAATAGCATATAGACCATCAATGAATTGTAAATTTAAAAAACTAACCCTAACCCTAACTTTACAATAACAATCCAAGTAATGCTTATGGGTGGTTTATAAAGCACTTATTAATCATTTACAAACATCAGTTGCAACTTTACAATAACCATCTAAGTAATGTTTATAGATGGTTTAAAAACCAAATATTAACCATTTACAAAGTGCTACTGACACACATTTTAATCTAGATGTTTTACAACCAATATTTAAACTCTATATAAACCTTTAATATATAGTCCATAAATAATTAATGAAAATTATAAATCATAATTTCATTTCTTGTTAATGTTAAAGTAACTATTAACTTACATTAATAAACTATCTATTTGGCATTTATAATTGGTCTATATGCTTTTTTAAAGATGATTAAACATTAATAAACTATCTATATACCATTTATAAATTATGGTTGTTGTAAAGTGTTACCTAAAAAATGAATATCAGATAATATCACCCTGCATCTAAAATCTCCAGTAGCAGCACTCTGATAAGAGCAGCCCATTACAGTGAGTCCGCTCGGTCACCTCTGTCTAGCGGCGCCCACATCCAGCATGCAGATCCCATGTAATCACAACAACAGTGTGTACTGAGGTACAAACAAGGTAGCAAGGAGTAGGAGTGATGTCGGCCATGTGGCGGTATTTTTCGTCTAAATCCGAAAAAGACGTTGGATCAATATCGGTATCGGCCAATACTGAAGGCTACAATATCGGTATCGTATCAAAGTGAAAAAGCTGTATAAGGACACCCTACCTGCAGTTCATCCCTCCCACTGGTGTGGTGGGAAACAAAACTCACCCATTTAATTCATCTCATTTCTCTTCCATCTCATGTATTTGATTTGAATATATTTTTGTAACAGGCCGTTATATCGTTTCTCAAAGTTTGAGTAGTCTTCCTGGGCTCTTGTTCCCTACAAGGCCTGGAGATACTCTGTAAACAGATGTTGATGATAAAAAAGTAGATAACAGGCCTGTTTTACTCCACCCTACAATTCCAGAAAGATAAATAGCATTGTGTAATATTTACTTTGTGTGTGAGTGCACTTATTTTTTTTGTATACAAGTGGTGGTGTTTATACTTGTTGCACCCATAGCTAATGCGTTCCCACACTTGAATACGACACCGCCTATCCTTTTCATCTCCCACATCTGCGGAAGAACGAGCAAGTGATATGGCAGAGAGGAAAGGGTGTCATAGAGACAGAGAGGTGTGTGCGTGTACTATGTGCATGAACACGCACCAGAGTGACGAGTGTTGGTGCCAGCTGATGATGTAACCTTTTCCATCCCCTGTCTTTGTTCTCCTCTTCCTCTGGCCCATGTACAACAAGCCTCCAGCCACTGTCTCCTACATTGTAATTTACTGTCATTTACAGCCGAGCACCAGAATCGAGTGACCTCGCTTTCACCCCATCACCTTTTTACCTCTGCCAGAAAAGTGAAGATAGGCTTGCTTCAGAGGAAGACAAGTCGAGAGCGGAAGCAGGATGACAAAGAAAAAGCAGGGGACTCAGAGAGAAAAAGAATTAGATTGAGAGACATGGACTGAGCGAAGCTGCTGAGCGGATCACAGAATGATGTCAGCGAAAGACGTCAGCTCCGAGCTCAGCATCGTAACTCTGTGCTCTTTTTTTTCAGTCCCACCAAACGCAACACTAATGTTAAAGAGCCTGTCAGCTATTAACACTGAACTGGCTCAGCACTGTGTGGCTGGGCTAATTTAATTAGCTTCAACACTTACACGTATGAGGGTCAGACCAACCTTCAGAGTAGACACATAAAGCACATGGACTGTAATCTCAGACAAACACTCACAGCATCTTGGTGACTTACCTCTGACAGGAAGGTCTGTGCTGACTTCTGTGCTCCTACATGCAGCAGGTACTCATACACATAAAGCGCTAACCTGCACAAAAAATAGAAAAACACAGAAGAAGAAAAATGGTCAGATTTGTCAGTAAGATTCAAACATTTAACTATGGATGCAATTAGGGCTGGGCGATATATGAAAACGTTTAGCACAATATATTTTTGTCACATCAGTTGATACTGATATCACAATATAAATAATGAAATTTAACAGTGCTTATTGGTATCATGTCTTTTGCAATACAATAAGCTCCTGCATCTGTGAGGTCTTTGTGTCTATTATTTTGTCGTAAGGCGTTGCGCTAGAGAAAGCGGACTGAATGGTCGGTTGTTTCTGCTGCACGGGCGCCATGGGCTCCTTGCTCCGCTCGGGGTTTGTAACCTTTTGCATTGTGTGTGCTCTGCCAGGTGGCACTGCCTCAGGTGGTGAAAAAGATTTGAGGTATTCCCTGATTTTGTGAGAACATGTACGCAACATAATTTGCGCTGCACATTACTCTGCTTCATGTCCAACCTCGAAAAAACAAAATATCCCCCACACCACTGACGTTTTCATGCCAGTGTTGTCGGCGATGCCATTATCTGTTGAGCCTCCATCTGCATGTCTGCCGGAGGTTGCACTCATTTTCTTTTTCTCTCACCAACAGTGCTGTCAGCTTCACGTGTTCAAGTGCTTTCGTTGCATGTAGCTGCAGCCTGCTACTACGCAGTTGTTTGCTACTTGGTTATAATTCAGGACACATTTGGTTCAGCGCCAAGCCGACCCAGAGTAACTCCCCTTTTCATTGGCTCTTCATGTAGTCTACCAAAACATGGCAGAATGCCAACTATTGAAAAGGATATTGACCGTGTTTTATATTGACATTGAGCGAAATTAATTTTCGATATATATATCATTATTGTTTTATCACCCAGCCCTAGATACAATAGATAGCAGGGTATTATAAAAAAACAGCGGGGGTGAAAAAAGGGGACCTTCTTGAGGTAAACCTTTCAAAGTGTAACAAAGAGTGGTAAAGAAAAATGTGAGAGGCACTAGTGTAACATCTACCTCAGTTTTAACTTTTTGGGGTTTAAAGCTCAATGTCTCCCTTGAATCTATACAAGAGTTTCTCCCAAGATGAACTAAAATGAAAATAAATGAACCTTTGAGAGTAAATTTGTTGCCAAATAGCTCAAACATTCAATGTTTTGAGACATGAGGGCATCACCTTGCCTCAAGAACAGAAAGATAAACACCAATCATCTCCCTGCCTCTCAAGATATTTACAATTCACCCAACATAGTGCTTAACTCAAAATCTACCAGTTTGAGGAACAAATACCACATTGATGGTAAGAGTTAACTTTCTAGGGCTGTACCTTCACCTCATGCCTCTCAGGTTCACCTCAGACTTCCACTCTTGGCTTTAATCACAGACCTGATTTATTAATCGATTCTCTTAACCGTGTCTCTTTACTGGTAATGCAACTTAGAGGAGGGTTGGCCAGTACACACAAGATAACATTGATACACAAGGGATCAATGGCAGATCACACCGAGTCCAATCAATGCACACAAACAATGGAGCGTTAGTCACTTGTGCTTTATCCTTGAATTCCAATAAATTCCAATAGATGAAACGGCTAAAATCGTAACAAACCAGTGACACAAGGAAACTGCTAGTTTTACCAATACTTCAAAACTTAAAGATATAAAGTTCAATTAATACATCATTATATTTCAATCATGATTTGGTTGATTTTACAAATACATCTAAATTTATTGTTAGCAGTTCAACAAAGTAAGCGAACAAATCAATTCAGCTGTCCCTAAAGTGCAAACATGACACACAGCACACCTCAGCCTGGAGCTGGTTGTGTCTTGACGTTTGCTTTTCATTGTGTATTGTCAGGTGTAAAAAATGGTCGTAGCAGCACAGCAGCTGTCCTCTAACCTCCCTGAAAGGTGCTACCCGCTCGCTGTAGCCAATCCAGACACCTCCTATATGGAGGTAAAAATAAACTCTCCAGACAGCCTTGTCTGCCTGTCTCTAGATGATGGACTGCACACCTTTTTGCTCTGCGCACAGGTACCCCCCCCTTTTCCATCCTTCATCACTTTCATCCTCAGCCTCCCCTTCTTCTTCTCCTCCTTCACTTTCTCCACCTCGGCTGTCTTGATGGTGCTGCTTTCTTCTTGCACTCTTATTGGTAAGAGGCCATGTTTGTTTGATGATGAAAGGACTAGAGCGGCAGCAGAAGTTCTTCTCTCCCTCTGTGTCCTTTTGCGTTTCATCCATCCATCCCTCCCTCTCCCCCTCTCTCTCTCTCTTTCTGTGTTTCCCCCTGTGGCCTGGCAGTAATGTTTAACCAAAGAGATAGATACTGACTGTTTCACAGGGACAAGGTTAACAGAACAGTGAGAGGCTTGACAAAACTCTTGACACCTCGACAACTGAACATGAATAAAAGATGCACATGATTTTTTCAAGGCACCGTACAACCCTGAACATTTCGAGGAACAAACTGTTTCAGCTGCTCTTTTCTGCACAGTTTTCATGCCAACCGAAGACACCGAACATCAGCCACACACAGTCATCAATCTTATAAATCTGCAGTCAACATTTACACAGGGACCACCACAAGATGGAAGACAACATGTGTTGTGTAAATTAGGAAACAAAAGCTCTCCCTCGGCACGCAATGGCCTGAATCCAGTCAGCTATCTATTACTGCGTGAAAACACAGACACACTCAGGAGCTGCTTCTAAAAAGGTTTGACCCGTGATTGATTTCACAGGAGTTAAAAGATGCGACCTTTGCCTCTTGATATTTGGTGAGAGTAAAAATGAGGAAACGCAGGAAAAAGTGGAAGAATAAGGGCAGCGGTGGGGAGAAAGGTGACGTGAAGAAACAGACTTACACAAGAGGGTAAAAGAGGTAAGCAGGCTAATGCGAGTTTGGAGTAAAGATCAAAGGAAGCAGGAAAAAACAAGGAGGTCCAACAAACTCTTTAAAAGCACTGACGCCTGCAAAATACACACATAAATCTGACTCCAACCAGTCCTCTCAAATCTCTTATTCAACGCGCACGAACAGACGGTGGAGTTTTAACCGGGCTGATAAGCAGACAGCCGCAGAAGCAGACACTTTGTTAGCATTCGATATCTATTGAACTTTAACTCCAAACTACTAATTTCCTCAAAGAAGAGTGATAGGCTTTGAAAACACAAAACCCCCTCGAGCCGCTCCCTCATTGTTCACTTAGCACTTGTTCAGCTGAGCCTCCTGCTGATACTAACGGAAAAAAAAAAAGAAAGCACCCAACTCAGTGGAACTCAACTGAGTCAGAATACAGAGCAGAGATAAGGCTTGGGGATTAGAGGACGAGGACTGTTCAAGGTTAAGAATCCTCTACATTTCACACTATGATGTGGAGCATTACCGAAATTCTCTTTTCGTTAAATAAACTGTCACTTTAAATAATCTCTGCGTTGGGATTTGAGGTGGTGCTTAAAGTTGAGGCAGCTGATGCATTGTTAATGGTTTCATGTTTGTCCTGTTTTACATTGATGCTCCTCTGGTGTTTGCCCTTGTTATCGGACATACATCAGAAAATTGAGAATGTTTTTTACTGCCTGCCTGTCTAAAGTGGCAATTTGTATTGTAAATAAGAACCACTTTACATAAATCACTGCTGCAACCAGGATGATTGAAGGGATCAGGTGTCTCCCACTTTGCCTCCTCTTTTCCATACGCAGAGCTGTGTGCGTGTGCATGTGAGTGTATATACGGTATACAGAGAGAAGTAGGAGCAAAAAGGGGACTTTATGATCCACACCTGACCGTGCTCTCCTTCAAATTCAAGTGCTTTTGTCAACTGTGAGTCACTTTTAATTAGATTCATATTTGTAAGAGACCCCTGTCCCGGCTGCTCCCGTAAATCTGCTCACCACCAGACTGTCGCTGAGCTCCGACAGTCAGAGAGCGAGCTTAGCTTAATGAAGTCAGCAGGCAGAAACAGCGCCTATATATGCTGCTTTATGACTGGGCTGCACAGAGAGGAGCTCGGAGCTTGACTACAATCTAAGACGTGAACTGATTTTCCCTGATCAGCATTTAGGAGGGACCAGTAGATCACTGCTAATCAATTTACCGCCACGGCCATCAAAATCTGGCGGAGCCCCAAATCAAAACTGACCGAGGCTTCAGTGATTGGATTTGCTTGTTATAGATTATCTCCAGATTATTTCACCCTTGTTAAAGATGAAATGGAAAAGTGATTATTTTTCTGGTCTGAATCAGCGTCTTAACTGACATATTTACATGCTGACATAGCCTACTGACATACTTCTAAGACAGAAAATCTCATTACACACCAAATATTTGGAAAGAGAAGTAAAAAAAAAAAAGCTGAATGAAATATTGCTCTGACACTTTGTTCACTGTAGATCTTTTTATTACAGATTTTTTTGGCAATACTGTTTGGGGAAATCCAGGGTCAGTACCATCTCTAGAAGCCAGTGAATGTTCCTGCCTTTATTAAATGCTATCTGTTTAGGGAATCAGCAGCAAATTATTTTTACAAAATAAAGCAACCAATACAAGTGTTATGAACAGCTGAAGACGCCTTATTCCTTTTGATTCTGTCTGAAGACATTTGGCTGTACACCTATGAGCTGGATACTGTCCAATCACATCAAATAACTGCGCTTATCTTGCAAATACCAAATCTGCAATCATTTATCTTTTGGTCACTTGAGCATTACTCAACAAGCTCTGAACACAACTCCACCTCTCTTAAAAGTACATATTGTGATCATTTCAGCAAACGTAAGAATTTGTTTTATCCTGCTGTCTTGTTCAAAACCATGTGGTGTGACAACTGAAGTAAGAATAGTATGAGAGTACATCTCACAACACATCAGCAAGGATGTAACTCTATGTTTGAACAGTGGGCATACTGGACATTACTCTCTTTGAAAAGTAATGTGTTGAAATATACTGAACAGAGACAGATAAACTTGGAGTTTAATCTAATTTCAGTCAAACCTGAAATCAGACCAAGCCTAATGCTCTATTCAAGTTACCTCGGAAGTCAGATGTCGGAGCTGCCTTGTCCTTGTTATACTGGACAAGGCAAGCGCTAAAATAACTTTCATAGATGTGGCCATCTTGTTTCCGCCTCCGATTTTGCTTTTTTCTGACTTGGGCTGTGTCCGAAATGGATCCCTAACCCCTATATAGGTGACTGTATGGGAGTTAGCTCCATTTTGAGAGGTGTCCGAAATCTGAGTGATCAATTCCAGTGCCCCATATAGGCAACTCAAAATTTCCCATAGAGCACTGCAAAATGTAGTGATCATCTGATGGTCACTCATCGGTGGTGGGCATCCTATCATGCATTGTGTCTCCAGCGGCAATTCAAAGATGGAGGAGCTACTATACAGGAGCGTCATATAGTCCCGTGCACAATATGATGCGGCAAACAATATTCTGCACGAAAATATAAGGCCTTTCAAATAAATTATTATTGTATTGTTTATTTATTTTTTTATTTCACGAACATCCTGGAAAAACAAATAAATCTATACAACATCATTAAATTCAAGAGATGTAAAAAATAACAGCCGCAACTTCAGACGCGGCAGTCTGAGCAGTGACATCACAACGATGCACCATGTAGTGTTTAAAACCTCCAGTGATTGAGTTCACTACATAGTCAGCTATATAGTGAAACCTCATATGGGGGTTAGGGGTTAGGGACTGAGTGATTCATTTCAGACACAGACTTGGTAACTGAAGTGCTGGTAACTCAGGTGTGACATCATTTTCAACTCTTAAAACTGTCTTCTGAGGTAACTCGAACGCATCATTATTATGACCATCAAATTCTGTATGTCCTTGGCCAGCTGTGATTTAAAGTATTATTTATGTTATTGACTTCTGGAGAAAAAATGTGGGATAAAGGGGGGGGTATTGTTGCAAAGATTTTTATTTATATTCATTCAACAAAAGTCTCTCAATTACCAGCAAATTGTTATCTGCATGATTTAAAAGCTGATGGCACAAAAGCTCAGTTAAATAACTTAAAGGTATCTCTTAGTAAATAACAGGATGATATATTTTTTCTCAAGTTTAACAAGTGATATCTGAATAATTGAACGGACAAACAAACACCTGCAAAAAGAAGACAGTTTTATCTCCACGGTGAAGGAAATATTTAGGAGAAGAAAAGATGAGGGAAGAAGGGTGATAGGGTGGCAGCAGAGTGTAGCAGAGAGAGATGAAAGGTTCTGGTGTAGAGAAGAAAGTGAAGAAGGGGGATTAGAGAGATAGAAAAAAAAAGGCACATGGGGATGATGGAGGTGAAGGGGTGCCAGCAGATGAGCCCCAAAATGAATACCCCTGAGATCTGTAAACTTTAATATTCTAATGTTGAGGATCCTCACTGAGCGTTCTCTCAGTTTGCCAAGCACCCTGCTGTGACCTCCTTCTGCAAATTAACACAAAAACCTGCAATAAAAAACAGGCTTGATTTCTATGCTTGTGCAAAAGAAAAGAATTACTACACACTTGGCTGAAAATAAAGCAGAAGAAAAGATAGCCGGGCACACCATGCTCTGGAGTATTCACTGAAATTCTTTGTATTTTAAATGAATTCCAATGAGTTCTGCGTGAGAGGTAATAAGAATGGGAAAATAATCCTAGATTGAACTAAGTCTCTGCCAGGAAGAGGAAATACTATAATTATCTCCTGGATATACTTACCTGCTTTAAAAGACTACATTTCTGCATTAAAGCAGAAATTAAAGCAAAGAAAAGAATAATGTTGGCTAATGTAACTCTGTCTACTGAGAGTTATCGTCTCTCTTAAAGCTCTTTGCTTTCCAGAAAATTGAACACTGAGAATAACAAAGAATAAGGAAAAAAAATCAGAATCCTTTAAATATCCAACAAACAATAAAGGGAGTAAACCTTTTTTGTGAATAAACCCTGTATTCACCTCCAGTTTGATGCATTTGTGTGCTGTGTGGGCTTTATTGTAGTTGTTTATCAAATATCCCATTATACTGTACGTCTCTTAGTGTTGTTGAGGATATACTTGTATTTGCAGCTTATTTTGTTAAATGTGCTGTAAAAGTTTGAGATTTTTTTTTTTCTGCCATGTTATATAATTTTGCTGCAGAAGACTGATGCAACATGGACAGTGACAGCAGTAACTGAAGGTACAGACAGAGCTACCAAGTTCAAAGCTGAGCCATATATGAGGTTTAAAACCACTTAGCAACATGCATCAGCTTTACTTGACATCAGCACATATTAGTTGAAAGGGATTTCAATTTTAGATTCATGCAAAGACTGTCCAAGTTTGTTAGCAGTACAATGAGCAAGAGTGAGGATGTGAGTGGCTTTGACAGGGGCGACTGAGTCAAAGCATCCCTAAAACTGCTGCTCTGTGGGGTGTTTTCAGTCAGCAGAGGTCAGCACCAAACATGATGAGAGGAAAATGAACTGATGACAGGGTTTTGGGTAGACAGGGCCTGTTGTTGTGTATGGTGGACAAAAGCTGACTTTTGGCCTTGACCTTATGACACACAGTTAAAGGCAGCTGGTGCAAATATTATAGCTGATTGGAGTATATGGCTGAACCATTTTCAATTCAATTCAATTAAAAAAACTTTATTGGGGTGATTGGAGCCACATAGAGAAGCTAGTTAACAATGTGAATACTGTAATAACTGTGTACAATCAAGGAAAATACAAAAAAATATAAGATAATAATAAAATAATTAAAATTAAAGGGAGGAATAATAATACTGATTGCTGAAATACTGAAGTACTCACTCAGATATAGGAATACTGGGGATCAGCATGATGTGGGTGCAAACTGGCATAAGGTTAGGTGTGTATAGATTTAGCAAATGCATGTTAGTCTGAGGTTGGTATATATAAGTGCAAATGGGATTCAGACGTGTAAATACAAACAAAAATAGGGCCCTCAGAAGGGTTTACATGAGGCTGTATTTACCTGTTTTTGCTGGTTTGCAGTAGGTTGATATTGACGTGTTGTTACACAGTGAATAATCAAATTCATTTTCAAAATTTAACTTTTTCTTCACGGCTGAACTTCAGGACTGTAACTGGTTGAAATGGCAGGAAAAGTCTACATTAGATAAATTATGTTACTTTATTTGAAAGAATAGTGACCAAGACACTTACGTGATACAAGGTGAAAAAACCTTGTTATATTTTTGTTTATTTTAATACATATATATTTTTTCTATTTTATTCTATTTCCTCAATTGCTCTTATCTTCTTGTTTTATGTTGCTGCTTTTACTCTAAGTGTCCTTGAGTGTCCAGAAATGTGCTTTTAAATAAAATGTATTTTTATTATTATTAAAAACTTAGAACTCTATGGTGTACAAACTGCTTAGAATTTACACAGCTTTGACATTTCTGCTCTTCCCTGTTACTTATTTTGCTTATAAATACAAAGCACCACAGTGTGATCTAATATCAGCTGCCATTTAACTGTGTTCAGTCCATTCAACCTCAGATTAGAAGCATTTACACTGCTGGCGTAAACCCTTTATTGTGATAGCATGATCAGTCTGGCTCTTGTGAGACATTATTATTGGTGTGTTGTTTGTTCGTTTGTTTTTGTCCTTGCTCACTGAGTCCTACATCACTTTGCAATATATCATGGCAGGTGAGGAGATACGCAAAATCAAAGACACCTGCTTTTGACTCTGATGTTGGGTCGTCATAATGTGGTTGTTAAAATGTCTTTTCTAAAGTAAGGCCAAACAGACACTCGCTCTGGTGCATTCTGGTGTCCAAACGCCCACTGACTAAGAGATACCACCTGTGGATACAGAGAGCTTGGCAGCTCAGGGTTACAGACAACTTTGGCAAGAATAGAGAGACCCTGTCATAAAAGAGCTGCGGCCCCTGCTGAGGACAGCCCCGTGTGTGTGACAGCCAAACTCTTTCCCTGATTAATCAAGGCGAGCAGCGGGGCTTTATGTGCCATTAAGAGCCTCACTAAATGACTTGACTTCATTCATTAAAGTGGATCTTCCTCTGTGGATAGAGCAGACTGTGCTCTCCAGACAGAAAGACTGACAGACAGACATGTGAAAGCTGGGAAAGAGATTGTGGTAGGGCAGCACTGATGGTGGTGGGGGCACTGAGGCAAGATAAACAACGACAAATATAGACCCATTACAACGTTGAATAATTCAAATCATATGCAGGGCTTCAAGAGACAACAGAGGGAAAAAACAACAACAACCTTTGGTGTTATGGAACCTCAGTACAGTAAAAAACATCTTTAAATCTGAGCTATTTATGTACACACCTTGTTTGGGACAGTCGACGGGATCATGGCCAAATCACTTTATGTGGAAAATCAGGTTCCAGCGGACTAATCCCTGATGCATTTTCATTACAGGCCCAAGTATAGGCTTAATGAATCTGTGCAGTGGTAGCTAGGTGTGAGTGGATTAATTGAAGTGGTGTGAGCTGCATATGCACTGTGTGAACTCCTCTGCAAACACAAAACACACACACACAAAGAGAACAGGGACAGCAAAACTAATAGAGTTTGAAAAAAGCAGGAAGATTATGGCAGACAAAGGCAGTGATGCACACTGACAGAACACAGGGAAAGACAAAGCTAGGTTATGTACCAGTCAACAGAGAGATAAAGATGTAGCGATGGAGAGGGAGATGAACAGAAAAAGATTAGCAGCAACAAAAAGACTCGAGGGTTGAGAGGAAGAGAAAGAGCGTATAGAGAAGAAGAGAAGGACAGAGAGCAGGGAGAAAGAGTAAATGATTAATGAAAGGCACGGGGAAGCTCAGAGAGGGGAGGTCAGGAAGGAGTAGGACAGGAGTGATGCTGCAGCAAACAGAAAACAGTGAAAGAAGAACATTAGAGATGCTCTAAAGAGGCTCATTTTCCAGCCGTTCAAACAGAAATTAAAATTCCTACTAACTAACTGCTCTGGTGGTAAAAACCCCTTTTAGAAAACAGTCAAAACTGAGCACAATTTATTCAACAGAGCAGGTGGGTAAATGGTGTCAAGTTTGTTTGCAGAGTGTGGCTAATGTTAGCAGAGCTAGCAGCACCAGCCTTTGGTCCTTCTTGCAGGTTAAAGTTTACATGCGTGTGCTGGTTACTCATTGCTCTGTAGGATTGATTATATACCAGCTTATTCAGAAGCATACAACTTAATCTTCATTTTATACATGAAAATACTCCACTATAAACTGCCATCTGTGCTTATTTGCATCTGCCAAGAGCACAACAACATCGTGGCACAGGCTAATAACTGGAGCTACAGAGCTGTCTGGTGCTGTTGGGTGGCTGCACTACACGTTAGAAAGAACTGGCATTTCAGGCCTTCCAATCTATTTAGCCCTTTAATGCCTTTTGTATCATATTTGATACATACTTTTATGATCATATCAAATCAATATGATCAATAAATTGCTAAAAAAAACACCTGCATATAGTCCAATAAATGATAAAAATGCCCTCTTGTGGTTTATCAGTTTCCAAAAACATCTAATGTATCAAACAAGATAAATAAATATATTTGTTTAAGGTCATTTTGATTTTTTTGTTTTTCAGTAGTAAGTGAAATAAACATTTCAGCTCCAAAAAAATTGAATTTTCTGGCCTTAATTTGTGGTTTCAGGCATTAAGGGGTAACCAACTGGTAATCCTGGTGCCGACTGACAAGGGTAGCAAAGTTCTTCAAACTTTCTTATGGTGTTAGTTCTGTCTACCACAGAGCTATAGCATGATTTCAATGTACATATATTTGTAAAATTATCTAGAAGAAAAAAAAAACCATCAGCATTAATATGATTTATCCTTCAAGTGTGACAAGACTTTGCAAAGACTTCCATTAGACTCCTTCAACTGCCGGCAATATCCAAGTCAAATACATGCCTTCAAGTAATCCTCAACCGGCAGCTCTATCGCTGGCTGCTCGCTGATGCATTTCTAATTGGTATTTTTGCTGATGGTCACAAGTTAAATCTATATTCTCCATTACCCTTCCGCAGCATCCTCTGGGGTTTGTCTCTAATGGCTCCTGCTAAAGGCAGAGCACTTGCATTGAGATATTCATACAAAGTATATTCTTTCTGAAGCTGACTGGCTGCTGCTGCTGCTGCTGTTTCGACTTTAGCTACAGGTTTGGGAGGAGCAGTTAAAAAAGTTCCCCCAGCTTTAAAGATTTAAAAAACATTTATCATAATCCTGCTCTGGAAACAGAGGGGGGATGTTAATTCTACAATAAACTTTGCTTTATCTGCTCATGTTCCCTGCTTTGTCTTTACTGAGAGGGTCTCACATGCTGCTTTGCTCAGCAAATGTTTGTTGTAGCCTTTATCCCTCTCACTTCCACAACACATAGTAAAGCCCTCAGTGGAGTTCTGGCTTGGTGACAGGCCTGAATGCTCCAACACCGGCTTGGCAAAGATCTGTGCAGCCTGCGCTGGCTGAAAACAGAGCTAGCTGGCTGGCTTCAGAACTGTGTGAGAGGTTGACCAGCCACAGAAATAACATCTCTGTGAAATGCTGTCGCACCAGTAAACTGCAATCCAGGGATGATTGTGCTAAAGTGAAGCGTCAAAGTGTTGTTCCTGCGTTCGTTTCTGTAGTTCACATAACAATGGGATAAACCATTCATGTGGCTACAAAGAGTGAAGCAGCTTTCAGGGAAATGTTCCTCCTGCAAAGAAAGGAATTCGCCAGAAGAAAGGTGAATTGTCATGCGTAGTAGTATAAGTCGAAAGAATGAAGCTCATATCCTGACGAAGAGGAAAACCCCTGTGTTTTTTGGCTCACCTCAGTATGGACGCTATGTTTACCTTTCATTAACTAGAGATCCCAGAATCTCCTCCTCCCCCACCCAGCCCTCAGGACAGTCCGATGCAAAGCAAAAATAAATGCTCTAAAACAGCCACGTGAGAAACAAACTCAACAAAAGGTTCAATGTTTAAATGAAAAGTCTGTTTAAGCAGGAAAACATTGATTTCATTTTGGCTTTTAAAGCACATTTTGTTTGTTGCTCCCAATGCATCATATCTGTTCTTGATTTATGCCAATGAAAATAAAATCAACCAGTGAACTTTACTGCACAACAACACTCTACAGTGATACCATGAACTGCAACCAGCTCAGAGAATGATGTAAACAAGATGAAAAATGTTGTCTCATGTAGTAACCCAGCATACACTGTCTGATAAAAGTCGACTTGTCGAGATACCCTGACCACAAGTCCAACTGTCGCTCTGAACCTCCACCCTGTGTTTTACAGACAGCACAGACTGTCTCCGAGAGATCACACCCAGGTTTTGTTATCACAGTATGAAAAAAGTAGACACACAAACCAGAGTAACTCTATGAGAGCGAACGAGGTGTTACCCGTTTTCATATTTAATAAAGAAAACTTTTCAGACCTCACAAGCGGAGATGGAAACAGCGTCCATGCTGGTGTGTAGACGAGTCTTCATCTACACATCATTACTTTGTGTAATTGATGCCCTTTTGAAAGTTTACAGTCAAGACAGACCGATTCAATGGTCGGCAGATTAATCAGGTCGATTAATAGGATTTTGACGTGTCATATCAACATTGGCCCTCACAACGCTGATATAATAATAATAATAAACTTTATTTATATAGCACCTTTCAAGAACAGTTGTCACAAAGTGCTTCACAGTCATCAACTGAAAAGGATAAAATGACAAGACATAAACATCAACACATCAGCTGTCAAAAAACTGTAGTTGGTCGACCACCAGTTTGAAGTCTGTCCTTATTGTCTGTTTCTTTCTGTCAGTACAAAACAACAAACACCTAAGCTTACTAAAAATATAAAGGCTTAAAAACCAATAAGTATGATAAGTTATTTTAAGAACAATCGTTTCTATACTGGTGTTAATGTTAACATGAATGTTTTGGGAGTCAGGAAAGGTTATTAAGTTTGTATTTGGAAAAAAAAAGTGAAAAGATGAATCGGAAAAAATGATGACTTTACTTTAAAGACTTCAACTTTCACTGGAACTATGATATTGTCAGATCGGATGGTTAACTGGCTGGAAATTAGAATAAATGGAAGAAATTAGAATAATTGGTGAGTTTTGCCAAAGGCAATTTCAACCTGGTTGTTTAATTCCACCAAAGCTGCAAACCTAAAACTCTTTATAAACTATTTTATGTGATATGGCAGAAACTCTCACCAGCAAGAATAAGGTCATGTTTGAAATTATTTCAATACTCAATATTCAACTTAGAAGTTTCCTATTGGTTTTAGCCTACAGGAAGTAGCTCAGATAAAGAAAATATTCACTGTTTGTTATTTTAATAATTAAAAAAAAGAACAAAAAATGCTTCATTTTCTTAAAAAGCCTACACATTCCCGAACAGTAGATGGCTATGTGCAATCTATCATTACATAAAAAAGAGAGGTACAGCTACAGCGAGGTGACAAGAGTGAGAATGATGTCATTGGTGTGAATGTTTACTACTATTTCACAGTTTAATGAAAAGTGCCTCAAGGATTTAGAGAGGAGTAAAAGAGTCCTCAAGTTTCAACACATGTAAGTCATCGTCACAATAAAGATGTACAGAAAAAGACAGGAACAGTGTCCAAAGCTAGCAGTAACACAAAAAGGCAAATGCTGTAGTTCCAATTAAACAGACATTTAAAAACTACAAAAGAAATCACCATGAACAACCTACAGCTTAAACATTCAATAACAAAATCACTGAATTTACTGCACCTGATGACCCGCATTTTTCAGAGGGAGAAAACCAAAGATCTGGCTGTAGTATTGAGTTAGGGACAGTGTCCTGTAAAAAATGCAAAACTATTCTATTATTATTAGTGTTAACAAAAGTGACTTTAGTTAGAGTAGCTAAGCACAGAATGATCGTAAGTACAAATCTTAACTTACTAGGTTTTACTTAATTTTTTGGACCCTTTGGCGGGTAAAAATTTTAATATCCTAAAATTAAAAAAAAGTACCAGCAATCTTATATCAAGCAGGTTATTGTCTGTAACGGGCAATAAAATAAAATAAAATAAAATAAAAAATTGTTGTGAGCTTGTAAGCTTTCCACTCATACTCAGTTTTAATTGTAGAGTTTTATTAATACAAATGAACTTTTTCTGTTTCTTGTTTTGGTTGCTGATACTTGTCATGCTACTAGCTATGGAAAGTTAACATTAAATGCCTGCCTTGTTGATGGCATGAAGATATTTATTTATACTTTTGCATTGGGTCTGAGTGAAAATACAACTATATTGGGTGGTTCAAACCAGACTACACTGACTGGCTTTAGCTGCTCTGGCAGGAAACACTCCTCCACTCTCATCCTGAAAAAAAAGCAAATGAGTGCAGCTGCAATTAAGACTTGAAGAGACAATACAATAAAAAGGAAGCCTAATACAAGCACAATCAGACAAAGTGAAACAGTTCTTGTTCTGTCAGCAGTGCAGAGGCTCGACTGTCTCACAGAGCAGACAACAATGCCCAGGGCTGAGATAACAGGAAATGCCAGCTTATCAGAGCGAGGGAGAAACAGAGGGAGTGAAGGCAGGGGAGCGTGATGGTTCGCTCTCTGTTTACCAACACGCTAATTGAGAAAAAATTTAAGCCATGTCCTTCATATAAAAATTTTTCTTAAACACAAATGCTGGAGCCATTGAATTTTTTTTTTCAACAGATTTACAGATACAAGTTTATTTGTTTATCATGTTAAGTGAATAAATGAAATAAAAACAGAGGCAAATCCATCACTTTCTTAATTCAAGTTCCATTTCATTGGCTTTGATTTGTTTAGATTGAGTCACCTCTCATGGGGAGTTTGTTTAATTTCACAGCTGAAAGAACACCAATGATTTTTAGGAGTGTTTTCCTTGTTCAACTTTCTCGACAAGCTATTACAGTAAATCTTAAATGCAACACAGCCATAAAGCCCAGAATATTAAACTGCTGTTTACAGACAGTCCTTAAAATTTGATGGCAACACTTAGTGATCATACCGGGGTAATTACTATTTTGTCTTAAAGTCTATTTTCAGACTCAGAGTGAGGGAGGAGATTAACAGGCTGTCTCTGAAGGAGCTATGCTGAGCAGCTACACATGCAACAAGAAATAATTCATTCTGTGTATAAAATGGACAAAATAAGGGCTTTTTAAAGGGCAGAAAAAAGTCAAGAGACTGAGTCAGAAAGTCAGAGTTCAAGCAGACGTGTGTGTTTCACCAGTTATTTTAACATCTCTTTAAAACAAAACTGAAAAAAATGGATAGCAGGCCATACTCCTGAAGGAACTCAGTTTGTGTTGATTTGACACTCTTTTCGATAAGATGCTACCACTTGTATCTTACAAGGTCGAAGACATAAAATAACAAAAAGGAAATAGTTGGTGTTTGTGTGGATGGTGTGGTTTGCTTTAGCAGCTCATACAGAAACATCATTAATCATTTCAGTCTGTTTCTTTACCAATGACAAATTTCTAACATTTTTACTAAAGAATAAAGATTTCCAACAGAGCTTATGTGTATGATTGACCAGTTCAAAACTACATCTGTTGCTGCTGATCATTACCTTAGTGATAGTTGGCTCTCCCTGTTGCTCCTGCTGACTAGCTAGCTAGCCAGCTAGTTCGTGAGCTAATTAGTTTCAAGCATAGACTGTATACACTGTGGACAACTTGGTTCCGCCTTCCGCCAGTATACAGATTTGAAGCCGAAAAGCTCTCAGAAATTCCACGTTTTCTCTTCATTTCCTGAAACCAACATCGGCAGTAGCGTTGTACGCATTCGGCAGGAGAGTCGCTGTGATGACGCTCAGCTCAAACAGCGTATCCCCCGGGTGAGCTACGCTATCTTTGTACGCCCATAGGCTGTATTGAGTGTCAATCATAGAAACCTTGAACCCCCTAATAACTTTTGAAAACTGAGCTTTACAGAAAAAAGAGGACTTGAGCACAAACCACTCTTACAGTAACTACATGTCAACATCACAAGCAGGGGGGAGAAAAATTCATGTTCTTTGTAATAAATTTCTTAAGTTTGTCCACAGCTCCATAAGCTTTGCTGACGGAGGCGGGATTTATGACGTATACTGCAATACGTCAAATGGTAGAAATATAACTCAACAACCTTGGACTGGACATTGGATTGTAGTAGAAGTGCGTCAAAAACACCTCACTCCAGCGCCCAGACGATGACTAAAATTCAGGTCAGCATAGTCACTACTCTAACTAGCGTAAAAACAATGACCCGTTTGGAAGAGGACTCAATTTGAAGGCTGCATGATGAGGCAGCAAAAATGTTGGTGATTCAACAGGACAATAAGGAAAAGCATTTTTTTTTTTTAGTACTGGCTGAGTTACTGAATTTTAGGTGTGTGTTTGGTGTATGGATGTTTTATTTACTGGACATACATTGAGCTGTGCAAACCTTTATGACCAAGTTTATCTTTGATACACAATCTGTTTCTTAATCTTACATTTACTTTCCCACTCTCACACAGACAAACAGTGCATCTGAAGTGTTTCAGACTTCTTTTCCTCTGACCAGGCCTCGCTGAAGTTTCTCTGCAGTACAGTTAATTAAATATAGAACCTGGAATGTCCCGCCCGCTCCGCACACCGTCTAGCGACGCACCGTCATTGTTCGGCTCAAACAATGCAACATTCCACAATCAGCAGCAACTCCAACAAAAACCAGAGGGAGAAAGAGACGACTGGGAGAAAGGCAATGCTCTAATCTTATCGGATTAAAATTCCTTTCTAGAGGCTTTAATGAGTCTCTTTTTCTTTTGAACAACAAAACTTGAGGAGAGCAACAAAAATCTGATACAAATAAAAGCAATCCAGAGCAATTCAAGAAGAATTTGAGACTATTGACACTTAGAGACAGACTCTAGAGTATGTATGACTAAATAAATCAATGGTAAGAGACATATTTCTTGCTGCAAAATTAAGTTTTAGGTTTTAGCAGTAACGTTTATGTACCAAGACGTCTCTCAATTAATGACACAAATAACATAACATAAAAAACGCAATTGCCTTGTGTCACTTTTAAATCCTTCCTGCTTCTCTATTGTTGATAAATTGCATTTAGTGGACCTTAAAAGGGCAAGAACGCAATGTCATAGATTTAAACCCAGTGAGACAGTACATACAGTCTTGCCTTGAAGGAGGAAAAAATGTCATGAGGGACTTTAAAGGGATCAGTGGACAGACAGAGTGTGTATGTGGTCACGTAAGGACAGCAAACAGAACGAGAATTAAAGTGAAGAACTCTGTGCCATAACTTTACAAAACAGACCAGGAAGAATTGAGGCCAACGTGAAGAAGAAGAAGAAGTAGTGAGGGCTGTGCAGCGAGAAAGCACAGAGAGGGGAATGTGTATGTTTGTGTGTGTGCAGGAGAAAGACAGATAGCTAGAGAGAGGGAGAGTCTGAAGCAGTTCCTAAGCCCGGCCGTCACGCATGCTTAACCTTGCGCTAGCGCCTGTGCGATGCAGCTTGCATATCAATGATGAGGGAATATCAGCAGAGAGGCCTCCAACCAACCTCCATATTCGGCAGGCAAGGGGAGACAGAGCAGCATCCGCAGTAACACCGTAGCTCTTACAAAGAAATGAGAGTTACACCATCCAGCTGAGGACTGGAGCAGCTGTCAGAGGAAATATCAATGTGACTCAACAGACGTATGTTGACAGGATGAGGGGAGAGATATACAAGAGGACTGGTGAATCTGATCAGTGAGGGCACTGTTTTTGTTTCGGAAAGAGAAATGTTAAACTGCTCACTGGAAAAAGAAGCGCAGTGAGCAGGTTCTGTCTATTTTCAACTGTTCCTAAATCTTGTTTCAACCCACAGCATCCACCTCTGGTAAAAGCTCAGGTTACAGGAAGCACTTTGAGAGGGCGTCCCATTTCCAACCATACTGTGTTTGGGACGAACCATGTGTATTTTGTATCAGGGGGGAAACAACAACTACAGAAAATCACCATAGCTAAACCACAATTGCAACCACAAATCCAATTGACCAGAAGGTTAACACAGCTTACTATGAAACGCTCCCCACTTTTCATGTTTCACGCCCGTCTGTGGTGAACTGATGTGAATCCTCTGCTCCCAGTGTCTGTCTCTTAATCCCAAAGATTAACCTGAAACACTCGCTGTAACTGTTGAGGAGAAAAGACGAGAAGAGGAGGAAAGATATGATGTGTTTCTAATTAAAAGAGGAGCATTCAGGGACACCAAAAGCATCCTAAGGGACCAGCGCAGGTTGATAAACTCACTCACCCATACCCTCGTCTTTTGAGAGGAGTGATAAAAGACTTTGAGGAAGGTGTGCCCTCTCCTCCTCTCTTCCCTACATAGCAATCTGATGCCGACGAGGGCCTTTTTGTCATGTCGATCCTTCCCAAGGACCCCAAGGCGTCCTGTCAGGGTGCCCTCTACAGGGTGCTCTCTGTTGATTGACATGTCACCCCCTTTTTTTTTTTTTTTACACAGGCAGCAGCCCTCCTACCTCCCCGCCGCTACCTTACACGGCTCAATAAAGGCAGCCGCTTTGATAGCAGTTCTGTAGCAAGTTACATCTCTGGCAGGGAGGATAAGAGAGACTAGGAGGGATACCAGCAGATAAAAGAGGACTTTTAACAGCCTGTGTTCAGCAGGTTAAAAAGTGTTTTCTATCAGCGCCTTGTCAAACTGTCATCATCACTTTCATTTAAAGACAGCGCTTCACACCAGAAGACAAAGAAGAAGAAAAAAAACATATCAAAGCTTTATTTTCTTCTCCGGTTTGCCTGTAATCCCAGATTGATGTTAATCTGAAACCCCTGTGAGGATTAAACACATTGGCAGCTGTTTTAAGTCAATATCTTTCTCTGACCGTCAGTGTTAAGACAACAATGGAGAGCAGTGACAGTTCTGTGTGTTCTCGCACTTGTTCGCAGGCATCCCATGAGAGCCGGAGAGGCTATTAGCTGTGTGATAATCGCTGGATGTTGTAGTTGACTCAGGCAGTGTGACAGACAGATGGAGGTTGATTTTGTGGGATGAAACGTATGGGAAAGTGCTGTATGCAGACAGCTCAGATGGGCTTACAGATTCACATACATTGTACATCCTCTATTGAGCTAAAACAGCTAAAAGCCAATACAAACACATTATCTTTCAATTTGACATCGTTCTACGTCTACCTTCAAGGAGGGAGGAGCGGATCTCTACAACAACATGCTGCTCTCATGTTGCACAGGGGTGAGGGGGTTTCTCACTAGGGCTTTTTACTGTCACTGGACCTAAGCCAGCAGAACCAGGTGTGGCCACTTACCAGTGTAAGTGATCCACAGAGAGAGCGGGATGTTTGTAGAGCGTAGAGGTCCGACACACAGCCATTATAGAGCATTAGACCATGAGGTCCTTCCGGAAATCAGATGACCTCATCTGACCCGGACGGAAAATGTTCCCCTTTTTCTCAAACTTCAGTCTTTTATTCTTCTAGTTTTTAACCCATCAACTGTTGAACCTGCGTCTCATTTCAAACGGTGCTCATTCTCCGAGCTGAGCCTTTATTTTTCCCACCAAGCTGACCAACAACATATGTTTACCCTCTGGCTGTAGTATTCTCTTCATGCTCTATCAAACGATCTTCCTCTCTCTCCCTCTCTCTCCTCTAATGAGTATGCTCTGCCATTTCTCAAGGACACTGAGATGTAGTAAACAAACTAAAAACTCATCAATTACATTCATCAGGTGGCAGCTGGCACCGACTAACTCAGATCCCCCAGATGCATGGTATTGTGGAAATACAGTATGTTGTGAGGGATGTGATATGATGAGGGACTGCTCTATTTTCATTGTAGTTCTCCTGTAATGCGACTCACTGTCAGAGCCAGAGTGGCAGCCTGAATTGCTTCTGTCGGATAAACACTCCCAGCATGCACTGCTTTGCCTCAGTCTGCGCAATGCTGCATTGGCAGCCTCCTGGCAGGATTCTGAGGTGTCTCGGTTCAGAAGTAGCTGTGTGTGTGTGTATGTGTGTGTAAGTATGTGCGCAGAATGATGATCCTTACAGCTCCAGAAATGCTTAAGTCTGCACCAGATTTCAGGCTGGCACCCGGGCTACAGAATGAGCAGTAGCGACACTTATAATAGTTTGACTCATAACAACTGTAAGTGTGCAGTTTGTTATTAAATCAAATTAAGCAGAGGAACATTCAAACAAATAAAACAGAGGGATTACTTCATACAAAAGAGTCCACGCTGTAATTCTGCCACCAAGAGAAGCAGGAAAAAGTGAAACGGTTTGCCAGCACGTATGAGTACATGCCCCTATGATTCATTACAAACACAGAAAAGCAAAAAGCAATAAACAAGAATGTGTAGTATTTGCTGCAATGTAACCCATCCAAGACCACAATGCCAGAACTATGTGGAATGTGTCCTCTAACAGCCGGGGACTGAAACCTACACTCGTTGAACAACTGCAGTACACAGCCAGTGGTCGTGTCCTGTCACTCTGAATCAAAATCAAGCCCAGACCGTAACACAGGTATAGCAAGAAGGAGACGGAGGAGATACCTGAACAGTGGCACTTTCTGAGACACAGAGAGAGTGGTCAATACTGTGAACACTGATTTTAACTAAAGTCCTTGCCCTGCATGCACACATGTAAAAAATATGAAAAACTATAACTAACACATATAACAGTACATGGATTAGTATTCTGTTTGAAAACACTCAAAATGTCAATGGCACATTGCCTTTCTTGTTTCTTTGAAATCTGATCTGTATACAGGATATTTAATCTTCCTAGTATCTGCCCATGCAAACAATTAGAGTTTGATCTGCTCATGCACTTTTTATTCACCACAATCTAACAGTTTCTGAGGAAACCAAACAGGAACTACTTTCTAAAATAACGGTGAACGCTGTTTTTTCTAGGGCTTTGAAGATGATGCACTTATTTCAGAAGCTGTTGTTGCAAAAGTCTGGCATTGCAGGTCTGCTTTATCTTTGCACATCTTTTGTTTGTGATGCAGATTATATATGGGAAATAAGACAGTGTTAACACCTTAAGCCACATCAGTAAAGATGTGCGACTAATATTTTGAGCGGACATTGTTTCCCATGAACATATGCAGCGAGGGATAAACACCTTAATGACTATGGGCCTGGCTGAAGAAATGAAATAAGAAATACAGCATCTCGAATCATTTGAACTTTTCCTAAAATCGACCAAAAAAGGATCTAAAAATACAGAAATGTTATTCTAAAGTGTGTTCATTTAAACATTCAGTACTTGGGTTGTGGCTCCTTAGCCACAAATTAAACTTTCTCACAATATTCAAATTTTGTTTTAGATGTACATGAAGGGGTTTTAATCTCTGAAGTACTGTCAGGGTATAGGTGTTGGAAAGATTTAATACATTTATTAAGCTAAAAGAGCCTTTGTCCTACAGCTAAGATTCTTGATGAGTGATAAAAGTGACACTTAAAAACAACAGGATTTGATCAAAATCAGCTAAGAGATACCATGTACTGCTTTGTTCACAAGGGGCGCCAAAATCAATGCATACAAAAAGTTCCTCTAGGTGTTTTAAAGAAGGGGATTTTACCTTTTTTTCATCGTTGTCTGGTTATTTCGATTTCGTAAAACATCACACCTGTGAGGAAATGAGTGTAAGGTCTCTAAAAAGACCTATGCTTTATAAACCTCCTGCAGCAAAATTTTCATGCACAAAAACCGCTGGATTTCAAAATCTATATTAACCTGGTGAGACCAGACAGTATATTTCAAACACAACAATCAGATACTTATCTGCCTCTTGCCCTTTCACAAACAAACACACACACAGGTCAGTTGCATTTAGAGCTCTTCTACAACTACATGGGGCCAGCCGGAGCCCTGTGTCTGCAGGGGTCCATTCTAAGGTCAATACTACAACACTGTAAACTAATGATCCAGCAAATTCCCCCAGTCCTGCTTTCTCTCTTCTCCTCCTCCTCCTCCTCCTTTCACTTCTCAGTCTGTTGTTGCTCTCTGTCTCTACTGCTCTCTGATCCCCCGCTGCGCTGCAGAAATGAGAAACAAGTAAAGCCACGGCACTGCGAGGCCTGCTCTGCTTTTCTGATACACACCACTGATAAACAAGTCTGCTTGTTAAAAGACAAATGAAACTCTGCCTCGTCTGATTACTGACTTTCACTGTTTTAATCTGATGTTTTCTCTTCTGTCTTTCTTTCTGTTGTTGTGTCATGGGCATTTGTGCCAACATAACATTAATCTTGCATCAAAAAAGGGTCAAAAAAATAAATATGCAGAGTCATCATTTTGTGTTGGCCAAAAGTAAAACATCAAAGTAAGAGTTGGACGCAGGAAAGATCTAAAAACCACCCAAACCTAATCCGCATTACAAGGACAGACTTTCTGAAAAACAGACGCATGGAAGTTGCCAAGCTGTCATGTGAATATGGTTTAACTTGAACATTCATAAAGGGCGATTTCAAAAAACAGAAAGACAACACAGAAGACAGTCTGTTTGCAATCAAATAAAAATCTATATTTGTGGCTTTTTTTTTTTCAAACTCATTCACAAAAAGTTTTCCTGTTACACAAAATCTATTAAATGTGACACCTCACAAACAGCCTAAAATGTGGATCGTTATAATTATTAGTCTTTAACTTAAAATAATTTTAAAAAAATCAGGTCCTGTTCATCTTTCAATGAAGTTTAACTCTAAGTTTACTGTAAAGGCAGACAGCAGGTAATATGCCATGCTTCCATGGCGTGTCTGTGAATGCAAACTGAAGTCTCCTGATCAAAGCTGAACCACATGCACATGCAAGCTGTCAGGGGACCTAAGAGAAACACTTGACAGAATAAAAATCTGTTTGTTTGCTCTTTTTACAAACAGAGGATTATTATTTTTATTATTTACATGCATCAACAACCTGCTTTTGTGAATCAATAAAGGGCATCCTCCACATCTGGAGGATTTTTTTTTTTGTTTGCTTCTGTCAGTTCACACAATAAAGCAGCATTAGAGCCTCACTGTTCAGAAGACATATTCTTTTCACATAGGGAATACAGACTGGGCTCAAGGGGTGCGACTGAAAACTCATTTAGACTGTCAACAAACACAAGTGAACTGGATTCAAGCAACACGAAAAATAGCTCTACAGTTGGCAGCAAAGGTGAGAAGGTGAAACTTGTCTTCTATGAACCTCTGACCAGGACCATAGCCTTTACAGAAACTTAAGGTGCTGACATAATAATACAGGTTTCCTTTAAAAGTTATCACATGATAGGATCATCACACTGTTTATCTGAATCAGAGATGGGAACCCGTTGTAAATGTATCTGTTTACAGTCAAAAGCATGTCAACAATAAATGGGCTTTGTGGTCTACTTTCACTGTGGGTGCCTATCTATGATTTCTGCTTGCAGACCTGCTGACCAGCAGTATCTAGATTCAATACAAGGAGTATCTAGTTAAGTAACATCAGTGGGTTGCATTACTTTTCACTGTACTAAAGCAGATAAAATGTTAAGAGGGACCACACAATCTATGTGTACCACGCATGGACCGTATATACTATAACTATACTATACCTTTATATACAGTCTATGGTACCACTGCATATCAATTTTACATTTTTTAGATCAATGCCCACAATGCCCATTTATGACTACCTGACTGAAGGTTGTCATTCAGTTATCCTACTCTTAACTCAAAGGTTTCTGTCAGATGATAAATTATTCTAATTACTTCCATCATTAGACCAAACTTAGTCTGCAGAAATCCAAGCACAATCTCATTGAACACGCGTATTTTTGTTGTTTTTAAGTTGACAGAAATATAAGTGATGTTGAGATTGCTTCACAAAAATCATCATCAACCCTGATCTCGCCAAATGTGGAGACAAGACGACCGTCTGCTGTCACGAATCTCACATATTGTAGCGGTGACTCAATGAGCAGCGTGGATTTCAGAGGATCCTAAATCTGTTTGAGAAGCGAATTTCTGAAAACACACACACACAGAGCGGTCTGTGGGCAGTGTTCTGCGTGGACTTTGTTGCTGCTTTCACAGCCGATAGACAACCTTCAATGTTTCGCTCCGCGTGTGAACAAAACTGTAATGTTTTCAGTCTAGTCGAAACACTGAAGTAAAGGGTACACCAATAATACACACATACTCATGCAAAGCTAGACGCTGGATGTTCAAAATGAAACGACTCCAAATGATTTCAAATACACAGCAAGAAGAGCAGCGCCAAGAAAAGACAAGAGAAAGGTGGTTTCAAAATAAAACCGCGTTGAACCCGACACAAACCAGCCAAATCGTGCTCTAAATCCAAACCTATGTGGTCTAATTACAGAAAACCAGCCCGACAAAATGTCTATTTTTCCTTAAAATAAAGGTAGCAGTCAACTTTCCCAGCCTTGCAGAGCATGGAGCTCCATGCCACTGAGTGTAGCGCCTCGTGCCCTCCCCTCGCTCAGCTTAGTGTGTGACTGCCCCCGGCCGCTCGTGAACTTCCCTCACAGCCGCTGTTTCCTCCCCCATAAATAAAACTTACTTTTCTCTGGCTTGGCTGTCGGACGGCACGTTGCTACTCTTGCCTTTGGCGTACATGCTTGCAGAGAGCTCCGATTGTCACGCACCTGTCAACCCATCACAACCTCCCTGGGCACAGCCCCGTCACCATGGTGACACAAGCAGCGTGGCCTCCCATTGGATGTCCCGCTGTTCGGGACCGCCTGCTCGCCATGGCAACGGCCAGTAAGTGACAGCTGCTTGACCACGCCCCTCAGATAATAACTCCACCTCCGGTCTCTCTCTCTCTCGCTCTCTCTCTCCTTCCTCTGCTTTTCCCGCCTGTCTGTCTAAACTCTGTCTGTCTGTCTGCCACTGTCTCTCCATCCTCCATCCTTTCCCTGATTGGAAAGGCTCTCCTGACATGCAGACAAACTGATGCACATACACAAACAGAATGTGTGTGTGTGTGTGTGTGTGTGTGTGTGTGTGTGAGTGTAAAACGTCCAACTAGCACTAGGATCTTAGACAACTAGCTTGAGCTGATCCTTTTTTAGACAATCTCACCTTCTACCAATATGCGCACTTCACACAGCATAACCAAAGCTTACAAGTATTAACTATATTGCATTGTTGTATTTTATAAAGTGCTGAGATATCTGAAGAAGTACACGAACCGTCCTGTAAACGATAGACCCAACATGCATCAGAAGGGCATACTGTAGGGGAGATGTGGCCACATTAGGAGTCTCTTTCTATCCTACAGTCGGTGCACCATTATAATACAGCAGCTTCAACAAATAGGAGGTGTCTGGGAAATCCAGGAGTGTGTCAGATCACCAGGATTATCAGATGTAACAAAAACATTTCTAAAATCTTTTGAAGGCCTTGGACTATATGAATGAATCTATTATCAAATCAATAATTGTCATGACAGTGATTTGGGTTTTTAATACAGCTACAGAGCATCTTTACAGGCCACTTTGTGATTACTGTAGAGAGACACCAACACTCCTCTTTTCTGAACACTGTGTGTATGCTTTTTGCAGCAGGGAATTTGTGCTACGTCATGCAGCTGTCCAGTCTGGCAGCTCACAGAGAGGAGGGTTCACTCCGCTGCCATGATCCTCTGAGAGATGGACTGATACTTGGTGCCTAAAAAAAGGCTACCAACTGCTGTACCAAACACCTGACTCACAGACAGTTTTAAAATCTAGAGAACACAGCATGCATGTACGTATAGGTGCGTGCATTTGTGTGTGCATTTGTGTGTGTGTGTGTGTGTGTGCACTGAGGGCATGGCACAGGGGCAGCAGTGTTTACGCTTATGCAATGCTCCCGTGATGTGACCCATTTGGAAAGGATGCACACTGCCTGATTCTCTCTCACTCTTTCTCACTCTCTCTCCTTGAATGAAACCTCTCTCTCTCCTCTTTCTCTCTCTCTCTCTCTCTCTCTCTCTCACTCTTTCTCTCTTTTTCTTTCAATCTCCACCTCCCACCGCCAAATGTGCCAGTGAACCCCCTTGTCTTCTCCCCAGAGAGAGGCGGCGGTTCTATTTCAGATGAGCAGAACTTTTGGTTTTGGGATGAGTCCCTGGGGGTCGATCACCATGACAACCACTTGCAGGCGATAACTGTGTGTTCCAGAGGATGATGGTGGAGGAGGAGAAAGAGGAGGAAGAAGAAAGGAAGAAGGCAAGAGAATATGATAAAGAGAGAGAGAGAGAGAGCAAGAGAGAGAGAGAGAGAGAGAGAGACAAAGGCAGTAGATAAGAGAAGGAACAAGGTTAATAGGTTATGTGCTTTGATTAAAGTCAAGTTATCTGACAAGGGCATATGTTCCTGGGTCTGCTCCCATATGTCTCAGGTAACATTGTAATGTGGCATCATACTCGTGTGGCTGTTTTATAGCAAGGCAGACATGGGGTAGCAAGATTCGGATAAAAAACTATATTAGGTAGACAGTATGGCAGCAACAACCTCCACGCTTGTTTGCAGGGTTAAAATCAAGATGTAGGAAATAATGTAACTAAACAGTTTGTTCTGGGGCAGGGATTCCCAAACTTTTGCAGTTAGGGACCTGAAAATAAAATTTGGTGCCTCCCTGGGATGCAAATAGCTTTTTGTGTAAATAATTGACACAAAACCAAATAATAAGCTGTTAGAGAAAAAAAAATCACTCCTGCGGTTTATAATAGGCCTGGGTCAGGTTCAAAAGTGAAAAAAGGACAAAAATGTCTCTGCTAACACTTAATATCACGAGCTGGCATCTATTTATCAGATTTAAAGCAGTGAGGAAGATGAGGTGATTTTAAAAAGGAAATGAATGCCCTTAATTTTAACGGATTTTACTTTGCTGATTGGTGACCCAATAAAGACTGGCTGGTGACCCAGTTTGGGTCCTGGCCCCCAGTTTGGGAAAAGCTGTCATTGGGTAATGGGAGTCCTGATCACCCTTAAGGGGTTCCCCAACTATAACAGTCTATTTACTATCTATCATCCAGGTACAAATTTAAGAAATCAATAATTTCATCCTAATATTAAAATGACTTATTTAGGAATTATTGAAATAAAGGTAGTCCATTGCCCTGACAATTTTAAATATATTATCACTAACATCACTGGTCATTTTACAGCTTGTAAAGATGACAAACAAATAAATGGATAGCTTACCAATTAGATTCAGTGTACATGTCATCAGAGTTGGCCTACTTTTGCCAGCATAACGAGATTACAAAAAATTAGGTTACCTTTAATATGTGATGTTGTACACTGTTAACCTTAAGACCTGCAAAAGCTAACTTACTGTAGTGAAATTGTAGGAAAATACTGTGTTTTTTCCACTCAACTTCCTTTGGACATCTCTGCCCCAAAACCACTCACTCTCCTATCCAGTTGATGGACTTGAACCAACAACTTCTACCAGCTCTTCATAAATGTCTTGTTCAGGTATTTGTACCACCACCTCATCACCCTGCAGCACTTTCCTGTTTAGGTATATTTGTCTTTATTTATGAAGAATCAAACCGAAGACCCTCTCAAAGCTTTGCAATACACTTTTTAAACTCTGAAGATTTACAGTGATTTAGACAACTTAGATTATGGAAATTTGAAAAAAAAATAAAAGGTACCCAAGATCTTACAGTGAAAATGAGATTTATAGTTGTAAATGTGATGAATCAAACGTTGAGAATAAGGGGGTTGAAGACTAATTTTCCTCAGTTTCACTGTACAACTGTGATTGCTGGAAAAACAGACATTTCAACAGAAAGAATGAGTAGCAAAAAAATGGAAAACAACAACAAACAAAGCCCTAAAAGCAACATTTTACCAACTAATAAACTTGGCAACAGTCTGGCCAGTTTGTTGACCAACTGGCTAACTGGTCGTAAAATGGACTGACTGACTAGTAGATTTCCTGACTGGCTGTGTGCCTGGGAAGCAGACCGGCTTAAGGCTGTAGACGTGCTCCATCATGAGGGATTTCAGCTCCTTCCCCGTTGACTGTGGCCTCATGCAATCTGTGTGCCTGTGGTGACAATCAAAACTAAGAACCACTGTGATGTACTCCATCTTTGAGGAGCCCAACTGGAGTCAGGATTGAAGAGGATTTGATCCAGAGAGAAAGAGAGTCACAGAAGGAGGGGGTGAGTGAGGGTGAGACAAAGAGGCAAATTGTGCCATTCCTTTAATCAAATCCTATGTCAGATTTACCACCACTGTTTTTCATGAGTTGTACCACAAACACAGACTCAAAGAGGGGCAACAGAGTGATAGTTTGGACTGTGGACTCTCAGCATGATCACAAGCCAGCATGTTCACTTAAACCTGGTCAACATACAATCACAGCCAGCATTCACACTCTTTGTCTTTTGGTCGTCCTCTCCTGTGTCTCATGTTTCTTCACACATTAATACACAAACACATACTGCACACGTTAAGACAGATTTGCCCCTCTTCTGCTCAACAACAACTGCTTGGCATTTTTGCAAACAGCCTTTGTTTACCAAGCCTGTCAATGGGCTATGTAATCGTATATTTCCACTGAGAGGGTCTGTTAGCAAGGACACTAATTAGCAAACAATTAAGCTCTCCCAGAAAAGAGCTTCTTGAGATTATTGGCACAAGGTTTACCAAAGCTTGTAGCTCAGTAAATAACTTAATACACATTGTCACACTTTGTTTTTGTGTTCAGACAGGCAAGTGTTGAAGCCATGTGTTAGGATACATCACTGTGCACGGGGATAATACCCTTTGAAGTACATTATATTTCTTATTTTTCAATGTTTCATCTTCACTCCTCTATTAGTCCATCTCCAACTGTTCATGTTGCTACTGTGTCTTCTACACCTGTATGATCTGTACACTGCCTTACGATCCACAGCACCACATCCCGTAGAAATAGAATATGAGAATTCACTGGAAATTTAGCAAAAGCTGTTTTATGGTCTTTGCTGACCTATAAGTACCAGGCACATTCAAACAAACATAAATGTAAGAAGTGCTTCTTCGTAAAAGACTTTCAGGGACAAAAGTACGGTATGTTGTGTAAAAAAACCACATCTTTTGTCTTATGTCTTTACAGAGGTGTCTGGATGCTGCCAAATATTTGCTGTTACACCCTCCTCCTTCCCTGCTGTTGACAACTAAAGGTTTAAGTTACAAACTTGGTCAAAAAAAGTCATTAGCACAACAACACTTTAAATAGCATACAACTCACTTCTTGGTTTATCTATCACTAGTGTAAACGGAGGTATTTGAAATTTGGTTGCTAGTTTTGGAAAAACTGCAGCCACTGATTCACCCAGGCTTATGTGGGAAATGAAGTTAGCATTCAAGGAAGATGTGTTTGTGTTAAACAGCTGATGCAACAGGAAAGCAAGACATGAAAACATCCCAGTAAGCATTTCTAGAAACACTCGCAGTTTTGACATATAACTTGAGTTGAGCCGTCTGAAATTTTCTGGCCATTGGTGGGTCTAGTATTTGGTCTTGATGCTATTTGAAGCAAAGGATTAATTCCTGTTTGTAAAAGCTTGTCATGTTATCAACCGATCAGCACATGCTGAACATGCTGGCTCAAAAGTATAGACTCCTAAACCTAAATGCAAAAATAAAACCTTACAAAGGCTGTAATTTACTGTATTTGACACAAGAATTTAAACTTCTGAGAACTCCTCCTCTCCTAACTAAACCCTTTGACTGAAAACAGTGCTGATACATGCACCAATTAAACAGCTGTTAAGTGTTTTATTACTAAAAGGGCCTCCAGCGTTTCCACTCAACAGATGTTCTGAAATCATACAGATGATATTGCTTCATTTTAATGATAGAGTTAAACTCAGCAATGCCACTAAAACAAAATGAGGAGTTGTGTTGATGGCTGTAATGCAGATGTAA